ATACGACGCGCGCGCGCCTCTATTTCCTAAGCCCCCGAACTAAGGCTAGTTCGTATAGGGGGAAGGAGGTAATTATAAGGGCCGTATAAGAGCCCTTATAATAATAGGATTAATAGAGGTAGCTAGATTAACTAACCTTAGAGAAGGGAGTGCAATATAACCTAACTACTTAGCGTAGGCTTAGCGTATGCATAACTCCTACGTATAGCGCACATTTAACCTATAAGAATTAGTCTTATCTCTAATCGAGTAATTACGGGTGTCTAATACATTGCTATATCTTTACCCTTATACCGTAACACTCCTCCTTAGTTAATATTATTCTACTACGATATTATTAGCTATTATACTTTAATAATTCTCTAATAGGATTATATAGACCGGCTCGTAACTAGAAAGGCGTCGACGTAGTTCGGACGGTCTCGGATATTATCGATCCTATTAGTAAAGCTATTATAGATCTCGACGTATTTAGTAGTAGGCTTAGCTATTATCTCCCTCTACTTGCGATTAAGGGAGAATCCTATTTTCTTAAGCTATTATACGGGTTAGCGCTACTCTTAAAGTATTAAATTCCTAGCTTATACTCTTATAAAGTTCTRCTTAAAATATCCGTATTCGCTATTATTATCCGGATCCTTAGGGAAAGTTCTAGCCCTCTAGTATTTCGTAGTATCGATATAACCTAGCTATAAGTATAGTAACTTAGGCTTCTTCGCCTTCTTAGGCTTTTATACGGGTAGTATAGAGGAGGGAGGAGGATATAGATAAGTAGTAAAGGGGTAGTATAGTAGTAGGAGTAGTAGGAGTTAATATTAGTGTTTAAGTGTTAATAAGAGTCGCTAAAAGAGTAGTAGGTCTTTATCCTACTACTCTTTTAGAGATCTTACTTATCTATATAGAGAGTTATATAGCTGCCCGCGTAATACTATTATACCTTTACTTTATCCTTACTATTATTACTTAGGTATCGTAGACTTAAATAAAATTACTTTAAAGAAGGAAAGCGAGGACATTGCACGCGCAYATTAAATTACGCTACTTGTTACTTATTATACGGAATACACCTTTAATTACCGAGGTTCTAATACCCTATAATGCTAGCGTCGCACTATCGCCTAAAAGGATTGTTACAGAGTTGTTCTTAAAAACGCGCCGTAGGGGGACCGTCGCCGGAGTCCGGACAATGCAGGAACACCCACAGCTGCTGCGCCACGCTGTATGTCCGAAGATAGGTCCACTTTGAGCGGTCAATGGCTGCATTGTCAAACATCATGAATATGCTGTGGATGCGGAGGAATATTGTCGGAAATCTTGCAGACCGCTTTCTCTTTCGATTGTGAAAACGCATGACACTCACCTGGTGCCTTTCTAGCCAAGTCGCAGGAAAAGCAATAAGATGAGAAAGCACCCCAAACAAGTCATCACACCATACACTTGACTTAGATGTTAAAGGCCAGACTCAACGTGAAGTCCAGGTTCCTGACGCCCCGCATATGCAATGCAGAGTCTCTCACAATCGAGTCATTGGTCCGCATCAAAGGCCGTTAACAAATGCAACTATCACAACCGGCCTCGAATCCGACAGGTGAAGTCAGAGGGGCTTTCTCTTTGCAGCAAACGCCAGGTTTCTTGCTTGCCGAGCGATGCGATGCGAGGATGGTACATGTTGCATTGCATGTATGCACTACTGCATCTTAGACATGAGACGCACATCGAGAATCTTCGAGCAGAGTGCAGAACGCATTGAAGAGTGCTTGTCATGTGAATTGGCACTTTCTGGTTCTCCACCGCCATCCATCATCTCTTTGCATCACAGTATCGTCATTGCCAGGCCGCAGGCTTGCTCCGCTTCCTGGGAGACAGACTCGAAAGACAGCCTCTGACAAGGCGGCTTATTCCAGGTGAAGTTCGGTACGAGTCATGCAGAATCATGTCTGGAAGAACGCGTGTTCCGCGAGATCAGCCACGGGGAAACTCTCCCAGCAAACTCCAGGAAATCGATCATCATGAACTTTCGTCTTATCCGCCGTAGGCGCCAAACAGACCAGTTCCGGCAATCCAGCTCGCAGGACGTTATTCTCCCAAGCTCGTTTGTAGTTTAGAGCGACATGCTCTATGCCATGACTGTCGTCTGATAAGGTGAAACGTCCTCCCATGTCTTTGAATTCCTGGAACGATCTCGTCAGCATTTTCATTCACATCATGTTGAGAATATACTTACGATGCAAATCTCACTCTGCGGATACGCTTCACTCATGCCCTTTCTCAAACTACTCGTATTCAACTCCAACACCCCACCATAACTAGCCACAAACTTCAAGTTTCTCTCAATCTTCCCCCAGATTTTCGGCCAAGTTCTGAAACTTCTGTCCGGTTCATCGCCTTTCAATCGTATAAGATCAAAGTGTCCCACCACGGGAGGTTTCAGCGCTTGCAACATTTCGTACTGAGAATCGAAATAATCGGCATAGATTTGCTCGTCTGTCCCGCCTGCAATGGTTCGTGCGGAGTGATACAGRGGAGTGTCGTAGTCTATGGGGATGGTGTGGACGTGATGGACACTTCCCACGAAGAGATCCACGGGGTATTTCTTCAAAATATCTTGGATGATGTTCAAAGAGGAAGGACGGATCCATTCGCTTTCGAATCCCACAAGAAGTTGAATTTGATTTGCGTAGAGTTTTTGAAGACGCCGGGCTTCGTGATAGAAGTCGTCGAAGAGTTGTGTTAGAGTTTCTTGGGTGTGGAATGAAGATTCTTCGGGGTAGAAATCGATTTCCTCGCGAGGGATGTGTTCTGTTAGACAGAAGGTGGTCATCCTTTTGGCGATTGCATGTTGGACGACTTGTTCGAGAGTGCTGGTTGCATGGCCGCAGAATTGACCAGAGTGGGAGTGGTGGGAGAAGGGCATGTCGTTTGTAGATGGATGTTGTAGGAGTGAATGATATGAGCGATCTTCACAAGAAACAATAGGACAATGTCCTCTTTTTCAACCAGACATATCGGGATCCGTGGAGACCGACTTGAGAGAATCTTACTAGGTTGATGGTTTGCTGTACAGTAAGCGAGAGGGAGGACATGAGGGCGTCGGCATCCGCGCCGTCGGTCGGTCTGTCGGTCGGTCGAGGCGTGCGTCTGCAGACGATCGAGACCAATGGAATAGACTTCGACACGGATGACTTGCAACTTCCACGACGACTCACGCGCACACGCCAGTTGTCGTCGCATTTTCTCTCTCGCTCTGTCTCGCTAGGTATTGTTCAGCTGCTGTGAAGRGGTTGTCATGCTCGGTTGAGACTTTTTGTTGCTCCCACACCTATCACTCTCTCCAATACCCTCGCTTTGCCCGGTTTACACTCTACGCTGCAACATTCCACGCTTTGTGTTGAGAAGCGCACAAAATGGCCGGGCTTGATGAGAAGAGCACTCTAAAGCGAGCTCGGGTGAGCCAGCAGCATGCCAACGCGGGTGGAAGTGGAAGCGTGGGACTTTTGCTGATTCTTGATTCTCGTGCCTACAGGGCTCCACCATCGAAGATGCCGAATCCAAGAAGCCTCGGCGCTCCGCCCGTCTCTCAAATGCTGGGGAGGATCAGGCACCCGAAGTAGACGTGCCATCCACTGCGCAAGCCCCCAAGAATAGCCAACTCCCATCCCCAGTGACGGCCAATGGGAGCAAAGACAAGACGGTTTCACCTCCGCCCGTCCAGCACCAGCATCAGCACCACCGACAAACGACTCCAAAGTCTAGTCCTCCACCTTCCTCAAGAAGAAATGGAGGTCTTTCCTCCCCACCCGCGGATACACAACCCTACTCGCAGTTCCTTCTTCCCCCGCCAGTGAGCTATGAAGTGGAGAATGAGGAGGAGGAGGGCGTCTGGGGTTACCTCGTACCTACCGAGGGCAAGGAAGACCCGTTGGTGTTGAGGAAACGAGCGGCATGTCCGGTCTCGTTGGGAGTTGAACATAAAAAGGCACCGGCATCGAAGAAGAAGCAATTCACCAATCAAGAAGAGCAATACGAGGCGAAAAAGGCGGTCAATGGTGTGCCCGCGGGTGGATATCTCGTGGGAAGACATCCGGAATGTGACCGCAAGATCCACTCGCCTGTCGTCAGCAATCGACATTGTCTGGTCTTTGCCGAGAACAAGAATGGCAGCTCCATTGCAATGCTCGAGGATTTGAGCAACAACGGAACCTATGTCAATGATGCGCTGGTGGGACGGAACAAGAGGAGGGAGTTGGAGGATGGCGATGAGATATCAATCCTGGACGAAGCTCGCTTCATCTTCCGATACCCTCGGATCAGGGATACTAATGGTTTCCGACAGCAGTACAGCATACACGGTCAGCTGGGGAAAGGTCACTTTGCTACCGTTTATCTGGCGCTGGAGAAGAGTACTGGGATGAGATATGCGGTCAAGAAGTTTGAGAAGCGAAGCGGTCCGGGAGAACGAAGCAAGGTTGATGGTCTACAACAAGAGATTGCCGTTTTGATGGGTGTCAGCCATCCGAATATGCTTTGTTTGAAAGACACTTTTGATGAATCCGACGGAGTTTACCTTGTGCTGGAGCTGGCTGCCGAAGGTGAATTGTTCAACTGGATTGTCATGAAGCAGAAGSTCTCAGAGGCCGAGACACGCAAGATCTTTGTGCAGCTGTTTCAAGGCGTCAAGTACTTGGTGGGTGAACGTTGATGCAGACATTCGAGGTACTCTCGCTAACGCACCACAGCACGAACGCAACATTGTACACCGTGACATCAAACCCGAAAACATCCTGCTCACCGACAAGGATCTGAGCATCAAGCTTGCCGACTTTGGTCTGGCGAAGATTATTGGCGAAGAGTCGTTCACGACCACGCTCTGTGGCACACCATCATATGTAGCGCCCGAGATCCTCGAACAAACGAACCGTAGGAGGTACACGCGAGCTGTGGATGTGTGGAGTTTAGGTGTCGTCCTCTACATCTGCCTCTGCGGTTTCCCACCGTTCTCAGACGAGCTCTACTCCGCCGAGAATCCCTACACACTAAGTCAACAGATCAAATTGGGCCGCTTCGACTACCCATCACCTTATTGGGACTCAGTGGGAGACTCGGCGCTTGATTTGATCGACAAGATGTTGACTGTCGATGTTGAAAAACGCATCTCAGTAGACGAATGTCTCGAACATCCTTGGATCACCCAACAACCCATCAGTCTCACCGATAGCACCGATGGACTGACAGGAGCGATTGCAAGTCTCGATTTTTCCCGGCGAAAAGTGCAGCGGGAGAGGACCATGCTCTGCAGTATTAATGAAGTAAAGGTTGAAAGAGTGATTGAAACGCAGCCGGATGCTCCTCCTGTGAAGGTCTGGGATAAGAATAGTGGACCAAGATTTCAAACCCAGAGACCTGCTGGCCAGCAGCAAGCTGCGAGGAATGCAAAGGAGGCCAAGAAGAAGAAGATGGCGAAGGAGGGCGAAGAGGTCAAGCCTGATGGAGAGAGGGATCCAAAGGAATTTATCGAAATGGGTGGAGTGGGGGATGAAGTGCTTTTTGACGAGAATCCTTCGGGGAGTATTTATCCGGGGGATAGTACCGTGGTGCCTGCTGAGGATGATTAAAGGACTGAAGGATGGAATGGAATGGGAAGGGCGGAGAAGGGATGCAGATAGTCGTTGCGAGGCGTCTCAAGAGGAGGCTTGGGTTGGGTTGGGAGAGGCGGCAATTCGATTGCTGGGTGGAATGATGAAATGTATACTATAATGCTTGATATACATTACTTGATGACAACTTGATGATTTGATGTGAATATATTTATGATGAGTGGGATGGACAGATGGGTGCGATGGCATGCTTGCGCACTTTCTCACTTTTGATGGAGATTGCTGACGGCAGAGACTATGATGAATACGAGGGGAGAGAAGCACAGGAGAGTAGATCAAGGTAGGCAGCATTTATATTACCTCCTCCCAWCATCATCATCATCACTCAATCCTCTCATTTAATCTCATCCCACCCTCTATCCTTCCCCCTCTGCCCCCTGGCAACCTTGGACTGCGCAGCCTCATGCCTCGCCAACTCCTGCGGAACTTTACTAATCGCAGACTTGGAAATCATACTCTTCAAATCATACAATACATCCGCATCCCCATTATCCACAAACGTGACGGCGACACCTTGTTTGCCCGCTCTTCCAGTTCTTCCAATACGATGGGTATAGCTCTCGATATTTCCCGCCATGGTAAAGTTGATGACGAGACTGACGTCTGGAACATCGATACCTCTTCCTGCCAAATCCGTGGCGACGAGGATTTCGGCTTGGCCGGCTCGGACTTGTGCGAGAGCTGCTTCTCTCTGTTCTTGAGTTTTGCTTCCGTGCAGGGTGACGGTTGCGAAACCCATCTTGGAAATGTCTCGTGCGAGAGCGTCGCAGGCTCGTTTGACGTTTACGAAGACGATGATTGGTGGGGCGAATTCTCTGGAATGGAGGAGTTCCGCCACGCGTTTCTTCCTCTTGTCTTCTCCGGAGATGAATTCGACGCGTTGCTCCACAGTATCGACGGCCTCGCCGACATTTCCGATGGTGACGGTTGCGGGACGGCGGAGGTATTTTCGTGCAATGCGTTCGACTGCTACTGGCATGGTGGCGGTGTACATCATTGTTTGGCGGTAGCGATGTTGGGACATGGCGACTGCGTCTTCGGCGTCGTCCGTGTCGGGTTTTTCGTTGGACACGGGGAGAGCGTCGAGGATTTTGTTGACAGGTTCTTCGAAGCCCATGTCTATCATGCGGTCGGCTTCGTCCATGATGATGTAGCAACATTGAGAGAGGACCAACACTCTCCGTTCGATGCAGTCTACTAGACGACCGGGGGTTGCGATGATGATTTCGGCACCGTCTCGCATGTTGTAACTCTGCTCCTCGATACTGTGACCTCCTACGAGGGAAACACAGGTAAATCCTAGAGGAGTTGCAAACTTCTTGGCTTCAATTTCGATCTGTTGTGCCAGTTCACGGGTTGGCGCGAGGATGATGGCATAGGGTCCGTCATTTTTGGTCATTTCGTTGAGAGCGGGTAGTTCGGAGATGTAGACCAGGAGAGGGAGCAGGAATGCAGCTGTTTTACCGGAACCAGTGACGGCGACTCCGATGAGATCTCGGGATTGGAGAGCAATGGGGATTGCTGCTCTTTGCACAGCGGATGGCTCCGTATAACCTGCCTCATCCACAATATCGAGTAATCGCTTTGGTAGACCTGACTCCTTCCAACTGCGCATAGGATTGGGGATGGATCCTCCTTTGGTGGCAATGTTGAAATCTTCCTTGAAGATTCGCCAGTCTCTCTCCCGCATGTGCTCCAGCTTCTTCTCGCTCCAGTGTTTGTCGATGCCGGTCCTACCACCTTCCTCCCGTCTTCGCCGCTCCATTTCGAGAATCTCCGCCGCTCGTGCCTTTCCAGCCTCGGGATCTCGTAGCTCAATTGCCTTTGCGTATTGCTGTGCGACGGCTTCGTTCGCATCATCTGCAAATCCCCCCAGTCTGCCTCGGCCGAAAAAGGTACTCTCTGCGCGGGTGTTGTAGAGGGGGTTGTAATCAGGACTCGTATCCTCCTCGGTATTCCACTCGAAATTGAACTTCTTCTCCGTCGTCCGCTTTCGCTTCTTCTTCGCAGAGAAGGTTGAAGTGTTGGTCTCGGCTCCCATATATCGTTGTCGCGTCAATTCYGATGCAACATCCGTCTCGCTCTGGTTCTTCTTCGACTTTACTCCTTCTCCGCCAGTCCTTTGTGGAGGTGGCGGAGGGGGAAGCATTTCGAAACCCTTGTCCGGTAGTTTTGAACGTCCATATGATGATCCTCTAGCTATGCTTCCATTGCGCATGGATTTCGGACCAGCTGGAGGGCCATTGCGTCCATTGGAGGCGGTTTTGACATCTTGCACAGGCTCATCCTGCTTCACGGGAGCTGCCTCTTTTTGGAGCTTCTGTTGAGCGAGCTTCTCCCGTTCCTTCTTAGACATGAACTTGGGTTTCGAAGCCGCTGCATCTTGAGCTTTCTTTTTTGCTAGTAGCTCCTCAACACTCAATGGAGCCTGTCTCGGAGGGGCAAGTTTCCGCTTCTTCAAGTTCTCTCCATGGCCGTTGACGTCGCTCGGCGGAGGTGGAGGGGGAGGGAGGTCAGAGCTGGGCGGTGGAGGTGGTGGGGGTGGAATATCCGCAGGCGGAGGAGGAGGTGGAATGTCCACTGGCGGAGGGGGTGGAGGGATGTCCATGTTGCTGTCTTGTAATGTACTCGCAAGTCGCGACGAGCGCGAAGTTAGACAATCTCGAAGATGACTGTCACGGCCCCACTTTTCCTGGAAGCTAGGTTCCTTTCACTCACTTCACGTCTGATGAACAGCACGTCTGTCTCGTGGTGACCACGGCTCATCATTTTCGGAATCAAAGAGCTGATCTCTGGTAATCTTGTACGATTGGAAGATGCTTTACTTGCTGCATTTTGGCGAGACAACGTGGCGGAAATGTCTCCCAGTCTGGGTTTCCCACAATCATGACCAGGGGCAATCGAACACAGTATTTTTGCTCGGGTCAACGAGATGAAGACGATGTTCGGGCATGGATTGGATGCAGCAAAGTGTTCAATGCTAACTTATTCCGACCCGTGCCTTTGGAAATAGCTTGCCAGGCTCCAGGGCAACCGCGGGCCTCTGCATGGATGATTTGAGGTGGGAGCGAGGTGTTCATTGACATGAGGAGAGAGACTACAGCATTTCCAGGAAACGGCGAGGTCTGGGCTGAGTGGTTCATTGCTTCACCCCTTGGCTTGAGGATCGTCCTCTGAGATCCGGCTTTCCAATGCTGGACCACCTATGGTCCAACGGCTAAGAAGTGAGTGAATCAGCTCCAGTGTTTCTTCTCATCAAAACATCATCTCCGTACAGTCTGTACTGTCCAAGCTACAGCTCGCAATGGTCCCAATTGTCTCGCTTCCAAACACGTCCGTTTGGTGAGAGATATCCCCCCCGCCAACACACATCACCTTCTCACTTCACTGCKCTATTCACATGCTTTGGAAGCTCGCCGATTTGAGCACGTTCCCTCCGCCGGACAGGCGACTCCGTGCTGTTCTTTCTCAGCTTCTGAACATCTACCTCTACCCCAACTTCCACCAACATCGACCACCACCTTTTGTTTCCACCATCACAAACACTACCATCCATTTTGAAAGCGGCACAGTCATCTCCTACATTTGCAGGCTGCCGTCATCATGGCGAACCAGTCGCCGGAAGAGCAGTTCATTCGTGCCTTGGAAAATGCGCGACGCCCGAATGGAGCGGCAATGGACTTCAACCAGGACACGCTGGCTAGCGCACTGAACATACTGGCCAGCGAGATGAATGTCAAACCGACGCACTATCAGCTGGAACTTATCCAAAATGCAGACGATAACAAGTATGCACCCGGTGTCGAGCCGACGCTCACGCTTGCATACAGTGATGCTGGTTATTTGTGGATTGGCTGCAACGAGGTGGGATTTGACAAGGCCAGTGTCAGGGCAATCTGCGATATCGGCGGCAGCACCAAAAAGGCGACTGGTCCCCAAAAGGGATACATTGGGGAAAAGGGCATCGTGAGTAATTGCAGCCGTATCCTTTCGATTCACTGCTAACATTGGCTACTTCATCCAGGGATTCAAGTCGGTATTCAAAGTAGCAGACAAGGTCTGGATCTCCTCCGGTGGCTATCAGTTCAGTCTCGGTAGAGAAGGCTTGGGTATGATCTCGCCTGTGTGGGAGAAGTTCAAGTCCACCAGCATGGTTAACGAGCACACGATGTTCTGTCTACGCATTCCGCGGAAGGAGGATCAGATTCATGTCAAGACCGAGATGCTCTCGCTCAAGCCAGAACTTCTACTCTTTTTACGCAAGCTACGAACCATCAACGTTGTCATTGACGACCGCAAGGAGAAAGTGACCTACAAGTTCTCCCTGCGTCGCGAGGACGACACGGAAGACCTCGACATCGGTTACACAACTACAGAGCTATCCCGCCGTGACATCTCTCCGGCTCAAAGCACCAGCTCGGAGACACTGGTGGTCTTCAGGCACACCACCCAATCCATGCCGGAAGAACCCAAGAGACCAGGGATTAAAGAGACAGAAGTGGTCTTGGCTTTCCCGACCGTCTTCGACAACGCAAGCAGGATGACATTCAACTTTCTGCCAATCCGGGATTTTGGACTCCCGTTTCTGCTCCAAGCAGACTTCATCACGAATGTCAATCGTGAAGACATCAATCATCACAATAAGTGGAACGATGCGCTGCTCGCGGCTGCCGCGGATCAGTTGGTGCAGTGCATTAGAATCTTCAACAGAGCTGAGACCGATCAGATGGGGATTTTCAAGTACAAGTGGCCACAATTTGTCAAGTCCACTTACATCGCGTCAGATACAATCATGGCCAGCTTCATTCCCGACTTGCGCAAACGCCTGCCAAAGGAGCCGATCCTTGAGTCACAGGCAGGGCTTCTCGCAACGCCAGCCTCACTCACTGTACTCTCAGAGCGGTGGACCGATCGAGGCACTCCACCGATGCCAATTTTTGGTGACCAATCCCATCTCGGGCTGTATGTTTCAGAGAAGTACCACCAAGACGAGCTGTCGATCATTGGGATGAAAACACAGTCCCCATCATTCTTTGCTGCTTTGCTCAAGAAGATGAAACCCGAAAAGATGCAGCAAAAGCCCAACGAGTGGCACTGTCGACTTGCGGAAGCTTTACTCGAAGTGCCTCCCGTTACCCCAAAGAGCTTGAGCGAGATTGCGATGATCCCGCTTCGCGACGGCACTTGGGTCGCGATGGACAAGGCCGACAACATGATCTACTTTGCGGATGGCGAGTCCGAAATCGATATCCCGAGCGGCGTCGAAATGCGCATCGTTCATCACAGCGCTGTCCATAAWTACTACAGAAGAGCGTTGATGAAGAAGCTCGGGGTGGAGGAAATCAACTACAAGCAGGTATGCATTCGGATTCTCAAGCGCCACGATGAACTAGATGCGCCGACAGACGATCTGCCAGCACTATCTGTGGATGTCTTGGTCGACCACGCAAGATACCTATCCAGGTACTCAGACTGTCTGTCACCCAAACGTCTCAAGAAGGTGAAGCTCGCCGTTTCTGGCAGCGACCGCGCATTGGTCGGCACCGAGCTCTACATGGATTCCATTGTCCCCAACACCTTTACCATGAGCCAGCACTTTGTGCAGAGCGAAGAATGTCAGTTCATCCACCCTGCATATTTCGAGGATATCCCGGACGAAAAGAAAATGGCATGGTATGACTTCTTGCGAGAAGCGTTTGGAATCTCCACCAAGCCTCAGCTGCTTCAGCACCACCCAGGTCCGGCGTCACAGCACAACATGGGACAGCCCGAGTTTACTATTCACCCACTATTCCAAAAGCTACTGGATCTCCCCAACAGCATGATTTGGTTATCACTCTTGAGAGATGAATGGTCCGATTACAAAACTCAAATCGATTTCCTCCCGAAAAACTGCTTGCAAGGGACACCAGTCACTTGCAAGGACGGCTTGCGATATCCGTTGAACAGTGTTTACTTGGCAACCACCGACGTTATGAAAGAGCCTCTTGCGCCCACTGGCGTAAATTTGTTTGAGCTAACCGACCGAGACAAGTCATGGCGAGAGCTGATCGTCGTGCTCGGCCTGAAGACAAAGGCCGACCTTCAATTCTACTTGGAAATATTGCGCAAGGCAGCGCTTGGCAAAGTCGACGTTGAATTTTCACATATAACCGCCCTCATGCAGAACATCCACCGTTTGACAGACACCAACCAGCACGACTTCACCAGGCAAGTTATTGATTGACGTCTCCGAAAGAATGCTTTACTAACTGCCACAGGAAACATTTCAAACACAACAAACTGGTTGCTGTACCATACGGTGGTTCTCTCTCCTGGCTGAAGCTCGAGGAATGTATGTGGCGGGCACCAGATTGTCTGCCTGGCATCACACCGCTAKCCGACCACTACAACTACGACGGTAGCGRGTCGTTCTTCAGGGATGTTCTCGAGGTTTACGATGTCACACCGGACAACATCGCAGAACAACTCGACTGCAATGATGGAAGGCTTGACGAAGTTGCAAACACCAAGGCGCTTCTTGCGGCACTCAGCGACCAGGTGAAGAGGCCAKGGTTCCAAATGGACTTTGACTTACTCCTCCTTCGACGAATTTCAGTTTTCCCAATATGGCAGTTGTCAGGAAAGCGAGATCTTGTCTCTTCTGACGATGAGACATGGTTCATTGCCGATGACCACAATCATCAGAAGTGCTTCCAAGGCAGAGTTGCGCTGCTGGACTTTCCTATTGCGGAGACAGCTCGCCTGATGCCACTTCTCAAACTCCTCGGTGCTGAACGGAGGACTCTTTCAGGCAGCGTGACGGAAGATATGGTCTTCCAAGGCACGAGCAAGTATCTATCTGAGCTCAGTGTGGAGCTTCGGTCGAAGGCAAAGTATATTGCGTTGTACGTCTCTTTCTTCTAACGTTCACCTCTGTATCTTTGGCTAACTGCTCTAGGCTTGTACCCACACATAACAGCATCGCAGTTGAAATACAGCTGAATACGATCGAGGTCTACGCGTCCAAGGGAATGCAGCTGAGACGATTTGTCCGGATCGGGGACAAGAAAGTCTACGGCGCCAACGAATCTGGAAAAGCCATGTTGCAAAAACTTGATACTGGCATGCGGCTACACTGTCGTGCCAGAGCCATCAAGAAGGATCGTGCTCCGTGGCATTTTATCCTCGAGACCATGTCGAAAGTATTGCGCATCCCAGAAGAGCAACGCGAGACTTTGCTCGTCATACTCGTCACCCCAGCTGGTCCGCTCATCGAAGAGATCTTGAGCAAGAAGGGTCTATGGGATGGGGCAGTCACTGATGTTGACGATGTTGAGGAAGAAGACGACGAGCCGGAGGATATTCCCAAGCAGCAGGAGCGTTCCACTGAGCGGGCTGAGAATGCCAGGCCCGTCACGGTTGAGGACGATGAGTCAGTTGACGATGATATTTTATTCGTCGCGGAGCATCGAAAGTCCGACGCAAGTGACGAGAACTCCGATAATGGTGCGTCCAGCCCCAACGGAACGCCTTGGGGAACTCCAGAGGCCCCTCAGACCACCCGTACCACCCCACGGTCGTCTGGATCGCGCCGTAATCTTCCAAGGGTCTTCATCAAGAAAGGTCCAAGTTTGGCAGAGGCACGGGCCGCAAAGAAGGCGCAACGAGAGCAGATGGCTGTTGATGCGCTCGTTAATGCTGCGGGCAGCTACGACATGGAGGACGTTGAAGTTCATGGGCCGCCTCGCACCGCGACAAACCCACCTGAACATTTGGCAGGCCTGGTATTCGAGCCAATACAGGCTCTATCCGACCATCCCGATCAGAATGACAGGACTCGCTACCACGGCGAACTTTTTGTTCGTGAGCTTCTCTCCTCTTACATCGAAGCCTCGGACGATGCCTGGACTTCGCCGATGCGCACCCGCCAGAAGCTGGGAAAACTTGAAATTGAGGAGCTGGACGAGAGCTCCACCTTCACAATCATCGGATCCGAGCTGTGTGACCGCATCACAGAATGGCTTGAAGAGAGAGGCTACGATGCCCGGGACATGCAGGATCAACCTCCGGAAACGTATCACATCTACGTCAAGGCGACTGAAGGAGACTTGGAAGATCCCTTCTCGTTATCCAACAGGGAGTTTGAGCTTGTATGTTTCCCTTTCCCCCTCGCATTATCATCTTGCTGCAAGCTAACATTTTTCTCACAGGCCAAGGACTGGAGCGCGAGCGGTACCGACAAAGTTCTCCTATTCCGTGTCTTCGAGCTGCACAAAGACCCGAAGTTCGTTATCCTGGTCGACCCAACGGAACTGATGCAGAGCGGAAAAGTGACCATGACGGCGATCGATGGGTTCTCTGTGAGCATCACTTGAGTGAACGAACCCTGAGATAGATTATCTTGGGGATTGGAGGTATGGAAGGAAGGTGCGGACATCTCTTTTGGTTTTTTTTTTGATCGCCCGTTTGCGGGTTTCCACGACTCGCCTTCTTGGCAGAGGGAGGAGAGGAAAGAAAGCGATTCATCATGCGGCTCTACCTACCTACAGCTTCACGACGAGCTCCATCTCGCGGGTGAAAGTGGACATGATCACCATGGCCCCTTCACCTAGAGTAAATAAGTAGCCGACCGAATAGCAGGTAGGTAGGCTTTTCCAACTCAATCTCTTTTCATGTATAAGTATAACAAGAATTACCAAAGCCACATCTTGACCGTCTCACTCCCAACAAATTTCGAGACTGAATATATAACTCCCCGAAATTCTGGGAGACAAGCTTATCGTGATTAGCAACTTCTACAAACTATCCAAAACATACCAGGATCCTTTTCACATCCTGAACAACTATTCTAGATTTCGCTACTTAGTCGGCGACCTGACTAGAAAGTCTGCTATTCTCCCGAATTGAGGAATGTTTAAGATCCCTCTCTTTATTCGTTAAATTCCACTTTCTTAAGCAGAGCAAGGTCTAGGAACTCCTATAGCAAAGTAAAGGGCTAGATTAAAGGTTTAGTAGAGTATTGTATATAATCGTATCTTATATCCATCCTACTACTACGAAATTTTGAAGATGAAGGTGACTATTAAGGTAGATTATACTATAATAGCGATTTCTACGGAAAACTCTCCTCGACAGCGTGATATTGAGAGGGTGATTAATATTAGATCGGACCGGATAGATCGAGCGAGTGAGGATGCATTGTGTTGATTTGGTTGTTGAGGTTGATGATGATAGGGAAGATTCGTGCTGAGTCTATTAATTCACGCGAGGTGGAAATAAGGGGAGCTTATCTGTGCGGGTGAAGTTTGTAGATTTTTTTTTTCTTCATTGGTATAAGTAAGTGCCTGGGAGGATATTTTCCATGATCATTTCCTCTGATTTGATCTTCGGGAATCAAGTTCTCTGCCTGTCGTACATACATCGCTAGCTAAGTAAGTAAGCCTTCATCTCAAGCGGCTTCAACATCGAGGAAGTATTTGCATGAGTCTTGATAATCACGGCCTCATGACATCTGTGCTATACTGAGTGAGCATAGTAGCGTTTGTCTATACGAATCTCACGTGTCAGCCACCAAAGTCCCATCATACTCGTCAAGAGGGTAAACTCACGCCCAAGAATGATTGCACTCGATCCAAATCCGGAGTGAATTCGGCATCCTGGTCCGAGGGATCCATGCCTCCATTCACGGATGAATCATCCACCCAACCATGCTTGATCCTCAAACCCCAAAAAGTGCTCACCAACCGGTTGATGACTTCCGGGGCGAGTTGATTTCTCYTCAGGGCGTGGACGAAGCTGTGCGGGGACCAATTCCTCTCGAGCGTATCTCCTGTTGGGGAGATTGCAAGGGCAATGATGCAGAGTTCGGTCAAGTCGGGCTGTTCTTCGATCCAGAAGTTTTGCCACCATTGAATGGCTGTCATTTGGTCGGCGGCCATCCAGATCATGTTGTTCATGAATGGTCCTTGTTTGACTCGCAAGAGGGAGATCATTCCGAGAAGGGAAGCTGCTTTGGCGGCGTGGCCGTCGCAGTACTTGAGGAGGAAGGCTTGAAGGGAGCGGGATTGCGTCTCTTCATTGCTGTCGAGGATTGCGGGTCGACGGTGTTGTTCTTGAGGGTCCGCGAAGTAGGCGATGAGCATGAGAGGTGCATCGAGCAAAGCGTGAGTGAGTTGATGGCGAGTTGGCGGCTTGAATGCTGGACGGAGGGTTCGCACAAAAGCTCGAAACGCGGGATGTTCTGTGATGTTGGGGTTCAATCCGGAAGCGTTGATCCATTGTGCACAAGCAGCCGTGGCCATGTCCTGTATATGGACTGATTAGTGGTGATCAATATCATCATATTGTGCAAGAAGATACCGACCTGTTCACCAGCCGACATGGAGCCAATGCCCCTGGTACGAGCTCGCTGTTGCTGTTGAAGTTCGGCGGCGGAAGGAAGGGTGGGATCGAGACGGTGAGGCTGATAGGTCCGCCATAATGTCTCCGGCAGCTCACTACACCGCTGGAGATGCTCAATCACGCGTGCCTTTTCATTCGAAGTCCACTCGGTCATGCAATGTTTGCACGTCACACGCGGATGCCGTTTGCCGGAATCTTCATCGAGATTGCGGTTGACTGTGTCATGATCAGAGTGGTGATGGAGGATGAAGATGAGGATGATGGTGGTGATGATGGTGATGATGGTGGTGAGGATCAAGATGATGAAGAGGATGAAGATGATGAAGGTAATGTCAAAGGGCAGCAAGTGACGTGTACACACCCTCGTGCCAACACTCGTCACGTCCGCGAGGCATTGATTCAGTCCCTGGTCGATGGATGAGATTCCACTTTACGGTGGCTTAGTCCACGGCGGCTTCGTTGGGGCGATGTCGTGTAGGCGAGTGTACGCGTGTGGTTTTGTTGTGGAATGCACGATGCAGATACTCCCGTCCGCCCGTCCCGCTATTCTAGTCTAGGTGCTTGGCGGGAAGGTCAAGGTAGGGCTGACCGGCAGACATCCGAAATATCTCCATGGAAGGGAAGGTGTCAGCGAGGTCATATCATTCATCCATCCATGCATGCATCATCATCCTTCCCGTGCTCGCTGTGGCTTGCCGTAACCCCCCCTGATTCGTACGCTAATCTCCATGTCGCGGTCAACTGCACTGTATTGCAGTCTCGCGGTGAACTGCCATGCTCCTCGCGGTAACCTGCCTTCACATCGGTACGCCCGCCGTGAGAGGACTGCGCTTCTCGCGGTAGCCTACCGTTTTGCGATGACCTCTCGATCGCTCGCTCGCGGTGAGCTGCCGTGCATCTCGCGGTGACTTTGCTTCCTGCCGCTCAGTCTCGCGGTGAGCTTCCTTTGACCCTTGCATTCTCGCTGTGAGCTGCCATCTTGCTCCTCTCTGCAGTGTATCTCGCGTTGGACTGCCCCAGCCCTCGCGGTAGCCTACCTTGGGAGCTTCCCCCGGGCTCTAGCATTCTCGCGGTGAGCTGACATCTTGTTACTCTCTACCCTGACCTCGCGGTAAACTGCCATGAGTCTCGCGGTCACTTGCCTCTTGAAAGCCTCGGTGACTTCCCCTGATTACTACAGGTCTCGCGGTGAGCTGTTGCGCGTCTTATCCTACATCTTCGCAATCTCTTCCGGTCGCTGCAGCGAGAGAAGCACTCTTACTCATTCCTAACGAAGAGGGCGCAGTCAATAAACGTTCATCACATCCTCGTTCCTGCTCGTCCCATCTCGTACATGCAAAGCGATCTATACTCCCGCAAGTGTGCATCTTTTCGCCGTTCGTACGCCACATTTCAAGAGACCCCGTTGTAATTTAACACTCAAACGATACCTGGATACGATATATACGCGGTCAAGTAGAGGAACCATGTATCTTCTACCTTCTCCCCATCATTCAGAATGCTGCTCTTGGCTTCTTCCGCTGTTTTGTGGACCGAGTAGCCTGCGCCTTCTTCCCGGGATCCGCTAGACAAGTCTCTCCGCGACGGTCAAACTGTTAAACAACTAGAATACCCTTTGGTGGACTAAAGGAGATGATCCTGCTCCTGCCTTTCCTGCCGTCGATAGTGGAGCTCCAATCTCTTTCACGCCGAACCTCGCATCAACTGTTCGCACCCTAGATGGGAATTACTCCATCGATGGTCCCGTCTGGCAGATCTTGAACTTGGAGGGTTTGCACTTGGAGGCGGACTGTCATTCTACAAGTCAGTACTTAGCATCTGTAAATGCTCATCGGAGACTTGGCCGTGAAAATTTCGCCATCTTCAAAGTCGTCCTCGCCGACGCATCCATTACTCACGCCAGCAGGACTTTCCGATCAAAACTATACCTTTTCCCTCAAAGCCGGCGGCAATAACATCCGCCAATGTGAGGAGATGATGCATGCAAGCTCATCCAGTGAGTGGGTATTGATGGAAGAAAGATCTTGCGTGGGATTCGAGTATCTCCTCGTACACTTCCTACATGCCATTGTACGAAGATTCGCATGGCTGGAGAATTGAGTTCTGTGTCTTCGACTAAACTTGGCTGGAGTTCTGAGGGAGGGAGGGTAGGCTGGAAATGGGATATACTGGGGTGAATGGCCTTGAACGTTTGTTTGGGTTTGTTGTTGCTTTGAGCCTGGTCTGGGGCAATGAAGCTCTTTTCGAGATGGTTTGCAACCCTTGATGAAATCTACTGAACGAATTACTGAAGATCGAAGAATCGTGTGATTCTAGAAAGGAGCGAGCAACAGAACTAGTCGATCGGACATCTGTTAAAGTTTTTTTGAACATTCACTTGAACTCACTTGAATTTGTAATCAGGCTAAGGATGGAATTCTTTCGTTTAGATAGTTGAGTAATTTACGCATCATTTCAACATCCATTCCTGTAGTGGATTTTTCAAAGGTCGGCATTAGTTAGAGCATGGAAAGTCCCGTATTCTTACCGTGGTTTCTGGACGAATTGAGAAGTGGGTGTAGTCGCAAACAAAAAGAATGTCCCTAAAAAAACATCTCATCCCTCCCCCCTTTCCATCGTCAACGTTCAAAAAGGRCCTACTGACAGCAACACACCATCGAAAGCAATCAAGTCTCTTCCATTGCAGTGCCTTCAAGATGGTATCTGCCGTCGACAAAGTGTTTCGTATTCCTGAACTTCTCGAGATGATCCTTCTCGACTCATCCGTCACGTACCTTGATCTGTTCGTCTTGCAACGTATCGATACAACCTTCAACAAAGCCATCCAAACCTCCACGAAACTGCAGAGAAAACTACTGTRTGCACCCCAGCTAACCAGCCAATATCTGCCCATAAAGGACTCTCCAGCGCTACAATTCTTTCCTTTTACCATGCTGCTCTCACCAAGCTACCCCCAACAGCCCGAGAATACGCTTTCTCTGCGCCTCTGGAACGGTAACGATCAATATAAGGTAGGTTGGAGGGGTGCATCCCGTKTCGTCTATGATGATGGATCTTGGAGGAAAATATTGCTCGGGCTGAGGGTAAGAGTTTATGTTTGGACACACCGTTCGTGGATCGCAATAATATATCACGCGGCTGAATCCGATGACCATTCTGGTGAGACACTGGGAGGTCTGTTTGACTTTTTGACTGAATTGAAAACAAATGGGCGGGTGGAGCACAGGAGGGATATGACGGGTTTGCGGACCGATGTCAGACGACCCATCATTTGGAGATCACCAGCGTACTATGAGCTTTGGAGGTGATGCATGATGCGAGGTAGATGAGCTATGAAAGTACAAGTCCCGGTAAAATTGAAAGTTGTCGCCCTATGTAGCATATAGACGTGTCTGTCGTACATCACGCGGCAAATACAACACGATCAAGAAGAAAATCGTCTGCCGAGCTCATATTATCCGCGAGGCTGCTTCCCTGTGTGCTTGTAGAAAACTGTTCGCGAGCCTTGTCGTCTATCTACTGTAAAGATACAGACGAGCATCAGTTTTCTCATTCCTTGCTGATGCCATCTCTCGTTGGTTGTAGTTGGACTTCGAACGCGAACCATAGTAGCGAAGATAGAACAGGAGTCTTCTTAGAGCGAGAAGCGGTCTACTAATACACGACCATTAAGGGCAACACACGCCCTTCACGAGTCTGATTAGACTAGAAGTAACTCCTCACGACTCCAAGGGTATCACGTCAGCATAAGGCAAGCAATCACGACTCTTTCTTGACAAACAGACGGCCAACAATTGTGGATGTCTCAGCAACCTATTGTTCCTCTTACTCTATATATCAGCTAACCTTTCCCCTCCCATCTGTTCACAATCACTTCCACCACAGGCAGCTTCCATTCCGTAGAACAAAAACATGATTGTACCAATGACAGCCGTCCGTCCAGCAAAACAGCACCAAATCCCCAGCCCTCTTCGTCCTCGCAGTCACAAAGCTGCTCGAAAGAAATAATCCCCAAAAACGTACCATCTCCCATCGACCTCTTCGTCCTCCAAAAGAGTCAACATAGACTTCCCACTCCACCATCATCATCATCGGCTCACCAATTTTATTCTATACCGCAAAATCTTACGCTCCAGAAGAAGTCCCAACCGACGAGAAGAAGAACTCCATCGAGTTCCTCCTCTACCTCAAGAAACATCCAACTCCAACCCCCTTTTTACCGTTATGCATCTATCTACCCTTATTATCTCCCTCTCAAACCGAAAAAAAATAAAAAAAATCCGCAGTGGAAAGAAAAATTTCACGCTGTTTTTTCCTTCCGAAAACACTTCTGTACACCACCCAGAAGAACGACAACAAAGATCTAGACTGGCAGGGGAAAGAAATCCGGGATGTGTCTGATCCGCGAGGAAGGAAGCTGGGAGCAGATTGTGTGTGTGGGGGGGGGGGGTTTGAAGTATTTGGAGCCATCGTCGTCCTTTACATGATGACTATGATCCTGGTATGAGGATGATGATCAAAATGGATGGTACTTTTGGGGGATTGTGTGAGGTTTTTCTACAGGAGGAGCGAGATAAGAGGGATATGGCGGAGATTATTGCTGCTGCTACTGCTGAGAAGAGGTTGTTATGGGAGGTTTTTGCGGATATTTTGGATTCTGGAGGTGAGAGGGTAGATTAGATTGCTGCTGAGAATTTGAATGTGGTGGTTTTTGAGATGTTTGGTCGATTGGTTGTATGCGAGTGGTTTATTAGCGAGTGCCTGGTGGTATTTTTTTGAACTTTTGTAATATGTTAAGTGAATAGGGATGAAGTTTTGTAACGGCAGATTTGGAAATATAGATGATAGGGAAAGTCTCTCGATACTGTCTAGGAAAATAGCGGGGGAGATAAAGAAGATTTTATCACACTTAATCATATGCGGTACGGTACATGTTTGCTTATATCTACCCCATCGCTTCGTACTCACAAGCCAATGATGCTAGCGCGATCCAGGGGCTGAGGAGGAGATAGATAGCTCAGGGGTGACTTCGAATCATGCAAGTCACGATCGATTTTAAGTGAAAACAGTAAACCATGCTATAGCTCTCTCGATAACATGACTACAAGACATTGAACCTGGGTTAGGAATCTCATCGAAGGTGGAAATTTCGCCCGCTTCGTTCTATGGCACTTTCCGACCCCTCTCCACAGGAAATTAAAAAAATCGATGGCAATACCTCCTATAGTTCTCTCTACAAAATCTTGCAATAACGGAATTGTCGAGAGCGCGCGTCCGAATTAATATTAGCATACTATGGAGGGTTCTGGTTCGGTGAATTTATTCTCATGTCCATAGCTGTGCCTGGTTAACGAGCTCTTCTCTATAACCGCAAACTTCAGGCAGGTGTTATAAGAAATCATCAAAAATTAGAATGTGTGACAAATCGTCCTTTTCATTCCCCGACGCGCCAACAGATCGCTCAGGCCTATACTTTAATTCAGGATGCCTTCCTGAATAAAGAAAATTCCCCGTTGGAGGGAGGGAGTCGCAAGGACCATGCCGTAGAATGTGATATTGACTTGCTGCATAACGAAGGGCTCGATTTGGGGGATTTGAAGGAGGAGGACTTTGTGGGTTGGCGTTTTGACGTCTTCTGGGTTATCGATAGTAGATGGCATTGATTCGTCTTTGCTGGGTTGAAGAGACTCTGCCCATGACTGACAGAGGAATTGTTTGGAAGGGTGTTGATTCTGCTGATATGCGAGAAGATCTGTGGTGGAATGAATGAATGGGGCGTAATGCTCCCAAATGTTTACGTGATGAGGAAGGAAGCTCGTAAGTTTGACTCGACTTCAACAAGCGTCTTACTGCCCCTATTCAGCTGCTCCTTGCGCGTTGTACCTGTGCTATAGATAGTGGTTAGGTAGGTATGGTTCAACAATATAAAAGTCTGAGAAGGAGCTATGTCATGACCTTCTCGATCAGGACCATCGAAATTCGACGGGTTCCCACCTCAATTGCTTTCCTCGATTCTGTGATCAGCATCGTTCCAGCAGTCCCACAAACCTCCTTCCAATTACCAGAACGTAACAGCCCAACGCCCCTTCTCCTTCAAGGAGTCCTTCCATGCCTCTCTCAACTTTTTCACCAGCTCCCCCCATCGTCAAACCCGGTTCCGTCTGGAGGTTCCAGGTCCAATTACGAACACCAACCTGTAAAATACCGGACTCCGCAGCTCCTAAAACAATGCTCTCCCATGGGCCCTGCAAGTGTACTCTGGACCTACCCTGCCAACCGATGGCATCATCCGTCCAAATTGGTCCGTCTCCCTCGATGAAAATTAGAACGTAATCCAGCAAAGACGAGTCTACTTCAATCTCCCGGTCATCTGGTCCCACGGGACAGACGCTTGAGACGAATGGGCCAATTGCGAGCTGATGTAGTTGTTTCTGGAAATTCCTGATCCGGGAGTCCCGTAGAGCTGAAAGATCGAGTTCCCCCAAGTCGTTCTGGAAGTTCTTGAGGTCTATCACAGTTAATAGATCTACAGTAGTACATTCTTTGAGTTGGGCCGAATAAATTTTTCTCTGCAGAGATGGAGTGTTGCGGATCGCTATGGCAAATCTGGAGCTAACTCGCTGTATGATGAAGAGGTCGATTTGTGGGAGGAAGAGGAGGATTCGTTCTAGAAGCTCGTTGATGTGGAGGACTCTCTGCTGGGGTGTTGGTGGTCTGTCTTTTGGGGGTTTTCCATGGAGAAGTGGTGAGGAGAGCTTGCTATGATTTCACTTCTTGAGGGCTGGAAGAAGAGGGCCTACTTTTATAGTCGATTGAAAGTTTGCGAACGCACTGCGTCTTTCAATACTGTTACGCACACCATGATTCTGGATCGTTCGGGAAGCTGGCACATTTCTATTAGTTACATGAAATCGATGAGGAATTGCGAGCAGTTTCTAGCATTCTGGCTCTGTTTTTGGCTGTTAGTAAAGCCTACATTTGTCCAATCCAGAAAATCTCCTCGAACACAGAATGGCAGAGAAGTGAAAAGATGTACGCCGTAGAATAGGAGAGGAGAGATCTTTAGGGGGTGATATCGCTAGACGGTGAAGTAATCTAGAGAGCTCTTGAATTGTACCAAGAGCATGACCCGCTTGGAAATGCTGAGGCGTTTGTGGGAAATGTATAGTGGTAGGAAGAGGCTGAGATATTGGGGGATTCGGTGATGGGGAAGCCGGAAAGATTAGGTACCCCGTCACTTTTGTGGTGTTCTGTACGAAGGGATGGATGAGAGCTTCGGGGTGTTGTGACTTCTTTGCCGATGGTTGACGACTGTGAAAGAGGGAGATGGGGTCTGTTACTGTCGTTAAAAACTTCTGTGTAGGACGGCACCTTGAGACCTTTCCTGAACAACCTGCCTCGTAGCAGAAAGCCACACCTTAACAGCTCCGTCCAAACTAAACCCCAGCAATACGCTCCCCCCACAAAGAAACCCACTCCTCAGTCCTCGGATTCCTCCTGGGTCTATACACCGTCCCAGCCCTACGATGTCGAATAAACTGCAAATCATAAGCGAAATCCTGCCTATAAAGCCACAAATTCCGATCAAAACCCCCCGCCAGTCTACGAATCTCCTCGATATTCTGCCGAATTTCCTTGCATGTATCTTTCTCCACCACACATTGATCTTGCAAATCTTCGCGGAAACTGTCGAAGAGGTGCATCCATGTCGCCGTGTCGCTGTGGTATGATACTTGCAGGTTGATGTTGAGGAGGAATAATGCCCAGGGGTAGAAGGAGTCTTTGAGGGATAGTTTAAAGGGGATGTTGTCTTGGATGAGAGTTTTGACGTTGGGGATTAGGATGTTGATTTGGAGTTTCGCTTTGTTGAGGTGGAGGTTTGTGAGGAATTTGGGGTCGACTTGGCGGTGGAAATAGGTCATGATGGATTGGAAGTCCATGTTGATGGCTGTGAATTCCAATGCTGTGGTGAGTTTCTTGGCTATGGCTTCGTAGTCGTTGTGGATGCTTCGGCAGGTGGCAGTTATGGGTGAGGTTGTGGTTTTGTAGATTGGGTATGTGACTTCTTCGGTGTGGATTGTTTGGATGCGSCGGGTTGGATATTCCAGTGCGATGAATTCATAGATGCGATCTCGCAGCTCCTGTGGGAGGGTCATGAAGGTTGTCATTTTGAAGGCCTCTTGGTGTGGGTGTTTTGGAACTGCTTGAATTGTTAGCATTTGAAGCTTTATGGGCTTAGACTGAACAGTCCTTACATGATAGAAAATGTTGGGGTGAGATAAACTGGGGGAAGAAGTTGAAGGTGGATGTGGATGTGCAACAAACGACGGATGACCTCACTGAATGAAATGGCATGAACAATTCAAGCTACTTTACTTGRAGGATCGAGACTTGAAAGGCTATTTAAATGCTCATTGAATGCTTGCCCCGCCACGGCACAAAAGCTTTCCTCAACAGCAAGATCTACACCATCTCTCCATTCGGAGTTCACGTACCTGAACACAACGAGGACATCCGCTGACTTAAGCGCAGCGACCGATTTGCTGGGGTAAAATGCATTTCAACGAGTTGAGATTTTTGATGGGCACAATTGGATGTCAAACACTCCGCACACCCTTTGTGGAGGCTACAGCCATATTCTGTGATATCTCAATCTATGAAGCTAACCCTCAAATCATGCGGACGAAGAATCCAGCTCTCTCTTCCTAATATCGACGTCAAAGCAAGGACCACGTGATCGATTTACCCACGCAAGAATATCCATTCATTATTCCACCGCCGAAATACCTCTCACTGACATCTTGCCAAGAAGGATGCGAAGTTCTCATTGGCATAGTCACCATTGTTACCAAAAATGGTAGTCTCCGCATCATCTTTGCAATCTGGGTCTGAGAAGGTGACGACTTTGCACTTTGTAGCATCACCTTGATGCCCCGTAAGCGTCACACATGCTCCCTCCCCAACAGTCTTGCATGCGCTGTCGCCTAGATGGATCATTCTTGTCAGTTTTCTTACTGGGAAGGTCAAATGGGTCTCCATTTCGTTACTCACCTTTCTTGCCTCTTTGAACTGTTCCGAGGTTTCCTCCCGTACATCCCTTCACTCCGTTGCCGGGATTCTGTCCCTGGTATGCTGCGTAGAAGACACTGTTGCCGGAGGCGGCTACGGCAGCGTTGGCGAGGCCGGCGATGCCGATGGCGAGGAAAGCGTGGATTGAGATATGCATGTTGGGGGATTTGTTCGAAAGGGATGGGTGGGGTTGAATTGGCTGATGGAGTGATTGAATGGGCTGATTGACGAGGTTGAACAGAGGAGGACGAGCTGGTGATATTAATACTGCCAGGACCGTGGACCTCGTTCAGCCCATTGTCCTGACTGTACCGCCACTGACATGCTATCACTCACGCTTGTAGATGGAAGAGGATCTCGTTCGCGGTGCGTGGTGATTGCCATTGGCCCTGAAAGGCAGTTTCCGTGAAGGATCAATTCCAGAAGTAAGTTTCCGTACAATCAGGAGGATTTGAGCAATGTAACCTCAGCATGATACTTGCTAAGCAGACTGCAGCAGCGTCAATTTAGTTGCTGAGTGGTACACAGAGAGCTCCACAATTGTCGCGGTCATCTGTATACAGACTTTGCATACACGCGGATACTAAGCATTGCTTTCTTGCCAGCTCGCGATGTGGCTACAAAGACGATGGGCTGTTTCGTACTCCATCCGTGAGATATGATGGCATTCTTCATTCATCTCGAAGCCGGTTAATGGCATATGATCCTTCCCGGGAGTGGACACTCCAGAGACACTCACAACCTGCTTCTTTGGCGGCAGGTGAATGTTGGCGAATTTGTCATGAACATCTCATCGCCGATATCTGCCTCACATAGCGGTCGCTTGTCCCAGTTTTGGTCGTGGAAAGGCGGATTGTAGGATTCCAGGCGAAACCCAAAAGACACGACGTCTGCGAGTTTTGTGGGGCGTGTTATTAGCGCCTCGTCTGATTGGCCGGCCGGGACTTCCTCTATATACACGCTAGTCGTAAATGCCATCATTTCACATCCTTCGCGTCCTCGACATCCTTCACATCTTTTACTCTCTCACTCGATCTTACCTGTGACAGAATGGCGCAAATCCTGCTCATGAGCCGCTCCTATGGCGGAGTATATTGCCGGCTACCAGCGGGGAAATGCTCGCAAAACTTGCTCGTCATGCATGCCCGGTTGCATCAGTGGGAAGAATGTTAACATGGCCAGGCTGTTGATTTCGCATACAATATTGCATCGCATGCGGTTGGCTTTACACTCCATGCGAATCCTCTCGGACTGCACCATGGCCAACTTTTGGAAAGGATCGAGGTGAGGAACCTTGACCGGTCAGACGCACTGGAGCGGTACAGTGATGCAAAGGATTGCAAGAGGATCTTACAAGTCAAATCAGCGGGGTAAAAGGCTGGCAGCATCGATAGAAGCACTTTGGTCGAAAGCTTGTTGGGGCTTATGCTGTCTTCTGCCAGCCACGTGCAACATCTCGTGGAGATGGGGGATAGGGCCATTAGGTGGAATCGACCAATTCAACACCCGTGATAATGGCTCAATCTTCTCTGGGAAGGGAATGCAAGTTCAGTATCTCTGTGGATCCCGAGCTAGCCTCTACACGGTCGTCACAGCCTCTGCTAATCTGTTGCRGCGCTCTACCATCACCTGTTGGACAATATCTCGCATCTCTATCAGAGCTGTTGGTCTGAGAAATCAGCAACAAAGGCAGTACCATCGATGGTTCTCTCCATTAATTGACGGGCCAACCCGTTAGTAGCGGATATTCAAGCAGCTTCAAGATCGTCTGCTCTGCAGAGAGCGAGGCTTTGAGGTGATGTGAAGATGACTGAGGAGTTGGAGTGTTTCTTCAAAGAACACTGTGCTTTGCTTTGCGACATTCGTTCTTCATTTCCCTTTCCTGTCGCCTTGGATTGATGTAGTTGGATAAGAACCCAAGTCGAATGACGGGCTATTTTTGGTGCTGGTTTTGCCGTTCAGGCTGTTGTRTTGTGTGTTGTATGTTGTTGTTGTGTGTTGTTTTTGTAGGCGTAGGGAAGGAAAGCGATGTTCTTGCTACCAGGCAAGGCTAGGGCATCTACATGCACAATGTTCTTGAGAACATAAAGTCGTTGACAACGAGATGAATATAGGGAATTCCTTGAATGCAATCTCATCAAATGCTGAATCAATCAATTGTGAGCGTGCTACATCTCATCTTGGGAAAAGTGACTGCATCACAATGGAAGTTTAGCTTGACTCGGCCCGGCCCGTCCTCGGCTCGTCCCATCAATCCCAGAGCTTTCTTTCCCGATCGCTTCACCTGACGGAGCTTCATTCAACTTCTCCTCCAATTCCAATCCCGGGCATCCTCCCATACCAGAGACAAGACACCACAACCATGTCCCTCCTCACCCGCTGCCTGACATCCCTCCGTCCACAACTCCCCCTCCCCACCAAAACCCTCTCCCAAAGGTTCGCCTCCTCCCTCTCCCCCCAGAAAATCCCACCTCAACTAACACTCCTCCTCCGCAGAACATTCTCCGCCCTAACCACCACCTCCCCCCTCCGCCCCTCAATTCTACGACCCATTCTCCCCAACTCAGACCTCTCATCATCCTCATCATCACCATCACAACAACAACTAGGATCCGGAAGTCTGATACAACTCCGCGGCGCCAAACGCGATACTTTCAACCCTTCACATGTCGTGCGCAAGAGACGGCATGGTTTTCTTTCAAGGTTGAGGACGAGGACGGGGAGGATGATTTTGAAGAGACGGAGGGCTAAGGGGAGGAATACGTTGAGTCATTGAGAGGGGGTGTATAATTATAATTATACTTATTTGGGAAGGGAGGCAATGGAAGATGGATGATGTAAGAATGGAAGGACCAGCTGGGGGAATATACCATACCATACCCCGCCCTCGCAGCAGCAGCAACAGCAGGACGATGATGAAGATGAGCAGTACAAGGAAGGAATATAAATCTTCCTCTCGTCCCATCCCCCCTCTCATTCCCCATCCCTCAATCCATTCTCCGCATTCTTATAAGAAATGCATGGAAATATACATATCCCTCCTCAGTATACGTCGTCACCCCTTCGCGAAACTTTGTTTTCGTGTTCAATGGGTAACTCGTTTGTCATTGGAGGCAGATTGAAAATCACCCCATTTCTTCCCAGCATATACGATTTGTTTATATGCAAATTCGGGGCTGGGAGGTGGGGACATTATATACATATATATCTATATATCTGATGCGAATCAATATCAAAGAAGACAGCCCGCAATTCAAATCTCCTTGAATAGTAAGTAGTTTAAATCACCTCCCCCAGAGCACATCGATACACCGGGACGTGCTCTTCATACTGCCTGCCCCTAGCAATAAGCCCGGCACTGCCCCAGAGGAACGAACTCAAGAGGCCGTCAAGCAGTAACTTAATCCACCAGACACACGCCTATGACCAGGTTCCACCGGCGAGAGAGTGAATTGACGCTACAAAGGTGAGTGATTAAGTTCTGGCCTGGAGCTGCCACTCACTGTGTCTAGAGACCGCCACTATGATGTTACCTACTTTCAGACATGGATGCAGATATAGCTAGCGGCTTGATTTTTGTGGCTTTTCTCTTGTTGTGTTGAATTTTGATGAATACTGWACTCACTCACTCACCTGTGAATCTAGCTAGATGGTTGGGAGATTTCTCTGGCTTTGCTTTGATCTACTTCCGAGCAAGCCTTCGAGAGGCGTTTTTAGCCATTTCAAGTTTGATTTGCAACGAGATTCGTATGCTGACTTCCTCGATTTACCTTAGGACGGTGTCTTTTAGATTCTACCAATAGTTGCGAGCCATAGAGGCTGGGAACGACTCGACTTGAACTGCTCTAAAAGCAGAATATAGCTTCTTCTGTTCATCTGTTCACTTTTTAATTTCCAACCCAACAGATCGTTCTACAACACCGATCGAAGTCGCACAGGCACAATATCCTCCTCAACACCACCCTCCCACCTGCTCTTCATCACCCTCCCCTCCTTCATAACCACCATGATATTCCTCTCCGCATCATCAAACACCGTGACATCATCCAATGGATTCGCAGTCGTCACCAGAATATCCGCCTCAAAACCAGGCTGAATTTGCCCCAGCGACTTCTCCCGTCCGACCATACGTGCAGGATTGATGGTAGCGCTCTGTAAAATCTGCAACGGCGTCAGAACCTGTGCGCGAAGAGCAAATTCTCCCGCTTGTGCCTGACCCAAGGGTCCCAAAAGGTCGGATCCGTAACAAATGGTCACATTATTATCGGATGCAATTTTCAGCGCTTGCAAGCCCGATTCCAAGACCTGTGCGTTCTTAACCGCGAGATCCTGGGTTAGAAAGCCGGCCCACTTCTTCGAGGCCATTTCGGAGTAAGTGACGAGGGTAGGGGTGAGATAGCAGCCTAGCTCAGCCATGAGTTTGGCCGTGGGCACATCGAGGAAATTGCCGTGTTCGATGCCTCGGGCTCCATTATCGATGCAATGTCGAATGGCCTTGGACGTGTATGCATGCGCTGTGACATAGGTGCCCGCATTGGCGGCACACTCGACCATGGCTCGGATCTCTGCGCCTGTGAATTGGAGATGGTCGATTTTGTCCGTGGGACTCGATACACCCCCGGATCCCATGATTTTGATAAAGTCGACACCGGTGCGAATCTCTTCTCGAACGGCTTGCATACATCCTGCCACGCCGTTGCAGACACGACCCAGTCCTGTCAAGTCGCCGCAGGAGCAGAAGGAGGAATCGTGGGCGCCTCGGAAGTCGGCGTGTCCGCCGGATTGAGAGAGGGCGTGTCCRGCGATGAATAATCGTGGGCCGGGGAATACACCATCGTTGATGGCTTCCTTGAGAGCCAGCAGCGCACCGCCACAATCTCGAACGGTGGTGAAGCCGCGGTAGAGCATCTGAGCGCAAACGTAGGGTTGTCGGAGGACTGAAACGTCGTTAGGGTTGCCAAACGCCGAGGAGATGTCCTGAAAGCCAGGGACGGCCATGATGTGGACATGAGCATCGATTAATCCGGGACATATGAAGCCATTCTTGCAGTCGATGATTTGGAATCCCTGGTGTTGAGCTTCTTCAATGACGGAGGTGGTGGAGTCGACGATTTTTTCAATGAGACCATTTTGAACGCGGACGGCTGCTTTTGAGCGAGTTGATCCATCGACGACATTGACGATGTTGGCGTTGGTGAGGATGTATGATTTCAAGGCTGGTCGGAGCCAAGGCTTGACTTGTGCTTGGTCAACCATCTTTTTGATGAACGCACAAAGAAGGTATACCCAATCAGTACTGTGTAGGGTGACGGGGCGAACTATCGAGAAGTACCCGCCTGAGATGTACGAAAGGGTGAAGAGTAGTTGAAGCAATCGGTAAGATGGATCTGTAATAAGGTCTGGGAATGGCAGGAATCAAGCCGTTTGATCAACTTGCAAGCGTTGTCTTAACGATACAGGCAGGGTTCTCAGATCCACACGGATATAGCTACACTCTTTACCAAGTGAGTTGCAACATGTGGGGTTCCTAGGGCTTTATCGTTAGCTAAACATTGCCACACACTAAAGTTTGGCGTACAACCTATGTTCTTAACACAACACTACCCTATATCCGTGTTTTTTTCCTAGTAGTAATCGAAAAGGACGATATTATCGAAATAGCCGAAAATCGAGTGTGTACTACGCCGCCGGCGGCTCTATTACGTACCTCTCGCGGTAACACGCTACGTAGAGCGCGTCTATCTAAGAAGGCTTAAGAGGCTACTACTGCTGCTATTACTACCGCTACTCCGCGAACACCGAAGGCTAGACCGTCTAATACTAAGGGCAAGGGCAAGGCCGCTTAGAGCGTAAAGAAGTCGTAATCGTCGAAGAAGCGCGCCGCGGCGGTAGAAGTAGAGGGTTCTCGAAAGCGCCGTTCGCGTAATAGAGCCGGAACTACTATAGAAGTTAATATTAGTACTAAGCTAGCTTAAGAGGTAGATGTCGCGGATAAGGCGCTGTTCGTTACTAAGGATAATAAGGATAATAAGGATAAGGATAATAAAGATAAAGATAAAGAACAGCTACTACCGAGTACGTAGCGGTTACGCAAGCAACACATAGTTAATATTAATGTTAATAATAAGGATAAGGAGGCTAGAAAGAATAGGCCGGTTTTATATAGCACTATATAGATAGTTAATTACGGTAAGGAGCGTGTCGAGTTAATAGCCTACTCTAAGAAGTCCTCTGCGGACGGCTCTTAATTTAGAAGGTTTAAGAAGTAGTATAAGTTGCGCTATAAGTACGATTAAGACCTATAGGTGCCTCGTTACCGTAAGGATATTATGTTTAGTCCTATCCTTTACGCGGCTTACGGCAAGCTCTCGAGGATATACTAGCCTTTATAGGATCTAGCCTATAATAAATTATACGAGAAGGCATTAATTTAACTACGTGTCTAGCGTAAGTGTAGATATAAGGACCTATAGCTACATCTTACCTACGAGTTCTAGCCTGTACTAGCGAGTATTATATTAGGACTAATAGCCCTTAGTACGCAGAGTTTATAGCGACGAACGGTTACGAATACTTAGATAGCGAACGTTCGAGTTAAGCGTGCTATACTAGAGAAAACCGGTAATTTAAAGCACCGTATATACGACGTATAGACGTGCAATTAAGAGAGGTGTTAGAACTATAGTTAGACATGCTAGTAGCCTAGGGATGTAGCTAATATCGAGGAACACTACGAATTATTCGCACAGGCTAGCCTTAACTAGGCTAAAGCAATTAAGAACAGCTTAATAAATAAATAGCTTAAGAGGCCTAATCCGAAGGTCAAGTATATAGATAAATTCGAACTACTAGCTACTATTACGTATCGTATAGCAGTTTATGCGATATTACGAAAGGAGCGCCCTTACGATAACACCGTTAGTCTAAACCGGCGTAAGCAGCAGCAACAGTTACTTTATAGCTAAGTACAGAACTTCTACCTTAGTAGAGCCTTACTAGACGGTAATAAAGAGAACACACCTCTACGGCCTGTTATAGAGCCGCTATTAAGTTAAGTTCGATAGCCCTTAGTTAATCCACTTAACTAGCTTAAGAACTACATTAACTTCATCTTAGCGGTGGACTATTAGACGAAGCACAACCGCTAAGATAATCTATATAAGATACAGGACTACTTTATATAGAGGGATCTTAGTCTTAAAGCATTAATAGATGTAACACGAGAGCAGTGGGTTAAGAACGGTTTTAAGGAGGGCTAGCGGCAATATTTAAGGAGCGCTGTACGTGCATAGAAGCAACTATATAATTAGTTAGGGAGCGACACTAGCAGCGTAGATTTAAACCGGCGATAACTTTTTATATAGCGGTCCGATTCTTGCGATTTTTCTTCGAGCTTCTTTAGCGTAACGAGTTATTATAAGATCCGTTTTAAGTTATATACTATCTGTTATATAATAGTGTGGTTATAAATAGGTAGGCAAAATTAATACTATCTAAAGCCTATATAGAGACTCGCGGAAGCTATAAAGCCGGATCTCTAGCGTAATATAGTCTATAATTTATTGTGTTACAACTACGCTACTAAATTTACTTAATAATAGCTTAAATTGTAGCTCTTAACGAGCTCGAACTTTAAGTATTTATGCGGTGAATTTAGAGCGCATAGTTGTTACGCGATTACGTAGTGCGTATAGTAGAGTCGAGGATTTTAGGGTCCGGATAGTATCCTTAGCATTTCTTAGCATTTCCGTAGGGAACTTTAGAGGATTCGGCTTTATCTTAGAAAGCTAGCATTTTAGACGATTAGCTATCTAGCATCTACGCATCCCTTAGAATATTGCTATACGTTGCGCACGGCCGTTTTTAGCTGTATATATAGGGTTTTAGGACGGGGAGGGATGCGATAGTTCGATAGTAGTATATATACGTAAAAAAACCATAAAAATAAACATTTATCTAATATTAACTAGCCTAACTCCGACGATAGTTAGTAGATACGCTAGCGCGACCGCAAGCGTATAGAAACACTACCGCCGCCTTCGATACCGCCCTTACTACGCACGCTGCCCTCGATGCCTCTATAGCAATCCCCCCCTTCCCTCGATCTCTATGCCCTTTAAAAGACGGTCGATAATATAGTTAAGCTACTAGAGGGGATTGCGGAACGCCTAAACACTCTTAAGGGAAGGACTACGTTAATTAAAAAGGTTGTATAACCGTCGTAGTCGTAGTGTAATTAGCCTTAGCTAGAGCTAGAACCTTTAGAGTCTAATAATAAGCTATAGGCTAGAGCGATAAGGATAAATAAGGGCAATTAATAAGGAGCTAGCTCTAGCACCGGCAATCGACTTAACTTATTTAATCCTTTATCTTCGCTAATTGCGGAAGCTACTATAATAAAACTATCGCTCTATAACGTCCGGATCTATATAACACTTATTAATTGCCTATATAAGGAAGTGCGGATAGCTTTCGAATACCTCTACTTCCTTAATATAGCGTCGAACGAACGCTTTTAGAACTAAGAAGGACTGTTCGATAGGGTTATAGTCCGGAGAGTAAGGCGGTAAATACTTAATCTAAATGCTAGCCTCCGCGTAGAGGCGTTTAATGCGTATATCGTAATACGCAGATGTATTATTAAGGACTAGTAACTACCCTACGGAGAGTTAAGGAACAACCGTATCCTCTAGCTATTCGTATAGTATATCTCCGGTAATACTGCCCTAGTATATTAGAGTTCCTAGTAGGTAGCTATCCGGTGTTATTATAGGTAAGATACTCTATCTTTTACTTCGGTCCTATAGTTGTTAATCTACGCAATTAACGCCCTTCTTACTCTAACTATACTTACGCTATCCGTAGCGTTCGTTCTATATACTCTCGTTAATATAGCAGATACGGTTAGCCGGCTAAGTATTACGTTTACTACGCTAGTACACACGTAGGAACTCGCTCTACTTACGTAATCGCTTCTTCGCTACTTTACGTAACTAGCCTACGTCGTATATAGCCCTATAGATAGTAGATATAGAGGCCTATATACCGTATTTATCCTATAGGTACTACTACATCTCGTTAAGGTAGGTAGTTAGCTACTTAGACAGCTAGTCTAGCATTATTCGAATATAGTAATCCGATAGTAGTAGCCGTAGACCGAGTTTATATCTACGCGGAGCGTACGGTTGTCTAAATAGGTCTATATATACGCGTATGCGATAAACGGTTAAGCGGTTTATCTTAACTTTATTAGCTATAGTAATGTCGCTCTCGTCCGTGTCCTCTAGTCGGCGGAGGACCTTACTAAGAACCGGAGGTTTTAATCTACTAGGTATTGCGGTGATTTTTAGCTATTCGGAGCGTAATTTAAGGGCGTAATAGTAGTGTTCTGATTTAATTAGTATAGTGGTGAATAATTGAGACGAAAAAGCGGAGGTGTTCGGAGGTGTTGCAACCCACTTGGTAAAACCTATATACTGACCAATCACATACATCTCAGACTCCACTACGCCTGGTTCGGAATAAATCAGCATGCGTGCTGGTCTGAAGTCTGAGGCGCTAAGACTGCCCCATTCTCCTCCTTTTGTTCCTCTACATCAGCATCATCCATTCCGCTCTCCGAGACATGGATACTTACTTCCGAGGAGTAGGTTTGCCGGACTTTTAATGCCTCACCAGCAATCGCCAGACTACGAGTTGGATTGCACAGGTTCCCGATGATAATTGAGTGATCCAGACACCCGACGATAGCAGTCCAGCTTCCCGATGATAATCTACCCGATAGATATCACCAATCCGGCAACGCAATCATCGGGACATCCACCAGCGAACCCCACAATACACACCGCCGGCTCATATTTGATGGAACCGGCATGGTATGAGGGGGGTATAGTAAGGTTACAACCTACTCCCACATTGAATTCTTTCCCTAGACCTCTTCTTGAATCTCTGTGCATTTCCCCTCTACTGCATATACACCTCTACAAACCATGGAGGAAACCAAGTCCCCAGAGCCCAAGGATTCAGAACCAGAGCCCTCCTCTGAGAAACAATCAGATGAGGTGCAAATTGGAGACACATATACTGCTGCAGAAGAAAGACAAGTGCTTCGTAAGATCGACATGGCAGTTCTACCAATGGTGAGTCAGCTAAGCTATACAGAAAATATCACCCCCTAACGAGAATGTGGTGTTCCCCTTAGATCTGCATCGTGTTCTTCCTGCAATACCTCGACAAACAAAGCTTAAGCTATGCAGCTGTCTTCGGGCTGATCAAAGATCTCGAGTTGACTCAAGTTCAATATTCTTGGTGTAGTTCCATCTTCTACGTCGGTATGTATCTTCTTCATAACAACCCAGAGCTGTCAGGATGAGACTGGCGATCGAATGTGTCAAAGAAAGATGTTTTCCACAAAGACTGCTTCGAGAGAGGGCGTTTCCAAGCAGCCCAGAGATCTCTTGAAAGTTCCACATATCAACCCTTCCAGTCCATTTCCATCCGCAACTACAATCAAGAGCACCCCCAAGAACTAGCTCTCATCTTCCCCTCCATCCAGGTCAACTAGTCGCCGAGTTCCCCTTCATCTATCTCATGAGCCGCCTGCACCTAACGAAATTCGTCGGCGCGACCGTGTAAGATGCACCATACAATACCTTCCCCATCCCCAAAACATCTCATTGTACTGGCCGGGAATTAAAATATGGGAATACAGCGTTATCTGGGGAATTCTATGCATGTGCCTCGCAGCACCCACCAATTTCGCCGGCTTCGCAGCAATTCGATTTCTACTCGGATTCGCTGAAGGAGCAGTCTCGCCTTCCTTTATTACAATTACTAGCGTGTGGTATCGGAAGAGCGAACACGCGACTCGGACGGCGTAGGTCTTATCCCATCCCATCCCATCCCATCCCATCCCATCCCATCCACCCACTATAAACTAACCAAACTGTTTCTCTTCCCACTAGCCTCTGGATAACAATGAACGGCCTCGCCCAAATCGCCGGCTGTCTCCTAATGTACGGCATCGGAAAACCCACCAGCACCACTTCCCACTCCCTATCCCCCTGGCGTATCCTCTTCCTCGTCTGCGGCGCCCTAACCATCGCGGCCGGAATTCCTTTTTACATCTTCATGCCCAACGGACCCCGAGACGCCTGGTTCCTCACCGATCGGCAAAAACACATTTTATCCCTCCGCATGCTCGAGGATCGCGAAGGGGGTGATAGGAAGGATTTCTCTCTGCCGCAGTTGAAAGAGGCGTTGAGGGATTTTAAGGCGTGGTTTGTTTTTGCGTTTGGGGTGTTGGTTACTATGCAGTCGCCTGTTCTTACGGTAAGAGAAATTTTGACATCTTACCTTCCCGTATGCCGCAATTTTATAGAATTGCTGACTGACTGGGAAAAAAATCCATCACGAAAAGTTCGCCTCCCTAGTCATCCAATACTCAGGCTACACACCCCTCCAAACAATCCTCTACACCGCCCCATCCGGCGCAATACAAATCGCCATGCTCTGGATCGGCGTCTTAGGCTGCATTCTCCTCCCCAAAAATCGCACTCTCGTAACTCTAGCAATCATCCTGCCGCCTTTAATCGGCAACATCTTCCTCCTAAAACTCCACCCCCAACCCGGGAATTATTGGGGAATCATAGTCGCGGCGTGGATTTCCTCCTGCATTACAGCTCCCTGGTCGATCTTATTGAGTCTGACGGCTTCGAATACTAAAGGGAATACGAAGAGGAGTGTGGTGAATGCCATGTTTTTTATTGGGTATTGTGCGGGATGTATTGGGAGTCCTCCGCAATTGTGGACGAGGAAACCGAGGTATGTGGAAGGGGTTGTTGCGGGTATTGCGACTTGGTGTGCGCTTTTTGGCGCTGTGCTTGCTTATCGGGTTGTTTGTATGAGGGATAATCGGAGGCGGGATCGGGAGGTGGGGGAGTGGGATCAAGGGGCGGATGTTATGGGCGCTGCTGGTGGTGATTTTACGGATAAGGAGGATAGACGGTTTCGGTATAGTAGGTAGATTTGATTGGTGTGAGGTTGTTTTTTCTGCTTGACTTTATATGTAATATTATGAGATGTAGAAGAATATCGATTGGACCTCTTTGAATAGCCCGCTTCATTAGCAAGTAGACCACAGGGCTTCGACGAATCGAACATTTATAGTGTTAGCGCCGTTGTATTACCTCCTGTCGTGCGTCGTGAACACACTCAAGCCCCCCACCAGAAAATAACCAGCTTTGAGAAGGTGTAGGTCGAACATCTGTCTTTAGAGGCCCGTCTCTTCCCAAAGACAACACCAATGTGGAACACTCCAATCTCTGAGGTTTTGGATATCTCATTACGAAGATGATAGTAGTCGCTAGGATGGTTCTTCCACATCGACCAGGCCAGCTTGTTTTCTTCCAGATTTTCCTAGGTACCATGTCCAAGTCCTCGGACTCGTAACCTCGAACTCGCTTGGCCGCGGGTTAAAGCCACCCCTGGATAGAAGTCGTAAAAGTAGTCTTGTCCGTCCCGGCAGATGATATTTCCTCGCGCAATACTCGCTTGGAGAAAGAAGCCAGTTCGACAACGCCTTCGTCGTGCTCGCAACAATTGCCGATAGATTTCCCACTCACCTGTCCTATAAATACTCCCAATCATCTAATATCATACTGATAGATATTAGAACCTCCTATCCAAGACTGATGCATGAATGGATGCCTAGATGGGAAGGAAATGCTTCGCAGCCTCAAATCGACCAGATATTCCCCGCATTAGCAACCACATTCCGCTGATCGAACGGACTCTTATTATGCTGATATCCCAGAATTTCATCATAGACATCATACTCGTAGAGTTGGAGCTTCTGCGGCAACGGCGGCACCTGCGCAGTCCACGACGGACAACTCTCCATCATCCTCACCATCATCATCCCCTCCTCCGCCTCGTGATGCTGTTGCTGCTGCTCATCCCGCGCATTCCTTCGCATGCCAAGAGCGGTGCGATCGTTGAAAGCACTCACCAGACTCTCCAGCAAACTCGCCAAGATGGCTTGCCGGGCGTGATTGGGGTCGTCGAGAGGATTGGGAACGTCGGCCAGTGTCCAGTCCACGCGGCGCCAGAAATATGTTGACCTCGTGCATTAATTGATCCGACCAATCGGCGCAGAGGAATTCGTACATGCGATACAAGGACATGGTCGGAGTGTCGCGCGATTGGAAAAGCCAGAGTTTGCGGAGAGTGATGATGCCATCGTAGCGCCGCTGCACGAGTTCGGGGTCGTGAAGGACAGTTTCGGGGCTGGGGACGGGATCCGGCAGAGTCAGACATTTCGTGTATCCTGTGACTAAGCAGAGGATGGTCGTCGTGGGCTTCTGACAGACGCGGAATACCGACCGCAAGCCTGTGGACCATGATGCTACGGACATACCTTACTTTTGAAGTGGATGGTTGTGGTAGGTAAGGTAAGGCAGTTAGGTCGGAATTAATAGAAGGGGAAGAAAGTTTGCCCGAGCCGCTAAGAATTTCTTCCATACCTCAATCAAGGTACTCTTCTTTAGCTCACACCTCACTCACAACAACAACACCAGCAAACATGCCATCCGACCCAACCTTCACCTACCCACCCCTCCACCACCACACCAGCGTGCCCCTCTCCCCACTCTCCGCCAGCGAGCCTCTATCCGCCTACCTCGAGAAATCCCTCACAAGGCCCTACCTCCACCCGGACGCCTGGTTATCCCTCGAAGGCGTGCGCCATGGACCCAAATCCGGACCGCAGGGAAGTTGGGCGATGCATCACCTTCGTCGCATTGAGGCGGGAATGAGAGGGCAGGTTTTGGATGCTGAGAGTCAAGAGGAATTGGTGGGGAGGTTTGGGGAGGAGGTTGTTGGGGAGGCTTTGGGGAGGGCGTATGATCGGAGGAAGGAGCAGGAGGAAACTGAGGAGGGAGAGGGAGAGGGAGAGGGAGAGGGAGAGGCACAACAACCACCACCCAAGCAGAAAACTCACAAACAACCACCGCAAGAAAAACCTGAACATCTCATGACTAAAGCCGAGAAGAAGAAAGCTCGACGCGCGGCTGAGAAAGCCGCTGTGGCCAAAGCTCGAGAGGAAGGGAAAGAAATCCCAACATTTGGCAGGAAACGCAAGAGAGCTGGGGGGAATAATGATGATGGTGATGATGGAGCAAGTCACAGCGAAGGTGATGGTGGAGATGGAGATGATACTGCCGCTGCGGACATCAATGATCCCGCACAATACTCTTCCGCGCAATCCCACGCTCTGGCGCAGAAACCTCTGGTGGAGGATGTAGGAGAGAGGGATCCTGCGGGCGTGGATCGCGAGGATGCTGTGAATGCGCCTGTGGTGGTGGAGCATGATGCGCAGGGGGAGGTGGTTGTTCCGGGAGGAAATTCCTCGAAGAAGAGGAAGGGGGGAGAGGGAGAAGATGAGAAGGAGGCGAAGAGGGCGGCGAAGAAGGCTAGGAGGGAAGAGGAGAGGAGGAGGAATGCAAGTGGAGGTGGGGATGCAGATGGAGATGTGGAAATGGGGGATGCGCAAACCCCAACCGTGACGACAAGTCTTGCACCGAGTCGAAAGGAAAGAAAGGAGAAGCGGAAAGCTGCAGAGGAGCAGAGTAATGGTACTCCCAAGGAAAAGAAATCTGCAGGGAAGAAAATGAATGGCACGCCTGCTGCTGCTGCTGGTGATGGAGGGCAGAAACAGCAAACTAACGGCGGAAATGGGGATGTGAATGGTACGACACCAGCTACGACGAGGGAGAAGAAGGCCGCGAAGAAAAAGGGCAAGAAGGAGAAAGAGGGTGCTCAGACGTCTTCATGATTGCCCGAGGACTCATCTTTCAGGCATTGTTGGGGAAATGAAGGATGGGCTGCAATTTTGCAATGGCTTTGAAGGATGGCAAAGCAAGGCAGATAGAGTGTGTTATTAGCAAGTCAGAGAGAGTGTGTGAGACTCCATGGCTTTCACAAATTACTGTATGACATAAAGGCAGAGAGGAAGGGAGGCCATGGCATGCACAAATTACTGCCTGCCATGCCCTCCACACGAATCAATCAAGTCGAGAAGACGTAACGTGTTCCTGGTACATCTTACAAAGTCCTCGAGAAATGACATCAAATCTCCCTCTTGTTCTGTCATTCATCTCAAATCTCAAATATCCAGTCGCTCCCCATCTACAATTCACTCTTCTCCCCACCCCCAACAACCACCCCTTGGCCCTCACCCGAAATCTTCTTCTCGCTCGTCCATCCCACCGCTTTTAATCGCTCCGTGAGGATGGGGTGGGAGTAGTGATAGGAAGAGTAGAGCCAATCGGCGTCCTAGAAAAACATCACCAGGTCAGTATTCGTTGATTGCCATTCTTCGACAGATAGAAGGATCTACTAACCATGGAACTCAAATTTTGAATTTGCAGTTTGATCAACGCGGCGCTCAATTCCTTTGCGTAGCCCAGTTGGTGGGAAAAGGCATCTATTACAACACACATCATTATTAGTGAGAATTCTTCATCAAGACAAAGAGAATCATCAGCACACTCACCCGCCTCGAATTCAAACTTCCTGGTAAGCACATTCATGCCCAGCTTGACCACACTATCCGTCGGACTCAACACTTCATTGAAGAGAAGGAATCCAATCATAATCGGTTGTCCCAGTTGTCCTCCAAATCCGAACGCCTCGTACAAACTCTTGTTATTGATAAAGACTCCAAATAGCGTGAAGATGTATAGTAAATGCGCCGATGAGATTCCCAACAATTTGGCAGTGTGGCTCATTTTCCAGTGACCCAATTCATGGGCGAGAACAGCTTCCACTTCCGCGGGAGAGGACTTCGCGATGAGGGTGTCGTAGATGACGATTTTCTTGTTCATAAAGGGGAGACCGGTGAAGTAGGCGTTGGAATGGGCGGATCGCTTGCTGCCGTCGATGACTTGCAGTTCACTGAGGGGGAAGGCAAGTTTGTTGGAGAGGGCGTGGACTCTATCGCGGAGTTCTCCTTCCGGTAGTGGCGTCAGGGTGTTGAAGAGGGGAGTTATGACGGTGGGGAAGATGGAGATGGCGCCCAATTGGACGGCGAGCATGAAGAGCCAGATGTAGAGGAAGAACTTCTCGCCAGTGGATTGGATGATTTTGAGGAATGCGGCACCGAGGGGAATTCCAAAGGCAAAGGTGAGAGCCTGGCCTTTGACGAGGTCGCTGACCCAGAGCGAGAGGGTTTGTTTGTTGAAGCCAAAGGATTCTTCCAGGACGAAGTGGTGGTAATAGGACCATGGGAGACCTGCAATCGTCTCGGCGAGAGCATATGCGAAGACGAAGACCAGACTGTGCGTGATTTCTCCGGAGAAGCGTGCGGGGGCGTATGCTGCGACGAGTGCGCCCGACCAGACCCAGAGTTTGGGGTAGGCATCGTAGGAGATGATGAGGAGATTCTTCAGCTGATTGTACGCGCCACTCCACGCTCCAAATCTCGCCTTTGCTCGGCCGTATTCCTGGCTCTTTTTGTGGGTGGGAGCGTCGACTTCCGAGGCCAATTGACGCGGGACGGTGGTGCGGCGGAGGACTTGGTATTGGCGGTAGGCGAGGTAGTTTTCAATGGCATATTGGCCGAGGGAAAAGGTGATAATGAGTGACTTCCAGGGAATTGTCGGCGAGTCGAGGTATGCGCCGAGGCGCCGGATGAGGTCCATGGTGGATGGAGGCGGAGGGGATGTAAGGAAGGTAAAGATGAGACGTGGAGCCTTTCATGTGAAGCTGACCTACATGACCTTGTCCACTTTGGCCGCGGGGATGAGATCGACAGGCGGGACGGGACGGGAGGGACGCTGCCGAACGACGGGATTTCTTTTTCTGCCCTTCCAATCTTCCCATCTTCTTCCTCTCATCCACCTCACTCCTTCAACATCACCATCAACATCGGCACGCCATCCATCTTCCATTCAAGATGATAAAGCGCCCACGCTGATGCAAGATGATGCCCCTCTCCTCTGCTCACAGTTCATTCCCCCCTCTCTTCTCACCACAGTAAATCTTCCCCCACCCCACTTTGCCAACACTCCGGGCCTCATCTGCTCCCCCATGACGAGGCCCTATTTCAGGTGCAAAGGAGACGAACCTCCTGTGCGGCTGTGTCTTCGGACACAACGCCGACCTTCTACTCACCGTGCTGTCTCTTGTTATGGGCAGTGTGGTCCATCCGAATTAGGTTACAGATATCCATCACCTTCTCGAAGGTGTGGATAGCCGGCATGGCTGTCTGCAGATATTGGTGGACAGTTCAGCTCCCATGCATCGGTGCGAGCTTGTGCTTGGGGGGGTGTGCACTTTTCTCCTTCGTGGCGCCAAGACTCGGAATGAGGGTAGGTCGCAAATCGCACCTCACTGTCTACTCAACCAACTTGTCCAATCTCGAATTCGATTGGCTTGCCAGTGTCGCATTCTGCCCTCCAACCCGTCCGCTGCTGTAAGTGCGGATTGTGGGGTTGAAACTTGCCGCATCCGCCATGAGCTACGAGAATGTCAAATTCTCAAAAGTCGAAAGGACGATCGATTTTCTAGTGATTCAGCGACTGGGAAGGACTCTGAGGACTCGCCGACACTTCAGTGCGTCTCGTTGTTCACAGGCCTAGACATGGGCCGGTTGAACATCAATGATTGATAAAGAGAAGCGTGGTCATATAAGTTGCTGCACGACTGATGAACTCGTAAGCAATGGTGTCGAGTAAAAACCAGCCATAGCATCGAGTTTTATAATCTCATTGCCTTGAACATTTCATTTCATTTCATTTCATTTCGCTTTTACGTCTTCATATGTAATCCCCTCCTCACCCATCCACCAACAACCCACCAACATCCCATCAACATCCCATCCCTCATCCACCTAATCCTCAATCAATTTGCTCCACCTATCATACCCTCCCTCACCATCATCATCATCCACGCCATGATAATCCTCCTTCTGAGCCTGAGTTGCGGGCTCCTCTGCTGCGAGGAGCATGATATTAGCATCGGCAGCAGTAGCCCCAGCAGTAGATTCAACTCCGGCATCAACAGCACCGACTCCAGCCTCAGCAGCAGACTCAACTCCAGCACCAACTCCAGCATCAGCCGTCGAAGCACCTTCGGCGGCGCCATCATCATTATCATCATCGCAACTTACGAACCAGCATTTAGCATAGTGAAGGGCTCCATGCTTCTTCTTCTCCTTCTCCTTCCCTCCCTCGTCATCCGGATCTTTTTCCGGCTCATCATTATTTCCCCCTTTATCCTCCCCGTCATGCTTCTCAGAACAACCGAGGAACATACATTTCAGCACATGCCCCAGTCCATCCTTCTCCTTCTTCTTCTCCTCACCGTCCACATTCTTATGGTCATCGTCCCCGCCTTCATCTTCTTCAGACTGATATTCTTCCCTTGGCGGAGCATCCTCAGCAACCAAGAATCGATGCTCTTCATCACATCCCGAATGTATCCCAATCTGACACTCCTTCCAAGTCATTCCAGGTCCCACCCGATCAGACCAAGAAGCGAAATCCAAGAAATCAATCATTTCCATCGCCGTCTCATTCCTCCACCTGTCATCCAGCGGCACATGCTTGAAATTTTTGTCAGCTTGCGCACTAATCTTCTGCCCAATCTTCGCGAAGGCGTCGATGAGCGGCTGCTGCCACTCCAGCAATTTCGCATTGATTTTGTCGTTCACGGGGTCCATGTCAATCGTCGCGTTCAAACATTGTATATAGACGCGCCAGGAATACCACAGTCCGCGAATCGTTTCCGAGGGAATGTTGGTTTTGTGCAGGGGGGGTATCCAGTTTAAATCGAGGACGCGCTGGGCGAAGACCATAACATAGGCATCCATGCCCGTTCGTATCAACACTTCGTACTTGATATGATTCTTGGGACATTTATCGACGTCGTCGTCGGTCGCCACGCTGAGGATCTGGTCGATGCGAATAGGTTGGAAATGTCCTCCAATAGCTAGAGGATCGGAAATGCCTGCCACGGTCATTTTGTCCTTCATCCCACCTTCGGGGAGAGGGAGAAGGTGAAATTTCCAGCGTGGTCCGGCGGACACCCTGATGGTGAGCTTGGGACTGTTGATTTCCAATCTCGCGGGGAGGTATTCGGTGATCATGGTAATGGTGTTGACAAGTTGTTCTTCTTTTTTTTCCTTCAAGGGTTTCCAGGAGATCTTACCCTTGGGCATCCTGACGTGGAAGCCTGGAAGGGTTCTGCGTCCATGTCAGCTTCACTCTAATCACCCGCGGCATACCCTCCATCACAACGTACACATTAATATGCGCCTCCAGTGCCACCGAGGTAGAGACTCCTATGGGTGACAAGTCCAATGTCGGAACCGGCAGTCCGTGCGGCGTCTTATCATTATCCTTGATAGGATCGAGTTCGATTTTGCCGGCACCAGGACCGACTTTTTGGGCATCCAGACTTGTCTTATCGTTAGAACTACTCTTTGATCCACCAAAACTCATCGCTTTTCCGATCGGAATGGACTTCCCGTCTTTATCTTTTTTTCCAGAAGGAAGCCCGCTCAAGGACATTGGGCCGGTAGAAGATCCCCCGTCCGTACTGATCATATAACCAATGGAAATACTAACAGGAAGGGAAGGTTTAACGCAGAACATGGGCGCGTCGGGTATCATTTTGCATGCCTCGTCGCCGTTTGTGATTTTTATCGCCGATTGGAGAAAGTCCACGTCGAAGTAAAAGGTCAAGGAGACTGTCCCGGAAATTTCGAGTTGAAATCGTATGTCAATGTCGTCAATGACCTCGTAATAGATCTCCAGATCCGTTACGTGAGCCCGAACGAATTGTTTGGCGTAGTCCTTGATGCCATGGAACTCTTTCAGTTCTTTATGGAGCGTTTTCCGGCATTTCTTGCCCTTGAATAGGAGACTGACGATTGACTTCACCGCGCACGTGAAGACTTCTTTGGCCGCCTCAGTTGGATGGAGCCAATCGTTGCAAGGGTCAGCAGTCTGGAGAGCACGAGGCATGTGACGTTCGTGGCAGACGGGGAATGTAGGGTTCGCCGGGGAACAGCTCAGGTCGGGAGACTCAGGGGATGAGATCCCTCGCCTTCGCAATTTGCGCGCTTCCACCCGAACTTGTCGATGTTTCTCGATTCGCTCCGCCTCCATCAAAGCATAGATTGTTGGCTGAATGTGCTCATGTTTATCCATGAACGCTGTGGCGTTCGCCGAGCGTTTCCTCGGCGGGTTCCTTTTCTTGTTGTGACAGTTTTCGCGGCCATGGAAGGGATTGAGATCGATTCTGACGTTGACTCCTGCTCTGAACGTGCCTGTGACGTGACATCCGATACAAGCTATATTCATATGTGGACCATTGTACCTGACGAGACGAGCAGTAAGCATGTTTATTCCATTTGATGGAGAAAGGGGCGTTGTGCATGTCATTCAGACGCACCAAAATGGTTTTTCTCCGATGAACTCATGTCGTTCTCCAAGGTCATGATGCATTGAATTGTTGTACATCAGGTCGATCCCATTGTGGTGAAAGTTTTTGTGCCAATGGTTTTCTCGCTTGACCAATTCATGCGAGCCTAAGCAAGACGATTAGCTGAACGATCGCGGGAGAGAAAGTCGATCGATCGAAGACGTACCATGAGTGAGCTGCAGACTTTCACGCGGTACTATGACATGCCCTTCGGGTTGGTGTTCCAATAATGACATGGTGATGCCATGAGTCCAGCCGGACTCCCAATACACCTGCGCATGCAGCGGCTCGGCTTCGATGACAACCAACTTGCGATCTGCGTCGAATCGAATATTGGTGGAATGATAAACCGAGCGTGTTCCTGCCGCTTCGAAGCAGTACGGTCCTTCCACGACGAAGAGAATGCTCCTCTCATTGGTGTTGGAGAATCTTGGGGACCAGTTCTGCTCGGCCATTTCAAAAGCCTCGCGGGTCTCAAAGTGCAAATCCAAATCAGTCTTCTCGCCATATCTCGCCATGCGGCACGTGACCGGCTCAACAAGGAAGGGCTCAATCCGTTCGAGGTTAACATAGTCGTGATCTTCATGATCAATGGTGATTTGGAGGATACCCGGATTCTTGTCTTCTTGAAGCTGCAGGAAGTGCATGTCCATGCTGCTTGTCGGTTCAAAAAGCGAGTGTTTCAGTTGATGTCCAGCGACTGGACGCAGAACGACGGGCATCTGGTCACCGTCAAAGTTGAACTCGGGCGGTTCACTGACATGGACGGACTCGGCTGGTCCATTGAACTCAAAGGTCGAGTCATCCGCACGGCATTGTTGTGTGCAAAGGAGCAGCAACAGAAGTGCTGGGGTGAGGAGTTGCAGAATCTCCGTGAGTAACCACGGTGGTCGTAGCATGTCGGCGTGTTGGGATTCTCGCGGTTGTTCCAAGTTCTTGGTATTGGTTTTCCTCCTCTGGTTGGTGGTAAACGAGCAGATAACATCTACAAAGTAGAAGTGGTGGCAGCAGCTGCATATCCTCTACTTATAACCCATCGCTTTCCCTTCAACCAATAGTCTTGATTGCACATCGAGAAGGTCCAAAAGATCGCTATACTGCCCTAGACATCTAGTCGAGCCGGGAACGACAGCCGCTTGGCTGTTTCTGACACTCAACACGCTTCGTCGATAGGTCGGCTGTTTCTGACACTCAACATTCTTGATCGATAGGTCGAAACAGATGCCATCGTCTTGTAAAGTAATGATGATCACTGTATTATAACAGACCCACGGAAAAGTTCGGTGCTGTAACTTTTAAACCATGGGCACATGACATCTTTCCGACGTGAGCCGCCCACACGACTGGACGCAATGGCACTTAGTAGACATATCAGTGGGAACCAAATAGAGTATGTATGGTGCAGTTGGTGTCGACTTACTAAAATGCTGGATCGGCCCTACCTATAACGGTGTACCTGAGTATTACTTTCTAGAAAGTCGCCCGAAACGTACAAAGTCCGGAGTATGCTTGTGAATCACCTCCACGTGATGGTGGTATCCAGCAGACATGCTATAGATGGACTATGAGAGATAGATCATCAAAAAAGCCCATCTCAAGAACTATTGGCGGTGGAACCGGGAGTGTTGAATCGGCGTAGACACTTGGTCGAGTTTCGCAGGTATCTGGTCGGAACTTCCTGAATCGGAGTACTTTCCCAGAGGGTTCCTCATCTTTGCAGGTATGATTTTGTTTTGATTCATTGCGCCCTCGTGGAGCCTTGGTTTCGCGAAAGAAGTAAGAGTGAAGAAAGTATGGATGAGAAGTGGAGGAAGGAGGTGGAGGACCAATAGAATAAGCTTCAACACCAACCCAATGCGGCACTCTTGTATATGGAATTGCTTTGTCTAGAGACTCGAGAGAAAGTGGACGATTACTCTCTCTATGCTGTATCGACTAGACCTCCCACGTCCAATGAAAGTCAACGTCGCGTAGAGATGTCCATTTCATTGAAAGAGAGCGTCATGGCTCGTCCGCAATTCTAAAATGCCATAGGCTAATCCTTGTGAAAGAACGCTGTTTCGCCCTTCGCTATGCATCATAGCTCTATAAATTCGAGCAAGCAATGGCCGAAGACCAGTGATTGTAATTGTCCTCTACGACAGCTTCGTTTCCCGAGAACTGCGCACCACTATCATCCTCCGCGGTATACTATGCATCATCCTCGTCCGCCTCAACATGCTCCACCATGACCGTACCACCATTCAGACCCATCTCTCCGATTGTCTTGTCGAGTGAGTCGATGAGGTTCTTTCCCATGGCCACCAGCTCGAACGGTACCCCCTCCTTGCCTTCAAGTGGGGCGGCCTTTTGCCACTCGTAGATGCGACGCACAGGGTCGTCGAGGTTGAATCGACGAACGATGCGTCCGTTGGAATGTCTGAACTGAATGCGTGCGGTAGTCTTGGGATCCGACGGCTCTTCCTGTGGGTTGGTGGATGAGATTTGTGAAAAGGGCGTTTCAGGCTTGCTCTTTGAAGCAGACTTCTCATCAACATCCATGGTGTCCTCTCCACCCATCGGCGCCTTGCCCTTGCCGTTATCCTTGGTGAGGGCGTCTGGGTCCTCATCTTTTYGCTCCGAAGTTGATCCATTCGCCATGCTAGCCTGCATCGCCAACTCGAGTTGCTCCTCTTCGCTCATCTGCGAAACGTTCTTCCTGGCTTCTTTTCGCTTGGTCTGCACCGGATTCTTCTTCTCGAAGCTCAGGCTGTAACGATCGAGAAACTCGTGCAACTCCTGCAGGAATTCAGAAGGCTTGGGTCCCGGTGATCCGGACCATGTCTTGACTTGCTCTCCTGTTCGTGGGTCGACAATGGCGATGTGTGGGTAAGCGTCGTCCATATCCCGGAGAGCGCTGAAGTAGAGGTTAACATACTCTTGACCTCGAGGATCGTCTTTGTTGTACTGAAGGAAAATGAAGTGCTCCTTGATGGTGTCACGAATCGACTGGTTCTTCCAGATGTCCCGGTTTAGCACTTGACAGTCGAAGATGGAAGGATCTTGAACGTTGACGAGAATCCACTTCTTATCCTCCTTGCCGTCATCACGCGCGTCGGAGAAGGATCGCGTGGAGATGAGATCGAACGGTGGGCGGAACAGGTCTGCGAGGAGGTTGGCTTTGGATGTCGTGTCGGAAGCACCGCCTGTGGCGCGGGAGAGAACTTCGTTGTGGACCTCCGGATTGGTGGGATCATCGTTGGCCCAGATTGAGCGAGACTCGCGCTGGTTGAAGATTCCGGCCGGGGCTCCTCGCGCGCCTCTTTGTTGTTGGCGGTTCATGAGTTGATGTGCGATGGCGGCATTCATCTCGCCAGGGACACTTCTCCAATCGGTACTATCAGGTCCAACAAGAGTCTCCGTCCGACGGTCGATAGGGGCACGGTAGCCATCCTCGTCAAGATTCATCCCTCCACCTCTGCCTCCACCGCTGCCACCTGCACCATACATCTCCTCCTGCAGCCGGCGCGCCATGGCCTCGTCGCTCTCGACCGAGTGACTCGCTTGTGCCACCGGCGCAGATCTACTGCCCGTCTCTTGAACATCATCGTCTGACGCTTCAATTTCATCATCATCATCGTCGATGGTGATGGGAGCTTCACGGGAGGCCGGCTGGCTAGGAGCGACATGTGCTGATGCTGGCGGAGCGGCGGGAGTGGCGGCGAGATCTGGATTACTAAAAAAGAGCTCGACGGCCTGCTCGACGTTGCCGTCAGTGAGAGCAAGGTAGCGCTGCGCCTGGTCGGGAGTGGCAGAAGTGAAGGCGCAGAAGGTGCCGATTTGCTCGTCCATTTTGAGTGCGGGGAGCACGCGGCTCAAGTGGTATGTGTGGAGACGTCGTATGTCAGTCGGAGTGTTTTGTTATTTCCGGTGCAGTGGCGGTGTTGTTGAGCTGTTTGTGCTCGAGGTTGTCGCAGCTAACTACAGATATGGAAGTTTGAGGTCGCGGGGTCGTCTGGAGATGGCACGTGTTTGATGATGTTGATGATCCGGAATGCTGATGTCGCGGACGAGTGGAGGGTGGAAGTGGAAGTGGAAGCGGAAGTGGAAGAGTGGTCAGGTTTGGAAACAAACTCCTTCACTCGGGCTCGTTGGGTGGATGGAACAAAGTACGACGCCTCAACTGTGATGGAATTGATTACTTCCCGTCACTCGTCATCGCATCGCGGGTACCTTGGTCGGATTTAGCCGAGAATTAACCCCGCCTTGAACCCATTCACAACAATCACCTCCAGTCTTTCTGAACAATCAGCATCACCTGCAACCTTCCACCGTCATGGCGGTATGGGTTTGTACAATCCGGGAGCATCCTATCTATATGCACGTCTGAACACAACATTTCTTCCAAGCAACACCCGACATCTTTCTTCCGTCTCCTCGACACCTACCTCTGCACTCATAGCTCATAGTATCCCCAGCGACAGCTGCCCATGACGAGACTGCAGCATTCTACTCCATTTCAGCCCCAGACCGAACTTGTGCTTTAACATAAGAGGGATTACCAGAGAATGCCGTATCATCTCTCAGTCAAGGAATGGCCTGAAAACATCTCCACGAGACCATGGACCTCTACCTTAGGCTTCATAACAGGGARCGTCGAAAACCATCATAGAAGAAGCTACGGTGCAAATCCTCCGTTGTGAGCCTTGAATTCCCTTGTGGCCCTTAGAACACCTCGACGAGAGGTTAACGCCGGATGAGTGWAGACTAATCGGATGTCGGTGGCATCGTCAAGGCTTTGAACAAGAAGCCAATCCCTTCAAGCGCAGATGGAAGTCATGCAAAAGAGTAGACTTGAAGGAGATTCTGGCTGATCGGCGGTCTTCTTACAAGAGGATAGTGTGAATGGAAAACATAATCAAAACTCACTTACATGTGCTTGAAAGATGGGATAGCATTTTCTCATCGTTGACCATCTGCCGAACCAGACAAGGTAGCCAAATATCCAATTGCCATTTCAATTCCTTCGCCTGCAATGCAATGCACTTCACAAAAGAAACCAGTACTCCGTAAATCTACTCCAGAGAATGCCAATCAACGTGGGAAACAGCACCTCACATAACCATCTCATCATCGCCTCCAAATCGCTGTCCATTCATTCGCTCCCTTCACAGGAACAAAAGCGATCAGCCACACACTCTCACAATTTCGCATTCAGATCCACAAGGAAACTCACCAATCCGCATGATTTCGAATCTGCTCGTACATCCCATACTGATCCTCCATCCCAATCCCCTGCTCCTTGGCAGCATAACTCGGCGCCTGCCACAATCCACCCGCAGCATACACCGGATCAATCGCACGCTGCGACACGGCACCATACCCATTTAACATATAAGGTTCCGCATCCCCTGCACTGCTCAAATGATGCAAGGGAACATGCGTGTCTTCCATCTCCGCTTGATGGCGGTTGAAAGCTCGAGCCTGCATGCGCATCTGCTCCTCGTACCTCGCCCGGGCCTCGACTTCCTCGCGCTCCACGCTCGTGGGGACGGGCTGGAGAGATCGCTGGGGATAGGAAGGAGGGGAAATGCGCCAGAGTTCGAGGAGGCGGAGTCTCTGCTCGTAGTCAGCGTTTCGGAAGAGTTCGATTTGGTTTGGAAGGAGCGCGTTGGGGTCTATGGAATTTTGGAGAAGGATTTGGGCCATCGCTTCGGGGATGAAAGTTTCGTTGTAGGGAGGTGGAGGACTCCGTGATGGCTCCGACTGGGTTTCGGCTCGGATGTGAGCGGATTGAGTGTAGTGGCTGGAGATGAAGTGGATGGGAGCGGGTTGCTCGGGTTGTTTCTCGGAAACCTGCACGAATTGCTGGACGGGAGGTTGATGTTGAGGAACATGCGAGACGTGCATGTTTTGAGCAAAGAGCTGTGCTAGCTCGTCATGCTGGGCGGAATTCATGGCGCCTTTGCTTTGACCGGCGGTATCTGCTCCAAGCGAACGTACACCGCACTGTAAAGGACAAGTTAGTCGGGAAGGGGAAGGGGAAACGGCCTGCGTTGTGACAAGGCCGTTGGCTTACGTAGTTGCAGGCTTGCTCTTCAATCCAGGCAGTGGAAGAGTACTCGACAGGAGTATTGTAGGAGCAATTATCACAATAGTGAACCAGCATGGGAAGCATGCGGATCAGAGTCCAAAGGCAGGTAATCCAGGTCAAGTTCCCTTTGTATGGCAGGTGATCCTTCCTCCGGCAAGAGCACGTAAAGCTAAAAGGAAATCGGGAGCAGCAGCAGTCGATAACAGCAGCAAATCTCTCGCACTCTTGCAGTTGATTTCTTGTCAGTACAACTTCTTTTAGCTTCCCGACAAGAAATCGCAGCAAAGCGGAGCGACCGCAGCAGTCGATCGAGGGTGCGAATAAGCAATTTCGGAGGTCTTGGTCTTTGTGATGGTCTTTGCTCAAAGGTGAGTAGTATTCTTTCTGCTTTTTTGTTGGATTGGGGCGTACGGAAAACTATCGAGGGATCTATCTACGGTGGCAGCTGAAGGAACGAGGTAAAGGATGAGGCGAATGATGAATACAAGGGGTGCAGGAAGATATATATATATTGCGGAATGTGCGAAATCAGATGACGCTCACTAGCAGGCCTGAAACGTGCTTAGAGGCTGCCGCTAATTAGAGCCAGGCCGTGTCATTCGCTGATGCTGGTCGGGCATGAAAGCACAAAGGCGGGTTTTGTTCGTTGGCCGACGGTCTGATTTTCTGGGCCGAGACCTGCATGGGGGAAATACTGGCAGGAGGAGGCGTGTATCGTGATTGTGCGACTTCTGGGGAGTGTTGACTGGCTGAAACAAGAAAAGTCACTAGAAGTGTTGGTAATAAGGACGTTTGGAGAGAGAGAGATCGTGAGATCTGAAGGATCGGAGATACAGCCGCCTGACCCTTTTTGTCTCACGCAAATGTGTGGCCAGACGCCTCCATATCTCTATCAGTCACACTGATGCAATGCACACAAAATCACACCTGTGCACACTTCATTCATTCATCGAGATCATCGTTGATCAACATGCTTCTGCCCATCACCGCGACAGCTCCGCCCGCTCACCAGGCGCAACATCCTCACAACTATACTTCCCAGCCCAAGGATCATCAYCCGACCGCTTGGCTCTAGTATGCTCCATAGTCGCGCTCACTTGATCCGCAACTTCCTCCCCCCAGATAGACGCGACCAACGCAAGCATTCCATCAATCCCCGCCGTCACACCAGAAGTCGTCCAGACATTCTCGCTCGTAACCCATCTCGCCTTGGCAATCCAGTGTGTTGAGGGACCATGAGACGTGACGTACTTCCACAAAGACTTATTCGTCGTGGCGCGTTGACCATCTAGCACACCAGCCCATGCGAAGATTAAAGATCCCGTACACACGCTAAACAGGTATTTCGCTGGTGGATAGCCGTTGAAGCCTTTCTGGACGTTCTTGATGTATTCCAAGGTTGGTTGCAACATCTCTCGCTTTCCAGAGCCTGGTCCACCTGGTATGATCAACAAATCCACAGCGGGTGCATTGTCGAAAGTATGGGTGGGTAAATAGCGCTGTTGGGCAGCGAAGGATGAAGATGGTCCGGGTGTAATGTGATCGGGCGTCACGGGCTCCATTGTCTCGGCTATAACATATGATTGCAATTTTTTGCCCATGTGGACTGCTAGGACGTTGAGGCATTCGACTGGACCGGCCATGTCTAGGACTTCGAATCCGGGGAAGAGGAGAATGCCGACGGTGAGCTCGGGCTGTGCCATTTTGAGTAGTGGTGTCGTTTGCGGAGGAGGGTATTGTAGAGATCCAAGAAGGTCAACAAGTGCGTCTTGATTTTCAAATGTGGAGGGAAGAGGAATATATGTATATGGAGCTAGATGCGCGAGTTTGCTCTCGAATGGCGCCAGGGCGCACTTGTCACGGCTTAAGAGTGGTACCTATCGAGGTATACCCCGCTATAAACGATGACAGTGCCAACCGACCGTCTTACATAGTCTCTTGGCAACAGGTAGGGCGTAATGACTACATGAACCACGATGATTGAGTATGAGACATATGCAGTCCAATATAAGCCTCTGATCTCTTCAAATTGTGCGGTATGGGCAGCCCTATGCTCCATGAACTATACCATGGCTCTTGCTCACCGTCTCTCCTCATGTAGTTGAAGCCGAAGCACTGTCATACCCAATGCTTCTTTCTGGAAGCACATGCCCGTGGAAGATGGCCGAGCTGCCAGTGGTCGATATCTCATGAGATATGGTGCTCTCCTCTGTAGAAATAGTTCTCGACGTTTCGACGTGTTGATTCTGTGAACAAGCTACTGAGTAGCCTTGATATCTGGTGCTCTCCCACGTAGGAACGTCAATGTATGTGTTTTGGTCATCTCAGCGAGGTCGTGTCAGAGTCCTTGAAGGAAAATCTCACTGTGGTCGCTTTCATAGAATGCCAGAATTTCTGTCTCCAGATGGCGGACGTATTCGGATAATGGCTCCCAGCGGATTCGAAGTGAACGTTAACATCTAAACCTAACCAGCACCAGTGTAAAGCTCAATAGCCTCTCCCTCAAAGCGCGAAGAAGGCGTATATTCCCAAGGAAGAGGAAGCACGCCTTTATACTTCTTCCCCTTCTTCCCTTTTGCATAGGAGATATGATTCATCATAATGTATCCCACGGCTCCCTCTTCATTCTTCTGGCGCTTACGCTCCCGCCAAACTTCATCAGAATCCGAGGGGTCCCGAAAACGACATTCGCCAAAGTCCAAGTAGAAGATCTGATAAGTGCCGTCCTCTGCGGGGCGGACCATGATATTTCTCGTCTTGATGTCAAAATTGATGAAGTCGTGGTCGGCGATTCTTCTGATCACCTCGATCGCTTGGTCACAGACGGGCGCCCAATCTGACTCTGGCAGTTTGGTCACGATGTCCTTGAGAGCGAAGCCGGGGATGTACTCCATGAGGATGGCTCTGATTTCGGTATATTCGCTTGCGCTTTCTTCTTGCTCCACTGTGCCGTTTTGTGGATCCAATCGAACATCTGCAAATACTGTTGGAACATGCACGCCTTGCATGTCGACAAGTCGCTCGTAGACCTCGAGCTCAATCTCATGGCTCAACGTTGACCGAGCGTAGAAGTACGCCTCCTGTTTCGACACGTCCCATTCGTCATATGCGTATGGTCCGTTCTCCTCATAGTCCGCTAGAAATTGAGGCATGAATCCTTCCCTCGCAAACGCAGTGAACGCATCTTCGCTTACTGTAGTCGCCGGTCCCGCGTCCTTGAACTCACGCAATTCGGGGGAGAATTGGCGGTCGTACACCTTCAAGATCATGGGCGACGTCTGATGGGTCTTATCATTCTGTTCTAGCTCCACATGGACAACAATAGACATTGTCGATGGCTCGATGACCTCAAGCACTTTTGCCTGCACATGGCCATTCAGCTGTGGTATAACATTTTTGCTTCCTAGGCGTTGGATCTTGAGCCTCAAGGTTTTTCCTTGAGCATAAGGGCTATACTGTACGATTAGATCGTCGAGCTGCTGATATCAARGCGTGAGTACCTCGTGAGCGGCGTGACCATGTATGCGATGTTGATGTCTCTGTAGATGGGCATGTGCAGRATTGGAAGGAAGAGAGTCTTCATCTCAAGTGATATATCTCGGCAACACTTCGGGAGGTGTTTCGTAGCTCCGCGAGCGAGCTCGACTTACGCGCAGCTGCGTCTGCCTCCAGAAGCATCGAACATACACCTCACCGTCATCCTCCACACCCCCTCACAAGCCTCACAACATCAGCGCCTGCTCTTTGGAGATAGCATCGACCGCAGCAAATTGAACATCCCAGGCCAATCCATCACACATATCAGCTCCGCTCCTCCTAAGCTCCCGCCATGGCAAGTCTATCCATGGCCTCGTCCATTGAAGCGCCATGCCTTGCTAACAACTACCCCCACAGACGTCGATAGGGACGGGCTACGATCTCTCCAACTCGGTCTTTTCCCCCGATGGACGCAACTTTCAGGTGGAATATGCAGTCAAAGCAGTGGAGAACGGTGGCACGGCGATTGGCATTCGGTGCAAGGATGGCGTCGTGCTCGCCCTGGAGAAGTTGGTGTCCAGCAAGCTGCTGAAGAAGGATGCGAACAAGCGGATAGCCACCATCGACCGGCATATGGGGGTGGTGAGTAGAGTCCATTGCATCACCATGAGCACCACCATACATCCCATACTGACCACTTCATCTCAAYCTAGGTCCATTCTGGACTCCTACCCGATGGTCGCCACTTTGTTTCCCGCGCGCGCGATGAGGCTTCCAGCTGGCGCAGCACCTACAAAGCACCCATCCCCGTCTCCTCCCTCGCCAACCGCATGGGCGCTTACGTACAAGCCTACACCCTCTACTCATCAGTCCGACCGTTTGGTATTACTGGTATCGTCGGTGGCTGGGACGCCGAGGTGGAGGTGGATGTTGATGGCGCGGTCGGTAGTGGGCCCAAGTCGGGCTCGGGCGGCAAGACCAAGGGTGTCAAGGAAGGAGGACCATACCTCTACATGGTCGAGCCATCGGGACTGTACTGGGGATACTACGCGGCAGCAACGGGCAAGGGACGACAGTCAGCCAAGTCAGAGTTGGAGAAGCTCAATTTGGACCCCAAGGACGACAAGTGCTTGACTTTGGAGGAGGGTGTCAARGAGGCCGCGCGCATCATCTACGTTGCGCACGAGGACAGCAAGGACAAGGATTTCGAGCTGGAATTGACATGGATCAGCGCCGTCAGTGGGCCGACAAAGGGCAGGCATGAGGAGGTGCCCAAGGCGTTACGGGAGGAGGCCGAGCGTCTTGCAAAGGCCTCTCTGGAGCCCGAGGATGATGAAGAAGAGGGCAAGATGGAGGAGTAGGTGCTTCGTTGTGGCTCGGTCTGTAAGATAACGCTGTATGCGAGCATGGCAATGGCGCGAAAAGGCGAGACGAAGCGAGGCGAGGCGGAATTGATGCGAATACGGTACAGTGCGACATTTGCCTCAATCATAAACGGTCATGATTCTCACTCTATCCTATCTGGCCATGAGATGCTCACTTCTCAACAATCCACGAGACACACACAGATCATTGCAGGCCGTTCATCATTCATTCTACATGCTAGGTACTGTATCACTCTGTGCTTTACCCACAACCCTACCTCCGCATTCATACCAGTCATCAATCACATCAAATCATCCATCTCTGTCGAAATCCTCATCTCTCAATCCTCCTCACCTCTCAATCCTCATCACAGAACTCTGCGTCCTCTCCATCTCAGGACTTTCAGCCGCAAACCTCGCCTCCTCACTCTGAAAGAAATCCTCCCTCCGAATCCCACTCCTATCACACATTCCGCGAAAAATGCCCCCTCGATCATATAAATCCACCGGACGATCCAACTCGGCGACATTTCCCTGATCCATGACCAAAATTCTATCATACCCAATAATCGTCTTCAAGCGATGCGCAATACACAACAACGTCTTGCCCTTGAAACCCCTCACAATAGTCTTTTGAATCTTCTGATCGGTTTCAAAGTCCACCGAAGACGTCGCTTCATCACAGACGATGATTTGGGAATTTCGCACCAGAGCGCGCGCTAGAGCGAGGAGTTGTCGTTGTCCGAGGGAGAAATTGAGCCCTTCGTCTTCGACGGCCGTGTCGAGGTGGATGCGTCCTGCTTCGTCTTCCATGGTTTGCGAAGCGCCCACGAGATCTGCTTGGCCGAGAGCACTCCATAATTCGAGATCGGTGTGTTCGTTGAAAGGGTCGAGGTTAGTTCTGATGGTGCCGCGGAAGAGAGTGGGGTCTTGAGGGATGATGGCCAATCTGGATCGGAGATCGTGTAGGCCGATTTGGGCGATGTTGAGGCCGTCGATGGAGATGCTTCCGCCGGAGAGTTCGACGAGGCGGAAGAGGGTGGACATTATGGTGGATTTCCCGGCTCCTGTGCGGCCTACGACGCCGATGCGCTCGCCGGCTCGGACGTGCATGGAGAGGCCTTTGAGGACCAAGGGGAGGCCGTTGCGGTAGCGCATTTGGACGTTGTCGAAGATTATTTCGCCTTTTTCTGGCCAGCTGGGACGGACGTCTCCGAGGTGCAGGGGAGCTTCTTCTTCTAGTTCTGTGCCGTAGTGGTGGATGCGCTCGGTGGCGTTCATGTTGTTTTCTACTTCTGCCAGTTGGCGGACGGTGAATTGGACCATGCCGACGATGGAGAGGATGTAGGAGAGGACCAGGCCGCCTATGCTGGGGTTGATGGAGAAACGGGAGGTGACGACCAGAATTCCCACCGTGAAGACTAGGATGACTCCCAAAGCATCGAGACGTGTGGACAGCCAGCGTTGGTTGGCGAAGGTGAGGAAGTAGGCGCCATCCATGGAGTCGACGGAATCGTTGACACGCTTTGCGAATTGGTCCTCGACACCGTATGCTCGGATCGTGGAGGTTCCATTCACGGCCTCTCCGAAGCGGGCGAATACCACACTACGGAGAACTGCTTCGTGTCGTTTGAGTTCGCGGGCGGAAGCACGGTAGTATGCCGCCGAGAAGAGGAACGCTACGATCAATGGAACCAAGGCCACGATGAAGTAGTAGTAGTACGCGATGATCAAGATGAAGACGGAAATGATCATGCACATGGTCAGGAAGAACATGCGCAGGGCATCAGTGAGGGCGTTGTCCATCGTGTCGACATCCTTGGAGAATCGATTGGTGATGCGTCCAATAGGTGTAGTGTCGAAGAAAGACATTGGRGCTCGCAGCACTCTGAACATGGCGCGGTTCAGCATGACTTTACTGGCTTTTGTTCCGAAAATCGTCAAAGCGACGGAGAAAGCAAACATCAGCAGTGCTTGCACCACACCGAGTGCAGCATACACGCCAATGTAAACACCTTCTGTCAGGCCGAATTTGCCAGATGTCCACCAGGAGAGCCACAGACTTGTCGCGATGTTGGCTCCTTGAGAAATGATGAGCAGGAAGAACACGAGGGGAGCCGAGTAGTAGGATCCGGATGCTTTGATGTAGGCGGCGTAGACGTTCCACCCAACGCTCTTCACGGCACGCTCTTCTTGTTGCATCAGAGCAGCCGCGGGCTTGCGACCTTTCTTCTTCTTGGCATCTTTCTTCTCCTCCTCAACTTCATCTTCGTTGACATGTTCCTCATCTTCAGTCTTCTCGGCCGTCGCGGTAGTCTCCATGAGCTTTTGAAATTCCGCGTCGTTTGCCATGAGGTCTGGGAACGTTGCGATCTTGTAGATGGAACCTTCCTTCATCCACACGATACSATCGACGCGGTGAAGAACGTGAAGCTGGTGGGTGGCCAGCACACGCGCCTTGTGCTGGAGCAGTCCACAAATTGCATTGTCCATGATATGCTTTCCAACATGAGCATCCACAGCCGAGAGCGGATCGTCCATGATCACAATATCAGCATCAAAGTAGATTGCTCGGGCAATGTTCAGACGCTGCTTCTGGCCTCCAGAAACAGTGATACCACGCTCACCAATCTCCGTCGCATCTCCAGCTGGCAACATCTCCAAATCAGGACGAAGTGCACAGGCATCAACCACGCTGTCGTACCATTTACGATTGTAGTCCTTGCCGAAGATGATGTTCTCTCTGACAGTGGCGTTTTGAATCCAGGCGTATTGCGGACAGAATGCACGATTGGCGCCAAAAGTCACGCTGCCGTTGGTCTTACGCATGTCTCCAGCGAGCGCGGCAAGCAACGAACTTTTCCCAGAACCAACAGATCCTATGACTGCAATCAACTCATCCCTCCCAAGTGTCAAGTTGATACCATTCACCTCGAACGGCTTCGCTTCCTCTTCTTCAAGAGATGCAGAGCTCGGGGTGATCGGGCTTCCTGGGACGCTTTCAAGCTTCTCCTTCTCCAACATTTTGGAGTGCTGCTTGTCTGATTTGGCCTTTGCCTTGGCGTCCTTCTTGTCCTGCCTCAACTGCTTGTTTCCCTTGGGATCTTGTCCGGGCTTATCATCATTCATATTGCTCGTATTCCTCTCCCAGGTGAAATCGCCGTTGTGGATCTCAATCGCATTGGGTGCCTGCTGGTCCCAAGTCGCGTCGTCTTGTGCCTCCTCTGCGGCAAGGAATTCTTCGATGCGCTTCATCGATTGAAGTGCGTCGACTACTTGACCAATAACCATGGGAAGCAAGTTCAATGGTATCCTCRAGGCATTGAACAATGCGAGGGAGGAGAATATAGGGGCCGGATCCAGGGCGTTGTTTGAGAGCGAGTATGTGATGAAGGCCAGCATTGCAGCAAAGATGGGTAGGGAGAGAGACACAGCCATGATGGCATTTCGAATGCTCAACAAGAATGAGATTTTGTTAATCTCCCGTGTTCTGATCTCCCCAAGACGGTCCAAAAATGCGGTTTCCCAACCAAAGTACTTGACGAAGCGGACAGACTGAATGATCTCTTGCGTAAGACTCACGCGTTGATCGGTGATTTGGTTGATGACCTTTCGGCGCGACATCAATTGCTTAATAGCCCAGGCGAGAAGAGGCATCATGATGCAGATGAATCCAAATCCGGAGAGGGCACTATATGTCAAGTTGACCAACAGCAATGCCAAGGTGAGGAGGATCTGGATTGGGGAGGTCCAGATCATGTGGCCCATACCGCATGCTTGATCGATACGGTAAGTGTCCACAGACATCAAGTTGACAATGCGACCATTTCCCCATCCCGCCCCGTCCCCGGATACACCACTCTTGCCATTCTGTTTGAGTTGCTTTTTGAAATAGGCTTTTTCCTCTTTTGATCCTGGCTGATATTCGGGTTTGGGCTCTTCTTCTTCGGCTTCCACGGCTCTGCCACCAGCTTTCGCACGACCGGACAATCTCATGGCTTTTGCGAAAATGACACTTATCAGAACCGATCGAGACTGGCCACCAACGATCATGCCGCGGTAGATGAAGTGATTGATGCATCCAGACTGGATAATCTGCAGACCCGTCACTCCAAGCACAAGACCGACACCCCTGCCTATTGGAGGTGCTGGGGCTCCTCCATGTTGCGCCACGTACGCCTCGGCGGCGAATTTGATAATGTATCGCAAAACAAAGGGAGCCAGCACCTGTACAAGGGCCGCAATCAATTGACAGATACCTCCAATGATAACCTCTTTCTTGAAGGTGTCGTAGAGAGCCATGACCAAAGGCGTGAAATATTTGCCTGTGCCACCCTTGCGATTTTCCAGGGATGTCAGAAGCTTGTGCTTCATCACATCGACGCTACGATCTGGGTTGACAGACCAGATGTCATCGAGTTCGAGGGGACGTTGATATCCAACTCCCATTAGTGGCGACATCCATTGGAATGTYAACATGCTGAAAAAGCCAGCTTGGTGTTCTCGCGACGTAGCACGCTCCTTTGGTATGGGTGGTAGCGCAGCATGTTTAAAAGGATTCATCTTCTCGCTCCAGGTTTGTTTTCGAGGAATTTCATCCACAGGCAGTTCAGTTGCCACGCTGGTTTCGGTCGTGGTAGTCCAATTACTTCGCGTCCGTTCCATGGGAGATCGTACATTCTTCTTCTCGAATTCGTCATCTTGCGAACTGCTCTCTTCAGCAGCTTCACAATCGACAGCCCGTTCCTCCCTCAAATCCTGTTCAGATTTCACCCGTTCCAAGGCCTCCTCGGCAACAGGTTCGGGATGTGTGGCGTCCTCCATTCCAGGGTCTCCAGTGTTTGTTGCCCATTGCCTGTCCTCATCATGAGAAGACATCCTCTTCCTTTCTCGCCACCCAAAGTAGCTTCACCAGGTTGAAAGAGAGGAACAACTAAAGAGAGAGAGACAGAGAATGAAAGGCGGAGACAAGAACATATGGAAGGTTACCTAAAAGAACCCGTTGACGCATCACACGCAGTAGGTGGACCTCGCCTTACCGAGCAATCGGCCAGAGGCGCCTCTGAACCCCGACACCCGTCGGCCGTCAAAACATTCAGCGGGACCCGCCCCGCCCCAGACGAATCAGAATCAGAAACGATTGGCGCGGGAAACTGTGCGTAAACGGCAGGTGAAGAGCTTGTCACGCTTAGCGGCAAAACTTGGCGAGATCTACCTGCAGCCAAAAAAGTTCACGAGATCCATTACGAAGCAAGGACGACATCAACCAACATCGCCTCCTCTTTACTGGAGAGAGCAACTGAGCGGGCGAACGAAAGGCCGAGAATTTTCTAGCAAACAACTAGAAACGGAACTTCACCTACAAAGCCCGAATAAGCAAGCAAAGGTCGGTGAAAAGAGTCCGTCTCGAACAAAGAGCTACCTTACCTTACTTGACCTGACCTCCATTGACCCTGCTAGGCCGCAGTAAACAATATGTAAGTATGATCAGTACATACTCCTTAGCATCAGTCAGTTCATGCACGTCAGCACGCGACGTTGTTCTCGCAACATGCATACCTTACATAGGCTATCCCTGTACATTTTTGAACAATTGAACTTCGTACGGTAAGAAGTAGTCAAACGGCCAGTAAATAGTTAGTTCGTGGCGTTTTGTCGAAAGAAGATCAGATCTCTCAGACCAAACAGATGTCAATAATTAGAGATCTCCCCACGTTGCAAAACCGTACGACTCTCGCCACGTTGTCTCGTTCCTCGTGTAATCGTGTGCGTCGGTAGTGCACTGGCATGGTTTTTTGTGATCCAGAGGAGCCGTCCGTGAAAAAAATGGATTACGAATCAAAAGAGCGGAGGTAACAGCTGTTTTCGGGTCCGAGGGATAACATTTCCATCCGAGCTTCCTAGCCTTTTGAGTGGTCGGGCGCTAAGGTAAGAAGAGGATGATCGGATACCTTACCTTACTCCACCAAGTGCTTATTTGACGCTTGGCTGGCGCCTGGACCACCACCATGTGCAAGGTGATCCCTGGTCCCTTGAGAGCCATCAGGTGAATGAATGGAATGGAAGCGAGTGGGAAACTTGACCGCCATTTCTTCCATTCATCGAGTGGATTGGATAGGCGCCTTTGTCTGGATAATAATATTGACAAGCTAAGCTACTGACTACAGATTATTATATGCATTACACCATCTACTCCTCAAAACCCCGACGTACCAATACAATTGGACCATCGTACAACGTTCCCCGCCATTTCCCTTTCCTCCCCGCTCATCACACGTTAGCCGTGTTGGTCTTCCTCAAGAAGACGGGAACATCGCTCAAATCAATGCCAAAATCTTCACTCATCTTCACACTCTTTCGGTTGACGTTGTCGGTAGACAGGGTACCCGCACTCCCTCCAAATCCAGTGCTACGATCCCAGCCATAGCCAAGTCCGCCGCTATACCGATCAAGTACTGTGGCATCCCTCAGTTGAGGCATGCTTGTGTTATGGGGCTCTGCGATGTAGAAGCTACCTGGTGCGACACTGCCAGGTGGGATGTCGCACGTACGACGAGCGCGGCTGAGAGCACGTGAACGCTCTGCTCGAACGGCATCGGCGGCTCGGTAGGGAGTAAATGGACGTTCCGCTATGGTTGTTGCCGGCTTGTCTGTAAAGGGGTTTGGCGAGCCAGTTGCAGACGCATTCGAGGAAGCGCTCGAAGCCACACTCCCCGTCCAGGAGACGTCTAGCTTGGCGACTTTCCCATCAGAGGATGGCGTGGTTGATGGTGCGGTAGAGTCGACACTGCCTGTACGCTGTGCGTCGTGCTGATCCGACCAGTCATCGCTGAGAAGATGGGCGTACGATTCCGCCAGCTTCTCGGCAGTGTTGGGGTACTGAACATGTGTATCGTTGGCACCAAGAGGAGTGATGTATCGCGAAACAACAATCTTTGGTGAAGATGGGGATTGTTCACCTCCAACAACAATCTTACCACTCATGTCCAGTGAATTGTTCATAGCATGACMCAGTTCGGCTTTGCGCTGCCGCCACAAGTCAGCCTGCTTCTGCCAGCCTGGCCATCCTGGGTGTTGAGAGTCGTGTGTCGGGGAGGTGGGTTGAGAACGCCCATCCACTTCAGGCAGCGGAATGCTTCCATCGATGCTGAACCTGTTACCACGGGTAGGCTGTGGGCTTCCAATCTCGCCCGCGCTCTTCTGCGGGGAGGCAGGTTTGGATGCATCTTTTCTCGCAAGGCTTGAAAGAGTATTCTCACTGCGCATGGACGGCAATGGGGAGTTTCGAGGAGAGTTTCGCGGACTGTTCATCATCCTCTTTGCAACCATCTGGTCCGCTCGTGAAAGCTTTGACTCGATATCAGAYGGAAGATCTGGAAGTGGTGGAACACTACTGAGACTCAGCGGACTGCGGGGCCGGTGGGGTTGCCGCACTTGTAAGAACGTTGGCGAAGGTGTGGACGCAGGCGATGGTGTCGCTGCGGGGCGGCTCTGCCATCCGGGGAACAAGTCTTCCACAGCTCCATGGGCTCCAATAGGGATAACGCGATCGTTGCCCTCCAAGGGCGCCGGCGTCGCCGCTGTTGGGACATGCTCGTTGGGCGGAAGCTCCGCGAATGGTGGATGTGGTACACTTTGGCTTTGGTTGTTCTCTTGGTGTGACTGTTGGCGGCTGTGCACAAATTTTGGTAGAGCGACGCTCCGATTCTTTTCCGAAAACTCATAAGGTGGATGTGATGCAAGAGCGCGAGCAACAGTCTGAAAGTCGGATGTTGGGCGATTCGTGTGCTGGTGCTCTGTCCCGGTGCTACTCAAGCAGTTGGTTCCACGAGTCTCCTCCGGTATAACCGGCGGGGGGCCGCTGGAGCTGATGCTCCTCTTGACTCGGTTCCTGAATGATGGGGTTTGCAGAACAATGTCTTGGTTGGGGGCCAAAGCGTTTGTATGGCTTCGGCTTCTACCGAAACTCTTGCCACGCAGTCTGAATCGATGGCTGCTTTCACCTAGAGTATCTGGGGTAGAAGTCCGAGTGGTTTCACCAGATGCAAGCAGGAGATCTGAGCGTGGAGACCTCAATTGCCGCATTTCCTCCCGTGCAGGTGATCCGTCGCGCTCATCGATCGAGGGGCGCATGCAACCTTCAAGTGTCCTTTGCGAGCGGGAAGACTTTGGAGCCCGTTTTTGGAGCCTCTTCGAGTGCTTCCCGGAGTCAGTGTCTGATCCGGATAGGGGTGAGCTTTGTGGGCGCAGTGAATTTCCCACTACATCGTTCATCGACGAGACACTACCCCTCATGCCTTTGTTTCGCCGTAGGAATGACAAGGGCGATGATCGGCCCCTGTCGGTTCTAGTCAAATGTGGCTCCATGTGAGGTCCACCCAGGGCTTCTCCATTGCTGTACTTGCCTGCATGTTCGGGCAGAACCAGCCCTCCTGTGCCAGTCCGATGTACGCCCTGCTCGCGTCCGTGAGTCCGAGGCTCTGTGCGAGCAAGTGCWCTCGGCTCATCAAGTTGACTTGCACTTCTGAGAACCAGTTGCGACTGCTGCCAACTGGCCACATCAGACTGATAGTCACTGTCTACCTTGTTCAGCGGCCTTCGGGGAGGTGCAATGTCGACGTGGTCCGGAAGGCTACTCGCTAGCTGCTCTGCAGACCATGGCATCCAAGCTCTGTTGTTGTCGGCTGCTGGCATGCTTTCGCTTGTGAGTTTGGATATTGCACCTGCATGCGACTCTTCTTGGTTCGCCTCATCAGTCTCCACATCAGGCACAGAGCTCAGGCGTTTGAACAGCTCCATTTGAGCCGCTTTTCCGTCAAGCGCGGTATCCGCATCGACCATGGACTGTGATGGGAGGTGTGCTGCGCGATGGCTCCATCTCTGTTTGAAACGGGCCTTGTGGGGCGAATTCGGGAGACTGTTCGGTTGATCCAAGGATTTTCGCCCCATCTCAGCGCTTGGCTTTGAGATTGAAGCCGAACGAGATCGTTGTATTCCGGCAGACTCATGTTCAGACTCTTCGATGGCTCGAGAATTCCGATGGGAATGCCGAGGGCCGCTCGGACGAGGTCGCTCAGAGTGTTGCACCTTGCCCACGTTGGCGGCAACACTTGTATCCTGGTCCGCAACTCCCTCTCCAGTGGCAGCAATCTTCGAGATGACGCCCGGCTCCGGCGATGCAGCACCGTTCGTGATGCGAAGAGTCCCGGGGTGGTAGGTTCCAGTGTTGGGCTGCTCGGACGGTGTTTCTGGCCGTGTGGAAGACGGGTCTTTGGTATAATCCGGCTTGCTGCCCGCACCAGGCTGGGATCCATGCACCCACATCTCCCTTCGCTCTCTCGAGGCTGCGCGGACTGTCGCGTTACTCCCAGGCTTTCTCAATACGTCCTCAGTAAGTCCGTTTCGAGTGGCCAATCCCGGAGGCAACACAGACCTTCTCCTCTCAGGCGGAACTGCGGCAGAGAATGGAGAATCTTCGCCTGACCCTGATTGCGGCGAATATATTGGTGAGACTTCCTTGACAGGCAAAAGAGCTCTATGCAGAGCCACGAGTTCCTCGGGTGATGCTGTTTTCTTCAATTGCTGCAGCAAGTCGATGGCATGCTCAACGTCAAGCTTGTCCGTTGGTGACCCCAACGGTCGCGCCACATCAGCACTCGCTTCGGGAGTTGCGGGTGGAGAGCTCGGGCTGTCAATCGGCTGATTGAGTACCGACGATGATGAAGCTTTGGTGAGATGCGGTATACTCCCGTCGAACAAGGTACCACACCTCAGTGCTTCTGTAGATTGGTCGCTGAATTGTCGACGCAGTAATTGACGCTGAGTAGTGACCACACGTCTGCTCTGCAGATCCGCGATGGAATAACGCGGCGGTCTCTCCTCCCTTTTCGTCTCATTTGGTTCCACCACGCTCGTTTTGCTTCGCGCCTTGGCCAGCCGTGAAAGAGGCATGTTGGTGGTGGATCTGCAATACATTAGCTTCTTGTCATGCCCGCTCCCCAATGCCGAAGCAAGGTCAGTTTAGATCAAACGGGTGGGGTGTTTACCCACCAATAAGAATTACTATGGCGACTTGTCCGTTATTCGCAACCGGCGGCGTCTGGAAGCGTTGATGGACCCCAATGTGGACCGATGGACCGGAGAGAGAGGCCGTGGGGAAGGCGTTGGGCAAGATAAATCCAGTGTACAGAGCAGTGTGCTGTTCGAGTAGTCGTTCTTCGTTTCACATGTACCGTTGTGCTCTTCAGCCACCCCGGCGACGAACGGCCGTCGCTGCAGAACCTGATTTTACCTGCGACGAGACCAGAGAGCTTGCCCCTGCAACGGATTAAAGCAGCATCGTCCACGGTGAACACAACTCTTTCAAGCTGGAGGCGTCTTAGAGGAAGAGGTTCGGACGAGGCGATCAAACGCGAAAGTAGGCGGTAGTCGCAGTGTACAAGAAGTAAAACCCACCGTAACCGTGCGCCCTCTCGAGAAATGGAGAGAAATGAGCCATTGGCAAGCAGCAGCGTGGATAAAGCCTGCTKGCGGACACCGAAGCGGGTCGCTGGAGTTTCAAGTGATGCGCTTGTCCGCCTCTTCCAAGTGGGACGGTCGTGTAGGAAACCTGATCGCGACAGGGTTCGGCTGCAGCTGGCAGATGGACAGGCAAATATAGAGCGCCCGGGCGGATATTGAGTATCGCGACATCGTGAGTCGTGACACGCCGGCTCGTCCCCGCTCTCCTGAAAATGTTTGATGATATCTTACCTGAAGTAACCTGAAGGGTCGCGCACCGGCGACTTCGTTACCCATCTGTCTAGATGCAAACCAGGAAGTGCAACACGAGCGGATGGTTGCCACGCAGCTTTTGCGCAATGCACGGTTCTAATCAATGCGCTAAGGTAAGCATCGCTTCCCCACCAAGATCCGTACCGGCCGAGCAGCCCAGCCCGACCACACCTCACCAACTTCTCGTCCAACCTCCGACAAAGAACAAGAACAAGTTCGCCCACCACCGACCGCATCACGCATCATCTCACACCGACTCTCCCTAACTGTCACCTCCGTCATCCATGCATCAAGTCTCTGTCAAACAACGCTCCATCGGCGTTCAATCAACCCCGACCGGCCCCTTCCCTGCAACCTTTTTCGCCCTGATGAGCCAAGTTTGGGGTATATCGTAGCTTGCAATAAGAAGCCACCACACCCGGCGATTCGTGTGTCAATGGCAGAAAAGCACATGCCCCGATCAGAGGGAACGGCAGAAATTATCAGTGTCGATCCCGATATCGAACATTTTTATTTGCCGGCCTTTACATGGGCACGTGCCAAATGCATGGCCTTGCGTGAGGGGGAATCTATTAACGGACTGTGATGTGCCGAGAAATGTATATGTGGGAGGCATGTATTCAAAACATCAAAGCGAAATGCTATTGAGCGTTTTGCAAGTCTTTTCACAGTAACGCCGTATCCCAAGACATCGAAGGAGGCGATCATCGATCTCTCGTACACTCCTGGCGGTGAGGGTAACACTTTTCTCCGCTGGTGTATCAACGATGCAGGTTGCCCATTGACCCGCCCCTCACATGATGTATCATGTTTCAAGATCAAAGAGAGTTTCCCGCTGACGGCATTGAAACGCACATGTGGAAGATTGGAAACGAGACCGGGTATCGTGGCTTTACATGCAAGAAAAAGCAAATGATTGGCAGGCAAACACGCGAAAAGAGGTATCATCGGAAATCCAAACAATCTTTCCCAAAATCAAGCCTCGAGGCTCAGCTCTGATTGCTCATGACGTTCATAAGGCACCGCTTCGAAAAAGGCAAACTGTACACGCCAATTCTCGCTCGCAAGCGTAAGGTAACTTCTCGTACTGCCTCTAGTGCGCRGTGTCCGCTGCCGGTTGATGAGGCAGATAGCTTCGCTTGGCCTTCTCCATCCTAGACTTGTTCCTCAATTTCACGTCTTTGGCAGCCTGGCTAAAAGTGCCATGCTCTCTCGCAACAGCCTCTTCATCAGCCAAGCCAGCCTGGATCATATCCAGCTCTTCCTCGTCCGAGGATGAAATTGAAGACGAGGACCTGTTGCCCTGTGTATAGATAATACCTTCGCCCTCACGCTGCTTTCGCTCGCGCTGCTCCTTCTTCATCTTCTGCTGCTTCTCGGCATCTTTGTTGCAATCCAGGGTCAAAATGTGCAAGCCAGGAAGCTGCTCTGCCAGGAACCTTTTCAAGACAGGGAGCATCGTGGCTTCTGGTCGGTATGTCCCGCTGTCATTGTCGATGACAAGCTCATAGTATCTTGGGTCATGATCATGATCCTGAGAGCCATCTTCTWCAAGATCCGCTGGAGGATGCTCATCGTTCTGCTCGTGCGGTGGTGGATGTGACTGGCTGGACTCCTCCGCAGGCTCTGGTGGAGGAGGGCGCTTGGGGTGTTTGAGTCTTCGGATGAAGAATTCGCCTGAGTAGGCAATGTAAACGCTGACATCACTGTGCATGGTGTGTTTGCTCAACATGTCAATTCCAAACTCTTTGCCAGTCTCGGTGAACCTCCACAGGGCATCCAATGTGAGGACATAGGTAAATATGCGGCCGCCGTGATCCCAATGTACGAGATCGAGAAACTGTCTGGTCATGTTATCGGACTTGGCACGCGGTTGTCCCCAAAGTGTAGATCTCCCAAAGTTGTAGACACGAGTGTGTTGGTGGCGTAGTGCTGATCCCATGATGACACCGCTAATTCCTTTGCTTGTGAACATTCTACCAACCCAAGGTTTGAATTCCACAAAGCGATGGTAGAGCTCCGCCGGCACAGGTCCTTCAAGCTGCAACTGACAAGCTTGGAAATTATATCGCTGAACCTCCTTCTTCTGCTCTCCACCCATGCTCTCTCCCGGTTCTTGCTCGTCTGGCGCTTTGGTGTTGGTGAGGCGGCCGAGCATGGGACTGAAATGGCGGATCCATCTACACGGTCCGACGGTATACAGCCGACCATTCTGCCCATCCTCTTTCGTACGACCCAGCATTGAGATGCTGACGTAGATGTGGCCGCGGAAGTGTTTGTTTTCCCTAAAACAAGTTGACACTGCCTGCAGCATATACGCTCTGACACTGCCACCGTACGCCATCAGCTYGTAACCTTGGTTGTCGATGCCTTCCCAGCTCTCGTCAAGAGAAGGAACATGAATGTGCACTCTCCCAAGCATATCGTCCTTGTCTGCAGGGTCCTCGTCCATCACACGCATTTTGAGCTTGAAGCCAGACGCAGGCACATTTGCAACGATCCATTCTTCGTTCCATACTGGCTCTGTGTCTTTACGCACGGTTGAGCTTCTCCATCGCAACTTGGGGTCCTCATTGTGCCGCATGGGTGTGTCGGTATTCAACTGCGCCAGGCAGTACGGGTCCGAGGAGAAGCCGTTGATGTCTGCCATGGGCAAGTTCGTGGCGCGATGCACCTTGATCCTGATCGTGTAGCCGGCTGGCCGACGTGGGATTGGAGTACGATCGAATCCACCTGACGGTCCCTTCTCTTTAGCCTTATCAAGCGAATTGCTGTCGGTGCCATCATTGCTGCTATCAGGCCTGAGTGTTTCCTGCTTTTGGGATATATCGGAATGGCCAATCGAGGGACTGTTTGTCTTCTCGTTCTGCACAGGATTTGTCGCTCCCTGTTGCGCCTGATCGCGCACAACCCCATTGCTCTTCTCGTTCAACGCCATCGCTGTCGCCGATCGTCTCTTGTTCTGGTTCCGTGCGGGGCCGCGAGTTTCCGAAGCTTGGCTTTGAGCAGTCGCCTTCAACTCGAGCTCATGAGGGAGTGAGTAGGTCAGGACGTCGGTGCATGGGAGGAAGACGCGCGTCATGTATGCTCTTGTTAAGAACGAGGCCGAAAAGATGGCTGCTCTGCTGCCCACCACACCACCGGATACCGGCTTTCAGAGCGGTCCTCGTGAGTCGTCAGCCTCTTGCTAGTGCATACCTAAGCTTACGCCCAGAAAAGCTTGGTATATTCGATCTGATTGATTGTCAAACAAATTCTCGCCAACCTTGCAGGTTGTGTTGCACAGCCGGTAGCTGAGCCCCTTGGCCCTCGCAAACCGCGTCAGCTTCACAGAATGCCGTATGACGATGGCTCCAACATCTCCTATCTGGGACTCCGCAGTTCTCCATTCCCCAAGCATTGGCGTGCCGAAGGTCCGTCACGATGAGCCATCCTTCAGGATTGCACACTTGTGAACGTTGCTGACGACGCCCATGGCGATCGGCGCAGGGAAGAGGCTGGAATCTTGGTTTTGGAACCTTGAGACGTCGAAAACAAAATATCGCTCACGAACAGCAGCATGCCCTATTCGTGGAATTAATAGCGCTTTCGAGCTGGCCCAAATTTCAAAGTGCAATTTCGGTTAGCAGTGCAACTTGAGCAGAAGAGCGCTGCTGAAGAGCCGGAGGAGGATGAACAGGACCTGTTTTGGCGAGAGCAAAAGCACCTCAAATCCTGGTAACGCTGACGTTTTGTATACTATTCTAGTGTGATGGAGTTCCGGCATGCCCAGCCGTGAATGCTGCCAATCTCTTCGCTGCGTCAACACCATCAATTATTATCGGCCCTTCATTTCCCATCGTCAAACCCACTCAAACGCCGCCGAGTTCACACGAATGGATTTCGAAGTGGGCAGAGTGCCCACTTGCCCGTTGTGGAACGCGACCTCGCAGGGAGCGCCGACATTCACATCGCTTTTGCCCGGAAGATGAGTCGGCAGCATCTCATCGATCTCACCACCACCACCACCGCCGGTGAGCATGAGCATCTGTGAAAAAGGGTCACTCGCAGGTTGATCGTCTGTCGCTGTCTCCGTGCGGATCTCTTTCCTGAGTATGTCGGCTTCTTTTTTGAAGGCGACCCAGAGCTCGTACTTTTCGAGATTCTCCTCATCACTGGACTCCTCGATATCAGTCTGGTGAATGATGGATAGCAGGCTAGCCACGAAGCATTCTTGCATGTATGCAAATGAGAAGTCGTGCGTTATACCGGCCATGGCAGGGCAGAGCTTCTCCGGGAATTGGATGTCACCCTTGTGGGATACCTTCTTGCGCCAGTATTCGCAGTACAGCGTTCTCTCGTGCTCATTTGGTAGCGGGAACAAATACTTGCGGTCGAAGCGCGRGGGTCGTGAGGTGAGACCTGGGTCCAATCTATCCAAATAGTTGGTCGATGCGACTACGAAGAGACMAGAATTGTCTTCGAGTCCGTCCATCTGGTTGAAGAAATAGCTCCTCGTCTGGGGCGTAACGATCGTCTCGATATCCTCCAGAACCAGCATGCAAGGGGATAGTGCCCTGGCCTTTAGGAAAACGTCCTTGATGGAATACTCTCTCGGTGCGCTCTTCACGTACAACGTCGGAATGGAGTGCTTTCGATCAAGCAGGCTGTGCATTAGAGCTTTGATCGAGATTGTCTTGCCGTTGCCGGGAGGACCTGAGCAGACAAGTTAGAGAGAGCTTTAGGAGCGTTACGCTTGGGAAAGGTTCTTGCCGTGAAACATGAGCCCTCTCTTCCATGGCACTCCGATATCCTCGTAAGTATCTTTCGAGTCGAAGAAATTTTCTGATGTCTCCTTTAATTCTTTCTTCATGCCTTCGTCTACACGGTAGGGCAAGAAAGTCAGCGGATTCCGACCTGACGGAGGCAAGCGATCGCCTCTTCAATCAGCTTACCTAGGATAACCTTGTCCCATGTCATCTTGTGCACTTCTTCGTAGAGCTTCTTGTCTTGATACCAATAGCCGTCGTAACACCAAACAATTTTGTTGAGCAGCCAGGCTCCAACTGCCTTGATCAAAGCATCGGTGGCATCGGAAGGTCCGAGAGGATGTTCGGACACACGGCGCTCTTTGAGAACGTACTGTAAGTCCATCACTGTGTATACAATGAAGTCCTCATTGCCCCATTTGTAGTGATGCTTCGCAAAGTGAACAGATTCGGCGAGCTGGCCCTCGCGAGATGATGCGGATGGACCGACATAGCCTCTCCAGCTGGCGAACGAGTCTGTCTCCTTGTCTACCTCGTACGAAGCAAATCCAGCTCCGGCGAACCTAAGCAATGGAATGTTGCTAGTTGGGATTGCCGTCACTATCATGTGTGGATTCGCTGCACGAAGAGCTGTCACATATTGCAGGTCATGGTCGGCTGAGCGAGCGCTGGTGAGATCGAGAACGTCGTCAAAGAGTTGATAGCTTGTACAATCTTTCGCACTGAATTTGGACTGTCCGGAAGGTGGTGAGGTTCTCTTGACGGCCTCGAGGGAGGTGAAAGGCTGCTGGGAAGCCATGGTAGCGGTTTCTCGATATTTCCTTGAATTTGTGTATTGTGGTTCAATGGCAGTTCTTAACGATCGTGAGCAAATCGATCGATTTGTTGAGAAGAGGAACTAGAACAGGTCRTCGTCGTCAATGTCAACTTGAGTGTTGCCTGCTCGAAGGATGCGCTACTGTAAGTGGTGCAGGGACCCGGCTTGGTGGCATGAGCTGACGGGAGGAACGCGTCCTGGACTCCTAAGGACATCATCAAACATCAACATCAACCTAATATCGGGACCATCACAATTAATGCCTCTCGCCCGGAGCCTCACGTTTTCATGGCGCTTTACGATCGTTAGACGTATGCTGGCTCTGATTCGCATCATCTTCAGGGTTAGGGTTGGGGTAGTGTCTTCTCCAAGGCGACAGCGGGGCCGTCTTATATGACGCTTCCTGGATGGTCGTAGTATCAGTAATGTCTTCGAGTACTATTCCAGTGAGGCCCTACAGGCATGTGGGTCATGCTATGGCGAGTTGCCCGAAAAATTGATCATTGAGACAACTGACTTCGTGAATCCTGACCAACAATATAGTAACTCTGATGTCTCCTGCTCGCCCTTTGGAAAACACAATCTTCGAACAATTACACCGACGCATCTCCTGTTAGAATGCTCGAACTTAGTCTGCTCACCGAACTGGTGTCATGTTCGAGCGACGCTCGCATGCATCGATAGAGGACAGTATAAGACCCGAAGGTCGATAGAGTCTCTAGCTCGACCTCGCCCCAGGAGAGTAAATATCGTGAAATCACCAACCACCAAACGCCTGAGATCCATGCGGGTCCCTGCCCGCAGTCATATATTTCTGCTGGACTACGATGGACTGATCCTGACCATTGTCCGAAAGTATCAGGAATTGGTACGGTGAACTTTAATGACCCGTCTTTGATCGCTCCCCACCTACGAATGATGGAGGTAGCAATATGGTATTCGTCGGTTGTATGTGTTCATGTTCCGAGACAATCAGGGTCAACGTTGTTTCCGCGCTTGTGTGGAATGGGTGAGTGAATGAATTCAAAAGCTTAATCGCCGTTCGGAAGGCCTCCACCTCCAAGGAATCCCAAATACGCCGGCAGACCAAGTATACTCCGGGTACTACGCGGCAAACTACTTGGAAGTCCATGTGAGCATCGGCCGAGGACTTCGATACGCTTCAAATTCATCTCAGCTGAACGATACTCAACTATCACAAGCGCTGCCATGTGACCGCGCGGTAAATTAACACCGTTTGAGCTTCATGCAGCTACGTGCAGCCGAAACGTACGTCATTACGTCACCGCGTGCCTATACATTGATCACATTCGAACACCAAGCTGTTCTCTTACCACAACATCGACAACCCCTCTCAGTGCACCTCAAGGCCCCAAGAACGCGGCATGGACCACCAAACCTACCACTTCTGTGTCATCCTCGAAACGAAGCTATCATTGACTTGAATAAGCTCGCCTGTGACAGGTTTCGCTGCATACGACTTCGCAGTGGATAGTCTCCATTGAGAAAAAGCTCACCACCACAACCGTCAAATCCGGCGTCGATCTCCTGAGTCATTCTTCAGCAGCACCCACGAAACGAGGAGCTCTCTCACCTCATTCCGTGCTTGCGAAGGCCAAACGTGACCAGAGTCCACCGAGCTCGTGAAATGACTCCGAGATCCAGAGCCCCCAAAGCAACCCGGCGCAGCACACCTGCTGCAGCCACATCCGGAATTTCGAAGGCTGGCCAGCGCCGCATCTCCACGAAGCCCGGCATTCGCACTCCACCCAAACCAAGGCAGAAATCTAAGCGTTTCCAAGAGGCCAAGGATGGCGATATGTCGTCAATGGTCAAAGTTGGCTGGGGCGCAGAAAAGATGCTCGCCACCTACAACGAGACACAAGTCGCGAAAGGTCTACCAACAGTCGAGCAAATCGACGACCCCCACGTTCTGAGCCTGATTGAGACCCGCAAGAACGCCCAACAGGCTAACACACGAAGATATCAAGCCCGCAAGACAAAGCAAGCCGCACTCGGTGACATTGACGCTGCGAGGAAGCTGAAGTGGAGTGACCAGCGAATCAAGTCACTGCATTTGTGGGTACGTAACGGCCGCATCGGAATCTTTGATCAAAAGCTCAACCAGGAAGACGACGAGGATTCTGAGGACTCTGAGGATTCCGAGGATTTTGAAGGTGAGTCAGAGGCTGAGTCCGAGGAAGAATTAGAGGCCGAGTTGGAGGAAAACCCAGAGTATGATTTCGATTTCGTGCTTGGATCGGAACCAGACGCCGTGCGCAAGCTTGAGCCTGAGATGGACTTGGAGGACAACATCCAGGTGGCCGGTCCACCAGTCGATGGATGGCCTCGAAAGATGCTCCACCAGGATCGCACACCGCCCGCGATGCCGTCCTACCCCTCCGAGAACATCACCATGTTCGATCATGATCAGTCCGCCGACGATGAAAAGTGGGAATTTTCTGAAGAGATATCCACGGGCTATCCAGATGTAATGTCATTGCCAGAGGACAACGCGCCTGGCTCACCGGAGGGTAGCGCTACCAACTCCTGGTTCGAGCTCCTGCGAAATGACCATGCCGACTTCCCCAAAGTCCGCACTAACACTGAGCTCCCATACCACAGCCAGCAGCACATGAGCATGACCCACCCACGTACCGATGGGGCAAGCTCATCTGACCCGTCAATCTACGACAACTCCTACCTGCCATACAACACCAACAACGGCTTCGAGCAGTATGCCAGCCGCACCGGAGATCCGTGGTCATTGGCGGGTGACCACCAACTCTACGCCTCTCAAGACGACATCCACGCCCGGCAATACGAGTTCGACGAAGCCTCTCGTGCTCTGCATCTAGCCCAAGAGCGGGTCAACGAGGCAAATCGAGAGCTTCTCGATACAAAGCAGCGTAGCACCTTCATGGATCATCAGATGGAGTGGTTGAACATGAACCAGTAAGCTGAAGCCTCTCACCTCCTCACAACAACCAGGCTGCGGTCCGAGAGTACCGGAGTTTATTTTGGCGGCACGGTGAGTCGAAAGTACAAACTGGCAAAGACACCCAAGCGGGACTTGTTCGATTATCCTCCTGATACCGGGAGGATCAARGGTAGGGAGAAATCTCTCTCAATCTGAAAAGTTCACGAAGTGATTTTTGATTGCACCATCAAACTCCTTTTGTTTTTCTTTGGCCAGGAAGGAAGGATCGTCTGGAGAGGACGGTGTGTGGGTACCTGCATTGGGTTCCCGGATGCTTCAGCATGGGAAAGACATCAACCTCCAGATGTTCCTCGTTTCCAAGTCTTTTGCTGCGATTTTGAGTAAGTTAGGGACCGCGGGCGGTATTGCAATTCTTGCTTGAATGTCAAAGTTTCCGTATTTTCACCTCTCCGTGCCGTGTACTTCCATGATAGTTTGCAACCGACTTCGACAATCATTGCAGATGCTCCAAGCACCCTCACCGTGATGACATGAAACCACGGAGACGCATCAGATACGAATGTGTAGCAAGAGGTATGTCTAGAACATTTGGGATACTTGCATCGATATATACTCGGACAGAGTTCAAGCCGCCATCGGCATGCATTGATCCAAGGCATTATCCAGTGTCATCAGTCGTATGGCTTATTACTCAAGCCACGGCCTTATTAGATCCGTACCAGATCAACCCCATTGGAACAGGACTTGTCCTTTCTTGCCCTTACCCTTGTTTCCTCTGCTTGGCGCGCTCTCCTCCACAGCGGGTGGTGCAGCATCGGACGCGGAACCTCCCCATGCATTCGCTGCAGTTTGGTTGTGGGTGTTGTTTCTAATAATACCCCTACCAGTGTAGCCAGGAGCGAAAAGGGTAGACGTGGGCTTCTTGGCCGCTGGTAGAGCTGGGAAAGCGTTCTTCGCCAGGCTTACGGAGGACTGCTGCCGGCTGGGCGCTGGTGAGGGCCGCGAGCTGGTTGCAGGTGATGGAGCGTGTGATGACGACGAAGAAGAGGCAGCAGGTCGGATTGCTAGCCAGCCAGAGCCAGACACTGTACCTCTGGGCGCTGCACCATCTTTGCGAGCTGGAAGAGATGGGAAAGGATTGCTCGAGCTCGCTGCCCCTGAGCCGGAAGCGGTTCCCCATGAGGCAGACTTACCGACAGTCGAGCGAGAGCTCTGCGCGGTGGAACTCTTCAGCTTGAGGACTCTGGACGTCCCCACGCCGTGCCCTAGTACAGCAGCGCTCGAGCTTCCACTTGCGGCTGCCTGACCTGGGAGAGTGGGGTAGTCTTCGTTGATGGCCTTCCAATCGCCCCAAGCTCGAAGGAGATTGTCACGCTTGGCAGGAATTTCGAAAATCTCCGCCAGCTCTTTGACGAGCTTTCCCAGTTCCTCGGAGTTGGTATCAAACAACGCGAAGAATGCATCGATCAAGTCGCCCGCAGAAACGGCATCTTTTCGAAAAGCAGACACTCGTTCGCGAAATTCGTTCATCTTGCCAGCATCGTTGCGAAGCAGTGTTGAAGCACGCTCCGTAACTGCTGCATGACGAACACGGCGAGCTTGCTCTTGAGGTGTCAATGCTGCGGCTTCCGCCGGTATGCGAGGAGATGTCGCGGCCGACGCCTGGGCACTACCAGTCGCTGGTGGGGGCGCTTCAAAATTGTTTGCACGTTGAGCATTTGCAGGCCGAGCAACGTTCTGAACAGCCGGAGCCGCGCTTAGTTGGCCACCAAAAGAGCGTGAGGACACAGACTGTGCGCTGTGAATTTCGCGTTCGCGTTGGTATGCAGCCTCAGCACGGGTAAGATGACCTGAAGATACAGCAGGCGTGTGCTCTGCGTTTGGGTCCCGACCTCTTCCTGCACGGCGGCCACCTCTACCACCACCTCGCTGCGGCTCCTCGTACTGTGGTCGGTAATCGAAATTGCTCAGGTCGACCCTCCTCGCGTCGCGTCTTACATCTTTGGACATTCCGTTGGGATGGCTCTCTAGCTGATGGGCTTTCAAGTCCATCTGCGAGTCGAACACGACGAATTTCTTCTCCTGGCATTCTTGATCTAGGCATGGGAAATGATCTCGTGTGAAATGCTGCTCAAGAGCTTTGTAGTCCACAAAGTAGGCTGGAGTCTGGCCGCCAGTACGGCGATCGCAAAGATGACAGCGTTCGTGACGCTCTCTGCAATGCACAAAGAGCTCATCGTCCCCGTAGAAGCGCTTACGACAAAAGCCGCACTCCGGATGGCCCTTGAATCCACTCTGGTCAATGGCGCCTGGATTATCGTCGCCGAACTTTTCGTGCTTCTTCAACTCTTGCTGCGTGAACAGTTCGTGCTCGTGGGTGAATACTTTCTTATTCCGTGTGCACAAATCACACATGACCTTCTGGTGAAGGGACCGCACGTGTCTATGCAAGTCGGGCCAGCCCAAGCATGCCACATCACAGTCCTGGTCTGGACAGTTGTAGCGGAGCAGCAGGACTGTATCCTCGAAAATCTCTGGCTTCTCATAGCTGATACCCAAGTTCTTGTCTTGCTGGTCAAAGTCTGAGGGTTTGAAGTCTTCGTATCGCTTCTCCGCATCGTCGGTGAAGATGACATTTGCAGCYTCAGCTCTGCAGTGTGCACAAGCTTTCGTCTTGTACAAGGCACGCAGTCTGAGGGCACAAATGTGGCAGGTGCGGTGGTTACAGGGCGCAACGCTGTTGTGAGAGACGGGAGATGCGCAGATGAAGCACACCTCGGCCTCCACATCGTCACCATCCTGGCCGCCATCCACACCACCACTCTCGCCTTGGATCCCGGCGGCGTCTCTGGTCAGGCGAGCACCAGAGACGCCCTCTCCTCCAGGTTGCGGTGGCGGCAATACTGTCGTCCGATCTGGGTGGCTACCAGCTGCTGCCAGCTGACTATGACTTCCAGCACGGTCTCGATTTCCACGTCCTCGCCCTGCACCACCTCCCCGACCTCGACCTCGTCCCCTCCCTCTAGTCAGGCCATCCCCATTTGAATCGCCATACGTCTGTATGCCGCGCTCGTTGGGCATTCCCTGGTGTGAACCCTCTGCATGACCTCCTCCACCTCTTGCACCTCTACCACCCCGCGCTTCCCTACCGCGACCTCCGCGCCCGCCCCGGTTCTGATCGCTCATCACTGCAGCCCCGCCATCCATGGTGGGGTTCTCGGTGCTCATGACTCTGGATGGTGTTTCGTGAATCGGTCGCGGATCCTTTCTCTCTAACTCTGGGGGAGTTGCGATTYAGGCGATCGTTCGGGGAGTTTTGAGATATGTTTCTGTGTCGAGGAGAGGATGGAAAAGGAATCGGAGGATTGAAGTGCGAGGTGTGGATTTCGCGCGAGCCAAATAAAAATCCACCATCGTCATCACCTCAACACGACACGACACACAACAAAAGTAATAAGCCATTTGATTGACCTCACTTTATAACGAGACGACCACATGCCAGACTCAATTCCAGACTGAACAGTGGATTCGCGCACTCACAACCGTCTGACCGGCCAATATACAGTTCGATGCACATTGTACTCTGGCACTGCGAATTCGCCTCGACTTTCACTTGAGCGTCACCATCTCGGCACATCCACAAGACTGCACTTGGATTGGATGAGATATTTCGTTTCTCTCTTCTCTGCTTTGCTGCTATCACAATCTGCTCGACTAAGCCACGCCTTGTCAACTTACTCCTTACAGCTTCTATGCGCTCCTCCACTCATGGGAATAACAACACTTTAGTTCAAATCTAACGACCAGGTCAATGTGATGAGTCTCAAGTCTATCATCCAGCAGCAAACAGGGCACTGCGATTTCACGGGGTCCGCGGGACCTTCATAACAATACCACATTAGCAGTTCGAGGGCCTATGATACGATCCAATCGCTTGCCCTATCTCCATCGTGCGCGTTTGATCTTGCATCAAGTTCGTCGAACATGRTGACTTAGCAGTCAAACGATAGCTTGTGCCATGCGGTATCAATACCACCGACATTTGAAGACGCTGAATCACGCAGAGGCCATTCCTTTCGGCACGGGGACGGCCATTCTTTGCGCCTAGATTGGCTACAACGAGTCCTTCGTTAGTATGCGGAGGAATTGCTATATTCTCCAATGTGCGAAGACGACCATATCCACACCGTCGAACTTCGTCAATGGATCCCTACTAATGTCGATTGAATCGCGTATACGACGACATCGCCTCAACTGTCTCATCATACGTTGACAGTAGCGTACAAGATCTTCTCGCAATCTCACATGAATCTCAGCGACCCAAGTTGCGCAGAAATGCCATGGACTCGTCACACGTACCAAAGATGGATGCTGACCGTAATGGAGTGGCGATGAATGCGTCTTCGAAATCCGGGCACTCAACGCTCCATGACTGTATGGGCATTTCCAGCACTCGTCACAAGCTCCAAAAATACCTTAAGACGCAAGTCGCGCGTTGAAAGACTCATCTTCTATAAACGACGCGGGATTCGACGCGCTCCAAGATTGTATGGAACAACAAGAACTCGTCATGAGCGCCAAGCGCAGGCTGCCGGTCGTAGGGAGGGGAATACGTCTTCGATCGAGGATGCAGACGTAACGGTCCAATATTGTATAGGTACGTCAAAAGATTTCGTCACCGGTACCCAGGCCGAATTCGGACTGCAATCGCGCTGTGAGGAACACGCCTTCGGTGGGGATGCGGCTACGGCAGAGACATCGATCTAAGTATGGGTCGTTCGATCGCACGAAGAATCGAAACGGCACGTTCCCGATGGGAACTGGTAAGGTCTGGTAAAGACACATCACAGGGACGTGAGAATTCCAAGCATAAGCCAGTAGAAAGAAAGAGTCGACCGAAAGGTAGCCAACGGCATTCGCACAATCGATGTGATCAAGGGGCGTGGGAGAGGTCGAAGCGTCATCACGGCCACGAGGACACGACACTCTTCTATTCGGAGCATGCGAGGAGTGGAAGACCTCATTGGAGCGCACTCCGCTCGATCGGGGTGTCGTTCTCGATCTGGAGAACAACCTCGTTCCTCAAAAACACGCATTCAACCGTTTCGGCACTGGCTTGATGACATCCGGCGGACTCCATGCGAAAAGCAGGCGGGGAAGACCATCAATTCGAGGCCATCTTCGATCGCGACGTCCATGTAGCACACGTGAGAATCAGAGGTGCGGCTCCTGGAGGCGGGCGACCAGATATGTCGGACTTTAGCTCGTCCAGTTCCGGTATCACTCTGTGATGGTCCAACCAAAGCCGCAGTAGTTCTGGAGCATTCGACAACACCTTCGAATGAGGTGCCTACGCGGTACACTCGGACGTCAAAAGGTTCGGTCCTCGGGAGGGCATACCAGGCTCAGCGGATTCTAGCGCGTCCATATCCGGTATCACTCTGTGACGGCCCACCCAAAGCCGCCGTAGTTCGAGAGCATTCGACGATGCCTTCGATCTCAACTGCTTTCGGGGGCGATAAGGATCGCGGTGTGAGCATATGGTTCGTCCGTTCGCGGGAGGCCGACATGTGGAGTCCGGATTCATGAAGCCGTAGAAGCCGGACCAGAAGGATATCTTCAACCGCTGGTGAGGACACTGAGAAGCCCGTGGAACTCAAGGTGTTCATTCCAAGATTACAGAAGAACGGCGGCCCCAGGAGTACTTGTATTTGTGCGTTGAGGGCCTTGTAGCGATGACGTGCCCTCATGCACTGTGCATCTCGATGGTATGCAAAGTTCACGGCTGCGATCGCCACGCTTCCTGTCGTCTATTTGCGGTGTTTGGAGGCAACCTCGAGCATTTGAGTTTACAGTACGCGGATTTTGTACCTGCGGCGATGTGGTTTTGGCGCGTCGTATATCCCATAGCATGATGTTGCCCATATACGCTTTGCGCCTTACGAGTCGCGCGTACCCACGAGACGTGTGAAAAAAGTACTTTAGCTCGCGTTGGAGCTTGACGTAACTGAACGTGGCCGTTCTTGGCACATGAAGGACTCAGCTCCTCAGCGATACGTCAACAGTTCCAACTCTCGGCCATCACACGCGGCCATCGCTCCCGAGCTCACCCACGAGCCACAGGAAAGGTCCGGTGTTGGTCGGCACGAGCGCGATCCGACATGGACGATGGGGAACAAGACAYAACGTCTAGTGCATCTGGTGGCAGTTTTCCTATGGACGGAGGTCAGGACGAGAGATCGCGCGAACGCTGCATCGACGTTCTACAAGACAGCCCCCACGCCGAACAGAGGCCTGCAGGTCGATGCCGGTATCAGCTGGTGAGAGTGCGGCGATACTCCGCGGAGTGAAATTGAAATATTGGATTTTCCTTGATCTTATGCGCATCTTGTGGAAACCTTAATGGGTAGGGCTGGTGCTGGGCGTGGTGTGCATAGGCACGAGCCCGGGCGCGGGCACGTCAGGTTGCCAAAGCCGGCCACACCAACCGGCTGCTTTCTTTTTTTCTTGCCATTTTCTGAGGGGAAATAACGCTGGCAAGCTTACAGGAGATATTGTGAGACCTCCAAGGCCAATGCGAAATGTCTTGATTCGATTAGATCTGCGATGCTGCCAGCACAAATGGCAGACCGACACTTGGCGGCTTCTTCAAATCCGAAACCCGTACCTGACTTTCGGCGGCTCGCTCGCCTAGCGCCCTATCGAATATAATGGTGCCCGTGCCTGCATAATTCTCCTCACGAGAAAGCATGTGGGCCCATCTTTGGCCGGCGGGCGGGCGGCATGCGCGCTGCAGGAACAGAACCAAGGTGTGACTCGGTGTCCATATTCTGGTTGTGCGGTAGCTCTTCGACTTGGAGATCGCCTGCGCTAAGGCCACGGCAGACACCGTTCCAATGGAACGCAGTCCTTTGAGGTTGGCATGGACCGTCGAGGCGTCATCTGCCTCGCAAGGTGAAAGTGTTATACATACGACCTGGTCGCTGGCTCTTTTCACAATTCCACATTCGCATCACACCTGGGCTCGGACTATACCAGGCACATCATTCCTTGGAACCGACACTCGTTTGAACAATTGCGAACTAAGATCTATCATTGGAGAACAATCCCACAACTCGACGATATAGCCCTGTTACCGATAATCAATATGCCGGCCTCACCAAAGCGATACGGATTCATCATTGATGATGGCAACTGGCCATTGAGGAACTCCCTGAGAGATTCCAACCCACCCGAGTTGTCTTACTCACCCTGTTCGTCTTCCATGAGCATGCACTCAGTACGACCAGCAACACCCGCAACATCCATGAACCATGCGAAGCGACCTCAGATTGCCAGCCTTCATTTCTCATCTACCGACGAGAAGGTTGACGCGGCCGAGTTTCACCGTATGGCAGCTCAGATGCTGTCCGGCGAGACTCCACAGGACGACTTCCTCSAGACCGTCGTTGATGACAACTCAAGATCCATCCAGCAAAGAGATCTGGGCTGTTCCGTGGCCACTAGCCACCCTTGTCTAATCTGCGAACGCGTCTGTTCTTCAGAGGACCAACTACATCGACACGTTACATCGCGTCATGACAACCACCACATGGAGATTTGCCCTGAATGCGGCGATCTCTTCACAGCAGAATTTCTACCAACACACTTGGCAAGCGGCTTTCGAGGCTGCGCAGGTATGATGCAGGCATCGTACCCATCTCAAATTCCCCAAGTCGACGATGCATACATGACAGACTCGTACTTCACCTCAGCCTCTCAACGCTTTTGGATCTATGATGGAGATCACAGCTGGAACACCGGAAGCGTTCTCACTTCCTGCTTTGACGACGACGACGACGAAGAAGATGAGCAGGAGCAGGTGGGACCTGTCGAGCAAATTGTGGCCCAAGTCAAGAACGTCTTGAGAAGACCAGTCTCTCAATTCTCCACTCAGGCATGCAATATCTGTGGAGAACAATTCCACACTGGAAGTCAAGAGTTTGCGCGACACATGGGACATCACTCCCAGGACTTTGCACGCAAGCAGCACAAGTGTGATGAATGCCAGATCTTCTTCGCCAATGAGGCAGATCTCGAACGGCACCTCCAGTCTGCTAAGCTCAACCAGCACTGCGGGTTCACATTCCGCCACAACGAAGCAAGCTGCAGTGGCCACCACAAGCCAACCCACTTCATGGCATCGACCGCCGATGACCACTCTCTGATGCAAAAGCATCTGTGGGCGTGGGAACGATGCCAGTTCCAGACCAACCGTCTGTCTCTTGCTCGTGTCCTCAAGAAGCAAGCGACGAAAATGACTGTTCCAGCCTCGCCAAAAATGGCAGAAGAGGTCTACGGTCCATTCGTTCCACACTTCACCGTGGCTGGTCGCGAAGACAGCTTGGACTGGTCGAGTGATGACGAAGAAGAAGCCACTGAGATCGATGCGCATTTCAGCCGCATCATCTCACAAGTCATCGACGCGGATGCGACCGATGCTAAGACTGAGAGCCGCTACYGACCGGATTCTATGACCCTCAAGACAGATGAGGACGGCGAACCGGTATCGGAGCAAAAATGCTCTGTCGATTTGACAGCTCTACGACTGGCTTATGCTCAGCTGAAGCACGGGCACAAGCGGAATGCTTTCAGCGGATCACTGCCGCTGGAGTTTCTCAAGCAAGCTGTCCAGGAGGCCGATCGACCTTTATCGATGCCCACCATTCACGTCGCACAAGCCATGCCTTTGATCAGGCTGGGTGCATGATTTCCTTGTAATGTTTATTCTTTTCGAATATATTAGCGATGGAGTTCGGGGTCACGACTGACTCTTATGATGATTATGATACCACAACCGCAACGCTACGACGTTTGCCCACACTGTACTTTAGACGATTGCCACTCTTGGAGAGACGGCACCACGATCAATACTCACACTTTACTATCTACAAATCTTCAATCGATGATCTATCCCCTGCGTCTTCACTCTTCTCGTCCTAGATTCTGTTCAGGGCCATCCTCAACCGTCTATCAACCTTGCCCCGTCTCCCCGCCTCAACCGTCCAGGCTGTTATGACCGGATCGGGTTACACAAATATTGGCAAATGTGAACATTGGTTCAGAAAGGAACCAACGATTAGGTCTTGAACATGTATCACATTGACCAGGAATGACACACTCAACAGAATCTTCACGAGTGCGATTGGATTTTGCACATCGTCCGTGCAAACCATCGTTGGGATGCACTGTCATACGATCAATGTTCTACTAGTGAATGTCCAGTATCTGCTAGGACTGGGTGCTCTTTCGAGATGAAATGGAGCGGCCGTGCTAACATCACGAGGGCTTGCCGTCACCCGAGACATCGTTCGGACTGACCTGAACAGCTCCCATAACTGAACGCTGAGAGCCGTGTCTCGGACGCAAGAATGTCATTTGAAGATGGTATAGCAGCGCTGTTGGATACCTTATTGTTGTCATTCTCCCGCTTCGCAAGAGCTTCCTGCTGAAGCGCTTTCAGAAGGCACACCGGTGCTCTTACAAGGTCACGACCATGCGACAACACCTTCCTACCTGGCCGAATGACCGTCTACCTTACCTATTGTCGTGATCACTCGTACACGTCCTCATGAGCCATGATGGACGGTAACACACCAAACCGCATTCTTCTTCGCCCGCCAATCGCTATCAGCCATCGTTATCAAACATGCCTTCAGACATGCTGATTCGCACGAAGATGGAGGAAGAAGACTGCTTACTTCCTACCTGTCCGACATTCATGATCTCTGGAGTTACAACATTTGCATCCCACCACGAATCCTGCAGCATTTGTTGCCATGAACTTACCAGCGCTATCCGTATCATTCGATGCGGACACTACTTTGACAGGGAATGTCTGGCGAGTTGGTTTGCAAGCAGAACAAGACCGTGAGTACAATCTTGCCCGTGAGAGTTGCTTGGATGCCAGTTACAATGCGACCATCGCAAAGGAGAACTCAGCCAACTAAATGCGAGACTGCACAGGGGAATGAGTACTGACTTTGCTTCACAGAAACACCTGCCCAATGTGTCGTGAGGAGCTCTTCCAGAAATACGATGAACTGGGAGCGGTGCTTGAGATCTTCGACGGCATTGACTTCGAGTTTGACACCTTCGACATCCCCGGAGCCATGCAAGCACAAATTCCACAGATTGCTCGAACAAATGGCAACCTCCTCCTCTCGGTTCTCTCAATTCCCAATGAAGCTATGACGCGGATAGACTGTCGTATGGCATCTTCCGCTTTGGCGCTTGCTGGCAACACTGCGATTACCGTCGCGAAGGTCCAAGGATTTCCTTTGAATGAGATTGAAATGATGGATTATCGATACATTGTAAAGGCGGTGTACACTTTCCTGGAGAGTATGGATGGCGAGGAGATGCAAGTCAAGTAGGTGTCCTTTCTCTTATTCCGAGTGTTTGGCCTCTGGACTTTGACTGTACTGACTCTATCCGATTACAGTACCATGCCGATGGAGATTCTCTTGGGCGCATCAAGAGTGATGGACAATGAAGGCTGGGAGGTCGATATTGACTCGATATGGCCAAATGATATTGTGGATTTGGAGGATGATCCGGCGCGGAGAGCAGTGCAGCTTGCTTTCTTTGTGACGTGGATTTTGTGGCATAACATTGATGCTGTTGAAGAAGCATATGAGGGAGGGGTGGAGGACTAGCGGTGGGTTCATGACTCCGATGATGGGCATCTAGGATAGTCAGTGGTGTCGATTGTTAGCGATAGATCATTCTCTAGCCCTGCCAGACAGACCTTCGTTCCATGCGAATCATGCAGCGTCCCTGCATCTTCTCCAGAGCCCACAGATGAGTGAGACAATGGTGAAAACAGAGTGCTATGCCAACCAAATGACACTACGAACGAGGGACAGTAAAAGCAAATGCTAGGTAGGAGGTATGTCTACCAACGATATCGCGAATAGGATTGGCAGAAAGCGCATCGCGAATATGTAGAAACCAATCAAGCCGATCAGATGGYATTGCCAACGAAGAATGCGAGCCGTGTCAATCAGATGACACTGCTAGCAAAAGAGAGGAATTTGTGTCAATGAACGCCATCGCAAGCAGTTCCGAGTCCTTGGTCGTGACGAGAAGAACCAGGTATAGTCCTTGTGGTGTGGAGTGACGTGGACTGGGCCCACACGTCGTCCAWCTGGCACCCCCACGCAACAAAAATGCCGATTTCGTCCAGACCAATCGTGACGATGCTTGTGTATGTTGGGAGGTACGACCTTGCACAGACTGCGCGATGAAGTATCAACGGGGTTGATTTCAAGCAATAGAGCAGGCGAGGTAACCTGTTCGATGCTGTATGGCTGTGATGAGCAGAAGCTGCTTCCTTGCGACAGTGATAGCCGCAGGCGAAAGAAAGTATCTCTTGCCAATAACAGAAGATAGCCCATCACGGACATGGATTGCGTTATCGCCAKCGGCGTTGAAGTCGTGGTCGCATTGGCACGTTAGCGTCGAACACGTCGAAAGCTCGAAAGCTCTCATCAAGGCAGTGCGACTCCAAAATGCGGAGTTGAACACCATCTCTCAGTTCCGCCACGCGCAACAGACACCTATGGACATCTCGCAAGGCTGCATGGATGCCTGTGATCGGAGGTCGGGAGGCCTCGCCAGATTGGGAATCCACAAAATAGGCAGTCATGCAGGAGCCGCGACCAACCACGTTCAGGAACAAAGCGGGTACCGCTGCTGATTATCGATTTCTAGCGCCTGGCGGGCGCCTCTGCATGTCAGAAACGCACCCCGGATAGATGCGGTGGAGTGCTCCAGGCATCCGATTGATAGTCGAGAGTTGGCTGCACAATGGAGACCAGCGCTTCTAGAGTGCAGCAAACAGTAGCAGAGCTTATCGCTGGTGCTTTGGAGCTCCAGTAGTTTTGGGGATCATCAGGGTCTCGGGTGTCGACACATGTTCTCGCACGTGAAAGACGGCGGCCTCGAGGAACGGGTTTCATAAATTCGCCGGGCTGCGCAGCTGCTAGATTGCGGGCGTCGTCTCTGTTGTTTAAAATGGCGGAAGGATGGCACAATTGGTACCTCCAGAGAGCCGCAGCATCGCCGAGAAGCGGCGATAGAGTAGCTGGACATGACGCATCTTTGTGAGTGATGCGCGTGATMGATTGTCCGTGAGCGTTTTGGTGGGCAACGTCCCAGAGATGAGAACGTGGCGACACAAGATTTAGCCCACACAGAGCCAGGACGCTTGGAAGGACAGCCCATGTTCGTCGTCGACAGTGAGCAGCCCTCACTCATAGTTTAGCCGTGGTTGTCATATGTTGTGTGCTTTGTTGAATGTGGTCAAAGGAGGCCGGTGACTTTGGAGCTTGTGCGTCGGGGAGGATCGCCGCTAGCTTCTTATCTCTCAAGTCGTTCTACCTCTGGCAAGGTACCCTCTACAGCATCACTCTACGTTGCGGTGACCGCCCTGAGGCTATCAACATTCTTTCTCTTCTCCAACTAACTCGACATCCGCTGACTTTCTTCTTGCCCGGCGTTCTCGACTCTTCAGTGTTTTGCCCTGTGGTTTTGCCCTTGCCCACGTCACCTGCTGGATTGAATGAATGCGCGGGTGACTCGGACCTGAACACCGCCACTGCCATCCATCCATCACGCCGCCGGAATTGGATCATCTCCTTCGCCTGGCCACGTGCACTGGACGCGACAGGGCACATGTATTAATGTTTTCATAGTCCTGTCAAGCACCACTCCCGATCAGCTCCATCTCCATCTCCAGCATCGCATCACAACCGCCCGCCAGCGGCCACCGCTGCGCTTACACCACATACACGCCCATGCAGCTGGGCACAGATTCTCAACTCAACGACTAGGGGTTAGACGCGCGAAGGTATTTGCCTGCTTGCGACATCCTCCTCATTCGCCATCATGGCGTCCCGACTCCCACCGCCGTCTACGAGAAGGCCTCCGAGCCAACCACCACCCGCGGCAAACAAGGTCCCTGATAAGATCATTGGCGAGTTTCACCGCGGTAAAGAGATTGGAAAGGGAAGCTTCGCTACAGTGTACTTGGTCCAGCACCCGGTGAGTGGCACCCCGGACAGCCCTGACCTCGAGGGATGCTGCAATTCGAATAGACATGCAGTGGCACGACTACTAACACTTGCCGCAGAAGCTGAAGTCGTATGCCGCTGTCAAAGCCGTGGAGGTCTCCAAACTGTCTAGGAAACTTAGGGATAACTTGACAAAGGAGATTAGCATCCTGAAGAGCTTGACAYATCCACATATCGTTCAGCTCTTCGACTGCGAACACAAACCCATGTTCATCTACTTGATCATGGAGTACTGCCAGCTGGCGGATTTGGCACAGTTCATGAAGAAGCGCCAGCTCCTTGAAACCGTGCCAGAAACGCAAGACTACTTCCGAAGGTACCCCAACCAGGAGAATGGAGGATTGAACGAAGTCATGACGCGACACTTCTTCAAGCAAATCGCCAGCGCCCTGCAATATCTCYGCTCAAAGGACCTGATTCATCGAGACATCAAGCCGCAGAACTTGCTGCTCAATCCAGCGCCTGCCTCCTGGTCAGGAAAAGCCCCGGAGGAAATCCCGATGGCTGCGAGCGCGCAGTCTCTCATTCCCACCGTCGGCCTGCACACGCTGCCTCAACTCAAGATTGCCGACTTTGGATTTGCTCGCCACTTACCTAGCACGTCAATGGCAGAGACACTCTGTGGTTCACCTTTGTATATGGCTCCCGAAATACTGCGCTATGAGAAGTATGACGCACGATCCGATCTTTGGTCCGCAGGAACTGTCTTGTACGAGATGGTGGTTGGAAAGCCGCCGTTCAGGGCACAGAATCACGTCGACCTTCTCAGGAAGATAGAAAAGGCAAACGACGTGATCACTTTTGATAAGCAAATTGGAAACATCAGCCGGGATGTGAAGAATTGTGTGCGGGGATTGCTCACCAAGAATCCCTTGGAGCGGATGACTTACGAGGAGCTATTCGAGTGCCCTTTGGTCGTTGACGACATTCCCAACCTGGCGCCAGAAGACAGACCGCAGCAGAACAAGCCCGAGGTGTCTAGTCTGAGTAGAGACATGGCCCAGGCGATGGAGACCAACCACCGTTCAGTACCAGAGCATTCGAGTTCTGCGCCAACACGAAGCATAGGCGAAGAACAACGTCGGACTTCGCGGAAGAGTTCCGATCAGGACATGCGGCAGCGCACGACCGAAGAACCCAGGCGTCGGAAGCCGTCATTCAGCAGCCAGAACACCACCGAAGGCGTGCCCATACGACGCCAATCGAGTCAGCGCGAGCAGCGCGAGCAGCGACGTCCGAGTATGGTCCCGCACATTACTGCCCCTGGACGTCAAGAGCTCCATCACCCCAGCATAACGGGACAACCCGCTCAAATTCAGAGACGCGCCAGCCGGTCGTCGCCTTTGGCGGGACCTCCTTTAGTTCGTGAGCCCACGCTCGAGGCTGAAGGTGTGACCAATGAGCGTTCCAAGCGGGAAGCCAGAGAACGCACAGCGAACGAGCTCACGTTTGAGAAAGAGTACGTTGTGATTGAGAAGCGTGCAGTTGAAGTCAATGCATTTGCCGATGAACTCGATGCCGTTGCTGCCCATGGTGGGCCCTCCAACCGTGGTGCCATTGTGCGACGTGCTACTACTCAGGGACAGCCCAACTCAACTACCGGTGCCCAGCCAGCTAGTCCCTCGCGTGCCATGCAAGTGGCGTCTGGAAGAACACACCATCGAGCCGGGTCCTTCGAGAGGAGATATGCTCCCTCGCCACAGTCAGCGACTAACATGCTCACGAAAGCGCTCAACGCCGCCAACGTTCGTCTATTTGGAGGATTTGGCACGTCACCACCTTTTAGCGGCCTGTCTCCTCCTCGCGGATACGGTGCGTTCCCTGCTTACCCTACAGCCCGAGGTGCACTTACCAGCGGCGATGGAACCGAGCACAAAACTCCCATGGACGAGGATTCTAAGCTTGTCCGCGTCATGGAGGACGCTGCTCATCGTGGTGAGGTCATCTTTGGTTTTGCGGAGGTCAAATATCGACAACTGCTCCCTGCCACCCCGTCTGCCCAAGATGCGCTTGGTATCCAGCAGATCGGTGCTCAAGAAGGCTCGAAGAGTGATGAGGACCCGGATATGACAACGCTTGCCATCGTTACCGTTGCTGAGGAAGCACTGGTTCTGTATGTTAAGGCGCTCGCCACGTTGACCAAGACTATCGATCTTGCAGGATATTGGTGGAACAAGCGGGACCGTTCCGATGCCGTGACGTCCGACCCTACCTCCAACCAGGCCTCTAACGCTGCAACTCGGATACTTGGAGTCGTCAAGTGGTCGCGCACCCGTTTCAATGAGTGCCTGGAGAAGTCCGAGGTTGTAGGTCGTCGACTTCAACTCGCTCAACGCCAGCTTCCCGAGGATCWCCCAAACCACCCTGACAACCAAGGCTCGCACTCGGGATCAAGTGGAGTCGCCACTTCTGCAGAGCAGATTCACATATCCAGTGGCATCACGGCAGAGCGTCTAATGTTCGATCGAGCGGTGGAGTTGAGCCGCTCTGCGGCTGTCGGCGAGCTGGTTGGTGAAGATTTCCATGACTCTGACATTGGTTATAAGACTGCCATCATGTTGTTCGAAGCTGTCCTGGACACCGACGATGAGCCACTCATGCGCAAGGCTGGCGCTAAGAATCAAAAGTCAGGGGACGAGATTGTCAACGGCATGGAGATCGAGGATCGGCAGACGGTCATCAGGCGTGAGTACCATGTGTGTCCATTCTTTCGCATCGTGACTGACATTTTGCCAATAGTTCTTGAGAGCGCACGCAATCGCTCGCACATTCTCAACAAGAAGATCAAGCTTGCCCAGCAGGGTCTCAAGCGTGCTTCCACGAGCGGCGGTTCGACACCGAAGCCCGGAACGCCGGTGCCTGCGGTCGTCAGCAACCTACCCAGGGCAGCTTGAGCGGATTTCGCTGGAAACAGGTCGAATACATATACTTCGGGATAACAAGCGCTGCATCAAGCATCTTAGAAGGGCATCATCATCCATGAGGCGGCATACTCGAGGAGACTCGCATCAGTCACTTTACCCTGGTGTCGAAAGATGGGAGCCAAACTCGATTTTTCCTTTCACCACGTTGTTACGATTGTTTTACGAATGGATGTGGTTTGCTATTGGGTGGGATGGACGGCGTTTCTTTACAACAAGCGATGGGAATCACGGAACTTTCTCGAGTCTGCGATGGAGTCACCGGCACTATTATGGACATGCACACAAGGCACAAGGAGTTGCCTCATACCCGCATGGATACGGCTGGTTTGGCTTTACTTTGGGTTGACTCGTTCGCCCTACTACTACATGAGATACCAGTGACATACATAGGGAGCAACAGGCAGAATGAGAATGAGAATGAGAAGGCGGAATCATGACAAGGGATGGGGCGGATTGAATTAATGCTGCGTCCGACCTTGCTGCTCTAGTATTGAATCTGGAGGATAGCAGACCAGACAACGAAAGGAACAGACTAGGTCGACACAAATTCAATCGAAAATACTCAAGTGACGTTTGTCTCGTCAGACTCTACTCGTAGTGAATGATAACATTGAAGTGTACAGGTACTCCTACCTAACCTTATAACCCATGTGAATGGGAGCTTCGTCCATTTGCGTGGGGCACCCTGCATTCGAATTAGCGTTGAGGTTGAGCTACGGCCATCGTGATTCTCGACCCCAAAATGAAGAAAGCTGGAAAGGCTTGCATACCCGTGCATATCCCTCGTCTTTCGTTTCGCCGGGCTGGATGTTGGGAAGTGTTTCACTCAACCTCGTCAGGAAGGAATTGTTCGCTCGCCAGGCTCTACTGCTGAATCGAAGCTTGCACAAAAGTAACACCAACGCTCCGAGCTATACACGGTCGAAGATTCCATCGCTTGTAAATTCCCCATCGACGACAACCTTGCGTTTCACGAACGGCGCGAACACATCACACACAGAAGCGCTCAGCCGCGCACGCAAAATGGCAAGCCTCGCAGTGCATTCCAAGAAGCACAAKATTGCCATCGTCGGATCCGGCAACTGGGGCACAACAATCGCCAAAGTCATCGCCGAGAACACACAGGAGAACACAGACCTGTTTGAGAAAGATGTGCAGATGTGGGTGTATGAGGAGAAGGTATCGTTTCCAAAGAACAGCAAGCACCACAACGGAGACGACACACCACAGAAACTCACGCAGGTGATCAACAACGTGCACGAGAACATCAAGTACCTACCCAACATTCCGCTACCGCACAACATCATCGCCAATCCGGACCTGGTGGATACTGTGAAGGATGCCACCATTCTCATCTTCAACCTGCCACATCAGTTCATCGGAAAGACATGCGAGACGCTGAAAGGGCACGTTGTGCCCTTTGCACGGGGAATCAGCTGTATCAAGGGAGTGGCTGTGTCGGACAATGGATGTGAGCTCTTCTCGGACAGCATAGGACAGCAGCTGGGCATTTACTGCGGTGCTCTCAGTGGAGCCAATATTGCAACCGAAGTCGCATTGGAGAAGTTCAGCGAGACGACGGTCGCTTACGATCCGCCTGGCATGGACTCGCGACAACCTTCGCGGGAGGGATCCCCCAATACTTCTTCTGTGGATCTGACTGCAGGTCACAAGTCCAGCCTGATGGCTCTGCCTGCAGAGTATCCTCCCCTCAATCACGCGAACATAAAGAAGCTATTCCATCGGCCCTACTTCCACGTTCGACTGGTGCATGACGTTGCTGGCGTGTCATTAGGTGGTGCATTGAAGAACATCGTGGCTCTCGCTGCTGGATTCGTTGATGGACTGGGCTGGGGAGACAATGCGAAAGCAGCGGTCATGCGAGTTGGAATCATGGAGCAGGTCAAGTTCGGCAAGACATTCTTCGCGGCTTCTGTCAAAACGGAGACTTTCACAGAGGAGAGCTGTGGTGTCGCGGATATGATTACGTCGTGTTCGGGAGGTAGAAATTTCCGCTGTGCGAAGATGAGCGTTGCAGAGGGCAAGCCCATCGGAGAGATTGAAGAAAGGGAACTCAATGGGCAGAAATTACAGGGAACCAGCACTGCTGGAGAGGTCAACTCATTCCTCAAGGCGGAGGGTAAGGAGAAGGAGTTTCCGCTCTTCACCGCAGTGTGGGAGATTCTAGAGGGCAGGAGAAAGCCCGAAGAGATTCCAGAAATGATTGAGGGAAAGGACGAGTAGGTTTCCGCATTGATGTCTGCGTGCTACGTAGAGGGAGTGTGTGTGAAGGTGGTGTGGCTGACTCTATGGGTGTTTAGGAAAGCGAGGCTCTGAATGATGTCTATACAAGAAGGATATGCAGTCTTTTTGAGCTTGATTGAAGGTGTTACAGTCGCGATGATGTGAGAAACCAGTACACAGTATGAWAGAAGGCTCCTGCTCGATGCTTGCCCGACAAATATCTGTTCTTGGTATGTGTTGCACTCACACACGTTTTGACGTTGGGATAAGAGAGACACAGCTTCACATGTGACATTAACTCACTTGACATCTGGCCAATGTTCCGCTGCACAGCCTGCGAGCTCCCTAGTTTTCCCTCGAGCTTTGGAAGACATTTGGGAGGACTTGGAGTAAGGACTACAGCCCACACATTCAGCGTGGCGAACAGACCATGGCTTTGCGTCATATCGTGTGAAGCTGCTTTGTTGCGCGGCCTTCCGATTTGCAGTTGATAATGCTGACGCCAATGGAAACTGCAATTCTAAATGGCCGGGGTCTATTCCTTGGTATCGCGTTCCATACGCATGCTGCTTTCATGTGGTCGATGAGTGATGAGCACACCTGCAGAGTTAGAATATTGCGAACGTTTCTTATCAATTCGTATGCGTGATATACCTACAGCTGCATGTACGACTCATGCAACTTGACGCAAAGGTGGAGACGTGAAGTCTGGGGAGACTTGATGATCATGAATGGGTGCACGTGCGCGAGTTTATTTCTGGATCAGCCAATCGGTAGTCAAAGATCCGAGACAGGAGGAATGGAATGGCCGCACCTCTGACTAGGGTGCTTGTTGATCTCGACTCCAGCGTGCATCGCCTGCTATCAGGCGCATATTTGCTTTCTTTCTCCCGAATGTCCCCCTTCTCAATGTGAGCTCGACAAGACCTGCGCAAATAGCGCATCATTCACAATGGTCTTCGGAAAAAGCAGCCTTGGTGTCCTGCAAGACAAGAAACTGCAGCATGTTCCTGGTAGGTGGAGGAGACGCGATGCGGTGCGACCGTCTGTCACTGACCATCTCTTTAGGAACCGCCACTCTTGACGACTTCGACCCAGCAAACCAGTTGCGAGGCGCGACCAATATCAAGAGAAGAAAAGACGGCATCATCCTCGTTCCTCAGCCTAGCGACGATCCGAAGGACCCTCTGGTACGTCAACACACGTTCGATTGAGCAGGAATAGCTGGATAGCATGCTGAGGGTAGAACAATGTGTAGAACTGGCCTCTATGGCGTCGCGATCTGATCACAGGCGTGCTCTGTATGCTCTCCCTGTTGGCGTCCACCCTCTCCCCTCTGCTGGCCGCCAACTCGGTCTCTCTCATTCTGTACTTCAACAAATGTACAGACCCGCCATGCGATCCTAATCGACGCCGCTACTCAATCGACGATGTCGCGCTCCTGACCGGATACCACTTGCTGGGAGTCGGTGTCGCAGGCTTTATCTTCGTGGCCATGGCTCGTGTATGGGGGAAGCGACATCTTTATCTCCTCGGCACCGTGCYCATCATCATCAGCTCGGCGTGGGGAGGTGCGAGTAACACAAACTACGACTCCCTGATGGCGGCGAGAGTCTTCCAAGGTGTTGGACTGGCGCCGTTTGAAGCCCTGGTCAATGTATCGGTAGGAGACCTGTACTTTGTGCATGAGCGAGGCAAGCGCATGGCCCTGACAAACTTGTCCCTCTTTGGCGGCGCTTTCCTCACCCCGGTCATCGTCGGGAAAATCACTAGCACGCTAGGCTGGCAGTGGACTTTCTACTTCATTGCAATATCCATGGCATGTCTCCTTCCGGCTGTGATTTTCTATTGTCCGGAGACTTCTTACAATCGCWGCTCCAACTTCAATACCGACACATCATGGGACAAGGAAGGTGTTGAGCGCTCAAGCCAGAGCCATGAGCTGCGTAACCCATTTGTTTCGGAGGAGGACAGCACGCAGAAATCGAGTTCGCGTCCAAACACTTCAACCGGTCCAATCGAATACGAACCGACCAAGGACTTCAAGTTCATCACTCGCGAACACATCATGCCTTTCAACGGCCGCTTCTCAGAGGAAGCGTTCTGGAAGCTCCTGCTCCGACCTTTGCCGCTATTCTTCCACCCCGGGATCTTCTGGGCATGTTTGATTCAAGGTGCTATTATTGGCTGGACTGTCCTGATTGGTATTGTTCTTGCGGCAATCATGATTGGCGCACCCCTATTTTTTGACGAAGTCRAGACCGGCTACATGTACACGGGCGCTTTCGTCGGTGCCATCATCGGTTTTGTGATCGCTGGTGTTCTGTCTGATAGCTCGGCAAAGTGGCTCACCAAGAAGAACAACGGAATTTACGAGCCTGAATTCCGTATGATCCTCGTCATCCCGCAGCTCATGTTTGGAGCTGCAGGATTGTACGGCTTTGGATGGACTTCCGATCACACAGTCCGTTACGGCTGGTTCTGGCCTGACTTCTTCTTCTCACTGGAAGTCATCGGAATGGTCATTGGGGCTGTAGCATCTGCACTATACATTGTGGATGCGCACAGGGACCTCGCCGTTGAGGGTTTCACTTGTTTGTTGATCTTCAAGAACATCTTCTCGTTCGGATTGACATTCAGTGGTCTTCATTGGCTGAGAGAAGGGATTTGGGGAGTATTCTGGGTCATCTCGACTGTCCAGGTCATCATCTGCCTGGCGACTATACCGATGTGTAAGTTGACCCTTGCCTGTCCACCGGATGAATCGTTGAAACTGACCTTTCTAAAGATATATTCGGAAAGCGGAATCGCTCCTTCTTCGCCAGGCACGACATTTTGGAAATCTGCAAGCTCAAGTAATGTAATTTGTTTCGTAACTCCAATCGAAAGTACATATGTGCCTCTACGATGCAAACGTCCCGTTTTCCATTTCCTGCGACTGTAGAGCCGCTGTATCTACTATGCAAACGTCTCGTTTCCACTTCCTGCGACTGTAGAGCTATTGTGTCTACGAAGCACCATCCACCGGGTCATCCAGGGTAACATTGAGAATACTCCGTTGGATCTCATCAAATCCCCAATTCACTTGGTCGCACGGGGAGCGGGAATTGCGGAACCCTTCAATCGCCAACTGCTTCAAAGCTGGCATGACCTGACCACAGTTCTCATGACATCTTCTGACTCCAAGCAGCTTGTGCCTCAAATACACGCAGGAGTTTCCGACTCTGGGCAACAAGGGAAGGAGAAACACCTCGTTGCGATGATGATCATCATGAGGGTCTAGYAAGAAGCGCTGGGTGACGAGGAGACCTTGGCCGAGTTTGTGTCGTGGAATATTTTCACTGCCTTCCAATTCCCTTCCATACAGGAAACTGCCGGCATCTCCTGGTAAGCAGGCTTTTAGATCTCGTCTCGCAGCCTCTTTGTTGCCGAATTTGGATTTCCAGGTCGATGCTCGGTCGTCCCAGAATGCCAACATGGCTCCGATGGTATCTTCGAGGAGACCCGCTGGAGCCAACATTCCAGGCCGAAAGGTGATTTTGGCAAACGCGATCACGAGGAATTGGGCCGATTGTTTCCTCAAGGTCTGGAACCACTTTTTGCCATTGTAATCATCTGTGAAGATGAATGCCGCATCGTTGTTCAGAAGCCATTGCTCCCAGGCCTGGACGAAGTGGATGTAGATGAGAAGTTCCTTGGTTGCGGGCGAGTGTGCTGCGAGAGCTGTCGGGCAAGAGCAGAGAGTTTTTGGGTCGTGTTGGGGACAGTCGTATGCCGCGATGACGGCCACGCTTTTGATGAGGTGGCGCTCGAATACGTCGAACTTGGTGTAGTGCTCGTCTCTCCTTTCGAGGTCTGGCCGGTTTGCGATGCGTTTATAGTTCATTGCTCCGGTTGGGGGTGTCAGTGCGGACAGGTGATACGCCGTGGGCTGCCTTTAAGCATGTTGTAGATGTTTGCTGCTTGATTCTGTGGTCTGAGCTCGCTTTGTGGGGATGGAGAGAACCGCTGGCTGAATCGTCTTCAACGAACAAAGACGGTCAGCACTGCATAGCATATGTTCAGCGTCTGTTCAGCAGCTGCGAGTAGTACTTGACTTATCCTGCACTGTTTGAGTGAAGTCACCGCCAAATGTTCCCCTTTCCGAGATCGAGTTGGACTACTGGGATACGATACCCACATTCTCCAATAACATACCACGATAAAATCTCTTCATTCTGATCGTATGTCAGTCAACCAACGGGTGAGCAACCCAAGAACTCCATTCATGAGCCGTGCGATATGTTCATACTACCCCAACCCTAACCCTGGATGTCAAATGACAGAAAGCATTTGATGGCTTGGATGTGACGAAAGAATAGTGGATAGGTATCTGACAGCCACATTCAACACCGAATGTGTATCTGAGATGTCCCTTCTGTAGCCGAGACAAGACTATTATGCATGTACTTCCCGGAACCCAACCCCGCCTCGCCACGGATCCACCTACCATGCAGCTCGTTGCTATGCTAAGGACATGTTCCGGATGACAGCTTGCGAAGCGTCTTGATACATTTCCGACGTCTGTTCCTTCTCAAAGCCCCAGCATACATACAGCAACAGTCACAATGGTCGTCGGGAACTTCCCGATAGCGAACAAGATCGCCGTAGTTACGGGAGGTGGTTCAGGTATCAACCTAGCCTTTGTAAAGTTGGCTCTAGGTCAGTGATAAGTGGCCATTGACCTCCGAATAATAGAAGAGCTAGTTGTGACTGAGACCTTCAACAGAAGCCAACGCCAAAGTCCTCATCGCGGACCTCAAGCTCACGCAAGAAGCCCAATCCCTAGTTGATAATTCCAACAGCTCAGCAGTCTTCACCAAGTGCGATGTCTCGTCTTGGTCAGATCTCACGGCTCTTCCGTCTGAAGTATCTAAAGCATTCGRTCCTTCAGCAGTCGCAGACGTCTGGATTGCTGGAGCAGGCGTCTTCGAACCCAAATGGTCATCCTTCCTCGCGGATTCCGAGGAAGAGCATTACAAGACCATGTCCATCAACGCGGAGCATCCTATCAAGTTGACCCGGATTGCAATGAGGAGTCTTCTGGCGGCCAACAAACCTGGTGTTGTACTGATCGTGGCATCGATGGCCGGAGTCACGGGCTCGTATACCGCCCCCCTGTACTGCGCAACCAAACATGCCGTGGTGGGTTTCACAAAGTCCATGACCCAGGCAGATAAAGATGAGAATGTCAAAGTCGTAGCTGTACTGCCTGGAATGGTCAATACACCGCTTTGGACCGGTGAAAAGGCGAAGGATGCGGCAGATCAACATTCATTCACTCCAGATGTTTGTGTATCGGCTGAGGAGGTCGGGAGAGCTATGATAGAGATGGGTGAGTTTGGGTGGCGTTGACGCTAAAGGATGTACTTGCTGACCTTGGTGCCTTTGGTAGTGCAAGAAGATAGGTACCCAGGAGGAAGCCTTGTTGAGGTGTCGAAGACTTCTTTAAGGGGGCAGCTCGATAGTGGGTTGGCGGATATACCGACTACGTCATCAGCAGAAGCTTTGATTGAGAAGAGCGCAGCTCCTATCCGTGCAGTGTTCGATAGGGAGAGGAAGAGAAGCTGAGCTCCCAACAAACAAATCACTCCACGGAGGTGGAAGTGTGTGTGGTCGTGATCATAGCCCGCTATCGACCCTCTCCAATTGATTGAGGAAGGTGATCTCAGACGAGGCCAGCTCTTCTGGCGAAAGTCGCTCTGTTGATATCCTCGCAATCTTTGGCCCAACAAGTCTTAATCCCATGATGGTGATTGCCGAGCCACCTGCTCTGTCGTCTCCCTTTGACCATTCCTGAAAACCCGCTCTTTCGTACGAAGCTATCAGTGCATACTCTATCTCGACCAGCGTTTTGGCAGGTCGAGAGGGATTTTTAGCATAGAAGTCTTTGTCCTGGCAGAGTGCGGCCGGCGAGAGAATCACGGGTCCGAGAAATTTATGACGACCCTCCAATTTCTGGATTCCTTGAAGATAGGTGTGCATGGCTATYTTGGAGAGACCGCAGCCTCTATAGGCAGGCTTGAGCTGGAACGCGTCAATGAAGTGCAATTTTTCGCTCTTTCCGAGACTCCAGCGAGCGTACTCTTTCCGTGGCGTCCCATCGCGGTGGAAAATGTGCTGCATGACGATTTCTGTCTCGTCGACCTCCTTTTTGGTGCTGTGGTCCATAGGCCGATCTTCCTGCTTGGGTGTGCAGCGCTTGTTAAGCATTCCGGTCACGAAGAGCGTATTTCCCGTCTGGTGATACCCTGTCTGAAGCCTGTCGATCGTCTGTGCATGGAGATAACCTATATTGACAGGTCTATAAGTCTGTCTACCGGTTCGCAGTTCGAAGAAAGCGTGGACACGCTTTACGCATGCGTGGTCGGGATCAAATCTGACCTGAAGTTGGGCCACGAGAATGTGTTCTTTGCTCTCGAGCCAGAACGGTTGAGAGGAGTGCTTGCACGAGGAGGGCAGTACATCTTTCACCCGCTTGGGTCTTTTGCTCGTTGGGGCCACGGACTCGTAGGATGTCGTATTTCCCACCGTGCGCGTCATTTGGAATTAGGGCCAGCAGTGACGCTTTCAGGACGAAGCAATAGCGAAAGAGATTTTGACGCTCGGTGAGATTTGCTGAGTTTCTTGAAGAAATGGAAATCGAACTGATTTGTGCGGCAATAAGGTACTGGGAGAAGGAACTTTCCACGAGAAGATAGTACAACATACTTGTGTCCGGACTCTGGTGAGTCTTGAGACATTCCGTGGTAGGTTCAAAGGACAAACCAAGCGATGTCTGCCAGGCACCCAGTAGAAAGAGCTCAATCCATACACTCCTCATTGCGAAATTGGAGGCAAACAAGAAATTCAACTTTCGACGTGTAGACGCATAATCACACAGAATCTACTGGTTGATATCGCAAGATGGCACGTCTGGTACGGTCGTGCCGGGTACGAATATCGTCCATCTCCCTGTGGTGTAGTTGATGCGGTATAAGCATGGCCCGTATATGTTCCCGTGGTCAAGGACAGAGTCTCAAGCACGTGAAAAGGTTCCAAACGGAGACTTTCGCCGTGCCGAGCTTCACCACACTTTTATCAAATTTACGTCTCTTCATGTGTGGTTGTGATTGCTGCACCGTGGGCGAGATCCAGCATTTTCATGGAAGCATGCAAAGGGCAAGCAGAGACCTCTGTAAAGACCGGGAACGGCAGTAAGCCATTTTGCGCACACCTCGAACATCGTTCCGCTTCTTGGACTCCATCGTGCGAGAGTTATTCTGTCTTCTAGTGGGACTGCGGTGAGGTGGGCGTCTCATGGCAGATCAGGACCGTTGACGATGGAGACATGCRTGCCGTGGCGCCGGCGCAGCAGAGAGATGCGGCGTGAATTCCCGAAAGATACCTCACAGCAGCTTCCTACCAATCAGTGGCACGGCCATTGCGGGTGTAATAGGAAGAAGGATTGAAGTTGTGTGGAGTCGTGAGGTCCAATCTTCTTGTCAGGATGATGGTGCGCTCCACTCGGGGTGCCGGCGTAAAATCCACCGAAGCTGCGCAAAAGCAAGCTGCCGCCCGAGGTCGCCAAGTCTTAGAGCCAAGCTTGTTCACCAAGGCGATCAGAATAAGGTCAGTCCAACGCAGCATGTGATAGAGGCGGGTCGAAGTGAATGACTGCTGGACGGGATGAAGGGCGCAACGACAAGGCAGCGTTCGAGAATGGCGGCAGGCGACGAGGCGATCTTCCTCCTCTGACGACGACGATGATGGGATGGAGAGACGCCTTGTTCGTTCCCCATGCCTTTGCACTGCCCCTCGTCGTCAACGCGCTCTCCTCCCGTGCCTCGCTCATGACCACACCGCCCGCGGAAACTCACTTCCACCCAAGGCTGACAGCCATGTGTCTAGGCCGACCTGCCCTGTCCCTGTCCCTAAGGAATCTCCGACGACCTCACGATCCCATCTCACGCGAATCGAGCGACTCGGCCCCGCGGTCGAGCTAGGCTTAGGCCTGGGAGACTAGACCTCAGTCGCACGCGCAAAGTGAAGCGCACACGCTGCCGGCCAACTATCGCATGCATCGCTGGGACGACGCGCTTCCCCACTCCTCATCCGGACGGAGTGCGCATCGGCGGCTTTCTTGAGCATGCAAGCCAGCGATCGCCCACGCAGTCTTCTGTCGCGTCTTGCGTCTGCCCGGCCCTTTGCCTCGAAAGGCCGCAACATTACGGATTTCCACATCACCGTCGAGGACCCCCACAAGCAGTATAGCCAGGGAGACGTCGTGTCCGGAAGCCTGCACCTCAGAGTCCTCAAACCCACGCGTGTCACGCACATTGTTGTGTGTCTGCACGGCTTCGCGCAGGTCTACAAAAACCCGGGGTCGCCCCCAACAGACTCGTATCGTGCGAACAACTCGCGCATCGGATCTGGAAGAGGCAGCAGGGCCGGCGAGTACTTTGGCAACGGATTCGCTTCCCTGTTCGAAGRTGAGGTCGTGCTCTGCGGAGACGGCAGGCTTGGCGAAGGCGCATACCAGTTCAACTTCAATGTTGAGTTTCCCGAACGAGATCTGCCAAGCAGCATATCCGTACGTCTATAGAGTAGAATTGGTGGACCGGTCGAGGCTGACTGTGACCAGTTTGAACGCGGAACGGTTTCCTACATGATTACAGCCACGATCACGCGACCCACAACCCTGATGCCGACCATGCATTGCGATCACAAGGTCTACTTGCTGGAGCGCATTGACATTTCACAGCTATTCCCGCCTCGAGAGAGGACCATCACGTTGGAACCGATATCACGCCGCCACCGAGCCAAGTCTCAGGCGAAGAAGCTCACAGACAGCGATCGAAAGAGCGTCAAGGGTGATTCAAGTCAGCAAACGACCGACCGCGCACAATCCGACAGCATAACGACGACTTCTTCGCCCAGTCTGCGCGCCATCGTCGAAGTGCCGCAAAGCCCGGCACCCAGTGACCTCAGTCTCGAAGGCAGTCGAGTGTCTAATTATCGTGGACGCCGTGCTCGTCTAGGATCAGAAACTACTTCACGGCCATCCCAGCTGGATTCGAACGCGACCTCGCCCCGGGCTAGTGACTTGGATAGCACCGTTGCTCCTCCCCCCACTCGGACCATCACCGCCACCGTTGCATCTCTCTCCGGAGGCTGTCTGAGGGGAGATAGTTTGGCTGTCAAAGTGCATGTGGACCACACGAAACATGTCAAAAGCTTGCACGGCGTGATTGTCACGCTCTATCGTCAAGCGCGAGTTGACATGCACCCCTCAATACCCTTAGGCCCAATCGAGAAGGGCAAAGAACGAAAATACGAGGACTACTACCCCAAATCAATGTCTGGTCTGGGTGGTTTGTCTCTCTCTGGAGCAGGCTCTAATCATGTCTTTCGCAAGGACTTGTCGCAAACAATTGTGCCGCTGATAGTAGATCCAGCTTCGCTGACGGCAGATGTCACGGGAAAGATCCATGTACCGGATGAAGCCTTTCCAACAATTGCCACCGTTCCCGGTGCAATGATCAGTTTCCGATATTACATTGAAGTCGTTCTTGACATCCAAGGGAAGCTTTCTTCCCAAGATCGCAACCTGGGCAATCTTGGTGGCTTAGCTAGCACCATGGCCCAGGGCCAGCCAGCCGACCCAGACCGACAAAGGCACGCTACGAACGGATTTGGTGCTCCGATGATCGACACAGCTGCCGTCAGGCGCGACAAAGGTGTCGTTGCGTGCACTTTTGAAGTCGTTGTTGGGACTAGAGATACAAGCCGAAAGGGGAAAAAGAAAGTCGAGATGACTACCCAAGCCGGGCTAGAGCCCCGCGTTCCGCCAGAGGTAGATGCTCAGGGAGGTGCCGCGACACAGTCTGATAATGACACGGCATGGCATGACWACGCGGCCGCGCAAGCTTACCATCAACAACAATATTACAACGCATATCCGCATGCGCCTGAGTATGGCGTATACAACGAGCACGACAGACACAGCGCACACAATGAGTACAATGGCCGGCAGGAAGCATACTTTTCAGAATGCGAATACTCCGCAGCACCCCTGGTACCGATGCCATCAATAGAGGACGAATCACAGCTCCCAGAGAAGGAGCGATTACGGAGAGCCGAAGCTCGTCTATTACCAAGTCAGCCTCCAGGATTCGAAGAGTCCGGCCCAAGCGCTGCTGTAAACGGCGCGACCGCACCATTCATCCCAGAAGAGCAGCAGAATGGTTATGAGCAATCGAATGGACATCGCCATCCACCTATCTTGCTGACGCCACCTGCGCCCATGTCAGGAGCTTATGTCGACGCGCATAACATTCTCACACCTCAAACCCCGGACTACGGGCGGCGAGATGCCTACTTGCCCAGCACACCAGCGTATGAGGCTTCGCAATTTTCTTTACCTCAAACCCCCACATATCGAGCTTCCCAGTTCCCCGTACCCAGCACACCGATTTATGAACCTACGGATTCTGGGGCGCAGACCGCCACTGACGATAAGAGGGAAATCGAACGTCGTCAGCTGGAAATGAAAGCTTCCGCTCCGCCTCAGCTTCATGTGGAAGAGCCTGGGCCAGCGCCACCTCACGCATTCGAGCCTTCAGCTCCCATCCTCACCGCTGACGAGGATTTCTTCGACACCGGAACTGCGATCGTCAATGATAGCCACGCGGATGCGTCCGCCCCTCAGGAGCTTCCACGGTATGAAAGATGACATTATGACTAGCGTTGCTTGTGCGGCGGCTAGGCCAACAGCGAGATGGTCTTGCCTCGATTTAATATTCCAATAGAACCCTTTAAATGATACCACTATWCACAGCAGCACAACCGTCTATTTTGAATGTCAAATAAATGCACATGGGCCGAGACTCGAGCCGCCTCACCGATTCTCAACAGTTTCGGTGTCCTCAGCTGTTTGTGCATCATCCTTCGGAACTTGGATGCTGGGTCGAGGCGCGTTATGGGCTTGTGATCGGCTTCAAAGTTGGAACAAAAAGGTCGATCGATTTTAATGTACTCCTGATCCCCATTTCCGCTTCGAGATGTTGAACAGAATAGTGCTGGGTCGAGGCCTGCGGGACAGTAATAATGCCACGGATTGATCTGTTGCTGCCTCCTGAATCTCATATTTATTACAGGCTCCCTTGAGTTTGCAGTGTCACTTGACTGTACACCGATCATCCCGTTGGCGTTGTCCGGCGTTTCCCAAGACCGCAATCCAGACTTCCTGTGTAACGATCGGACTGCAACAGCTTCATCACCTCCCACAGTGACCATTAAATCCCTACCATCATATCATGTAGGCAGACGGTGGTCAAAAAGAGCCGACAGCGCAACACGATAAATCTTGACCCTGCAAAGGGATGTTCGCTGTCGCTATTGCCGTATCGGGCAAATGAGAGACAATCGGCGATTCATGCTTGGCGGAGGCGGACAACAGCTCCGGAGCTGGTTCCAGATCTCGAGCCAGACTCTTCAAGGGTGCGGGATGCTTTTCATGCCACCGGCTTTTGTTGGTCGGAAGGAACCCGGCGCATTATCTGTTCGCGATGACGACGTGCAGAGTATCTTGGCCGCGAAGCGATAGCAGCTTACTACTGTGCTACCCCGTAGCATTGCATCTTCTCGCGACAAGCCAGCCTTGAAGAGTGGACCAGAACTCGTGCAATCCTTCCAGTTCTTACTATGGATTTCCCCACTCCGCACGTGAATGTGAAGCTCTTCTGCTACTATGCCACTTTGAGAGCATTGCGAAAAGAGATCGTCAGGGAGAGGGCCGTTCCAGACTTCCAGAAAGTGGAGCACACGTGCGAAATTCATGGAACAWTGATGGCCTCTATGTGTCCTGTTCCTCCACTGCTATTGAATAGCCGACCGCCTTACGCTTGCGTAATCGACCATGCATTGGTCGGCGGATTAGTTGGTACTGTAAATGAATGTAGAGTCCTCTCCGTTAGCTGCGGAAATGGAATAGAGTGCCTGGGACAAGGGTACCAATTTGTGCATAAAGACACAACAAGAACAGCCCATTTACAGCCTAGTGAAGGATCTCGCCAAAGGGCTCAAGCCACGCTGTCCGGTGACTTTTAGAACAGGAGTTAAAATGTTGGTTCTGTGGTTGGTCAACTCCGCGCAGACCGTATGGTACGAGGTTCGCGATGTTCTTGCATAATGGAAGGCCGGGGAAGCGCTGCGGTCGATGCGGCTTTGCAATAGWCGTCATGGTTCCTACCAACTTCTTTCTGGGAGGGGGGCTTGAGGTAATCGCGTCTCTGGTCAATCGCGTAGAAATGTTCATCAACCACGCAGTGTGTTTATCACTGACATCCAACTCCCGTGGTCAGTGGGAAGTTTGTCGTTTCACGCCCGGAATCTCGGCACAGACCCGCAACTTTTTCCAGAAGTAGACCAATCTAGACCTGCACGGCCAGCTCTTTGGTTACATGTGAGGCTTGGACCGTCGGTTTGGCGCCGGGACGGCTTTGTCGTTCACGGGAACTGCGTCGATAGAGTGACATCGCCTGGTTTGCTAGCTTTCTGGGCGACGAGAGGTGTTCTGTGTTCACTGGGACAAAGACTCAAAATCTCTCCACTGCTTACCGCGACACATCGAGATAATCCTCGTCTCTTCACACCCCAACGGTCCGCGACGATCTCTCCGGTTAGCAGGAATCTGGGCTTGTCGATCCTGCGATTCGTAATCCCGCTGCGGGTATACTTACCTTGAGACTTCACTGCTGGAAAACTGGCAGCCTCCCCGTCTGTGCTTTTACCACACACCTAAGGTACTCACATCTCGCACGGAAAGGAGGGCCAGCAAATTTCTATCGGAGGAGACGGGGTATTGGAGAGGACCTCCCAATCCCACGTTGGCTGGAACGCCTCACTTGGACGCTTTCGATGAGTGCAACTGTTATTTTCCACACGATCGCCACACGGAATGCTTGCCGGCGGTGTTGAGCAAGAGGCTATGGAGCGACAGACCATTTGTTTCCCACACCACGGCACACAGTCTGTCCTTCAACATGGAGACCCGGGATTCAAGGACGAGATCAATCGGCTCTACAACCCCGCGGAGAACAATGCATTGGAAGCACTCATAGCACTCAAGGCCAGTTTGCGCCACCTATCAACCGATGACTTCTGGGCTGCCATGACTGAAGGGATGTCGAAGCTTCTAGGTGCGGAAATTTGCTTCATCATGAAGCGGGTGCTGGTGGACGACCAGGCATCCRCGGTCGAAATGCCGCCCATAGGAGCTCCTGGATCTTGTATGATGGCCGCCGCTTTACATTACTGTGCMAATGATGGAAGCAAGGAAACCTACAAGTCGACCAAGTTCCACGCATACGGTTGTCCTTGCGCCTATATGAGACACGACAAGGTGTTTTGCATACCGGATCGATTGGGCAGTTTCATCACAAACAACCCGAATACTCTGCCCACCCCGTGCGAAGCGTATATTGCGGTGCCTCTGTTCGAAGAAGGGAAGTGCTTTGGTCACTTCGGCGCGATGTGGTCTGCCGAAGGAGCCGCTCAGCGGAAGCTGTCCTGGGCTTTCATTGAGATGATCATGCATGCATTGGAAGACATGATATTGCAAAGATTCTCCGATGGTGCCAACTTCATACGAAAACCATCAATGGTCAAAGAGGGTAGTCGAGTCATTCCCCACGACGCAGTGACGCTGGCTCAGTCATTACGGCCGTGGGCTGGGTCGTTGTCGCATGAATTGAGAACACCGATGCAAGGCATTGTAGGTATGCTGGACGTCATGTACGCCACCGTACAAGAAGCAATCTTCACACAAGGCGATACACGTATTCGACAAGTATTTGAGACACTGAAAGAAAACATCGAGACGGTGCAGGACAGTTCACGGCGAGCGGTCGAAGCCGCTGATAATGTGGTCCATGCCTACGATATGGATATGAGCGTACCGGACGCTCCGCCACAACTTCCCGATGAGCCCAGCGAGTCTTCTCTTCAAACAGCAAACTCCACCGATCGAAGACCTGAAATTCTGGTAGCAGGCAGCAATCTTCCACTTGCTCGTCCGAACAAACGCAGACGCGAAGAAGCTTTCGCACGGAGTGCAAGTAACGCCAGCTCTTCCAAGACACCGCGATTGGGGAGACCATCCGATTTGAATTGTCGCTGCGGTTCAGAGAGCGCTGCGCCTGGTGAGGAAGAAAGGTCACAGGTCGAAGCCATTGCCTCGATAACCAGTGTCCCCGGTATGGCGGGCGAGGAGCCGATTTCTCCCACCATCTCGACCCCGTCGTTCGCCAATCGTACCATCGCCCCTGGCCTCCGACATACTAGCCTGCGGGAGCTTCTGCAATTCGTCATCAACGATTGTCTAAAGATTGGAGGGCGTCCAGACTCAGCCTTTGCTCAAGAAACGCAATTGGGCGAGATTGTCGAAGTCCGCACCCGTGGCTCGGATGGAAGCTCTGGGCAGAAACTTATCGAGTGGAGTATTGACCCTTCAGTCCCGACGACGATGTTCATTGATGAGAAAGACTTGACAAAGCTCATATCGTGCGTCGTGATTAATGCTTTGAAGTTCACAGACCAAGGGGAAGGCAGAGTTGCCGTGACTGCTTGCATGCGCAACCGAGGACGCCACCTCTCAATCAAAATCAGCGACAACGGGCCGGGAATACCAGCGGATTTCCTGCCGAAGCTGTTCAAACCTTTCTCACAAGAAAATCCTAGCATCACGAGGAGCTCCGAAGGGCTAGGGTTGGGTTTGATGGTTGCAAAGGGTATAGCAAGGAAGTTGGGCGGCGATTTGATGTGCACACATGCGGAGACGAGTGGACCGAGACGCGGAACAGAGTTCGAGATCAAGATTCCCATGCAGGCTGGAGAGACTGTCAGCAGAGCAAGCTCTCCTTTTGCAAGTCCAATGCCTGGAAAAGCACAACTTGCAAAAGACCCTGCACAGCAACATGTTCGGCTTCCTCCAGCAGCAATTGGCAGCCCAAGTAGTCTCTCCCGAGCACTGCATGAGGTCGTCAGCGCGCCGACGTTCTTTCCACAAGCATTGGACATCCCATCAACAGCGACCTCGCCCACACCAACCACACCGCCCTCACCGCGATCGACATATCCCTCTGACGACTCCACATCGCCGACGTCAGCYCCTGAAGTGAAGCTCAAGCCCACACGACCTCGCTACCGGAAAGCCGTCTCTTCTGCGCCCTCCATCGACCGTGACCTCGCGAAGAAGTACCCTCTGACCTTTCTCGTTGCCGAAGACAACAAAATCAATCGCAAACTTCTCGTCAGCATGCTGTCAAAGTTTGGCTACACGAACATCCACGAAGCTCACGACGGCACAGAAGCCGTACGGCAGATGCGGATCCATGAAGAAGAGGTAGATGTTGTATTGATGGATCTGTGGATGCCGCTCATGGACGGGTATGAGGCTACTGAGAAGATCCTTGGTGCAGCAGGGAAAACGCCGACTGTCCTGGCCGTCACGGCAGATGTGACGGACGGCGCGTTGGGGAGAGCAGCGGAGGTTGGAATGAAGGGATATATGACCAAGCCCTATAAGCTGGCTGACTTGCAAAGACTCATTGAAGAGTACTGTGCGAGCAACGAGGCAAAGGTGGATGCGCCGCTTCCTGAAGCGCGTGCCGCGACGGTAGTATGATTGAGGCGGATTCGCTGCCACAGTGTATGCGGATTCCAATATCACGTCGGTATGAAGGGGCAGATATGATGAGAGATATCTAGTGTAATTAACATGACAACATGAGTGAACGTTCAAGATTATTTTTGCCCTATCGCCTGTTCCGGAGCTGTGTCCGTTCTCATGTGAATCCTCGGTGAACTTCGAGACGTCTCTTTCATTCGTTCYTCCAAACACAACACCACATCCACCAGACAGTCACTTTAATCAACCACCATCATGCCATCTCCCGCCCCAATCACCGATCCGACACTCCTCACCGTCCTGGAAGCCGCATCGGCAGCGCGTCAACAATGTCTCGAACTGCTCGATCTCCTCACACTCAACACATCAACGGAAGAAGAAACGTCGACCTCTGCTCGCAAAATCGAAGCGCGTATCGCCATGCTACGCGGTCTGAATCGACGCGCCATCATGGAAGTGCGACGCACCAAAGGCGAGACGACCGAGGCACGACAAGAGATTGATGCGCTGCATCTGGGTCTGCAGAATTTATACTACGAGCAGCGCCATTTGAGGGGCGAGATTGGCGCTTGCGAGGGCTTTGAGTGAGTCTCGCATGTCTTATACGTACCGCGGGGGAAGCAGCTGCTAATCCGTGACAGTCACAAGTACATGAAACTACCCATGGTGGAGGCGGAGGAGTTCCTGGAGCAGCATCCGGAATGCACGGAACTGGACGAGCATGAGTTGACGCTTGCGCGAATTGAGGACGAGAGGGTCAAGAGAGTCGAACTGGAGGCAAAGAGAGCGGAGTTGGTGAAGAGGAGGGAGGAGCTGGTCCGGGAGACGACGGCGAAGAAAGAGGAGCTGGCCAAGTTGGATGCTGAGGTGGAGAAGTGGGTAGCTGGGCAGGAGCCGGCGCGGAAACTGTTCGAGGCGAGGGAAAAGAAGGCGGCGGAGGCGGCGGAAAAGGCTGCTGCTGCTGCTGGGAGTTGAGGGGTGGGACGAAGGATATCGTCTCGATATCTGCTTGCGTACATCCATCACCGGCTAAGGCACCATCCAGTGAGTGCCACGGGAATCTTCTCTTTCTACTGCCACGAATTGGCCGCCAGGCGAGCAGCGAAGGAATGATTTCTGGATGAACGACTGCACAATCGGCTGTCATTATACCCGTCACGTCGTATGCACGGACAGGACACAGTCTGGGGAGAGGACTCAAAGCGCCTCGCCGGAGCAGATGTGGCCCAGCCCCCTCTATGGAGCTACGCAACATTGCAAGACATGCAAACAAAGCTCTCGTCTACCATACGTGTCGAGGACTGTCGGATWCTGGATATCAATCTGAAATGGACCTGGTATTTCCGCCGCAGGAAAGGGCATGCGCAGTATTGAACGTTGGCTACACGTTTCACTCTCGAGTACGCTGTACGCTTGGTATAGTGCTGCGAGGCGCGGACTGTAAAATGTCACATAGTTGATGAATTCCGTGGGTAGGCGTTCCCTGGCTGCTACACTGCAGCTACTGACAGTAGGCATCGTCGTTGTTTATGATCAATTCGAGACCGAACAACTTTACGCTACAGTTCAGTCTTTGGTCTGACAGCCTCGCAGCCATACTGAACCATGCTGAGTATGATGAAGCTAGGAGTGCTCAGCCCGGAAAGACGCAACAAAAAATGATAAGATACACCTTTTCAACTTTCAAAAACCGACACAATTGACGTCCGGCAGTCGTCTCCGCTCTTCAAACTACTAGTGTTGATCTACAGCAGGATACAACGAAGTACGCACTGTTTTGTCGACATCTCTCAGCTACCAACGCGGGGACGGCTCCGCTATTCTGGCTCGAACTTGTATCGTCGAACTCTAAAGGCTACGCGGCGACAGCAATGATATCCAGATGACCTCACTTCCCCATACCTCTTTAACACACTTCATCTCTTTGCCCTTCAACCTTAAACAGCAACATCAAAGTCATCTTTAACCTCAATCCACGTTCTAAAGAAGCAACCATGTCTACCGGCGTCGGCGTCTCCTCATGCTGCCTTTCAGGCAAGATCGCCCAAGGCAAGCCCACTGGACGCACCGAAACCATCGCCGGTCTCCAGACATATGTCGCTGAGCCCGCCGACAATTCCAACAAGAAATCTGTCGTTTTCCTCGTCGACATTTTTGGCTGGACACTGCCAAACATTCGTCTTCTCGCAGACAACTATGCCAAAGCAGGCTTCACTGCCTACATTCCCGATGTTCACGAGGGCGATTCATTGGATCCTGAGTTTCTCGAAACTGTCGAGCCTCCTCTCCCTCAACGAGAAGCCATGGGTGCTGCGGCCAAAGCTGCCGCTACTGCTAAAGTCGGCGCTACTCTTGGGCCATGGTTGATCAAGCACCGTGAGGGCGTCTCTAGGCCTCTGATTGAAGGATTCATCAACCAGATTCGCAYTACTCCTGGTACTGACAAGGTCGGTGTCATTGGGTTTTGCTGGGGTGGTAGGTATGCCATCTTGGCGGCCAACGCACCTTTCAGTGGGCAGGAAGGCAAAGGCGTTGACGCTGCCTATGCATGCCACCCTAGTTTAGTGAGCATTCCGGCGGACTTTGAGCCCGTCGCTGTGCCTTTGAGCCTGGCGCTTGGAGACAAGGATAGTCTCTTGGGAGAGTCAGAGATCGGCAAGATCAGAGAGATCCTGGCGAAGAAGCAGAGGCAAGTCTTTTTCTTCGCATTGAGCTCGTGTTTGGAGGAATATACGCTAACTTGGTTGTAGGGGAGACCAGGGCGAGAAGAGCGAGAGCGAAATCAAGGTGTACGCTGACCAAATCCATGGATTCGCTCTCAGGGGTGACTGGAGTAGTGAAAACGACAAGAAGGCTATGGATGTTTGTGACACATCTCCCCCATACCAGTCAACAATTTTACTGACCGCGAGTTTCTTACAGGAAGCTGAGAAGCAGGGCCTTAACTTTTTCAACAAGCACCTCTAGAGACAAGTACACCCGCGATTCGGGGCGTTTGGGATGCATTCCCCAATGATGATTGCGGTGGTTGTGTGTCGTTCAAAATATGTCCACTGTTCAATGCAACAGTCCTCCTTTCCACGTTAGTCATAGGTAGGTATAGTGTTAAACAAGTTCCCTTTCTCCTCATCTGTGTCATCTCCGATTCCTCAAGTTCTTGCCAGTACATACATGCCACCTTCCGTGCAGCGGTTTACATGAAAGTACAAATCGGAAACACCGGATCAACACGGGAAAATCAAAGCAACAGTACTTGAGACTTCTTAACTATTGGCAGTCGCCTGCAAAGAAAAAAAATCAGGTTAGCGAATAGAAGCCTGCCTCGGTCTTGATCGAAAGTGGGGCCATACCATTTCAGGGTCCAACTATCCACTACAATCATTGCCGGACTATCCGGAAGCCAGCGCAAACAAAGAGGGAGAGGGRGAGGGAAATGGAGAGATGTAGGGTGTGTAAAATGTCTCTCTCTCTGTTCGTCGGCACTCTTGAGTAAACGCGGGTGGCCGTCACGCGTGGAAGTCGGCGGATCGAATTCAAAAAAATGGCAAGACCCCATTGGCTTCGTGGATTCTACCCAACCTTTGGACCTTTGCCTGTCATCCGTTTCCGTAACAGGCGCAAGGTTTGAGGACCTTGTGTCAAGGTTCTCCTATGGATGAAAAGATCCGCCCACAATAGGGTTTTTTATGGCGAATGGGAAACGAACAATGGTAAGAATTGAGCACGTCTAGTGGACAATTTGAACACGTCTCGTGGACCTCTTGAGGACATCTTCTGGACCTTTTGGAAACGTCTTCTGGACCTTTGAGGACGTCTTGTGGAGCCTTTGAGACCACAGGAAAAGTGCCTATATACTCATCTTCTTCCTGCGAATTTGTTCTGCTCGATATATTTCCACTCATACTTGCAAGACCGACAGCAGCAGGACATTTCACCAGCAGAGAGCAGAAACAAACCGCCTCAAGCCAATTACAGCAGCACACCACATCAACCACTCACTCTCGAAGATGTCACCTCGACGCCTCGCAGCCCTGGAGTTCGGCAAGCCCCGCAAAGAATACACGAAGATGGAATCCAAGCCCATCATCAAATGTGTGAAGGGAAGGGGCAGTGGCGTACTGGCGCAAGTCAGTTACAAGCAGGATATCACCCTGCTTGAAGCAGGCGCCGAGACGCCAAAGACTCTCACCACCGTCATCAAGGTGCGTGAACATGATCAATATCGCAGCGTCACTGAATTCAACGCCGAATTCTACATCAAGGATGTGGTCGCTGCGTCACAGCGTGTAGGAAGTCTACACGCCCAAACGATCGCCCGGACAGACCCCATGATCTCGAAACCGCTCTTCGTGACTGAGCTACTGGGTGCGGATAACGTCAGTCCAAAATGCCATGCGACCGACGACGATGATGCCGATGAGACACAGACCATCATGCGGCATCTATTCTATCCCAATGCGTCGCCACGCTTCGAATACCACAATCGCACACTGTTATTCGTCGAAGATCTGCACTTCATCGTGACATTCCAGATCTTCGACGAGTTCCACGGTCGTGGTCTCGCTCAGCTTGCGATGGAATCCTACCACGAAGCAGTACAGAAACTGCGTGGAGGGTTCGCTTTCAAGGGCCCCGTGGTGCTCTCGCCTGCTGCTTTGCGTGAGACCTTCGCCGCAAAGGCAGGCTACGGAAAGCCCACGAAAAGCTACGTGGAGATTGAGCACGCATTGATCGCCTCATATCGCAAATCGGGCTATAAAGTCTGGAGCAAGGCGGATGACGCTCTCGAGGGGTGCGGAATCACCATTATGGGAAGAACCATTGGTGCGCGGCCCCGGAACATGCAGGATACGGCGCCAGAGGAGAAATTCCCTCCCTTTGTCAAAGCCGACGACCATGCGCCTGCGAGGAACGATCAAGGCATAGCGCCGATCGAGAAGCAGGAGAGTCCAGTAGAGAAGCAGGAGAGCCCACTCGAGGAGAGGGCGCAATCGACGGGCGACGTTCGGAGGGGACTGGCGGTGGTCATCCCGCCTCAATCCCGCAAGCGTAAAGCTCCCGAAGAAGCTCTCGACGACAGTGATAGACGCCCTGTAAAGCGAGTGGACTCTGGCCTGTTGGATAGCGAATGGAGCATGGAGTGCGGTGGCGAAAGGTGTGAGCTTTGCGGTGTGACGGGGCGTGCACGATGGCACAAAGCGGACTGTGAAGTCTGGACAACGTGTAGTAAAAATTGATTCATGGAATTGCATAGGGAGCAGCAGCATAGCATTGCATGAGGTTAGCATAGGTTGAAAGTGTAGCCGCAGTCGGTTAAACAATCAGCCAGAATTGTTCAGCATGTTTTCCAGATGGGGCGAACTCCATCTTCTTGACATTACCAGCAAGTATATATACACATAGCTGGAATATTGACATTCGTATCAGCTTGACACTTTTTCAATCATCATGTCTCCTGCTGCCACCTCAGAACATCCTACCTACAGTATTGCGTGTATCCCAGCGGACGGAGTAGGAATTGAAGTCATCAATGCCGGTGTCGAAGCATTACAAGCTCTCAGTGATGCCGCAGGATCCTTTCAATTCAAGTTCGAGCACTATGACTGGAGTTCCAAGACATACCTAGAGACTGGCAAATATATCCCCGATGGTGGCCTTGACAGCTTGAAGAAGCACGACGCCATACTCTTTGGTGCAGTGGGTGCACCAGGTAAGCTTTACCCGAACCGACGACACGGACACCGCTAACTTGCATGAGATGTCCCTGACCACATATCACTCTGGGGTCTACGTCTGGCCATATGTCAGCCCTTCCAGCAATACGCCAATGTCAGACCTACAAAGATCCTCAAAGGCACACAGAGCCCTCTTCGCAATGCTTCTACTGGCGATCTTGATTGGGTCATCATCCGCGAGAACAGCGAAGGCGAGTACGCAGGCCAGGGTGGACGATCTCATCGCGGACAACCTTGGGAGATCAGTACCGAAGTCTCCATTTTCACAAGACATTGCGTGGAAAGGCTGATTCGCTTCGCTTATGAGACTGCACAGAAGCGACCAAAGAAGTATCTCACCGTCGTCACGAAGAGTAACGCCCAACGGAATGGAATGGTGATGTGGGATGAGATTGCCCTGGAAGTGTCGAAAGACTTCCCTGATGTCAAGACCGACAAGATGCTCGTCGACGCAATGACCTGTCGAATGGTGTTGCAGCCAAATTCGCTGGATACAATCGTCGCAACGAATCTGCACGCGGATATTCTGAGTGACTTGGCGGCTGTAGGTCAAAGCGTGCATGGCAAAGAGCATGTCTCGATGCCTTCATCTCACCGCTCCAATGTCCAAGAAACATGCTAATGTATACTTCGTATTAGGCGCTTGCCGGATCCATAGGTATTGCTCCGACAAGCAACTTGGACCCCACTAGACAAAATCCGAGCATGTTCGAGCCGATTCACGGATCCGCCTTCGACATTGCGGGCAAGGGAGTTGCGAATCCAGTTGGCACTTTTTGGAGTGCTGCTGAGATGGTCAAGTGGTTGGGCGAAGAAGCTGCCTCGGAACGTTTGTTGGAATGCGTGGAAACGGTGTGCGGGCAGGGTATCTTGACCAAGGATCTTGGAGGCTCCGCAAGTACGAAGGAGGTCACTGCTGCCGTATGCGAGGAGATCCGGAAGTCGTATCGAACACAGAAGTAGTTGACTGCCGGACCAGAAAGCATGCCGAATTGGGACCATGGATCATATTCATGCCTCGACTTTGTGTCGTACTCGCGTGATCAAACTGCTTCTCGTATCAGAGATTGATGGCAAGATCAACCCCTTTCACTGATCACGGTCTCCTCGGAGCATTATTCGTGCCGCATGTCCCGTGATCTTCGACAAGGTCTTGTCGTCGATCTGATACTCGAAAAAGAAAGATACGGTCGCAAGTCTCCTCCACTTGTGTCTTCACCTCCACTCGGAATGACGGCTCATAAGCGGCCGAGACTTGCATTAATTCCTTGGAAGATGTGCATTTAGCCATTCGACGGAAACATCACGCGTCAGTGGCTTGAAACGGTCTGGAAGTAGGTGTGCAAATGAGAGGAGAGTTCATCTACTTTCTCAGTCGAAGTTTTCCAAGCTCTATATTTAGACTGCAAACTTGGCGGCGAAAAGTACGGAGTACAGTAGCTCGAGCCTTGGAGTCGGTGATCATTCTACTTTGCAGCATTTTGGCCACTGTGCGCCGAAGCTCCACAGATTATCCGTGGTGACGGTCTCGAGCTATGCTACTGCATTCCGTAAATGCTACCAAGGCGGGATAAGAATAGGGCATTAGCCGAAGAATATGACGCACTGGTCTCGTATAGCCAAACAAAGTCAGCATGATAGTACACACTACTTGGCAGCGATCACATAGCGCATGGGACCACATTCTCTGAAGACTTATAAGGATCCTGATCCTTCGCCAATATCCGAACAATATCATCAACTTAACAACATCACAATCAAACACCAACACCACACTTTCAACTCAACCACCAAACCAAACCACCTCAACCCAATCAACCACCATCAACATGCACGCCTCTACCATCTTCGCTCTGGCCGCTGCCACCTTCGCCTCCGCTGCCCCAGTCGACATCCCCGGCCAGCAGTTCGGTAGCTTCGAGGTCTCCAACTTCATCTTCGGCTGCACCAGCGGCTGCAACTGGTACTTCGACGTCTCCATCGCCGGCTCCTTCCTGAACCACCCAGCGATCGACACCCCAGTCCACTGTGAGGGTGGATGGGCCCTGGACCCCTCAGACGTTCCCTCCGAGTACGTCGAGTGCGGCCCCATCAGCCAGACCCAGAGTGTCTCCGCCTACGTCACCCGCGCTGTCGAGGAGGGCGAGCAGAGCGTCTTGAACCTCGTCTACTCCACCAGCAACCCCCTCACCGGTGCTGTCTTCAAGTACTACGGTGACGACAACGTGTACTCTGCCACCGGCTACAACGCTTCTCTGCAGCAGAGCGAGTTCTCCGTCCCAGAGACCAGCGCCACTGCTGTCATCTAAATGCAGAAAACTTTTGAGATTTGGAAGGCATGAAATAAGTCATGTACATTAGCGGATTGCATCGAGCGTGGACGGGGTTGAGATTAATTTGTATAGCATGGATCGCATAGCAGGAGTTGCATTCTTGAGCAGCAGCATTTTAGAGATGATAATTACTAGCACTGGTCAACGAGAAACCAAAATACACCAGATCATTCACTCTTACTTTCCCGCATATGCCTCACCAATTCCTTTCTGCACCGCTGGACGCTCGGCAATACGGTCCACCCATTTCAACAAATGAGGAAACTCAGAAACCTCATCTTTGGAAATTCCACTGCGCTCCCAGTTCTTGATCCAAGGCCAGGTCTTGATATCCGCAATCGAGTATTTCCCCTTGCCGTTTCCAGCGAGATACTCCCTCGGCTCGCCAGTATACTTGCCAGAAAGCTGAATTTCCAACACGCCGAAGATGCGAAGTGTCTCATCCTTGAATCGCTTGATAGCGTATGGGATCTTCTCTGGAGCAACGCGGTTGAAGTGGTTCAACTGTCCCTGGATAGGAGCCCCTGAGCCGTGGTAGAAGAATGTCCACTGCAGAGCCTGGTTGCGCTCCAGGTCATTGGTAAAGCCGAATTTGTCTTGTTTATCGGCAAACTTCAAGAGATAGAAGAGTTCGGCAGATGTCTCGTGGACGCTGAACGGAGGACTTTGAGTGTTGTCGATGAGAAGAGGAATGCGTCCTGGTGGATCTCGTCAGTGTTTATATCGTGTGGATCTAGTTTGTAATTCCCACCATTAGGATCGAGTCGCAGAAACCAATCCTTCTTCTGCTCATTGGTAGAGATGTTGATCACACTGGTGGTCCACTCAGTGCCATAGACCTCTTTGAGCTCTTCAAGAAAGATCTGGACAGCTTGTCCATTGGGTGTGTTCTGTGTGACCAGATGTAAACCCTTGGCATTCTTAACATCTGCCGGTGTCTCGTCTGTGTATGGATTGTAGCTCATCTTGACTGATTTGTAGATTGGATTGTCCGTGAGATTAACAGTCCTTCTTCTGCGCTTATAAGCTGGAAACCAAGTTTGTCAGCGAAGATGATGTATGAGACAATGCGAATGATTTCTAACGCCATCTGCATTTCTGGTACGACCATTTGATGAGCTCCTTTCCCCACTTTACACTTCGTCATCGATAAACACCCCGCCAACACAGTCATCGTGCCATCGCCACGCGAATATGCTACCGCATGATCAGTTGAACCCAGAGTTGTGGAGATGAAGATGATGGACCTAGAAAGGTCGTTAAGAGCCTCCTTATGATCGATACAAAGACACTCTCGCTCCTTCTCTCGGTAGTATCAATTTCTCTGGAACGGCTGGGACACTTCCTGTCAGCCAAGTTGCCCCTCGCATAAGGAAGATCAGAGCGACCTGAAGTTGTCGATCCGTTCTTAGATCAATATCTCTGATCGAGCCGCAAGAGCGTCTAACATACCTTCAGCGTAACTGCGCTGCGCCATGCAACGGGCTACTGCCCACGATCTTCACCCAGGCGACCATGACAGTTATCCTCGTACAATACTGCACGTATACAGAAGATGTCGCTATGTCTAGGGATGATGCAGCAAGACCCCACGTTACAGGCAGAATGTTGGCCTAGACACGACTCAGAAGCAGAATCGTTGCATATATGCTGTGAGCAAGAAAAGCAAGCACTGCTCACTTCCCCGATTGTGAGCGAGGAACAGCGGCCCATAGCCTCTAATCTTGTCGAAGAGCGTACCACTTGCTGTAAATAGCTTGCGCGCTTCTGCCCATACGTGTTGCAAGCTTCGCCCAGTCATGGCGTCCCGCTCCAAGTGCACGTAGGTACTCTGAGTCTTCAGCAGACCAAGGGCGTCGTAGTCTCTGAGCATCAATTGGATCGACGTCATTCAAATCCCTCTTGATCCAGTGAATTTTGTTCCGGACCGACGTCTCAGTTCTACCCAGTCTGGGGGCAATGTCCGAAGGTTGCATACCCTCTGACACGTATCCACGGAGCCCTTCCATTTGAGCGGCAGTCCACCGACGAGGATTCAAGGCGGTGGTTCTCAAAGCTTTTTCAGGTACACATCGAGTGTAGCGTGATTGAACTGCGTATGGGGTACGGCCCATCTTTCGAGCGATCTCGGTCCAAGACGCCGGCGATGATGCGTTATCTCTCAAATCAAGTATACGTCTGTCCYCTTCGCGAGAGAAACGATGCTTGATGTTGTTCATGGGTTGGTAGATTTCATTTTTCAGTCGGGCTTGTGTGTTTCGCAATGCCGTGCAAGTCCTATCCGGGAAGTGTGTTCGAATCTCCTCCCAAGCGACTCCTTTATTTGTGAGGTGTAGGAGCTTTGCAGTTTCTTCAGCCGTGTAATATTCCCGGAGCCGCGGAGGTTTAATACCAATCGACTTTATTCTTGACCAAATGGACCTGAAGGGTCTGCCCAGGAGTCTGGCCACCTCACATTTTGATTTGCCTGCCATGAGGAATTGCACCATCTGCTCATCCTCCTGCCTCGTGAAGGGCTTTCTAGCCGGGCATGATGACGATGAATGGAAACTCCGGAGCCAGAAGGGTCTGCAGGCCGTTTTGCATGCTCTCAATAGTGAGGGGGAAAGGGGCGCGGCGGAACCCTGAGCCCGGGAAATCCACACCGAGGAGGAAGTGATTCTCATCATATTAGCTGTCGGCTTTCTTTCGTCATGGAGCCGAAGATTTCGAATGTGGTTTGCACTGTATGTTTACATTGCAGAAGGAGGTAATTGTTGCCGGTGTTTGGCGTGAGACATTAGCGCGACTCCATCTTCGCTTAGTACCCAATTAAACGCGAGTGCCTGGCGGGGGCCCTCTCTCCGATAGTCTCTCGAGCGCCGAATAGATCTGGAGCTCTAGGTACGTAACTATCTAAGGTATGCTCAGCAGCTACAGCATGTCTCCGAGGCAAAGATGCGCGTCTGAGGAGATAAGGAGCAGAGTGAAGCCTCCAAAGGCGATGCTGAGCGACATAGATGCCACCCTCGTGCTGCCGCCATCACCATCGCCATCATCATCACCATCGCCATCACCATCACCATCACCATAAGCCAGCCAATCACAGACACCCTGGCCTTCCTTTCGAATGGCTTCCACCAGGCCACGACGACACCGGTCTTTCCATTCTCTGCACTTTCTCTGCACTTTCTCCGCACGAGTCCAACACCCGTAGATTCCAATCAAGGCCTGATTATCCACTGTTTCGGAAGCATTGTCATCGTGCACAAAATTCTCGGAAGTKCCCTCCACGAATGACCAGACCGGCAAGCCGGAAGCGGGTGCTCAGGCATTGGATACGATTGCAATGAATGAGTACAACGTAGTGTTTTATACCCAAGCGGGTGATCGAAGCACGCCAAAGAAGTTAGGTAATACGCACCTTTCGTGTTTTCCTCACGGTTCTTCCAAGCAACAATTCATAATCCGTGTGCTAGTCGGCGATTTCTGAATCAGATGTGCAGAGCACGTCCGAAAGCTGCAGAGTAGGCGAAAACGGTGGTGGGTCTTGTTGCAGCAGCTATCAGCGCTGTGACACTCCAGACTGGGGCATGCAACCAATCGTCAGCCATCTGAAGCTTCGACGCGACCTCTTCCTGCCGCACCCATCGGCATGTCCAAATAGTCAATTAGCCGGAGAGGTCAGTTCAAGTACAATTTCCTCCAACTTCTCTTTCCTGAACCACACTTGCAAGCGGGAAGAGATGGCTGCCATCATCGCGCTAGCTGGCGGCATTGCTGCATGGACATTGTCACTAGCCAGTGCTTCGCAAGGCCTCACTAACTATGAAGTGAATTTTGAGAGCGAACTGTTGGCATCTCTATCAAGTCCAGAACAGCTGTGCTCTCCCGGTTCAGCATGCTACGAAAACGCAACAACGAGATGGTTATCAGATTGGGGCATTCCACACTTCGACATCATCGTCCGACCAACTACGCAAGAGGATGTAGAATCCGCAATCCGAGTGGCGAACAAGTACAACAAACCTTTCCTCGCCATCTCCGGAGGTCACGGTGCTACCTTGACGCTCTCGAAACTTGAGAATGGGGTAGGAATCTGGATGGACGCACTCAAAAACGTGACGATCAATGGATCCACGGCACGGATTGGAGGAGGCATCACCAGCGGTGAACTTCGTGATGAGCTTGCAAAGCTTGGTAAACAGTCGACTACGGGAGGATGTGACTGTACGGGAGCTGTTGCTCCGATGCTTGGAGGAGGTCATGGATGGCTGCAAGGAAGGTAAGCCTTGCACAGTTGGGAGTACATGTCAAGTTAACTAAGCTGACTGGCAAAATATCAGGTATGGCTTAATGGCCGACAACCTGATTTCTGCCAATCTGGTACTTGCAAATGGAAGCTGTGTTACGGTGTCGAAGAGCAGCCACCCGGAACTTTTCTGGGCGCTTCGTGGCGCTGGACATAACTTTGGCATTGTGGTCGACTTTGAGTATCGCATCTATGATATCACGGAGGAGAATGCCGCTTGGTCATATGAGAAGCTGTACTACTCGCTTGACAGGCTGGAAGATGTCTTGGACGTCGTTAATGGCATGATTGGTACGATCGATGAGCCTGCTCCGGTAGAGCTGATTGTCTTTGGGCTCGTGGGAAGAAACCCAAGCGTAGCACGTGGAGAGGTATGTTGTCGGCAAAGGATCGCTCATTTTGGATATTCGCTGATAGTGAATGTCTACAGTTGACCCTGGTGATATACTTAATATGGCAGGGCGCAGCTATACCCGCAGCTTTTGCCGAACCTTTCAACGCTATACCTACACTGAGCATCGTCGCAGAAACAACTGATCTTCCAGGCGTAACTGCGCTCCTGGGTTGGACCAACGATGACGGTCCATGTAACACGAATAGCCCGACACTACAACGCTTCCCAGTAGCGTTGAAGACATACCCGATCCCCGGGATCCGTGCTGCTGTAGACCTCCTCGATTCAATGCCAGTGGAATTCAACAATTCGGCCCTGATACTTGAAGGCTATAGTACAAATGCCGTACAGGCAGTGCCCAAGGAGAATACCGCTTACCCGGATCGACTCAACAACCTGCTCATCGCTCCATTCATACGGCATGCGGCGAACGATGCAGAGCTTGAGAAATTTGGCTCAGACTATGGTAACGAGATGAGGCAGTTGATCGTCGATGCTAGCGGACAGGGATTGAATGCATATGCCAACTACGCCCATGGATCCGAGACGCAGCAGAAATTGTACGGACATGAGACATGGAGATTGGAGAAATTGCGAAAATTGAAGAGGGAGTGGGATCCTGAGAATCGGTTTGGTTGGTATCTCGCTATTGAGATTTAGACATTACTAGATTGTTCTTGAAAATTATTCCTAAAGTTTGCAGCTGTTACCCTTTTACTCATGCTGCACCAGTACTAACGGGAACCTGGGCGAAGCCTCGCTTGGCATGGCCGGCAATACGTGTTGCCGTTAGTGGCGTTGAACTACTGCCTGACGTAGTGGTCTGCAGAGGCTTGCTAGAAGCGGAGGTTTTTGTCGACTCGGGCTCTTGCCATTCGGGAGGTAGTTCTGGGTCGTGATAGATTGAAGTCGTCTGCAAAGGCTTGCCAGAAGCGGGGGATATCGTCGACTCAGGCTCTTGCCATTCGGGAGACAGTGCTGGGTCGTGATAGATTGAAGATGGCTGCGAACCGGCAGATGTCGTAGTGCCTGATGACCACTGCCACTCAGGTGGGAGCATCGTGTCGGTGAAGGGTGGAGCCGGAGTAAAGATTGTTGAAGTCGGGATAATCACCGTGCTCGAGTTGTATTGGTAGGCCTCGTCGAGCAACTGCGAAGCATTCACTACTCCCACAGTAGAGACGTTTCCTTTGCCTCCATTGGCCTGGTACCATTGTTGGTACGCATCGTAAATGCCTTGGGTGATTCCCTCGGGGATGTAGTACGTGGATTCAGGATCACAGATCTCATCGCAGAGTCCTTGGAGTTGATTGGGTCCCACGACGCTGGAATACCAATGGAAGTAGTCCAGATTGTTTTTGTGGCTACTCCAGTCTCGGAAAGGCTCTGAGTTGGAGCCGTTGAAGGGCGCCGCACTCAACTTGGGGCCCAGTGCATCGAACCACTTTGCAATGGGCTCTTGCATTGCATCAAGAAGTTTCTTGATAATGGCATTGACATGATCCGCCAAGGATCCCTTGGTCGACCATTCGTGGCAGAGGACTAAGACGCGTTTTGAGATCCACAGCCCGTTGTGGGCTTCCGAGGCCACATCGGTGTGTTGGAGGACCTTGATGTAGCTTGTATCGATGCGAAACGCGAAGCTTTGCGCATACTGTATTGGAAGTTAGAAGGGCAAAGAGTCGTCGAGGTGTATCTTGGTTGCCTACCGCATCGATTCCAGACCGAAAGACCACCTCAAACTTGAGACCTCCGTTGTTGAAAGGCCCCTTTTTGGCAGCACAGTCCTTGTCGTTCGCTGTAGACATATTAGTTGTAGTCATCGCAAATGCCCATGGTTGTGATTGCAACGAACGTGGCGCTTCAGAAACTATGAAGTCTACGCGAAGAGGTTGCTTCTAGCTGTCAGCCATCATGTCAACAATCGCGCCGGACTGGAACATACGAAAAAAACTCCGAACGAGAGTGGATCTCCCAAACCAAGACCCGAGCTTTGCATATCTTTGCTGATAAAGTCCAGACCAGTCGGGCCTCCGATGGGAATGGGCGATACGGACGCCACTGGGAACAGATGGAACTTGATTCTCGGACCCAAGCGGTGGCTGAGGACCATTTGGGAATCACCGCCTATTTCTAAAGCGGCATTGAGGTACTTGGTCTCGACTTTGATGTTGTTTTGATAACGCTGGCTGCGATCGTCGTGTAATGGTCTCATCACCATCGCGCCTTTGCTGATCTTAACCTCGAAGCCTGGACTGGTTCTGGCGAAATGTTAGCCAAGCCAGTTGAGATCGCGGACGAGTATGCAAGCAACCCACATATTAAGTGTCGTTGAGACCTTCAAGCTGGACGAAAATGTCAACGGCACGAGATCAAACGTAATCAACCCCAGACCGCCCAAGGCGCTTGTTCCTCGCTTTTTAGCATCTTCAGTGCCCATCTTATTGCGTCCATTTTGGTTGTACGCTCTCTGTCGGTGGTGAGCAAAAGCGTTAGCGAAGTCTGAGACAATATAGGGGTGGAGCGAAGATTGCGCAGCGTGAGACCTCCCTGTATCACGTTGCGGGTCTTTTGCTTAGAAGCTTGCTTACACCTTGCTTGCCTATAGGGAGTTCGTCTTTTTTCTCGCCGTGAAGCGGTTTTCCGCCCACATTCTGCCTGACTACAAACTGTCAATGCGTTCACGCAATCGGGAATTGGGGGCACAACTCACATGACGGAGTCCCACCGATCACAGCGAACCACCCAAAGTTGCAATCTATAAAAGGAGGGTGCGCCACGTTATGTGCGGGGTTGAGGACGTCGTAAGGAAATATATCCACATCGAACCATACGCCTACTTCTAGCGTGGTCAGGATCTCGAGCTGGAGCCGTAGATCGAGGTCTTCCGTCACCTCGACCTTGATCTCAAAGTTATGGACATGGGCCCGGATGAAAGCACCAATGTAATCAGCAAAGTCTTTGAACTGACTTGCGTCCTGACTGAAGTCGTGCCAGCAGGATGGGTGCCCGATGATAGACTGTCCCGTGCATTTCAATGCTTCCACCACTATGTGAGGAGGGTCAAGGAGAAGGTTCTGGGCTTTCGAGCAGTCCTTGGGCACTGGAGATACGATCTTCTCATCATGGCACACAGGATAGKTAGGATCACTCTCCGGGCAGGACAACCATTCAAATGCGGGTGGCAATGGCTCCTGTCGCTTGCGAAGATCGGCATGGACTTCTTGATGCCTGGCAATCCTTTCGGCTTCGATATTGACGGCCACCTTTGACTGAAGTCTATGGTGTTTGTCCAGGAATGCTGCTGCTTTCTTTGACCGCTGAGACCTCTTCTTCGGCCCATCACAGGATGCATTCCTGTGGTGATGCGGGCGTAAGTCAAAGTCGAGCAGAAATGTGAAGGCTATTGCACCCTTTGTACGGCAATTGACGCAAGTCRCATTAATACTCGGAACACGAAAGTATTTGGCGGCTTTTGATTTCTCATCCCTGAGCCATAATTAGTATCACACGCAGTCACGTAATGGGACTGGATCATACATGAGGAATTGGTGACGCGGTTCCCACTGCACATCTTTGAAAGTGTGCTGCATAGACTGATGCAGATCGGGGAAGTTCCGCTTGTGAAGATGACTAGCACCTTTCGAGAGATCAGCGAACGCGATACACATATACATCAAGGGATCAGTACTCATTCGTGGTACGACGACATGTCCATCATCCAAAGTGTACGCCTCTGCGCTCCAGTCGCTCACCCAGTGATTAGCTGATGCAACATGGGCGTGCAGCGGTTCGGCTTGAATGTCAATTCTCTTCTCCTCGACATTGAATTTGATACCGCTCGAGCTAAAGCACAATCAGCAACGCCACAGTGGCTCGTGTAGCGATCACTGACAGGTATACCGAACGATCGCCTCCTGCTTCGAAGCAGTGTGGACCTTCGACAACGAAATGCATTGGGTCGTCCGGCGAGGGGTYCCAGTATTTCTGGGCAATCTCAAAGTACTTCATAGTGCTGAAGTTCAATGTAAGGCTGGTATTGTGGCCAGCCTTTGCATCCGGTCTGCATACGACCGGCTCGGTGAGCACTACCTCGATAGGATCGAGATAGACATATGGATAATCGTCGTGCTTCAGAGTAATGCGACGCAGTTGCGCAGAACCTAGTCGATTCAGCCTGCTGATTGGAAAAGTGTGCAGGGCTTCTACCTTTATATTCAGAGCTCACAAAATACTCCAATTTGAACGATGGCTTGAAATATGTCTCGTTGAGCGAGTAGCCATCAATCGGCTGCACCATAACGGGTAGCTGCGGGCCCAGGAGATGAGAGCTGAGGGTGTCGAGCTTGGCATCGAACTTGATGTCACCAGCGTCCGCATTGGCATCGAACTTGATGTCACCAGCGTCCGCATTGGCATTGGCATTGGCATCTCCACTGCACTTTGAGATCAATGCCGAGATCAGCAACACGATGCGAGATAGGTTTGAGTGTGGAGCCAGCATGGTTTGAAAGTCAGTTGGATAAATTTCGGATGAAAGAAAGAACAATGAGAGGGGGAGTTCTTGACCGTCGACTCAGGACAAGATACTGTGATTTCAGGAGAAGATACTGTAGCGTGAGGAGAAGAAGCAATGTCAGGCATCATCACCTTCCAAATTCTGGTCGCGGTCTATTGATTCAGAGAGGTTCGCTCTGATAAGCATGTCTTCCACTGGCAATGAAGACAATAAGACGTGTTCATATGCCAGCCAATGCGAGCGCGGCATCGAGGCACTTGATGGGAGCATGGCGCGCATCAAGAATTGGAGAGATATGCTGATATCAGCACGAGCGCGAGGGTGTGGATGTGATTGTCAGCATTCTGCGAACCTGGGGTGCGATTAGTGTTGGTGTGATGTTGAATCAGAATTGATAGTCGATGTTGACACCATGGGACCGCCTCGCTTCTCCACCAATCATACGCTGGGCTAATTCTGTAGTCATGGGTTTACTCATCCGTGATCGACAAGTCACCTTTCCCTCCCTCCATCATCTCGACATCCTCCTCCAGCAACGTTGAACTTCGTTGAGCGCACTCAATTCCTTCCATTCTCGCTCGCGGACCTCTCTGCATGGTGTTCACCTGAATTGGCACGAGACCACTTCGACTAATACTAGATGACGAAGATTACAGAGGGTCTTTTGCTGAACTTCCATCGACGGAGAGGTATTTTAGATGCTGCTGCTTCATGACATATTGCACAACAACCCGACAACGAATCAACGTCCTTGTACCCGCATAGCGTAACATTACTCGCAATGGTCGACTTTCTCAAAAAAAGTTCGCCTGGAACTGGCCACTACTGCAGAGGCTTCAAGGCCTTGGCCTGGAACACGCTAAAACGACATACATCATTGTTCCCATAACTCTCTCACCGTCAGATCCAAAAGAGGAAGTACATCAAGCATACCTAGTAGCGACGCTGCATTCATGAGTGACCAGGTTGTGGCTCCGCAAACCAGACCACGCGCATTAGTGGTCAACTATTGTCACGATGTTGAGCGACTCTCAACATGTCGCTTTGAAGCTGACSAAGTAGGCCCACTGCAATTCTAGCAGGACAATCACATGTATAAGTAATGCCAAAAGGCGCGGAGGGGACGTGTGATATTCCCATACTCTCTTTGCCATGATCTCCCTCACGACACGACCCTCTGGTATTCGCCTCTGGCGCTTTTGCGTCGGGCTTTGCTTCTGCCTCTTCGTCAGCCAAACAGCTGCACAATTCCTCCTCCCGCTTCCGATCCCAGAAATCATGCTTGCCAGGTTCTTGATAAAACAGCACCAAGCGCACAAGGCGGCACAGTGTCAGGCCCTCACTAGGCAGTGCACTGAACTCAACTCACAACTCAAAATGAGGAGCATGGAAAACAAGGCCGAGATCGAAGAGCAAGATGAGACGTACCATATGCTCAACGCTACGTTGACTAGCCATCGGAACCGCCCAGACGAGTGGGACTGTTCCTTCAAACATGGACCACCGATTCCTCCTCCACCAATGGCACGAGATGTTGAGGAAGAACATCGGAAGCGACCATCTTCCTCGTCTTCCTCATCTTCCTCATCTTCCTCGTCTTCCTCGTCTTCTTCGTCTTCGCTCTCGACCTCRCTCTCAGCTTCAGTTTCAACTTCAATCCCAGTAACGACAGAGACTATGTCGTCAAACGGTTCCTCTACTGCCAACGCTACAGGGTCTGCGCCGGCTCCTGGACCAACCACTGGTGGAAGTGGCTGTCAATCCTACGACATATGCTTTGAAGAGACTGTGGGACTAACCGAAGGAGTCAAGGCACAGCAGATCGCCCTGAGACACCAGGAGTCATCGAAAAAGGTCATGGTGCACATACTTAATCAGTGTGTGCCGATTAAGCCCCGTATTCGCAGAGGGGTTCAGATGGCAAACACTAAACCTTCGGTTAAACAGTTGCAACAATTTCTGACGAATTGTGAGAGGGTCCATTCTAGCGTGAGCCAACTTGTCAAGCGAGCCAGCGACAAACTCAAGGAGCTGGACAGGCACGAGTTTCAAAAACGTGACCTTGACTGGACACGGACACCCAATCGGCAGCAAGAGAAGCGGACAGAAACGGTCAGAGAGCTCGATGAACTGCAGAAAAGGCTCGACCGGTGCCATGGAGACGTCTCGTCAGATTTCTCGACGTTGGGTGAACACAACAGTGACATTACGCGGAAATGGAAAGCGGTCGCAATTGGACACGCAGAGATTACTTCCGCGAACTCCAGGTAAGACACCTAATCGGTTGGGTCTCGACATTTCAATGAGACAATTGTCGCTGCTCATTGCTTTGCACTGCTAATGAACCAAAAGCAAACCCAAAAAGGAGGAGGGTGACGAAAATCCTGACTTCAGCGAGACAAGAATCGAAGCACGCAATGAGCCCGAGAGACAGGAGTATGGGTACTGTGAGAGCTTGATGGAGAACAAATTGCCGCTGATGCTGGACAATTTCGCTCATGAACGGGACGAACTTGGGTACGCAAATGCGGACTGTCAGTTCAAATTGAGAAAAGCAACAGGGTCTGATGTGAGTCAAAATCCATACCGTGAGTTGATTGCGAGCGTACTGACTTCCCGCCAGAGCACACCGTGCCCGGGTACTGCGACCGCGAACACCGGCGATCCCAAGCTAGTCGAAGAGAACCTTTCTTTACGGAAGGAGAACAAACGACTTAATGAGGAACTGGCCGACGCAATACAGAGGGCAAACCCCAGCGGAGGAGGTGACAAGGCGACATCCTCTCAGTCCCAGTCCAAGACAGAGATGCCCAAGTCGACGGCTTCGAAGACGACTGATCGGACTACCATGGCCGCATCCACAGGCCACAGGGCATCGACTACGGCATCGACAGCGTCGACGAAGACGCCGCCAGTTCCTGGGGATAAGAAGTCTGGAACGGCCAAGTCTACTGTCTTCTAAGGCCCCAAACGGTGAATCGTGGGAGCGTCTCAGGGAGGAGTCTTGGAGTGCATGGATTTTATGTGTCGATAGATTTAGACAATCATTCCCCAACGCTGAAGCAATGACCTGGTTCAGTTCATCCATTGTGCTTGTGAAACAAAGCTCAGCCAGCTGGATGACAGGCGTTTCTACATAGTCGCATCATTGCCTCGCAAAGATCGTATACCATCCAAAGACAGCTATGGTTGGCGTCTTCATTGCCTACGAAATGTGGCATGTGAGCACTTTGGTGTCTGGCAACTTCGTATGATTCCCGAGAATCTTCATTGCGACATCGACTTTCCACTGGTACATGTAAACGGCCATGGTTCCATTCGCCAAAGCTGACTTGCTCAACCAGTCTTCATCTTCTTCTCATTTACGTCCGCCTTGTCCCCTTTGTCGACGACACAATTCCGCCATGACTCCTGACAAGCCTTCTCCTCCTCCTTATCCCAATGAATCTCACAAACCCGCTTCTCCCGATCCCTTTCCGCCAGCCACCTCGCCGCGACCTCACCAGTCATCTCTCCAACAGCTCGCGTCCCAGCCTTGAGTACAACACCCATTCCGTGATCCGCATCTCTCACCTCTACCATCCAACTATTTGCCCTCATCTCATTTCTCACTTCCTCCAAAGCCTCAAGATCACATTGAACATCCTTAGTCCCACAAACGAACAGAACATGCAAACTTTCAGGAAGATCCAATAGAATCTTCTCTCGTCTCTCAAACTCCCTCTCCTGCTTTCCGTTTTTCGAAGCAGTCAATGGATAGCTAACCAGAACCAAAGCCTGGACTTCGACTCCTTCAGAGATAAGTTCCAGAGCTGCGAGAACAGCTGCTCGAGCACCCATGCTTCGACCTCCTAGCACCAATGGATCATTTTCGTGCTTTTCTTGGTGATGAGAGACAACTGTTTGAAACATCCCAACTCTGCTACTGAGGTTCATGTTTCCCTGAAAACTCGTTATGCGGCCATGTCGAGAGAATCCAGCGGCGAAAGAGCGCATTGCGGCACTTTCAAGACCACCTCCAGCGCCGTGAGTAAAAATTAGGGATTGAGATGTCGATGGAGAGTATTCTCTTGTTTCGCAGGAGATGGTTTTATCTTTTTTGAAGGGAATCGTGAAAGTTTTGATGTTCGCATTTTCGTCGCGCTGGGATGTGTTCTCCTCGTCGTTCTCTTGCTCTCTCTCCTCTCCTTCTCGGTTCGCGGCAGCAACTTCTGCTCTGGTCCGCTTCGGCATCATGTTCTTTTGTTGATGGCAGGGATTCTGCTGATGCGATGTCAACAAACGTAGCCAGTCCGTGACGTCAGGCTACCGCCTCCATCGCTTGAAACTAGGTACACGCATTCTATAAAAGCTCTTAACTGACTATATTGAACAATCAAGATCGGCAACTATTTGCATTGCACTGTTCAAATGGAGTGCGCCTCCAGACATGATGGGCATATCACGATCTATATGGTCAACCACGCCGGTCGTACTTCCGTTAGCTTCACGTGGAAATTTACCAATGAGAAGGAGCATAGACGGGCTTTGTAGACTTCACTTTATTGACGCTCATCTTCGCCCAATTCGTCTTCTGCATTCCGACTGCAAAGTCTGGTTGTAGTATAGTCGCAGGCGGTGTGGATGCAAGCCTTCGCTATATCCTTCCCTGCCCCGCTGTTTTCAACCCTGATTCCGCCTGAAAGAGTGCGGGTCTGAGGTAGGCTCAAGTTCGCTGCATGAACGCAAAAGCACTCGTACGCTGAACTCTTCCTGTATTTCCAATCCTGCGCGGAATGAAATCCTCCAATACGCACTCAAACTGTCAGGAGAAAYGTCAGCTCACTTTCCAACCTCTCACTTTCTTACAAAGAATCAAAGGAGAAATTACCGGCGTTTCGCACCCCCACTCATCCAAGTCTCTTGCCACGATTCCTCTTGCTACTAGCTTTCTTCGCCTCGATATTAGCCCGCAGAATATCGAGCGGCGTAAGCGGCGGCTTCTCCTCCTCAACTACAGGCTGCGTCGGCTCCTCGTGGTCAGGGTGCACCCACATGCCATTCTCATCAAGCCGGAAACCGTACGCCCAGATCATGTCGACAGTCACCTCCAAGTCCGGCAAATAGCTCGGGACTACCTCTGGAGCATACGCCTTCTCCTGGTAAGATGGTGGCTCGAAGGACGGAATTGCCTCCCACTTCTTCTTGCTGGCCTCGAGGTCCAGAGTCTTGCGCTTGGTAGCCGAATTGGCCAGGCTCTTGACGGCGAGGCTCTGAGGGCGATGCTTCTTGACCGCAGTCGGGGTGAGGGTCGAGCGGCGGCTGAAGCTGGTGCCGGTGCCGGTGCCGATCTTTGGGGAGAGCAGCCAGTCGTCGTCGTCCTCGAAGCTGCGCGCGGCTTCGAAGCGGGCGCGGAGCTCGGCGAGTTCTTCTTGAGATGGCATTCTGAAGATGGGATTTAGCGATGCACTTTGTGCTGTGATGATGCTGCGCGAGTGGGTGATGTGGTAGAGGAGAAAGTTCGAGAAGTGAAATTGGGGGTTCCAGAAGTTGGCGGAGTGGCACGACGTAGGCTGCTTTTGGTCCACTTTGCTGGAATCACCATCTGCTAGAGAATGCAGCCTGGGAGCACTACTCAGGAAACAAGATATGAAAGGAAGAGGTACACTTGAAATCAATGTGAATCTTACAGCGCCTATGAGGGCGGGTTGTTCGGATGGGCCTCTACGCTCTGTTGCTGCAGCCTTTCATGCACTCGTGCTGTCTCAATGCAACCTAACCCAAGTAACCAGAGGCCGTCATTCTGTGCAGATGACTCTTGTATTCAACACCGCTTGATTGATCATGAACGAGAATAGGCAGCAAGCAGCGATAGCAACACAATGTAAAGAGAGTCGATACAAGGAACATGAATTTCATTCCGATTGGAACACTTACTTWTTCGAATAAAAAACTTCTTACCTCAACCTCTTCGTCAAAAATGGAGAGGTGATAGCACAGTTCTTGATCATTAGAGAACTAGAAGTACACACTCTCAGATGGCTGGTCCGATCTATCTTTTCCCATCAACATCCATGAGAAATTCATCTATCGGGGTATCATCTGAAAGCAGGTATTTTGCGCCTCATCACATGCAGCCCATGATGCACCCTCCACCCTTCGCCCGTGACCTGGATAGTTCCCACTGAGGGCATGGTCAGCGAGGGGCGAGAACACAAACTCCACAAGCCCATGCAGAAAACGCCGGGAGTCAGTCCTCCATGATATCCATGCCGGTCAGGGCACGAGATCTTTCGCTTGCTTTTTGCGCCGCACCCAAAGAGTCATCCTCCTCATCTATTACGAACGCCTCGCGGAAATATCAGAAAAAAGCAGGTTGGTGATCGAGTAAGCAGGCGGCTGCCGATGCCCAATGCAGCGGAGAATGCCGAATTTTGGTTGTGTCGTATGTACCGTGGCCACACATGAACGCGTTGGAACCCCGCTCGAGGCGCTCAAAGCCTGAGAGCGAAAAAAGCAGGGTCCCGGTGGTCAGGTACGCGCCACGGTATCCATCGTAAAGCGCCGTCTCCCCACGCCGTTGCAATGCAATGCAGGCCGGAAAGTCAACGCTGTCTATCATGCCGGACTGGGTATAATGTTGCCGCTCGCTCGTTCGATCCGCTGGAAAATAAAGCAAAAAAGTCGCACCGGAAAAGTCGCACTGGAAAGTCGTGTGTTGTGTGCTGGGGGAGTGATGCGTGATGGTAGGTGGAGCGTCTACCACCAGCTGGAGCCGCCTGGGCCGGTTGGGTTGCCGTAGCCACCACCACCGCCCATGCCGCCACCACCCATACCGAAGCCGCCACCGGAAGAGCCGCCGTATCCACCACCTCCACCGCCCATCATGCCGCCACCGTAGGCGGGACGCTGACCGCCGCCGTAGGTACGAACATCCTTCATGGCAGATGAGCCACGTCCGCGACCACCACCGCCACGACCGCGGCCGCCACCGCCAAAGCCTGAGCCCTCACGAGCAATTGACTCGAGGAAGCTGGGCACTTCCTGGTTGGCTTCCTTGAGAAGGTCGATGAGCTCCCTAACCACACCGCGGTTGCCACGGTTGAAGAAGGCGGTCGAGATACCGGTGTTTCCGGCACGTCCAGTACGACCGATACGGTGAACGTAGTCGTCAATGTCAGTGGGCAAGTCGTAGTTGACGACGTGCTTAACATTGGGGATATCCAGACCTCGGGCAGCAACGGCAGTGGCAACGAGGATTGGGCAGCGGCCAGTGCGGAACATCTCCAAAGCACGCTCACGCTCGCGTTGGGTGCGGTCACCGTGAATGGAGGTCGCTGGGAATCCCTGGTTGATGAGGTAATCGGAGAGCGAGTCGGCCATGCGCTTAGTCTCGACAAAGATGAGAGTCAAACCAGCACCGTGTGTGTGCAAGATGTCGAGCAGCACGCTGCGCTTGTCGGCGTCCTCAACGTACTCAATCTTCTGCGTGATGTTCTCGGAAGTAGATCCAACACGGCCGACCGAGAGGAAGATATACTCTCTGAGGAAATCGCGTGCARGCATCTGGATGTCCCGAGGGAAGGTGGCGCTGAACATGAGTGTCTGGCGGTTGGCGGTGACGGGCATGTCCTCACCCTCGACAATGCGGCGGATCTGAGGCTCGAAACCCATGTCAAGCATGCGGTCAGCCTCATCGAGAACCAGGTACTTGATGTTGGCAAGCGAGATGCGGCCACGCTCGATCAAATCGACGAGACGACCTGGGGTAGCGACAAGCAAGTCACAGCCGCGCTCAATCTGACGGAGCTGAGAGCCAATGTCGGCACCACCGTAGACAACGCAAGGACGGACCCAAGAGCGATAGGCAAACTTGCAAGCCTCGTCGTAAATCTGAGAGACAAGCTCACGGGTAGGAGCGAGAATGAGCGAGGTGGGGTAGGCCTTGCGCTGGCGAGCGAAGCCGGTCTGCTGTGGAACGTTGGCGCTGGGGCCGTTCTGGTACGCCTGCGAGAGAATGGGGAAGAGGAAACCACCAGTCTTTCCGGAACCGGTCTGAGCACAAGCCATGAGATCACGGCCACCCATGACAATGGGGATGGAGTACTTCTGCACAGGTGTGGGCATCTTGTATCCGGCCATCTCGATGTTGGAGATGRGGTGGTCATCGAGAGGTGGGTTGGTGAAGGTTGTGACGGGCTCAGGAACGCCCTGGCCAGAAGCCTCAACTGGGATGTCGTCGTATTTCTCGAAGTTGATTCCGGTTTGCTGCTTGCTGGGGTCGTTGGCCACGCCGAACAACTCGCGCTCGCGGCGAGGGTTGGATGGGCCTGGCACATGCTTGCCATCTCTCCACTGTCCATCTCCTGCACCAGTCTGTTGACGGCCGCCGTCACGTGGACCGCCAGCTCCACCTCCACCGCTGTATGCGCTGCGGTCAAAGCCGCGCGATTGTCCGGTGGAAGGATTGTTGTCCCAACCGCCGCGAGCTGCCGGAGCGGAGGGTGTGAATGTTTGCGCAGCGCCCCAGCCTGGGCCGCCGCCGCCGCGTGGAGGACCGCCGTAGCCGCTAGAAAGTGAAATGTCAGATGTGAAGGAACAGGTCATGAAGGTATCAAAACTTACTTTTGGCCTGGTGGTGGGAAGTCGGCGCCTGGGCCACCGAAACCGTTGGGAGCAGCGGCAGCTGGCGGTGGACCGCCGCCCGACCGCCTCATATGCGGGGGAACGTAGGCCGAGCGCTCAAATGTGCCGTTGCTCTGTTGGCCTGGTGGCGGAGCGTGGTTTGAGTCCTTGAGAGTCATGCCTCCCATGTTGAGTCCGTCAGCCATGATGTGTGGTTGTGGTGACTACTGTTGTGGTGGAGGTGTGAAAATTTGGTGCGGAGGGGGTGTGAAAGTGAGTTGACGCTGTCGGTGTCGGTGTGGACGTCGGTGCGGTCGGAGCTCAAAGGTGCCTCGCGTGCAGTTTCTGCTGCGACAAGACAAATGCGAGACTGGTGTGTGACGTGCTGATGAACGTCGAGAAATAAAAACACGCTGTTCGTTCGAGACAAGCAGGATGTTGATGATTGTAAGGGAAGCGTCGTCCGCTGTGAAAAAAATGGCCAGACGTAATCCACTAGCGCAAAGTCAAACGCGCTTTCCGGGTGCCACCTACCTTCCTCTTCCCTTTCCCTGAAAACCCCATCATTTCGGTCGCCCCACTGCCTCACATTGGATCTGTAGACTCAGCCGTGAGCAATATTCATGCGAGACAATTCGTGGGTAGTTCTCTTGCGTGCACGCAGCATGTCTTCCTCTCCGTCGCACMCAGTACCATGACTCGCGGCACTCGCCCAGCGTCATCCTCTTTGATTGGTGACGAATCTGACGATGACTCTGGCCGACAATAAACAAGCTCGAGATGACATTCATGACTTGGACCACCATCATCGGGCAACCGAGCACACCTTTGCGCTCCCACACTCGAGCACTTGAAAGACCTTTACGACATGCACGGATAACATGTGCAAGACCTTGGGGCCAACGGGCGGAAACTTGACATGAGACGTGCAAAGAGCTCTCGCTTCATTCCAAGATCAGCCTCGAGATTTCACACTCCCAGCACGGGCACGAACCCTCCTTCGCAGGCATTCCGTCTCCCCAACTCGGCGGAGCCGGTGAAGGCGTTAGACCTACTGCGTACTCATCAGCCGGGATGCTAGTCCATGGCTGTCTCTGACTGCTGCAGACGCCGAGCCATCGCGTATTGTGGACAAAACAACCGGCACAGACTCCGTGATCCTTGCATCTAGAGCTTCAAAAATTAGCCTCTGAGTACATGTGTAGCTAACCATTTGGTCGATCATTTGCAGGAGGGCCTTGCTGTAAGTACCGACGGCCGGTGTCCCGGCAAAAACCAGCAAGTAAGTGTCGTCGTTCGTTTCATCCAGACATAAAGATTGGGCAGCATCGAAATCCAACATCACCATACTCCTCAGTATCGCCCCTGCTTGCCACACATTCGCGTGTTCCGGGAGTTTATCGGCATTCACAGGCAGAAAGCTGTTTGGTTCCACATATCGTTCCAGTCCTGGCGGCCGATAGCCGTCTATTCCGAAATCACCCACACCCTTTGGGAAATGGAAGACAAGCGAATCAAAAGGGAACTGAACAGACAAAAGTACAATCGAAAGTGTAAAAGAAAAGCAAAAGAAGGGCAAAAAGACGCAGAGAGCCCGATTTGAACAGACGACTTCTCCCCCCYTAGATCAGCGGCATAAATGCCCAAATACGAAGGGCAGTATGGTCAGCGGTGTCCCAGGCGCTTTTGCTCTTTACTCTACTTACCATTCCACCAATCTGGGTTCCGCTCATCAACTGCGGAGCTCGCGAATGCCTGGCCAAAGTCTGCGATACGAGGGGTAGGATACTGCGCATAGCTGGCGGCGTCTGGAATATCGAATAAAACATTGCCGCATCTAAAAGTGAAGTGCGGAAGATTAGCGGTGTCTAAGACAACTTCCGATGAGGCCCAAGACCTGGATAGCTCAAGAGGCGTCTTGAAGCTGCGCCGCAAGATTCCGTCTTTCGGAGTGTTTACTTCATGTCTCTCATTACCACTTGGTCCCCATTATTGGTCTTGGCCAAATCGACCATCAGCCGACCCCTTCGWGTCAGACTCTCTGCGACGTTCCATATCATCGGCTACGACCGTCAGTACTAGTCACGAAAGTAGCCGAGGAGACATATACCTCAGGAAGGGGTACACGCTGGCCGACGACTCTCGGCTCTGACTGATGGCCAACAAGTAGCCCCAGATCCCCATGTGGGCCCGAAGAAAGACATCAGCAAGACCACAACCGATAGGTGATTCGATTCCAACCCACACCAGGCCGTGTAGACCTTGTACGTCTTTTGTAGTCGGTCGACGCATCTGTGCCTCGAGTGAGATGAGGATCTGAGAGCTAGGCAAAGCAAGGCTTATGTCATCGGTCTACGCAAATGGATAGAAACAAAAAGACCAAACTCTGTCGAAGATTGTGAACACAATAATCTTCCAACTCGATGCAGACTGTCAGCATACTATCGAGATACATCCACTTGTACCTGCAAAATGCTCTTTGTTCAATGACGGGAGATTCACGTCACAGAAACGCAGTCCAAGATTCGGTCTTTCTTGGACATTTTTGCACGATCACTCTCGTTGCTCAGCTAACCACTAGACTGCTTATCAATATCACACTCTGTCCTACTCCGCAACCCACTGACCTTCAGTGTATGCAGACTTCCTCGCCGGCTCGATTTTTGCCACAGCCGGAGCATGATCCCAATCAGCCCTCTGCCACGACCACCGCTCATGATAATACCTGGATCGCAAAGAAATTCCGTTCGCGAAGTCACCTAAAGTGACTCCGATTGAAGAACTCGCACGCACAGTCTTGGTAATTCGCACATCACCCTCGAAGTACCACCAGTTCAGTTCAGCAAGAGGAGGCTGCGTAATGAGTTGGCGTCGCCAGGAAGCCTGAGGGTGATCCATCGCTTGACGTGCCGGGAATGGATTGTACTTTCTGATTTTTGAGCACTTGTTGGTTACGATTGGATGTTCGTAGATTGGGTTCGATGCCTCTTCGGGGACATCTGCAATGAGCTTGCGATCGACCACGACTGAGATACGCTCATCTTCAGTATTGCCGCAGTACACTAAGCGCTTCTTGTTGATCGGGCGGAAGAAGAGCGCTTCTTGAAGTCTGTAGCTTGCGTCGATGATGGACTTCCACTGTTTACAGGTCCTTTGGACGCTGATGAGCAGGTCTCGCATGCAGATTTCTCCCAAGATCATTTCTGCAAGCTCCATGGTGTCGAATACTGCTCGCACAGCTGGCTTGGCCTCGTTTCCAAAGAGAGTGGCGTAGGTGTACGACTCCGAGTTGGGCTTCTGCGGTTTATTAGCGGCCATTTTCATGTGATAGCGCTTGTGAGACTGGTTACTTGCATTTTCGGCGACGGTCTTCCAATGAGGAATGATAGCAGTACTCATGATTGGGTCGAAGTGATGGTGTGTTGGATGTTGATGAAAGAAGAAGGGTAGTAACTGTCAGGATGATATCTCGAGTAGACCTTGTCAACACGATCTTGCAGTGTTCAAGGTGTCTTTGTGATGCTCATGTATCTCATTGGTGAGTAAGGTAAGTAGTGAACGCTTTGTACAAGGAAAAGGGTCCCGGGAGCCTCTGTTTCACCCTGGTGCATGCCTAACCGCTTTTCGTCTAGCTCGGCTAGAGCAGTGAATGATTTCAGGGATTTTCAGTGAAGGGAAAAAACTCAAAGATTGGAAATATCAGCCTACGAAACCCACGTGATTCTAGAATCGGGGAAGGGGACTTGGAAGAATTTGTACACTACGAAGCCCAGAAAGGCGGATTAAGGGACTGAAGACCGAAGCATTACTCCGCTGAGTCTCCCCAGCTTGTGTCTGCAATTACTGTTTAAGGAGAGGCTGAGATGTTCTTCGACCAGGGTAGCCAGAGCTCCGAAAAGAGTCGATAATACTAGCGGCTTCGAGTCGAAAGATTTGATGGATAGGAAAAGGCATAAGTAGGGACAACCAGATGATCATGGAATGCTTGCACGCCTCCAATTCTATGTTTACCAGATGACAAGGAACACTGCTGGATACGTATACCTGCTAGAAATCAATCGGTTGAGTGCAGTTCTTTATCCTGAAAGAAACGTCTCTCTCAAGCACAGTACTGAATCTTCGATCAGCAGCCAAAAGTATGTCTGCTGCTGAGTGAATGTAGACAGAAAGCAGCAGATGCGTCTGCCGATCCCCTATTCACTCACGTACACCCTGAGTCGACGCTAGCACGATCCACAGTACTTAAACCTCTTCTGTTGTGACCAGAAGTCCTTCTACCTACCAACACCTCCACCGACGAAAGTTATATCAAACACGACATCAAGACTTGCAGTACTCTTGTACCTTTCCCAGCATACCAACATCGCAGCCAAGCAATCCTTATACACGATATAAGAATCCCCATCTTCAACCTCTTCACCACCCATCCCAAACAACAAGATGGCCAGCACTGCCACCATGTACAGTGGCCACACAACCAAAGCTGCCAGAGTCGCAGAAGGCACCCCACGCAAGCCGCCGCACGAGTACCCACCAGAGGACTACGTGCCGCCGCCTGGAACGCTTCGAGTCCACAGTCCAGAAGTACACAGTGCGCGCAACACGGGGCGCATCCTACAGCAGTGGTCTCTGTGCCGCAAGCCCAGGACTGAGCCAAGTGGAGGGTGCCGGAATGGGTACTTTGGGTACYTTGTGCGGAGCGGTGGAGTGATTCGGAAGGCGATTTGGGTTGGACAGGGCGGAAATGGAGTTTGTGATTGGGTGGATGAGGAGAGCGAGGAAGTAACGGATGACGACAGCGATGACGATGAGGGCATTGAGGAGGACGAGAATCACTCGGAGTGAAATGGTAGAATGGAACATAGACGGGTGCTTGTATGGTGGAAGCCTTATGAAGAGCTTTGTACTTACTGTACTTGTCGTGTTGCTCTAATTTCCGTAACACCAAGATCCAGAGTACTGCATCGTCTTGACTGCTTGACCAGGATCCCTCCATCAAGAGAGATGTAGTGCCGTTCTCATGATAATCCTACGAGACTTTGCTGCCGCATGCATCGATGATGTCCTGAAGTGTGATCCTAGCTGCATCTGGGCGCGCGGTCAAGTTTCTCTTCTTGGAAAAAAGCTTCAGGCTATGGATTGGAGGCTGAGTAAGAAGTTGATACCGCTACGATGCATCAGATCGAAGCGTTGCTGGATTCCATTTCCTGGAATCGTGCGAGTAGAGTATGCCGAGAGGTGTGGGGATGTCGTCGTAGTGCGAACGACTACGCTGATGATGCACGACCCACGGGCTCAGAATAATGTGTTGAGGTGTAGAGATCCCTTCGAGCCTRGCATTGTGCACGAGCGCGCGTTGGGTGACGCCTTCTCTTGAAGAGGGTGTCCTGGAGGGACTGCGAAGACGCGATCATCGCCTTCCAGAGTTTCGATGTGCGTTGCACTTTGATGGGAATATCGAACATAGACAGCTTGAGGGAAACTGCTTCGAGTGTTTAGTCTTAGAACATCGTACACATGCTTTCGAGTGCACAGTGCTCTTGTCGTTTCTGCTATTGTCATGTGTAGGCTATGGTAAGATAGGTGCCATCTAGCTCGCAGCCAAAGGCTCGACTGCTGTTATCGGACAATCGTTCATGGCTGCAACTAGAGAAACCTTGCCCGCCGCATTTTTATAGGTCGTTCGATGGAAAGCATGGTCGGTGGATGTCGTGAGTGGAGGTGACGTCCCAAGATCTCACCTAGAATAGAATACATACGGCAGCGCGGAAAGCGGCTTGGCGGGAGGGGAGGAGAGCTCCACATTCGCGATCCGGGCACCTCCAGGCTTTGAGGAGAAACACAACGACACACGACGACTCGCGTCGCACTTCGATCCATCCACTTCCCTATTTTTCGACATGGCCGCCCTGTTTTGCCCACGACCGGCAACGGCATGTCTTCGCTCCTTTCCACGCGCCGCCTCGCCCGTCATCGCCAGCGTCTCCTTCAGCAGACAGATCACACGATCATCGAGACTGGAAGAAAAGAGTCGGGGAATTGCAAATCTGGCGCTTCGAGAGAACATTTGGACCTCCAAACAAGGTGGATCATCAACAGTGCGACAACACAGATCGATGCAGATCCGTCATGCATCGACAGTAGAGACCACAACGCCTACACCTCCAACTCCAAATCAAACTCCATCAGCCGCCGATGAACTGCTTACCTGGGATCGATTCTTCAAGCTTCGACGGACACGACGATGGATCAATGCTGGTTGCTCTATCGTCACAGCCGTGGCTTCTGTTGGCATCTTCGCGCCAGTTCTCGCCCAGCAAGACTTTGACGTCTGGGGTGCTCAGATTAGCGGTCTTGACCCAGTCATCGTCATTGGAATATCCACATTTGGCATTGCTGCGCTAGGGTGGCTCATGGGTCCCACGGTTGGTAATGGCGGTTTCCGCATCTGGGCGGGAAGGAGGGGATGGACGAAGGAGATCGCGAGCAAAGAGAAGAGCTTCTACGCGCGAATCAAGAAGTACCGTGCGGATGCCAGTTCGAGCAGTCCACAGAACCCAATCCCTGACTACTACGGAGAGAAGGTCGCAAGCGTGAAGGATTACAGACGGTGGTTGAAGGATCAGCGAGCGTTCAATTTGAAGAAGAACAAGAACATGATCTGAGGTTGAAAGACTGGAAAGGGTCAAACTGAGGAGCACAACTTTGGAAACAGGAGTTCTATTGTGCTGTATTTATGGGAGCTGGCGTTGTGACTAGCGGGTGCTGGGCTTGGGCGCGGAGCATTCAGACTGCGCGTAGGATTTGCATGGGGAAAAAGAGGGACAAGGCGGAAGGACGTCGATTCGGAGTGCCTTGCTGTCTCGTTGTACAAATATGAGTTTCTAGCATCCATCTCTTGTCCGCATTCATCTTGTAAGTCATTGCAGTCAGATTGTGATCAATGGCTAATTGGCCATGGTCGGCGCGAACTCCTCATCTGGTCGTACTTCGAGCCGAGTGTGGTACCAAACATGCTCTCATCGGATGAACGAAAAACTACAGTCTAACTTGAGGTATGATCGATCTTGGTTTGAAGCTCCCTCTACCCCTGCTTGTGATTTCCGGCAAAACATTCTGTCCAAGCCCAGACTGCCTACCTCACCTCATCCAGAAACCTACAAACTCTTGCCATTCCAGTCATCAACGACAACGCCCGAGGAAATGCAAGCTTTACGGAATCTATGGCAACCGCGTCGCGACATAGAATCCTGCCTCATGCCAGCATAAAATGTCGTATCTCAACGACTGCAAGATGGTCCGCCCATTCGCCCATTCTTGCAGAATATGGCGCCGACACGGTTTGATGGAAAAGTTGTCGCAAGCTATTCCCTCAAACGCTTGATTGCGATGGGGACCAGCTTTCTCATCACTTGCCCGCAAGCAGGATTTCAATCGCAGAGTCTCGACGGCGGGCGAAAGAAGGGACGGCGATGGTGGGAGATGCAAGCCATTGCTTGATTAACTTCAGGGCTGATCTAAAGAAATTGCCTCTAGTAGAAAGGGGCATATCATGCGTCCAGTCGTTTGCTGGCAGCCTGGTTCTTGGTGGGTCTTTGAGGATGAGAGACGAGCTACCTCTGGAAACTTACAAGGATCGCAACTTCTGCACAATACTAATATGGTTCGCGATCGGTCAAGGTATAGAGGAGACTATTTGTGACTGGATCAAAGTAGAGACTGGACATGGGCACAGCACATTGGTCATGTATCTCCTCGCAAATCTAGGTAAGCTTCGATGGTAGACCTTCCTCACGCTGCCGGATGCACTGATTGACGGTACTTATCCAGAAAATGCTCACATGGCCTGGGAACCCCGAGCTTCACCCAACTCCGCCCTGCAGTGCTGTGGTTGGCACATTTTTGTAATGGTCGTGTGAGAGTATGACATGCAGAATATCTAGTCGCTTCCTTAAATGGATCGACTCTATCTATGGAGAGCACAGCATATCAGCCCACGAAAGTGAAAACGTTAAGAAAGTGAACCCAAAAGCACGCGACCTGAGTTTTCAAGTCCTCATTGTCCTGGCACCCTCACTACCAGCATTAGCAATCGCATTCCCCACATCCTCCATTTCCTCAAACCTCCTCATCCAGAATTCCCATCGCTGCAAGCTCATGGGACCAGGTCCCCAAAGTCTTCCTTCCCTCTCCAAAGCCCATGATCTCTCYCCTCTCTCTGCGCCTTCTTTCAGTCTCTTCCCAGCAATCTTCACCCACATAGCAGCAGCAGGAACCTCGAAATCCCAAACCGCATGCTGACACTCCAGAGCTTCAGAAATACATTCATACCCCCAACTCAATGGCATCAGCCCATCTTCAGCTGTTGGACCCACAGCAACCATTGCACATGAAGCTTCTACATACGCGCGATGGATGTGAGCTTCCCTCCTTTTCGATCGAGTCGCTGGATCTCTTATTGCCAGAGCAGAGCGCCATTGATCTTGTTTCCACATGTCGGACCAGGAAGTTGCGAATCCTGGGAGGTTCTTCCAGGTGGGATCATCGGAGCTGTGGATTTCTAGTAAAAGGGAGATTAAAGAAGAGGTATATCGACGGGGTAGTTCGAAGAGAGCGGATTCAAGGAGATTGAAGATGCGGGAGCGAAGGTCCGTGGGAGTTTCATTGTGATTCTGGAGGGAGCAGAGGGTGGTTGCTGTAATTGAGAGATTACATTTTCCAGCTAAGTAGCTTTGAAGAGCTTCGGTTTGGTATGTGTGGGCACCGGTCTCTGGTTCGTCGTCCATGGGTGCTGTGTGGTGGGTGAACCAGGCAGAGTCGGCAGTAGAGTCAAATCCGTCTGTTTCGATCGAGGCACATGTTATTTGAGGAATATTGAGGTTCATTGCTTCTTTCTTGTTCGAAACAGTCTGGTGGGCCGAGGGTGGTTGTCCTGGTGAAAATGTAGGATGAAATACTGTTGCTAGTTGAGGTGCAATGATTCACGAGCCGAGTGAAGATGCTGAAGTGCTTGGTCGTGATGATCAATCGAGACTACACAAAAACATCAAACACTTTGGATCGCCCTCAAGGCAGGTCTGTGACGTCACTGAAGATGGTAAAGCGAGCAATTCATCGGTATAATCTTTCTGTGATATCGTCGTGTCACTTTGAACAAGATCATCCGCGAGTCGAACCTCGTGCCCCAACCCGACACTAAGCGGGAGAAATGCTCCCTAACCGGTCACTGAGCTCATATTTCGCAGCATCAAACTCATTCTCTTTTCGGCGATTTCAAGATCAGGAGCATAAGCACTGTGAGGATCCATTTCCCGCTGTTCTTCGGTGTCGTCTCCTCCAACATCTTGTCGATCTAGTCGAGTGGGCTCCTGATAGGACTCGGCGTCCACGAGATGGGATCGGACTAGCACATTCCGAATGACAGAGTGGCTTGAGATTCTTGGTCAGTGTGGTATGTGCGAACTTCTGGAGTGGTATTGTGAATATCCATGCGAGTGTTGGTTTGGAGCTCATCCGTTCCAAGGCATGCGACTGAGTTCCTGACATCAATAGCCTTTTCAATTACGGCAATGTGTATCGTGATGATCAATCCATCAACAGGTCCAGCAACAACCAGCCGGGGAAGAAACTGTTGATTCACTCCTGATTCTCACCTCCCACCCCTTCGAATCTCCCCGATAGCCGACCTCCTCAACGGACTCTCCGCAAACAGCGCCTCAATCAACCCCACAATCTCTTCAGCCCCGAATTCCAAACTGAGCTCCCCTTCCTTCCATAAATACTTGATATCCGCCAGACTGCTCTCTAAAATCTCAGCCAGATACTGAAACTTCAACCAATTTGGACAATACACAAAGGTCATGTCTCTCTTCTCCCCATCCGGAGCCTCCTGGATGAACATATCCCTAGCAGTCATGGCTGTATCACATAACTCTTTCAATGCCTTGGAATCATCCTCCCCAATGTCAGGCAAGTCTTGAATCTCAGCAATCATTTTTCCTGTAAAGGTGCCAAGAAGCGAGCCGGTGGATTGAAGCAGAGCTGAAGAGCTGAGAATGCCTTCCCACTCTTTATGTACTTCCCGCAAACGGTCAACGGTCTGCTCCACCGCGCTCTCGCATTCCTGCTTGAACGGAGATTGGGCGCAATTGCTGAAGCCCTGTGCACCTTCGAGCAGGTCTCTAAGAATGGTTCTCTGGCTCTCCATTTCAGTACTGTAAGCTCGTTTTGCGAACGTTTCCAGGGCTGTAACATCCGCAGAAAGCCGGAGGCGGGACGCAGGAGGCTGTGCAGCTTGCCAGGCTTGAAGTTGTTCAGCGAGACGTGATGCATCATTGTATATGAGCATGTTCCCGTAGGGCAGCTTGGCATATGCTGTGGTTGCTGTGGCTCGGTAGATGGCCAAAGCGAGGGTTGGAAGGGTGTAGAGGCCGGTCGCCGCCGGTGCGATGGGCGAAGAAGCGTATTCAGGCCCGGCGAGATTTTGAGCGTCAGTGATAATGCCTTGGAGGAGTGTGAGGATGGAGTCCGGGATCGCTGTCACTGTGAATTGTTCGCGGAGGGTCACTTCGCGCTCTGTGGGCCTGGACCGATGGTCCCCATTTGGCTTCGATGGGGATTTCTTTGGACTCATGGGCTTTTGCGCGCCGGGATCCTCACCGTCTCCCCAGCCCCATGCATCATCTTCGTCGTTACCATCTCCTTTCGGCGCGTCGTCGTCTTCATCCAAGTCTGCGCCCCACGCACTGGCCTCGTCGTCCTCATCTTCGGGGTTAGAAGTCTGCTGCTCGCGTGGAGGGAGAGAAGGAGCCTGCTCTTCGGGTTCGTCCCATGCAGTGTCCCACTCATCGTCGTCGCCTTCAGCAGGAGCATCCTCTTTGCTCATCATCTGTGTCTCAACTCGCTCAACCACCTTTGTCTCCCGCAGTCCAGCAAAGACCAAACTCCGGACGTCTCCCAAGATAGTTTCTCGTCGTTTGGTAAGCCATGTCCTGGGAGCACTCTGCRCCCAAGTACGGAGAGGCTTGCTGCCACTGCCATTGAAAGTGTCGACTTGATCTGCAAACGAGGCTACATCAGCCAAAACCTCCTGAAAGGCAGGCATGTCTGCAATGTCGAGTGGCACAGCTGCATCTAGCCATGGATCTTCCAGTCGAGAGATTAAAGCCGGGCTGAGGCTCTCCCACAGAGGAGCAGCTATGTCTGCGGGGAGCGTAGCTTTCAGCCAATCGATGACCGCTTTTAGGTCCTCGAACAATACATGCGAGTCCACGTCGTCCATTGCACGGTGGGTTTTGATGCTGTTGCCCTCAACAGCGATTCTGCCAACCCGCCCTTCTCTCGAGATGGCGAGTCTGGGCCTCACAATAGCTCTCTCGAATTCCTTGGCCAGCTTCTTCATGGCATTCTCGTAATCACCAAGCCCCTTGGATGTGGCAATGAGGTCATCAATGTCAGTTCCTGTTGCCACAGACACTTTCTGTGATTCCACGTCCACATAAATGTACTCCTCCCATCCACTTCGGACAGCTTCCTTGAGCACATCCCTAAGACCTGCCACTCGACCTCCCAGCAGCGCACCGACACCCTCATCGCTGCTGCCCAACATTCCAAGTTTTTCCCCCACTTCCTGCCATTTGGACAATCCTTCCCGCAAATGCCCAGCAACAACAGCATCTCTGCCCTCTCCCACCAACAGCTTTACATCCCTCACGCTCTCCAATCTTTCGCGTAACCTGGCATTGAAGTCGACTTCTTTCTCTAGTAGTCGCACCTTATTCGCTTTATCCTCCAATCCTTCTCTGAGCTCCCGTCCCTTCTCTGCCTCCTCGACAATCTCCCTTGCCGTAGCGCGACTCCTCAAAATATCCTTCTGTAGTTCCTTGGYACGAGAGATCCATGTATCGATATCCGGTGCTGAAGTTCTACTCAGTTGTCGAATTTCCGCTTTGGCTTCGTCCTGTGATCTGCGCAGCTCAGCGGACAAGTGCTGTAGTGCGTTGGAATCGAGTTCCGCGGACGAGACGGCTTCGGAGTCTGGATACGCATTATGATCGWTGTACTGAAGTATAGCCGGTGCTATCTGCGAAGCAGACATCTCGTCAAGATAGACGTCGCTGTATCAATACGGTAGAAGGCGACGTTCTGCGTTCACTGTTTAATGATGTCGTTGGATTGCGAGGGCCGCACGTGGCGGTCACGTGCACGTCCGACCTCAGCCTCAACTCCAACTCCAACTCCAACTCCAATTCCAACTGCGACTATCATTTTGGTCCTTCATTGGCATATCCCAACACAGGATTCACGACAACACGACAGGCCGACTTTGAAGATCATTGTTATCATACGCCACTCATGAAGCAAGAATAGGTTTATGGAGAAATGCCTTGACACAAACGAGCCTAATCCCAAGCTTTGAAACATAGCAGATGATTGAAGGCTGTAATGCTGTCGCCTGACGTAGATGGAACGGCCGCTGATTAGGATGCCGCCACCTCAAAAGCACACTGGGAAAGTTGTTTACTGACGAGAGTATAACACATTCAGATTCCACCAACTTCAGTCCTGGTGATTCTCTCTCTATTCATCCACGCTATTGACACCCAATTGAAATGGATGGTGAGCAATAATTGACCTGTGAGGCATTGTAAGAGTAACAAAACCGAAGACCTGAGAATTGAAGCCCAATGACTACGCGGGTAAGAGCTTCTCATATCCTCCGAGCTGGATCACATCTGGTGGCTTGTGCCCCGCATCTTTGCTATATAGATAGCGTTAAATGAGGATGAACCACGGCGAGGTGGCGTCATGTTGTGGCTCGATGTTTGCAAAGTTCCAGATCGGCTGGCTCGGGAATGGAGAGAAGTCACTTGGAAGTTTGAAAGGCGACGTTGAACTTGGGGGCCTCGCAGTTGAAGATGAATGCTGTGTATCTGCTGGATTCGCTGTGCTTGACTTGAGTCTAATGTATGAGGATGGCAACTTGAAAAGACATGCCATCTCAAAGAGCAACGGGAGAGCATTGGAAGTGTGCTGCAGGCGAGAACAAAAGGAGCCGGATCGCGGCAGTCATCGTTATTCTCCTTTCCTCACACGAAAACGCATCGAAAGACAACATGATGTAGCACTTCGATTTCGCATTTTCAACTATCGTGATCGTGGTAGTCCGTCCAGCCATCCCATGCGCCACGCCATGCCCAGCCCATCGAAAAAAGGAGGCACATGCAATAATACAGCGCCGGACCTTAGCATCATCTACCAATCGTCTTGATTTACTCCACCTCCACAGCCGCTGCAGGCTGATCCCTCCTCTCAGGGATCCTCTTCTGCCAAGGCCGTCCACCGCCACCTTGCTGCGGCGCTCCCGAACCACTCAACTCCGCCTCCTTCTCCCTTAGATACTCCTCCTTCTGCGCACGGATAACGCTCAGAATGTTGTTCAAACTGCCCTTCCACGTCTCCAATCTGCTTGCGACTTCCCTCCACTGGTTATCTCCAAATACGCGGTATGTCGATCTGTGTACGAGGAACTCGCTCTTTTGCTGGGAAAGCTTTCCCTCGACCAATCCTGAGCGGATGCTGTCAATAACCCACATCTCAACCTCCTCTGGGCTGATTTGCAGTGCGCGGGCAATGTGTGCGTATGGAAGTGTGCGGGATGAAGATGCCTGTGCGGCGAGCGAGGCGAGGGTGAGGAGGCGCATCTTCTTGTCGAGGATATCCTCGTCGAGAGATTGCTCTGAAAGGAAGTTTGGTGTACCCTCCTTGAAGTCCTGAAAGTCGTCGTAGTTCTCCGAGGTAAAGAGCTCCAGGAGCTCGAACCATGTCGCGTCGCTCTTACGTAGCGCCTGAATGGATTCGAGTGCGGTGAGGTCTTGGAAGTCGAAGTGCTTGGAGTTTTGCAGGGCGACCTTAAGGGCGCGGACGGAAAGATCGCGGGTCCCGGAAGACGCAGGCTCGGATTGGGCAGTACGCAGAGCTCTCAGGAGGTATGTGTATGACTGCTCGGACTCGTTGGCAGCGGCTGCAGCGTCGGCGACGGCGAGGTAGAGTTTGCGTGCGTCTTGGAATGAAATTAGCATGGATTTGAGATGTGTTGATATTGCATATGATATCCTTACCAGCAGGCTCCAACTCCCACTCAGCGACCCAGCTGTCCACATGCTTCAGTTGTGGTGCGAGTGTCTCGTAATTGCCCGAGTTCTTGATCACATTGACAATGGCCAACAGAACATGATACCGCGACTCATCGTCTGGCTCAATGGAGTTGAAGAGAGTGCTGAGGATTCCAAGTGCAATACCGGTACCATTGTGTGGGGAGGAAGTGACAGGTGCGGTCAGATAGCGGCAGATGTGTGGCAGGTATGTGTCTGGATCTTCGGCCTGCTGGATGAGGTGGATGAGGTGGTTGTAGGCGGCCTGCAGCTCGCGTTCCGGAGCACCGTTCAAGATGCTGCTGGCGGTCACCAGCTTCTTCAGCACTGCATCGCGGTCGGTGGTGGCAGGTCGGCTGCTGTCGGGCTCGCGCTCCTCACTGGCGGCGGTCGTATCGGCGAGGAGGGGTGTAATGTCCGCTGCGATGGTCGAGCCTTCGCCTTTTGCGCTGTCGAGGTACGTCGCGAGTTCGAGCGCGAGCTCCTCAAAGTTGCCCTCGACGAGGGAAAGCTTCGATATGCCCGGCATGGTGGAGAATGTGTATGCGAGGGAGTGGGATGATGTTCAAAGCGCAGTCGCAAAAGTCGCGGAGTGGAGGAGGGATCGCCCGCAATCGAAGAATTTCAAGAACCGCTTCAAAATCACTTTCTTCCTGTAGCAAACGCTTGATTCTGCCGATAGATGTTTAGGAAGACAGTTCAATATGACAGCCTGTTCAGATACGCTGGTTTGAACTATCAGATCATGCAACAATGGTTGTCTACTGCTCTCTTGTCTTTCAGTGTGTTCTGTTATTCTAGCCAACGCCAAGAGCTGTCGTCCCTGCCCTTGCTCTTGCCCCCGCTCCCGCTTCTTTCTCTTTCTTCGCCCTTGTTGCTCCTTTTCACCACAATCCGCTTATCGTCTCCTGCGAATTCCTGGCCATGCTGCTCTCTACGTGGCTAAGATTCGAAGAGAAACCATTTGGTTCCAGTCGCTTGRCAGTTCGCCAATCACTCTGACAGCACCCAAGGCGAAGATGGGCCAAAGACTTGCGAACTAACAATCGAGGTGAACATGGACTGCAAATGAGCATACACATCTCAATGTGCCTCAAGAGTGAGCTCGCATATCGGCACCTCGATGTTGTGTTTCCCGCATTTCATGGTGCGATCTACCCGCGACTCTGCGCTGTGCGTTGAAAATTCAGAACTTTAATGGAGACATGTCTCGGAACGTCGTCAGTTGTGTATAACATACCGGACTGCAAGGGCACTCGTAACGCGCAAACTTCGCATGGCGGCATCAAAATCGCGCATTGCGGGCTGCCGAAGTTCACGCACTCGAGCAGGACTCCATTGACACACGGGCAGCGGTCAGGCATTCTCGCCCGCTACAGTCGCCTGTGCAAGTGGTCCCGAACTGGACATACATCCATCAACAGACCCTCACATATCCTGGTATCAAGAGATCAGCCGGGAACTGTGGAGCTAGGTGTAGACCGTGCTGGAACCGCCTCGCCCGTATTTCAGGCGACAGTTGAGGTCTTCCTTGCTGGGCTGGTTGACGGGATCAATGAGATCTCGACGTACGGGTCGTTGACCGACATGGGAGAATATCGCAGACGCGATCATGAATATTGACTTTTGTCAGGGCCGCGAAGTTCCCGCGATGGTCTGCCAGCGAGATGAAGGTGCAGTTGCATGCTATCAGGTCAGTGCGAATGAGCAGAGTGCGGGTGGAAGATTGTTGGTCACTGGCAAGTCGGTAGGTATTGACCATCTTAGAGGATGAGCTCCTGGCGTCTCGGCTGGTAGCTGAGTATTGGATTCCTGAGAAGAAAGACTTAGCCGCTAGATCTYCATTGACCTACCTGCTGTTACTGTTCGCGGTCCGGATCCATCTCGCGGAGCCCACGATGGATCGTAACGGTACAATCGATGAAAGCCAGCGCCAGTGATAATGGTGGTTCCTCTACAAGGGAACCGAGCGCTTTCACCGCTCCTTGACTCATCCTACGATCTTTGAAGGGCTGATTGAGTAGCTGCGATCCTATCAAAATTGGCGAATGAGACAGATCAAAGACCATCCGATGTGGATGCGGATGAGATCGAAGAGTAAATGGTTCTACAGCCAACAAGAAGCACAAAAAGCGAGTCAAGCTTGAAGAGGACCAATAGGACGAACAGTGCGCCTCAAGACAATCTACAGCGTCTCTTGCAGCGGAAGTTATTTCTGACGGTCGAAGATCCGCTTTCGCTGCAGTTTTGAGAGGAAATGATTCAGTGCTAACGCACCAGGGCTGGGATACTCTAGAGGACTCCGTGGGTCTTGACAACCTCCGATGCAAAGAGATGTCGTGCAATCCCGGGTATTGCTCCACCACACCAATAAAGAACGATAGTAATGGCTGCGGTACATATACTTGCTCATCGCATGAACCTACCACTCATGTATTTCGACCACAGATGTCGAACTGTTCGGATCTATATCTGTATCATGAATTGACCGCCCATGACCAACAGTATGAGATTCATCTTGCAGATCTCCTGTCCAGAGTATTGCCTGTCGCGCCTATTTCTACAATATCGAACCCATTCTCTTCGAACAGATTCAGCAATCGACGACGACTTGAGCCTCAAGCACAGCTCTAGATGACCATAGAGACTCCTTTGCAAAGTCGTACATGTGCTCGGAGCTGGCCGTGACCACCACTTCTCAATAGTCTTTCAGGCCCTGGAACTGGCATCGTTGGTCATCGAAAGGCAAGAGTTGTCTACCACCTTGTCCAAATTACCGTTTCACTTCCCCTTCCGTGACTTCATCTTCTTTTCTCTCCGCTCCGGTCCACCACGCACCTCTCTGGGGTTGCCCTTCCTAGACTTCAATCCCTTACCACCAGCATCCTCCTTCTCGGGCTTTTCCTCCTCCACCTCGACCAACCACTCCTTCCCATCGTCCTTGCCCTTGTATCCATACTTCGGCTTCCACTCTCCGGTCGCCTCATCGTAGGCCATCTTTCCATCCCGCTGCTTCGGTCGGATGCCCTTCTTCTCCGCAAACTTGTCCCATTTGGACTTCTCCTTCTCCTTCGGCACAGGCTTCTCCCGCGGCAAGTGGTAAGAAGGTCCGGGAAGTGTGATTTGCAGTGCACCGTCTTCTGTATTACGAGTGATGGGGCATGTTGTGAGGAGCTGATTGATCAAAGCTTGTGCGCAATCGCGTGCTACCGATGTGAGTGCTGCTTCTTTCTCTTCCGATGTGGCCGATTTGAGTGATGGGAGAGGGTTTGGGTCTGTGCAGAGCATGTGACCTAGGTCAAACGTGTAAGGCTGTGCCTTTTCCATGTTGATTTCCATGGTTAATTGTCTGGAGAGCGTGACGTTTGGTGATGTCCTGAGGTGATTGGTGGTCTTGCGCCTGCCTCTGCCTTGTCGAAAAAAGTTGTCGGATCTCGGAGCGGTGATCGGCACTCCGCGAACCTTAATCGACAAACTTTAAATCGACCCCACTCCGTCCTTCGCTCCGTCCTTCGCTCGCTTTGCTGTGACAATAATGGCGGTGGCGACAGTGGCGGTGGTGACAGTGAGGGTGGGGGCAAATTCCCTCGAGTACAGACAGGGAGTACAGGTCGCTATCTGCAGACACAGCTGTCTCACTCTGAGGCAACGGAAGCTGACCGCCCGATGTCCAGCGCTCTGAGGGAGCCGTCTTTCGCTCGCACAATTGGAGCCTCAACATGACTGCGTACGACTGCGGTTAAAGCTATCTCAGGCAGACTCCGAGGGAGATCATGGGGATGAAGACCATGTGACCCTTCACGGGATGCTGTTCTGAGCATCAAGACATCATGATGTTCCGCGGAAGCCAAGAACTCGATACCCTTGACGCTTCCCGTTTTGGAGATACCTATCAGCGAGTCTTGGCGCTCCTCCAATCTTATGCTCATACTTCATTCGCATTGAATCATGATCCTGAGTAGGCAATCGACCTCCCACCGTAGTTTCCCATTGTCGCGGCGAATTTGGGCTTCAAGTGAATCTGGATCTAAGCGAGAGAAACGCTCACGGCTTTTCTCCAAGTCGATTCCACGCGAGCCGAATATCGTGCAGATTTGATCCGGAAAATCGTCCAAGTCCTACCGCTTCATATCACCGCTAGAGCAGCGCCGGTCAGAATCTACTTGCCTGTTCCCAGGTTCGGCTATGAATTGCACATCTCGCGCCAGACGATCCGCAACAGACTCATGATGAGGCGAAGCTAGATGTGGGTAATGTGCAGCCGTCGTATCTTGCCCTAGGCCGAAGTGTCACCGTTGCAGGGGGTATCGTGTCAACCCGGCTAGGTTGACAGGGGTTGGCTGAAATCTCTCTCTTCGATGCTCACTCCATGTCGTGAGAAGCTATCTATCACAGACTATCAGGAGGTCTCACATCAAGCTCGCTTTCGCCAAAATGACAGACTTTGATTCGCCCTCGCAATTCTTTGATATCGAAGGCGGTCCTCGGATTCACTATACCCAGAACGGAAACCCTGCCGGACCTTTACTCATCTGCCTCCACGGTCTAGGTGGCTCATTAGCGACCTTTGTACCTCTGCTGCCACATCTTCCCAGCGATAAATACAACATTGTCTCAGTTGACTTTGAAGGCTTCGGCAAGACTGCCCTTGTGAGCGAACAGCTATCAGTGCAGAACTATGTTGAAGACTTGGCGTTATTCGTCACACATCTCCAGAGCTCTTCCCCGACCGGAGCAGCATGCAGCGAGAGTCCTATCATCATCATTGGACACAGTCTTGGATCAATTGTCGCGTTGCATTACACAGCCCAGTATCCTTGCAAGGTTTCTGGTCTCGGTCTCCTAGGAGTAGGGAGATCAGCGTCGCATATAGCGGTAGCCAAGCAACGAATGTTGAGGCTCGCAGAGAGAGTGAAGGATGAGGGAATTGAGAGCGCCGCAACGCTAGCAATGTCTACAAACTTTGCCGCTGGGGAAGATAACGAAGACGGCAGACGAGAATTTGTACGGCGTGAGGTTTTGGCAAGCGACCCAAAGGCATATGCGATGGTGTGCGAGACGACTGTCAGTCTGGAGCATGTTGATCCGGATTTTGCACGCATAAAGTGCCCGGTGGTTTTCATTTCGGGTCAAGGAGATGTAATCAGTCCTCCGGGCAAAGCGCGCGAAATCAGCTATCTTCTCAGTGGCAAGACGGTGGTCGAGGTCGTTCGAGGAGGGCATCAGCCGATCTTGAGTGATTTGCATGGAACAGCAGATGCCTTAGCAGAGTTATTTCGAATGGTCAAAACCTAGCAGCTAGGCTTGGAGGCACGAAGGTCAAATCCAGCGTCATTATGAGCGCAATGAGGGGAGAAGATAGAATGGGCACCTCTTATGATCCCCGGAAGCGGAAGATTGCACAATTAGATCAAGCGTTTTGTCCGAGGAGTTGTGTTTACTTGGCCATTAGAACATCGTTTACCAAGAGTCAAGCCGACTCCAATGCACACGCGGCCTACTCACCCCTCATATATGTTTTTGATCGACGATCACTGCAGACAAGGAGGAAGTATTCGCTCTGTTTGTGTGATAGCGACAGTTAGGGTCGGGATAAAACTTATACATAGCACATCTAGCCTCTTGCCAGCAGATATGTTCCGGTACTTTGTGTGGCGGCTCTGGTAGCATACAGGATGGTGTCAATGGCCTTTTGGACGTTGAGTGCAGTTCAGAACGCCTCAAGTATGCCAACCGACAAACAAACTCGGACCAGCAAATAGCTTCAAGAAAGGTTGGACGTGAGGTCGAATTAATTTCGAATCATTGACTATCATTGACTATCGAAGCCAGAAAAGGTGAACGAACATATCTAACTGTGCTGTACAATGTTCCAGCTAGATTCATGGAATTGGACAAGCGTGACCAAGAGAACGGAAAGGAAAAGCCCTATTCAACACAACTCCGCAACCGTGAATCAATTTCTTGCATCGTCATCATCAACCGACTTCGCACATGTGCCTCCATGGAAGCAAACATCAAGCTCGCCTCGGTCATCYCTTGGGAGCAGTAAGAGCCGCGGAAACTCGCAAGAATGTTACTCAGGCCATGCAGTTGACCCTGCACAACTTGATGTTTTAGAATCCAGCCATATTTATCGTGTCCGCCCATTGTTGATGACGCATCGGATACGAGTTCCTTGGCTGTGTTGATGCCAGCGGTGTATGGATCTTGGACGGAGACCACTGCTTGAGACCAAGCTAGGAGCTTGGAAGCTATGCTCACGATCATCATGGGCATTGTGAAATCTTTCGCACAGATGTAGGCCATGACGGTGTTCAGGTTCTGCAAAGCGAGAGCTGTGGCGTCCAGAACTTCATCGGTAGTTGGTCGTCGATCGCCTTCAAAGGTGGTGGCCATTGGTAGGTTGTAGAGGGCAGTGAGCGTACTTGTTGCCAGTCTGATGCACTCTTCTGTGTCGGATACGCGTTTCACTGGGTTGGCGTGAAAGCGGGCCAGTTCTTCGAATTCACCTCCCATCTCTGTTATAGGGGATGCAAATTGTAGTCTGTTGTGAGACTCCAGAATGGCTGGATGTGGTGAAGTTGACTTGAAATCGGCGAAAAGATCACTCCCATGATTGTAGTCCAAAAGCCAGTCTGAGTTTGGAGGTGAGAGTGATTGCGATGACGAGCTACATGCGTGGTTGTTGAAGTCGCCAAGTGCAAAGCAGCTTGGACCAGTGCTTGGGGTCAAGACTGGCGTGGGATATGGGGATGTAGCGTTGCTCCATGCCTGATTGGGAGGGTCAAACACGAAGTTGCTGTTCATGTGTGGACTTGGGCGAGGTAGCACAGGAGCAGCTGCTTTCTGGCTGAGCTTCTTGCTGGATCGCGGAGGCTTTCCTGCCCTTAGAGATTTGCTGTAGTGGCAGTCTCTCCCAAGAGCTAGACATCTTTGACAAGATGGTCGTTCTTGTGTGCACTTTGTCTTCGTGGAGGAGCAGTGATCGCAGGCTGCACGGTATTTGACATGCGCCGCCGCCATCTTGGGTGGTGAGCCCAGACGAGTTGCCGTGGACATGATATTGGGCGTTGTGATCGGTGTTGATCGATCGAGGCGGTATAATCGAGAAATCCCGAAATTTGAGAAGATGGAGAGGTTTAGACTGGAATTGACCGCGGATCGTTTGATTGATATTGGATCGAAGAGACGAGGAACGGCGGCGCCATTTTGAAGCCCGAGGATAGTATGGTATACCGGTGCACGACCCTCTCAACCCCACGGCGAGGTTCGGTATTGCAACGACGCCACGCCACAATGTCGGATGTTTTTGATCAAGGAACAGGATCTATGACCATCGAGACGGTGCGCCAATGGAGGACTGACAATCGCCATTGAGCCGCAGCCGCTAGGCTCAACTAACCCAATTTACGCCAGGTGTAGAGAACTGCACAGACGGTGAAGATGAAATGACGATGCGAGGGCCTCTGCTCACATGAGCAGGTGGTCTTGATATCAGGCCACCGCGCCACGGCCGATGTGGATGCCCCGTTTGCGTAATTCTGCAGGCTTTGAGTTCGACCCTTATAGACTTCTTCTACTTGTTCCAGAAGCGGACCTGCAGCCTTGCAGGTCTTCTTTCCATGTAGATCTATAATTCAGCTACCTTTGAAGTTGATCGCTTTGGATCTGCGGAGCTTCTGTTCAGTTTACGGGCTTGTGGTAAGTGCGGAGGAATGATCTGCCGTCCTTCGTRCGCCGCTCGGTTTACTGATTGACCAGGACAGAACGGCGCCGAAGCACGGCTAATTTCGCACGTTTGAGGTCCACCGTCCCACCCTTACAGCCCTAGACTAAAACAACCGTGGTTGATTTGGGGCGCCGAGAATACCATCCCGGTCCCTACTTTCAAGGATCTGTCGGAGTCAGCTTTGAACTGCGGCAGCTCAGCGAATCGCGCCATTCGCATCGCCTGGCCAGAACCCTTTTTGGGTTCTTGGTCGCCAACGAAACCTTCTGAGCGGATAGCGTGGCGTAGTAGAGTTCGATGCCCAGGGAAACTACACTAACCACAGCATCGTCCTCACCCCGAGCTTGATTGCTTCCATGTCAAACGATGTGAATATCTCCCCACGAAACGTGGGCGAACGGCGGCGGATGAGGACGGATCTTCCACGCCGTCCATTGCCCCACAACTGCCCAGCACGGACGACGCACACGTAACGCTTGCGCTGCGAAGATCACTGCCGGCGTTTTTCTAGTATCTCTGGAGACTAGTCTCACCGATGCCGAGATGCTTAAGGCTTCGTGAGATTGCGAGGACGGAATAGGCTGGGCAGAAAAGTAGCGTGGGGCGGTCCGCCTCGGACAGCCTAAGCTTGCAGGAACAGTCATCATGAGAGACTACGAGAGGGTTTCGGGGCCAGTACACATGAGCAGAGATCAAAATTCGCCCTTAATCTATCTGTCAGGCATAGCAGCACCGTTAGTGCACCGCTTCAAGATGGTGATTAGCTGGTAGTCACCTCACAATGTTGACCTCTATCTGTACACATACCTGCATTGTGAAATGTGTGGGYATAAAATGATCCCCGAGACTGAAACACGAGGACCCTGCTCTCGGATAATAATGCACAACCAGATCCTCACAGCGTTAGCGTGGATATACGATGACTGGGGTGAGGCCGATTCGGGGTTCGGTCCCGTTGTTGACCGGCCGGCTTCTGGTCATACATGAATGAAGCAGACGATGCTGCGCCATTCGGGTTGGCCTCACGATCGAAAAAGAAATTCAAACTCCTGGTCAGAAGCATCCCAGGCGATGTTGAAAGTCCGAGTGAAACGTGAATCGAGTTTTGGGAGGTTGTGGAGAAAGCGCGATGTTGGAACAAGGTTCACAGATCGGCGTAGAACGGCGTTGAACGGCGGCCCGGAAAAGCCAGTCGGTCACACCGCCACGCCACATGCGACCATATGCGTCCATAGGTAGTCAGCACTAAGCAATCGTGAATGCATGGTGTAGGGTATTGCGCAGAAAGTAAGCGCTTGCCCTGTGGCCGCTCAGGTGCTGYACGTGGTGCTACCCGACATCTTCACGGAGCCCACTGCGAAACAACCCCGAGCGATAGCGAGGAAGTTATGGCACGAGCTTTCGAGATTGAAGACAATACACACTGTCTTTGCAGATCGGAGTCGCAAACTCTCAGGCCAGACAGCAAGCGACAGGGCTGTAGATCCAGTCGCGGTACTTGGAGGTACGAGGAGAAGTACGTCAGAATGCTGCTCTCTAGCACGGAAATGCTCCGATCCGATAAGACGATGTAGACGGCATAGACACCGGCGAGACTACAGTTGTCTACTGATGGGGGACATCTGGTCGGCCAGGGGTGCTGGATCGCGTGGGATGCGTTTTTGACCGGTGCTCTGCGGATCATGGATTGTCGTCTTAAATCGGCCAACATAGACGTCGATCCCTACGCCCATCAACTAGCAGTACATTCCCGCTAGTTGCCTCCGTGGACATAAAGTCCCCATGGATGAAGATGCTTCTTCAGCTGTTGTACGGCGTTACCCAAGCTAATGTATCGGACGATCAAAGACAGTTTTCTGGTGTCGGTCTCCAAGAGTATCGTATCGGTCCCTGGAGCTCTCATTGTTGGTCGTGAAGCTCTCATTCTCATATTCTCAACCCCTTGACCAAGAGCCAGAGCGCCACAGGCACGACAACATTGTCGTTTGCTCCGGTGAGCACGGCCTCCATGAAACTCGCTCCACAAGCACAAATCACAGCCTTGAGCAGCGCAGATCCCCAATTCCTCAGGAATGCCCCAGATTCACCAAGTAGGTCTTCGTGAAAACTCCCGCTGGCTATATTCCAGCCCGAGGGATGATCGTTCCAACCACCAAACGATTGCCACGCTCTCGCACCCATCAAACCGAAAGTGACGGCTGCAGCGAAGGCCGCGCTGCCCTCGAGACTTTTTCCGCCGACCCAGATCCATTTCCGTCGTCCATAGCGTCGGCCTATGAGGCTTGCAGCCGCATCTCCCATGCCTACGCACACAACGCCAGCAATCATAGCAACTTCCCGGCGGTTGTGTAGTAGTTCCCAGTCAACCCAAGGCATGCCGCCCTCCCGGGGAATGGACGCCAGAGAGAACCAAAGCGGTACCGCGCATCCTATGAGCAAGAAGATATGGCTTACGACGACAGGTCCTCGGAGGTCCCGTCCGTCGACATAAGGTGCCACAAACCGGCCGATGGCGTTTCCTAGAGGCGGGACCTGTCCAGCACGGATAACTTCGAGGAGAAGGAAAACCGCCAACACAAGCGAGAGTGCCAATGCGCAGTAGCACGGATCAACGAAGGTGGCGGGCAGCAGCATAGCGACCATGACTCCATGGAAGACTTTCCGGCGTGTATCCACTTCGACATATGCTGTAAGGCTGAAGACCGCCAAGAGACCGACAAGTAAGACCGCTGCCCAGTAGACGATGAGAAGAAGTCGAACGTTAGCAGGTCCAGGGTCAAGGCTGATCAAGTCCATATGAAGTGGTGTGCTTAGTGGAGTGTTTTTCCAGCTCCAAGCCGCGTTCGGTAGGGGTATCCATGATTGCATCTTCAAAGTGCAAATGGATGTGCGGACCAACGGAATCTGTCCTATCATGTACCCCACCGCCCAGCCGATCGGCTCCTGTCCGTGCAGAGCTTTCTTCGAGACGTACTCTTTCACGGGAGCAAGTATGACTACGAGTATGAATAGATAAACAATTCCGGCATACAGCCATTTGCGTCGCTGCGCTTGTTCGGGGGTTAGCTGCAGGCACCAGAGCAAGTTTGACGATCTTGGCTTCCTGCGATCGCTAGGTGATCTGTGAGCCGTCTTGTAGTCGCGCGCGGGCATTGTATTACTTCTGGGTCGTCCCGGATAGCTGTGCTTTGGAWCTGTGAAGATTTTTGTCACGCTGCGGCGCGGCTCGAGAGCGGAGGTTGGCCCGCCTGGGCTGAACGCTGGAAATACCAGCCCAGCTGTGTTGAGTGTTGTCGTATCGCGACTTCTCAAGCCGTTGCGCGACTTCTTCGCTGAAATAGCGCTCGAACTGTCATCATAGTCGTCATCATCTGCATCACTGATTGTGCTGAATGCAGTTGTCGCGCGTTGTATGTTCATCAAGTCCGACACAGCGTCTACMAAAGACTTTCTTTCCTCGGCAGTGTGACCAGGCCGCCTCAACTTCCATTTCGGCACCCGTGCAAGAGTCACATTCCAATTCAAGATCGGGGCGCAAGTGACCAAAAGAGACACGCCGCCGATCCAAAGGCACGCTTTAAGAATGTAAATCTGCGGAGAAGATGCCAGCAGCAGCAGGTTTATCAATGAAACAGAAAGCAAATGCAGTTCCGTCACCAAAAGACTGGTAGTCGTGAGGTATTGCAAAGGCTGTAGCAGTGCGTGGTGCAGCGGATATAGCGACACCAGCGTCTCGGGAGACAATCCATCCGGTACTTTGAGGAGATATGGCAATGCTGGGCTCATCTTGGATGGCCATGCCGTGTTTTGAGAAACAATGAGAGGGAGTATGGACACGAACCAGTGCACTGCGTTGACTCCTCCGAGTCGGCTCGAACGCGGAAACAGTCTTTGTGGCAGCGATGCCAGCCCGAGGATCAGATTCGGCATGATGACAGCCGGATTCGCTGGCGCCACTGAGAGAGCAACCAGCATGGGTAGTAGAGGTGGATACAATACCGTAGCTGGATCAAATGATGCCGGTACGCGAAAGCGTTGCCATAGCTTGTGGTGCCGGGCTTGTGTGTCCACGATTGACAGCTTGAAAGGGTAGGCCAGAATGAGAGCGATGACTAGAATGACTTGGGTCAACAGTTCCCGCCACCAGTTCCACGCCGTCCATAGCACTCCATCGCCGCAAAGTACGCAAAGCAAGATGAAGCCCATGAGCGCAACTTCTGAGATGCGCCGAATGAATTCAGCAAATCGTCTCTTCCGCAACTTCTCGTGCTCTGCCTGTTTCTCTTCCTGCACCTCTTCCGTGGCTCCTGGCTGGCCTATGGTAGACTGTCGTCGTAAGAAGTAGCCATTAACACGCCTCTCCTCCTCGTCCAGCTGGGATGGTGTGAGGAGGGCATCTTCGTCCTTTTCACCTGTCTTTAGCCCTTTGCGCAATCGGACTGTGCTTGGTGGTAGAGCCTTCACAAAGGTCGGTCTCTCGTCGTCTGCTTCGGTCCCGCTCTCACTGCCTGCTGATGACACCTGCCCGCTCCGCCGCTCCCATTTTCGGCTTACGTGGCCAGATGACTCTTGCTGCCGAGATGTATGGAGTTCGCCGTTGTATCCTCCATCTTGCTTTACCTGCTCTCCGTCGTGAAAATATGGTCTCGGAGTTCGCACGAAGTGCCGACGGTGCTCAGCTTGGTCGATCTCCAACACAAGTTCGTGATCCGAGTCATGGCGCTGTTCCCGTGACATGATCAGAAGCGCGCATGGTATGGGAAAAACAGTGATCGGACCGGCAGATCATGCTTCGTGTGTACCAAGCAAAAGTGGAAGATGGTGTTGCTGCGTATGCTTTTACGTACGCGTTCATGGCTGCCGCGAAGCTCAAGGGTCCACTGCTGCCCGGGCCTCCCGCACGCGACGCGATGATATGAAGAGCACGACCTCGACAAAGACATTCACCAAGACATGGGCATTGAGAAGACAACCACAAATTTCGACACTTCATCAGATCAGATTGCATATCATGGCTTCCTTATAGACCTGACTCCCCGCGAGACCGCTCATTTTCATGCATTTCCCTATCTACTCCCAGCACATAGCAATACTAACATAATTTAATCAGTATAGCTTTGTCCCTTCGGTACTGGTCCAGCCGAGGCAAAGTGTGGCGGAGTCTCTTTTGTGGAAGAAATTCAGTCCCGTTATCTCGCTAGCGTTTCCAGATTGCCTTTGGGAGCGTCGTTCTCGTCTAGGTCATGCATTTCTCAGTATGCTTGCAGTGATAGTTGAGTCCTGGGAGCAAGTTGGAGAGCCATGAGAGGCTCTAGGAACCGAAAGCGTTAGATGAGTGCCTTGTAAGAAGTTGGGACAGCGACTTGTATAGAATTGGAAGGGACGGTCACCTAGCCCAGGTCCGGGTCCCTTTCGAGGATACCTACTTGGACTTACCAACCTAGAGAGGCAGCACCTTGGGTATTAAGTAGAAGTTGGAAGCMCAAGACACCTATCTAAGCAACAGCGAGCCTTCCGCCAAAGTGAATTCTTGAAAACTTCCTCCAGTGCCAAGGCGCAGGGTCAACGATTTGAGGAATCATCAAGAAGAGCAGAGGCCGAGACTGTGAGGTTGACCGAGGACGTCTTGTGTGAATGAATGATCCTCATATCAACAGCTTCACTAGTGTAGAAGTGAGGTGCCTGTACTAGGAACATTGGAAAGCTTCCTCATCGGCTGCAAGCCATTTGCTCAAGCGTCATGTAACTCATATATGAAACTAGTTGCTTTTCCAGGCTTCAACCGAATTGGAGGCAGATTCAACGGGCCTTTGAGCTTGGAGGCAGTCCCAAACGTCCACCTCTCAATTCTCAAACCCTCTTTGATACCCATGCGATACGACCGGCCATGGATGAGCTTATTCAAGGCAAGGAGATTGTACCACCACTCCTGCAGAACTTTTAATTCGTGAAGTTCATAGGAAATTCTTTCAGGTATCTCAGGCTCGAATGCTTTCCAAGTTGTTTTACAAGACCACCCTATCCGTTCATCGAGTTTGAAGTTCGTTGGTAGTGCCATACCAGGGACCTTTGAGAGCTGTGTAAGATCCAGTTCACAGCCTGTCTCTACATCGGTAATGGTCACACAGTCGAAGATAAACGACTCGGGTAACACGGGACGGTAGACCGCGACTGATTGCGCACAACCGTGCAGTGTCAGAAAGAATTGAACGGAAGGTGGTACCCGCAAGGCCGCGTCGACACTTCCATGGGGGCGGGGAGAGCAAAAATCAGCCACCTGAATGTCCAGAACGAAGTATGGTAGCTGCTGTTCCTCGATCTTGAAGCTCCGAGAAGCTCGCAAGCTCCAGAGCGTGTGAAGTCGATCGGCGACTGTAGCCCAGCTTCTCCAGTGCGACACTTCAAGAGCAGTATGAAACCCGTCTGCGAAGTCGGAACTAACCCAAGGCGCCTTGAGATGCACCTCTCGTTCATCATCCGGTGTGATGGTCTTGCTGTTGATCACTTGAGGGTCAGCAATGACAATCTGGGGCCCAGAGCAGAACGATTTTGCGTCAAGATACATGAAGACATGCGGTCGAGAGTCGTATGTCGGGTTGAGATCCTCCTTCCTAGGTCGACGCATGCTTGAAAGGTCTAAGATGTTTTGTAGTAGTTCTTCTGGAAAGATGTGACCCACAGCCCTGCGGAACACCTGCTTGCGAAACTTGGAGAGGCAATGCCTTGCCGTAGCCCTTCTACCTGGCCAACCATGTGCTTCATACGAATAGTGCTGCATCGCCGTTGAGATGCAGGTAGTCTGCCACACAATGTCGAGGGACCAGGACGAGTCTTCGGGCGCATCCTGGTGCAGGAGGGTGTACAAAGCCTGTGGCGAGACTGGCGGCGTGTCGTCTGCGAGGTACAACGTAAACGACAATTCAGGTCTCCGTCCGTTGTGGCGAGCGTCCCAAACGTTACTGACGGGCCAATTCATGTCGTCAAAGTAGTTGTGCACAATCAGGCCCGGCAACTGCTCATTTGTCGACAAGCGTGTCCGAGAAAGGACACACTCTGCCAAATATTCGGTCCGCCTCTGTTCTCGATTTTTTCTGGCTTCCTGCCGTCTCTGCTCAAGTCGCGTCTGGAATGTCTGTTCATCGACATAATCCTCACCAAAGTCCTCGATTTCATCGCCGTAAGATCGAACTAAGGATGCACTTTTTGCATGCCACTTTCTCCCATTCTCGAAAAGACGACGGCGCTTAAGCAGGGTTAAGAAGAACTCATAGGTGGTTCTATTTCGTGTGGCATGTACAGAGATTGGAGGTCCCAAGTCTGTACACTGCTCAGCATGGTCGGTTGTGATAGCCTGGGAATGAGATGTTTGTGCAAACTTGACATGTAGCGCGCCCTCGGCCGTCCAGTCTGGAAAGCAAGAGTGGAAGGATTAGCGATATCCTCATCTATATCGACGTGAAGCAATGCCTCGGGGAGCTCGGAATATCTTCGAATAACTCTGTACGCCTTACGCCCTTCACTAACTTACCGTCTCGGTCGATAACCTGAGGACCGACTTAGCAACAGTCTCGGATGAAGTAGATATGTTGATGCGGGAATGCCTTACCAGAATGTACCCCATATTCCAAGGACAACTCTCACACAAATAAAAGTCTGCCCAATTCTCGACTAGGTGAGACCATCCTTCCCTCGAATTTCGATGCTTTATCTCTTCGCGTTGATGATCAATGCACGCGAGAACATTGGGAAAGGGCGAGCGGTAGATTTCAAAGTGACACATGGTCCTCTGTAAGGGTTGGAATACGCTTGCCCAGTCCATCCATCGCGCAAGAAGTTCTGGAAGGTTGCCAAACTTGATTGTTCTGGGAGCTACAAGTCGATGAGCATACGCTTTGTACCACGAAGAGGTTGTACCCCTCAAAACTTGCCAGTATCGAGAATGTAAACCTGAAAAGGCAGCGATGGTTTGGAGTATCTGGGAACATTGTCGTCTCTGAGTACCCACGCCAGCTCTACGGGATGTCCTTGGTGATCCTTGGTGCAGAGAGTCCACAATTTTTCTTGAAAGTCGGATGGCGCATCGCCAAATACGGCTTCGCTCATGGCATCAGGATTCGTCGCCAGGCAGCCCCGGTTGGCTATGCTTGTTATGATATTTGACGGAAGCTGGATGGAGGAACTAGCATGGACAGCGTTGAGTCGAAGAAAAGAATGTGACGGTGTGTAAACAGAGGCGTAGGCGCCGGGCCTATGTCGCTCTCCGCTCAGCTGAAACCGGGTGGGTTTTCTTCCACTGACAGCGTGTATAGCAACGGGAGATCATCAAGAGTCAGCTCTTGACATGCAAACGGCCTACCAATGTCTACGTTGGACACTTGGCGCAGGTCAAAATGAGAAATCAAAGGTTTGGAGTTTAGGGGGGGCCCTTGTACTCGACCCGATCGATCCATCCTCGTTTAAAGCTTTCACATGCTGCCCCACATGATCGGCAAAAGTGGGGCTCGGTACGATCGAGCCGAAACCACGAAAAAAGATTTGGGAATCAACCTACGCATCTCCATCTTTCAATTTGGACCGATCACAGCGCTTCTGCACACCATGGCGACCGTCGTTCCTCCCCCTTCCAAGAAGCAGAAGCTTGCAGCGATTGTTAAATCCCGCGACCAGGTAGAGCTCCCGGCCCCAGCACCCGAAGGAACGCAGCGCATACAATTCCGCGACGCAGATACAGGCGAACCTCAAGGACCTGTCGTCTCAGTCCAACTCGCGGATCTTTCGCCCAAGAACCTCTCTCTATTACTCAACAGTCTTTTGGGTAAAGCCGATCCCGCCGACCGCCTCCCATACCGCTTCTACAACCCATTCGGCGACGATGGCGGCGAGTTTGATCAAGCCGAAATCATCAAGCGATATGTGGATGGCACTACATCAACTGAGTTGCAGCTCGACWTCCCCTGCCGTGCGGAGGCTGTGTTCAAGGTGAAGCCTGTAACGCGCTGTGCTGCAAGCATATCGGGTCACGGCGAATCGATTTTGACAGCAGCTTTCTCGCCTGCCACCTCTTCAAAATTGGCGACGGGATCTGGTGACAAGACTGCCCGTATCTGGGATTGTGAGACGGGTACACCACAACACACTCTCAAGGGTCATACTGGCTGGGTTTTGGCCGTAGCATGGTCACCGGATGAATCATTACTTGCCACTGGCAGCATGGACTCAACTCTTCGCCTCTGGAACCCAATCAAGGGCGAATGTCTGGGAGGGCCTCTGAAAGGACATACAAAGTGGATCACGAGCATAAGCTGGGAGCCATATCACGCCCAACAACCTGGCCGACCACGCCTCGCATCCGCCTCCAAAGACTTCACAATCCGCATCTGGGACGCAATAAGCAGAAATACAGATATGGCGCTTACCGGGCACAAAGAATGCGTGACTTGCGTCAAATGGGGTGGTAGCGGTCACATCTACTCTGCTTCTCGTGACCGGACCGTCAAAGTCTGGGACGCCGTCAAGGGAACTCTGATACACAACCTCACACAACACGCACATTGGGTCAATCACCTCGCAATTTCCACAGAATTCGTCCTTCGAACCGGCTACTTCGACCACAAAGGCAAGAAAGCCGCACCAACAGATCCAGAAGAACGCCGAACAAAAGCCAAATCCCGCTACGATGCTGCGTTACTCGCAACAGGAGGCGCAGAGCGACTAGTCACCGCTTCAGATGATTGCACAATGTATCTCTGGTCTCCCTCACAATCCACAAAGCCTCTTCAACGTATGATTGGTCATCAGAAACAGATCAATCATGTCACGTTCTCCGGCGATGGTGTCCTGATTGCCTCCGCGGGATTCGACAACCATGTCAAACTCTGGCAGGCCAAGGATGGGAAGTTCTTGCATACTTTGAGAGGACATGTGGGTCCTGTCTATCAGTGTGCATTTAGTCCTGATAGCAGATTGCTGGTGTCCGCAAGCAAAGACACGACGTTGAAGGCTTGGGATGTGCGAAAGGGAGCGCTGGCGGAGAACTTGCCTGGACATCAGGATGAAGTCTTCGCGGTGGATTGGAGTCCTGATGGCGAGAGAGTCGGAAGTGGTGGGCAAGATAAGGCTGTGAGGATTTGGCGTCATTGATGCGATATGATACCCAGATTTCGAGAGGATGGAGTGGAAACAGATGACTCGAGGAGGATCAAATTCTTCCTCACGCTTCTATGAATGCTGGCTACTCGAAATTGTCCAGCCTTTCAAAGCTTTTCCGCGCAGTGTCATCTCGGGCGTTTTTATGTATATCACATCGGCCGTACAACATCATCTGGATCGAGCCAATGAATAGCGGCAGCACATCTTCGTGATAGACACGAGCATCCGCGTCGTCAACGAGCATCACACCGCCAACTCTCGCAACAACACTGGCTGCGGTATGACGGTCTCTGTCAGATCACAGTGCAGCAAATTGTCCTGCATTGTCTACTGCTTGCTGCCAGGGAAAGCGTGCTTGCCCTTCTCCTTGCTGGCATTCAACGCTCCGCTGAGACCGTGAGCATTGTGAATTCCCTCGATACGGTGGGTAGAGTTGATGTTCTTGACGAGCGTAATCTGGTAGCAAGTGGCTGAACCCTGGCGAGAGATGATGGTGCTGTAGGCAAGGAAGAATTCCCAAATCTTGTAGAACATGTCAGCATGATCAATATCACAAAAGATGAACTCTGAAGCTTACCCTGAACCAGCGGTCACCATACTTGGCGACAACCTTGTCCTTGTTTGCCATCCAGTTTCGGTACCACCTCCACAAAGTTGCGGAGTAGTGCACACCAACGGTGTCAACAGCCTTGACCTCGAATCCTGCACCCTCGAGCTTATCAATGAAGAAACCCAGGGGTGTCGAGGCATCAGCACCAGGGAAGATATACTTGTTCATGAAAAGACCCCAGATGAGGTCCTCGTACTGCCAGCTCTTTCTCAATCCAGCAATTTGAAGGAAGAAGACACCATCATCCTCAAGCATATCGTAGACCTGCTTCAAGAAAGTTCCAAAGTATCGCACACCGACGTGCTCGGCCATCTCCAAGCAAGTGATCTTGTCGTAACCTCCGGACGGGACGGGAATATCGCGGTAGTCCATGCACAAGATCCGAGACTGCTCCTCTGGTACGCCAGCCTTGCGGAGGCCACTGTTGCCCCACGCAGTCTGGTTGCGGCCGAGTGTCACACCGGTGGCATTGGCGCCGTAGTTGACCGAAGCGAACTTGGCAAGAGTGCCCCAGCCACAGCCGATATCCAGCATTTTCTCGCCCTCTTTCAAGCCAATCTTTTCACAGACAATGGAGAGCTTGTTGTCTTGCAGCTGCTCGAGGGACTCCTCCTTGTTGATGTCGGAAATAATACCGGAAGTGTAGATCATGCGAGGACCGAGGAACCAGCCGTAGAAGTCATCGCCGCGGTCGTAGTGGTCACGGACTTGCTCCTCGTCTTGAGAACGAGTGTGCATGATGACCTCAGGCATCATGCCGGTGAGGAAGAACCAGAAGAGGGAGAGGGTGAAGCGGAAGTTGGCCCAGTCGTGACGGTACTCCATCGCTTCGAGACAGTCGCCCTTGAAGTTGACATCACCGGCAAAGTACATCTCGTGGAATGTCTCCATGGGGATCCTGTTCTTGCCACGGTATTTGCGCTTGTCGGCCTCGTTCTTGAACTCGAGGTAGTGCTCGACGGGAGCACCGGGGAAACGAGCCTTTTCGTTGATACGAGGGGACATGCTGGACGCGATTGTCCAGAAAGCCATCAAGATGGGGATAGCGGTGAGGATGGCGAAGAACAGCCAGACGAAGAGTCCGCCATTKACTTGGTAGGCAAAGTAGCCTGGGACGGCGGCGAGGAGGGTGAAGAGAATGACATTGCTGAAGCTCTCAGCACCGGGTCCATCGGCGGGAAGCGGCGCGTTCTTGATTGCAGGGTACTGTCGTGTATATCATGAGCTAGGCCGCTGCCATTGGGTGAGTAAATGGTGTCAATGGTGCTGCCTTACAGAGGTCGTCCGCACACCGTAGTTCTGCGTTTCGGGAGCTGGACTGGGGGCAGCAGGCGTGTGAATGAACTCAAAGTCATCCTCCTGGAGCGACGCTCCAGGGTTCTTGTTGGCGTCAGACATGTTGTTTATGCCTGTCTGCGATGCGATGCAATGGCAGATGAGGGACAAGGAAACACACCTCTCAAATTCCAAAAGCTTCAGGAGATCGGCAGGGTTCCTCGAAAATGCTGAGTAACAAGCTTCGAGACGACATCGACGCGGTTCCAGGATGGTTGCGACCAGGATCTTCACACACTTCACCTTCCTTCCATAACGGCTATATCATGATGCATACTTCGAACGGCCTGACTTTGGAGCAATGAATCTGGCATGACTTTATATAAACTCGAAATATCCGCCTTAGTACCGCGACGGACAGCGACTTCTCACTGGAGCTCTCTTGCCGTTCCGGTTGCACGCTGAGGATATCGACGTACACAGCCCACAGGGATATACGCCGCTGATACAACGCGGGTTTTGCAGTCTACCAGACGCTGTCAACAAGTACTCCGTAGTCTGTTGAATAAGCTCAAAGGATACGTCCTTCACTAACCCTACTAGCAAGTATGATTGTCAACTCGTGAGCAACTCATTGCCATACAATCGTCAGCGCCACAAACTCTATCGACAGACCTCATCTCTCACTCTCCTCTTCCTCTCCAAGACGAAGCTTATCCCTCTTACCCACAAACCACCAAGTCACCCCAATACTAAAAACAGCACCAGCCAAAAGCGCAATACTAACAATGTACGAAAGCCGATACCCAGGTCCAAACCTCGTCTGATAAACCAGCGGCCCAACAATCCCACTCAACTGCGCGGCGGAATTCGTAATCCCAATCGCCAACGCAGCAGATGTAGTTCCATGCGCAGCACGAATTCTCTCGGGCCAAAGAATCGGATAAATACAAATCGAACAAGCCGTAGCGAGCGTCACCAGAACATATTTGGCGACGGGACTATCCACAAAAATGAGGAGAATGTAGGATATCATCGCGAGGATCTCGAGTGCTATCGCCACGGACCAGGATCGTAGACATTTGGTATGGATGAGCCAGCCGGAGAAGACGAGAGCTACGCAGCCGAAAGCGTAGGTTGGCATGGTGAGTAATTGGCTGAGGGCTGAGGCTGAGAAGCCTAGGTCGAAGATTACTGTCGGGAGGACTTGGGAGATTCCCCAGCCTCCTATGGCGTGGAAGATCCAGATTGAGGTGAATGTGGCGGTTGTTGGATCTTGGAAGATGGCTTTTACTTGGGCGGTGTCCCATGTTTTTGAGGTTGAAGAGGGTTGTGTTTTTGGTAGGTTGTTTAGTAATGCTGATCTTTCTTGCTCGGATATGAAGTTTGATGTTTCTGGGTAGTTGGGGAGCATAAAGTAGGTGTAGATACCACAGAATATTGGCGGAATGCCTTCGAAGATAAACACCCAGCTAGATGTTGTTAGATATATATATTTTTTGCAAAGCCAGTTCTGACCAACTTACCGCCATCCAGCCAATCCGGCAACACCGTTCATGTACGAGATGGCAAATGCCAACAAGCCACTAATCGTGCCCGAGAACATCCCACAAGCATAGAAGAACGCAATGCGAAGAGCAGTATGTTCCGCGGGATACCAAAAGGAGATATGATAGAGCACGCCAGGATAATACCCAGCCTCAGCCAGACCGAGCAGAAATCTGGTCGCCAGTATTCCCRCATAATTCTGCGTCGCGCCTTGACACATGGATATAATGCCCCAGGTGACCATTATCCGAGCCATCCAAGTCGATGGCGTGAAGTGCTTTAAAAGTAATGTTGATGCTGGCTCCGCGAACATGTAGGGGTAGTAGAAGATGCTGAGCGCCCATGCCCATTGTTCGGATGTGAGATTTCCAAGCTGTTTCTTGATGCCAGTTCCTTCTTCCACGTTGATTATGGCGGTGTTGGTGATGTTGGAGACGTTGATTCTCATGATGAGATACACGAAGGAGTACCAGAGAAGCAAGCGATAGTCGACTTTGCGGTATGCCGCTTTTGAGATGGCCTTTTCATCGTCTTCGGTCAGAGATGGCGTGGATATAGGCGTCTCTCCGATACCAACGTCTTTGGTGTCCATAGATGTAATTCGCATTGCCATCGAGGTGTGCTTCGAAACTGTCCCGAGCAATGTCTGAAGGACGTTGCTCAACCAAGGCTATACAAGACATGCTGCTCCCTCCGCTTACCAAAGCATCATGGAGCATGCCACCGGCCAGGGAATGTTGTCATATCGCCGCCCCGGAAGCATGGCAATAACATGGCAAGATAACATTGGTCTTGGAGCCAATGGCACCGTACTTGCGGATCATTATGGAACAACCATGCCTCCAAAATATTGATACGATATGTAAAGAGTGGATATATTCGCATCAAGCGAAGGTTTGCTCACATTGACTGCACATTGCGTGACTGACGTCTGCAAGATTTCAGCCCGAATTGCCGTTTTGGGTCAGCGCAAGCACGACACAACTCACGTGCTTTTTAGACGCCGTGGGTACGTACTTCGATGGCGTCAACAGCCTTCCGGGAAATCTCCCATCATTACTGGACGAATCGTCAGCACTTCTCAATACTCGTGAGGGGAAACTGTATGTGGGTACGGTAAGCTACCTTGCCGATGCCTGTCATTGTATCTTGGAAGATGGTTTCCTGTTTTAAGACGCCCTTTTATCAAATGTTCACTTCTTCGTCCTCCAACTTTCTGCACCGTTTTCCAAAATGTCGACAGCCACAAGAACCGTGCAAGATGTTCCTCGTAGGACGCTGCCGACTTACCAGCAAGCTGCAGAGTCTAAGCATGAGCGTGAGTCGCTGCAGTTAGTATCGCAATTCTCACGTACTGACAGATGGACCAGTTCCATGGGCAGACCTTGTGACATTGGACCTTTCCAGGTTCGATCAGCCTGGTGGCAAGCAGGCATTGGCAAGCCAGCTGCGTGATGCTGTTCACAACGTCGGGTTCTTTTACGTGAGTACCATGATAGCATATCTATCAGCAGCCCACTCATTGCTGTATGATGTATAGATCACTGGCTTTGGACTGTCGCAAGAAGAAGTGGACCGTCAATTCGCCATTGGAAAAGAGATCTTCAACCTACCTGAAGAGGAAAAGCTCAAGTACCGCGCTGACCTTGATCATGGACATTATTCCGGATATCGCCCACTGGGATCAACCGAGCTACTTCCTGGTCTGCGTGACAATATCGAGATGTACAATGTTTTCAAGTTCCTTCCGGAGCTGGAAAGGAGTCAGCCAGATGTAGTTCACGAGCAACGCGCTGAGATCGAGAGGTTCCAGCGCCATATCGCAGAGGATGTCGTGCAGAAACTGCTCATCTTGATCTCCATTGTTCTCGAACTTCCAGAGGACTATCTCTCCAAAGGTCACCGATACGATGATTTGAGCGACTGCCACTTGCGGTACATGATTTACCGAGCCAGAACGCCGGAAGAGAATGAGAGGTACCAGAACTTGTATTCTCGTGGACACACGGACTTTGGGAGCCTCACATTGCTCTTCAGACAGCCGATTGCCGCTCTKCAGATTCGAATGCCGGATGGCTCGTGGCGATGGGTCAAACCACATCCAGGCTCCATTACGGTCAACATCGCCGATGTTTTGCAATTCTGGACTGGTGGATACCTGAAGTCGAGTGTCCACCGTGTGGTGGCTCCTCCAGATGATCAGGCTCACTTGGACCGTCTTGGTCTTCTCTACTTTCTCCGGTGGGTCATGGATAGTTCAACCACATGAGTCCATATTTGACTGACATGCTCTTGCAGCCCGGCCCACGACCTGGACTTGAAAATCGTAGACAGTCCATTGCTCGAACGCCTGGGCATCAAACAAGCGGGCGACGATGGCGCCGGTATCAAGGCTGGAGAGTGGGTGAGGACTCGTGTCAAGCAGAACCAGGACAAGGCGACGGAGGGCGGTCACAAAGAGAAAGAGGTCCTAGGTGGTGTCAAGGTCAAATACTATGATTAGCAGATGTGGTCCCGGAGCGTGGGTGCATGTATCTGAACCCTGAARGTCATGGCTAGTAATACGTCAGTACTCCTCACAACATGGAATACTGTAAGGGGCATCTCTGCATCGGACGAAGCTCTGAAATCTGCAGACTGCAGTTCCCTTGGGACTTTAATCCCACACCTGGCTGACGTGTATTGTAGGCAGAACGGAGAATGTAGCTGGTGAGCATCGCTTGCCGGTACTTCTGCGGACATCTCTTAGCCTGTGTGAGATGAGATGTGATTTTGTGAATCATACATGGGGGCTCATTGGCTCCCGAGACATTGCCAAAATGTGTCGTGAGCTCCCAGGATGGGGGGTTGAATCGCAGCCTTGTGAGGCTAGAATCGACGCCGTGGCAGCCACGTTCTTGGCCAGTGAGAGCCGGCCGAGGCCTTGAATCTTGAATGGCAGATCTGCTTGGTATTGATGAGATATGCATGAGAAGCTTCACGTCCCACACCCGAGCCACAGTCTCGTGCGGGAAGCAATGCAACAAAATGCGCCAAGAACCAGCTGCCTGGAATAGAAGAGGTTGCACATGATGTGTTCCGCGACGGTGCCGCCGACAGGCATCGAGGGTCGAGCCATGCCAGTTGCCCGTCGCCGGTAATTCCCAGAAACCGCTCAACCTGGCGTTGTCGCACGTGGGCTGCAACACGCGCGACCACGTTTTCGAGGCGCTTTCCTGCAGAATTGATGGGTGAAAATTGAAGGGCCTAGGCGAGCGCGCACGCGACGGAAGCAGCAAGCAACTCCGTCCAAGACACCTGCTGCGCAACGGTGAGCATTGGCAAAGGCAAACGTGGTGAAGACGACAGGCCAGTGGGAGATGCCAGACTTATACACGTTTGCCCGTGCCTCTGTATGATTGGACAATGCCTGTCCATGCGCCAACTCTTGGCTACTCCGCCGCCAAGGCCAGACCCAACCTACTACATACGAGACATTCACTTCTCGCTATGGCCGCCGACCATTCAACACGGAACGAGGCGTTTGCGCGAGGCCCACATGTCGCAAGCCTGGACAAGCCCTGCTGAGCACTTGGGAGTGGTGGATAGACAGGAGCTTGTCGTTTCTCTCGGTAATACAGCATAATCTCGGGAGTTGAAGGGCGCCCTCGCATACCAGCAACATTCCATTTCCCCGGAAATAACTAGAAGCAGCGATGGGTACGGCGTAGTGCTGCTCACTGGCTCGAGAGGTGGTGGTTCGCGGCTCTCTAGACTCGATGCGACCATGGCCACATACCAAGCCTTTCTGCGTCCAATAATGGTAAATTCCGCCCGGTCTGGCACCCAGGCTAGATCGCACGAGGACTCAACACCGGCCGGACCCTCAGCGCGCGCGAGCGATCTCCCGGCTGGCTTGTGTGGGTAAGCTCAACGTGGTAGCGAAAGCTAAGGCGCTCCCACGCGGGCTTGATTTTGTTTGCCATGTCCAGGGCATATATAGACAGCCCATGTCCGGAGCAATCCCAGACAGATTCATCAGGCAACATCGAACCTCGCCGGTGACTCCTCTCCTCGCACGCAGTCAACGCTGACCACCTGTCAACACGATGGCTGTCCTTGACCAATACACCTATGTCTTCGTTATTGGCACCTTCTTTGCCATGCTCGATGCATACAACAACGGTGCCAACGATGTTGCCAACGCCTGGGCCACCAGTGTCTCCTCCAGATCCGTCTCCTACCGATGGGCAATGGTTTTAGGAACATGTTTTGAGATGCTCGGTGCTCTCACAGTCGGTATGTATTCGTGAGGGTGAATCATGGACTGCGACTGATCCGCTGTAGGTGCCCGTACCGCCGATACCATCAAGAACGGCATCATCCCTCCAGACTCATTCCGCGACAACGCCGGTGTTCAGATGTTGGCCTTTACCTGTGCTCTCGCCGGTGCCTCGATGTGGGTGATGTGGTGTACCAAGCACTCTGCTCACGTTTCCTCCACATACTCTCTCATCTCGGCCGTCGCTGGTGTTGGTGTTGCTACCGCTGGTGCTAGCCAGGTACAGTGGGGATGGAACGGAGGCAAGGGACTCGGCGCCATCTTCGCTGGTCTCGGTATGGCTCCTGCTATTGCTGCTGGATTCGGAGCCACCATCTTCATGCTCATCAAGCTTGTCGTTCACATCCGCAAGAACCCAGTGCCATGGGCTGTCTTCACCTCGCCTGCCTTCTTCCTCATTGCTGGAACCGTCTGCACGCTTTCGATCGTCTACAAGGGTAGCCCGAACCTCAAGCTCAACGACCGTCCACCAACCTTCATCGCCGGTGTCACCGTTGGAGCTGGTGCCGGTCTGTGCGTCCTCTCCGCCATCTTCTTCCTTCCATTCCTCTACTGCAGAGTCATCCGCAAGGACAACGACATGAAGTCTTGGGAGTTTATCAAGGGCCCACTTCTCCTTCGCCGCCCAATCCCACTTGATGCTCAAATGGCCAAGGTCCCCAACTACGCCGTTGTCCAGCACGATGAGGACGACGATGAGATCACCGCTGTCGAGAGCCCGGTCGATGATGCCAACTACGCCAACGAGAAGAACCTTGCAGCTATTGAAGCCAATGCCGTCGTCATGTCGCACAAGCAGCGCCAGGCAGAAGGTACTGAGCGTCTCCACGTCAAGCTCCGTAAGGGTACCGGTCCTCTTGGATGGGCCATGCGCTTCCTTCACGAGAACAAGATTCAATCCGGTGCCATCTACGAGACGAAGAACATGATCATCACCTTGAAGCGTATTCCCGCGATGATCGTCGTCGCCGCTCTTTACGGTTCCCACTTCGACATCCACGCCGCACAGACCGGTATCGCCGGTACCCCTGAAGGAGTGAGTTTGTCTTGACKATTCTTCGTTTGTTTGCGAAAAGATGCTAATGAATTCCCAGATCCGCATGGAACGTGTATACGCGCACGCCCCCAAATACGCCAACGAGGTCGAGCACGCATACTCCTTCGTCCAAGTTCTGACCGCCTGCACCGCCTCCTTCGCACACGGCGCCAACGACATCGGAAACGCCGTTGCACCTTGGGCTGTCATCTACAGCGCATGGCAGACTGGTGACGCCTCGGCCTCCAAGCTTCCAGTCCCAGTCTGGCAGCTCGCCGTTGTTGCTCTCGCCATCTCCGCCGGACTTGTCACCTACGGATACAACATCATGAAGGTCATGGGTAACAAAATCACCTACCACTCTCCCAGCAGAGGCTGCTCCATGGAGATGGGTGCCGCCATCACCGTTCTCRTCTTCTCGCAGTTCAAGCTGCCAGTGTCCACTTCCATGTGCATCACTGGAGCTACTGTTGGTGTTGGACTTTGCAACGGAAGCTTCAAGGCTGTCAACTGGCAACGAGTTGGTCTCCTTGTTTTCTCCTGGATCATGACCATCCCTATCGCTGGCACGATTGCGGGTGTTTTGATGGCGGTGGTCCTGAATGCTCCTTCGTTTGCCAAATGAGTTATGAAATTGCACTTGTATTGCTAGCACTTATGATACCAGATAGAGAGACGTCGGATATGTCCATCGACGTCAAGATTTACCAAAAGTTTACACACTTCTTTCTCGTTGTGCAACGCATGTCGCGCCCCTGTAACATGAATGATTCGTGATGTACTCTCCAAATATAGAATTCGCTCGGAAGGATGAGCTAGAGTATAGGTTCACAGCGAAGAATTCCAAGTTGCACAAAACAAACGCTATAACACCATTGTGTCGAACGACAACATCGACGACCGATAACATCGTCCACACGACCGTCACCCGATATATTGCCTCAAGATATCGTCCATATCTTATCACGCTAATGTACGAATGGCGGTTGAGCACTACCCCAACCCTGACCCTACCACTCAAAAGTGATCAGCAGTGGGGTGCTTGTCGCTTGTGCAACTGCAAACAAGATACCCTCGGAACAACCAAATTGAAGAAAACATCTCCTCACCATAGTCACAGTCGATATTATTCCAAGCAAACCCAGCTTAAATCCCAATAAACCCCTCTCTCCCATACATTCCTCAATCAAAAATCATGTCATCCAACAAACTATTCCTCTACGACCACCCAGTCTCATCCTACGCCCAAAAAGTACGCATGGCCCTCCGCCACAAAGGAATCCCCTTCGAAAAACAAACCCCCCCAAACCTAGGCAGCGGAGCCTCAAATCCAGATTTCTCCTCAGCAAACATCCGAAAGGAAGTCCCCGCTCTCATAGACGGGGACTTCGCAATCTTCGACAGCACAGCAATCCTCATGTACCTCGAAGAAAACTTCCCCACAACCCCCAAACTCCTCCCCGATTCCCCCCAAGCACGCGCCTCGGCTCGCATGATTGAGGATGTATGTGATACGCATTACGAAGCGATAAATTGGGCCATTGGAGAAATCACCTGGTTCGAACGCGCCACGGGTCCTGAAGCCGAGAGATTGTTGGCTGCGGCTGTGGAACAGACGAAGCAGATTCAAATTTGGTTGGAAGGAAAATTGGGAGATAAACCATATTTCTCAGGGGAGAAGATTGGGTATGCGGATTTTGCTGTTGCGCCGATTGTGAATCGTAGTGTGCATTATGGTACGGCGTATGGGCCTGCGGAGGGATGTGCTTTGCAGCTGTGGCATGCTCGTGTTAGTGAGAATGTGCATGTGATGGAGACTTTTGCGGAGATGGTTGAGGGAAGTAAGGCGATGAGTTCTTTGGGGCCGAATTTGTGGACTGGGGGGAGACGGAGGGAGTATAGAGATCATCGGTTGGAGTTTTTGATCAAGAATGGAGGGATTGGGATTGTGCTAAAGGGTCTGGAGGATGATAATATTCGATTCTCGTGGCCACATCCTAAATAGAGCAAGAAGATGGAGGTTCTGGTAAATTGTTATCAAGAAATGCAAGGAAATGTCGATGAAATGAAGCCTCCTGGTTGATGCTTACCACGAATTTGCCCACACTATGCCCTGCATCGGACATTTAACCGTGCCTGTACAACGTCGTACATGTCATTTTGTGTCGTGGGACAAACCAGTGAGCCGTATTTCCAGTAGCTCACAGCCACACAGCTTCTCGAAGTTCTGTGGGAGATATTCTCTCGAATGAAAGCACGAGGCTGACACATGTGTCTGCCGATCATCAGCCTCCACGCGTTCTCCATCTCGGGCTTCCTTTGTCAACCAGCATAAGCTTTCGTCTCACCTCGCACTATAGTGCTTCCTTCCACCAAGCGCTCGCTTCAGACGTACATCAGCTGGCAGATCTTGGAAGGATGGAAACAAAGCGTGGGCTGTAGCGTGAATTGAAATGTCCATATACAAGAGTGAATGTTCCTACCTTTTTTCATCTGTTCGTACATCAATCAATCTTTTCCACACAGCTCAAGATGAAGTCTGCTCTGGCCATTCTGTCCCTTCTGCCTTTGGCTCTCGGAGAGGCGACCGTGTATCTTATTCGTCACGGCGAGAAGCCATCCAGTGGCAACGGTCTGAACGCACAGGGTATGCAGCGTGCACAGTGCCTGAGAAATGTATTCGGTGCCAACTCTGGGTAAGATGCTGAAGAGGACAAGACATACGAGGTGGTTCGAAGGTGTCCCTCGAGCCGCGCTATGTCCCTGTCCACACCGAGAACGGTTTAGAAATCGCTGACTCTTCTGCGGTCAAAGTTATAACATCGACACGATTTTAACACAGCAATATAAGTCCGGTGTGTAATTTCTCTGACCACTCGCTGCTCCAGACCTGTGGCTAAGATCAACAGACGGATCCCGAAAGCGTCCATACGACACCGTTACTCCTCTTGCACAAGATCTTGGATTGACCATCAACCACTCCTGTGATAGAGATGACCCAGACTGTGTAAAAGATGCAGTCAAAGCCCACAGAGGTTCGGGAAACATCCTCATTTGCTGGGAGCACGATGCGCTGCACGATATTGTTAAGGATCTCGGTGCCAGCGATGCTCCCTCGTACCCAAGTGATCGATTCGACTTGGTAAGCATGGCGGAGGGCAGAAGGCATGCAGGGTAGTTTGAAGATGTCTCTCGAGCTGCCCAGGTCTTTACCACGTCGGACTTGTCCAAAACATCGCTAACTCTCTTCGCTTTTAGATATGGAAGGACCCATACAACTATTCCAAAGTGACCGACAAGTACTCGGAGAACTGCCCGGGGTTAGACAACTGAGCAATTGTCCAGGCGACTCGCTTTGCCGCATCGAGGAAGCAGGAGCAKGCGCTGTGAGATTGCAAGCACTCTAGCATAGGATTTTCAATCAAGCAAGACTTGTCAAGCAAGACTCTCCAGGCGACTCTTTCCAGGGAGATGCCTCTAGATCGTAACTTTCTCACTAGTGACTTCATACATTTTCATGCAGAAATGGTCATCCATCAGTCGCATGATAGACGAGCCACTGCAATCGTAGAGTGTGGCCTGGCCCTCTCAATAGGTCTCCACAAGTGGAGGATAGTTCCACCACATGGAGTCGCTGCCGAAAATGTGTGCATAGAAAGCGACGGCTTGCAACAAGACCGTGAGCTGGTCATTGCCCGCCATTGCCAGTATTTCATACGATTCGCGGCTATTAGTAGAGCAGTGGTGAACCAGAAGCAGCTTGTTTATTTTGGCGTCTGTGGCCTCGTCGCCGTGCTCAAGCTCTGTGGAACCTCCGCTGTCAGGAACCGTATGAGGATTGCCAATGCTAAGGGCCGGTGACGGCAAGAGATTCTCTGCAGCCGTGAAAGTGATTTCATCAGCGTAGGAGTAGTAGACCAGAACCAGGTAGATCTTGTGTATCAGATATCGTCCTTCGGAACTGAATGTAAGTTTTGGAGGGCCAGGCGGATCTCCGTTGGCGAGGCCATGTTTAAGTTGCTTGAGAGCATCGTCGCTCAGGAAGCGTCAATGCGAACAATGTCTTGCGAAACTCTGCTCGTTGTCCAAGTTGCACTTTTGTCTTCGACTTCCCTATGATAAGATGGACAAGTTAGGCGGTCGTGAAGTGAAGAGAGATGGAAGCGACACAAGAGGGTGCGATGAAAGTGGACCTTCGCGCTTCGTACAACCTCGTATTACTCATCGACGTCAGCATCATCACTCCATCTTTGTTCCAACAAAATACATCCACGACACGAATCCAGTCCCAAGTAGATGCTTCAATCGCGACTCATCCTACCCAGGATACTTCCCATCCGCCACAGCATCCGCAGCATGGCGACTCAAAAGCACATTTTCGCTCCAGGAGGCAGTGACAACCCAAACCAAGCCGAGCAATTCACCAGAGGCTCTCTAGAATACCACCAGCTCAACGCAGATCCATTCAAACAATTCGACATCTGGTTCAAGCATGCCACAGAAGAAAAAGTCCCTCATCCAGAAACAGTCACCCTCTCAACCGCTTCACTTCCATCCGGGAAAGTGAGCGCACGGACAGTCTACCTGAAAGAACTCGACGACAAGGGCTTTGTGATTTACAGCAACTGGGGAACTTCTCAAAAGGCCAAAGATGTGGCCTCCAATCCGAACGCTGCTCTTACTTTTTTGTGGCAGGATCTGGAGCGTCAAGTTCGTGTTGAGGGACCTTGTGAACGCCTTACTGCGGAGGAAAGTCAAGTTTACTACAATACGAGGATTCGAGGCAGTCGAATTGGTGCTTGGGCGAGTCAGCAGACCAGTGTTTTAAAGGATAGGGAGGAATTGGAGCAGCAGTATAGGGATGTCGAGAAGAGGTTCGAAGGGCAGGAGGAGATTCCAGTTCCCGAGTTTTGGGGTGGGCTAAGAGTGAAGCCGGAGATGGTGGAATTCTGGCAAGGTCGTGAATCGAGACTGCATGATCGATTCAGATACATGAAGGAAGAGGACGGCAAGTGGAAGATTGATAGATTGAGTCCGTAGATTGATGCCGGAATGTAGGAGTGCAAGACCTCTCCAGCAAGACATGGTAGCGATGTAGCAAGACGGCCTACCACGCCCATTATGATTTATTTTGGAGCAATGATTTGTTTTGTTTTTGTGCAGAAGCCAATAGCTTCCCGCCGGTGGAGGTGCACGCCACCAGGAGCACCTTAGTGGAATCGAACCACCATTCCGCCACTCCACCGGACACCATCGTGATTTCTCAAAGTGCTCGTCGCGGAAAATGCCTTGAAAGCATATCGCGCCGTACACTCGAGCCATTCCACGCAAAACCATTCTTCATACCCAATTAAGGACAGAAGTACAATCTGGGACAATATTTTGAGTGATCCCAGTGCACGCCGGGGACTTATAGTTGCCTCGACGCTGGCAATGATGCCAACAAAGGAAGACTGACGAATGCTTCCAATGCCCCGTAGACCAATCGGTACTCCATGGAATGACGAAGGCGTCCCAGACCYTCGCCGTTCCTGACATTAACGGGCGAGCGTGGCACTCTCGTCCCGACCTTTGTGACCCTTCTGCGGTGCCGAAGCGACCATGCAGAAGCCCGGGTCGACCTTGTGGAGCGAGGTAGGCAATCTCGTCCAGACATATGTCCCTCTCCGCGATGCGGATGCCCAAGACACACTCTAGGTAAGGTAGACAGAGAGCAAGCCCTCGTAGCCATCCCATCCCCGACATCTCGGGTCCGTCACACTTGTGAGGCCTGAGCCGCTAGCATCGTACGCGCATCTCCCACTTCCGGTGCTGATAACTTTGGGAAATGTCAACACCGTTGCGGTCCCATGCATGTCGAATTGGCAGCCACTCCGAGTTCTGACAGTTTAGCGTCGTGCCGGACGGGAGAAAACTTGGCTCTGCTACACTGAGGTCGCAGGTTCGTAGCCAGCACCGCGGACAGGTGTTTCTCGTCGCCGACCACTGGTGATACTCAAGGATTGTACAGTTGATCATTGCCTCGGACTTCATGGAGCAAAGAAGCCAGCGGCACCCATAATCCTCTGCGATTTCGATCTCCACTAACATAGACGGATTTCGTCGTCATGGAGCCTCGCACCATGCGTACACAGCGGGCTCTCAAATCGAAATTGCTTTTAAAATGCTGTGTTAATTTTTGCGTTTGTTTGTGAAGAGAGAAAGAGATGTGCGAAGGAATTCGAATAGAAGGATTTTTCCGCGAGGGCGCACGGACGTATCTGTGACTAATCCAGCAGGAACGACAAAAGTCATGAAATGGGAGTATCATTGGAGGCAGGCGAGACAGGTTCATTTGTAGGTGCGTTTAGGTGCGGCAGGGACAGATGCATCGAATGCTGTCAGTACAGCACTCCTGCGAGATTTGACCGAATGTCGATATTCTTTCACGTCGACATTCTACGATAGCCAACACTTTTGGCATTCCTCTCGCTAGGCGCGTCGCGCCAAAACGCGAGATCTTCCTCCGCCCGCCATCTCCAACTTCTCACACAAACGGCCTTCTTACCGCCCTTACAACCCCGAAGCCACGCAATAGACCTCTTAAAGGTTCAATCTATTGGCTCTTGATTCCATAGCGTTGAACCCGCGCGACAATGGCGCTCCTGACCTACAAGAACATCGTCGACTACCAGGAGCAGACGGGCAAGTCGCGATAGGACAATACAGCTGCCCTCTTGCTAACAACATCGCAGCGGCTTTCAAGGACTTCCTCCAGAATTTCAAGGCAACTGAGACTGAGGATGCGCTCGAGGATCTGCGCATCGATGGCGACGCGGCGAGCGAAGAGTACGACTTCATGGACGATGCAGAGGATGGTGCACAGAGCAGACGCAGAAACAAGTCGAAGCTAAAGTACATGAATATGTTGCAAAATGTCGCAGACAGAAAGATCAGTCAAGTGTTGATCGATCTGGACGATTTGAACGAATATGAGAAGAGCCTGGACGACGAAGCAGCAACCTCCCTGAAGCTCGTCCAGTCAATCGAGACCAACGCACATCACTACATTGAAATCTTCTCGCGAGCAGTGGACGCGCTGCTTCCCAAGCCGGAAAAGGAGCCGAATTTCAAGGATGACGTTCTCGATATTATCATGAGCCAGCGAGAAAAGCGCAACGAGGCGGTGCGGGAACAGCAGGATAACAACTTGGAGGGTGGGATTCCAGAGTCAATTTTCCCCCCAGAGCTTACGCGGAGATACACCCTCAACTTCAAGCCTTTGACGCTCTCCGAATCGAGTAGTGAGAAGAGCGGAAAGGCCATGGCTGTGCGACAGGTACGCGGTGAGCATCTTGGACACTTGATCACCGTTCGTGGTATTTCTACCCGGGTGTCAGATGTCAAGCCATCTGTCCAGGTCAACGCATACTCCTGCGACCGTTGCGGCCACGAGATCTTCCAGCCCGTCACATCAAAACAGTTCACTCCGCTGGTGGAGTGTACATCGCCAGATTGCAAGGACAACAATGCCAAAGGCCAGCTTTTCTTGTCAACGAGAGCTTCCAAGTTTCTACCTTTCCAGGAAGTCAAGATCCAGGAAATGGCTGACCAGGTGCCCGTGGGCCACATTCCACGACAGCTGACGATCCACTTTCACGGCGAGCTTGTCAGACAAGTCAATCCAGGTGATGTCGTGGACATTGCTGGTATTTTCATGCCAACCCCATACACCGGCTTCCAGGCTATCAAAGCTGGTCTCCTCACAGATACCTACCTTGAGGCGCAATGGGTACGACAGCACAAGAAGGCCTACGATGACATGGTTCTGGCTCCCACCACGATCAAGCGCATGACAGAATTGGAACAATCTGGACAGCTGTACGAGTATCTCAGCCGATCCATTGCACCCGAAATCTTCGGCCATTTGGACGTCAAGAAGGCACTGCTTCTCCAGCTTATCGGTGGTGTAACGAAGGAGATGGGTGATGGTATGCGCATTCGTGGTGACATCAACGTTTGCTTGATGGGTGATCCTGGTGTCGCCAAGTCTCAGTTGTTGAAGTACATCACCAAGGTGGCTCCTCGTGGTGTCTACACTACTGGACGTGGAAGCAGTGGTGTTGGTTTGACCGCTGCTGTGATGCGTGACCCGGTGACTGATGAGATGGTTTTGGAGGGCGGTGCGCTTGTTTTGGCCGACAACGGTACTTGCTGCATTGACGAGTTCGACAAGATGGATGACAGTGATCGAACGGCGATCCACGAGGTTATGGAACAGCAGACCATCTCCATTTCGAAAGCTGGAATTACGACCACCCTCAATGCAAGGACGGCGATCCTTGCAGCGGCTAACCCGCTATATGGCCGCTACAACCCTCGCATTTCTCCCGTGGAAAACATCAATCTGCCAGCTGCATTGTTGAGCAGGTTCGACGTGCTGTTCTTGATCCTGGATACACCGAACAGAGACTCTGATGAGGAGCTAGCGCGCCATGTGACCTTTGTTCACATCAACAACAAGCATCCTGAGCCGCAAGGGGGAGGTCTCATCTTCTCACCAAACGAGGTCCGACAATGGGTAGCTCGCGCACGCTCATTCCGACCGGTGGTGCCCAAACAGGTCTCGGACTACCTTGTCGGTGCCTACGTACGACTGCGGCAGCAACAGAAGCGTGACGAGGCCGGCAGCAAGACGTTTACTCATACATCACCCAGAACACTTCTCGGAATTCTTCGTCTATCACAAGCACTAGCTCGACTACGATTCGCCGATGAGGTCATCACCGACGACGTGGATGAGGCTCTGCGGTTGATAGAAGTAAGCAAATCCTCACTCTACGACGACAACAGAGATAGAAGAGGGGACCAGTCCCCAAGTACCAAGATCTTCAACCTCATCCGTGGAATGCGCGAGAGTGGTGCTGCTGCGACTGGAGAGGGCCGCGGCGAGCTTGATATGCGACGAGTACGGGAACGTGTTTTGGCCAAAGGTTTCACTGCCCAGCAATTGGAGTCTGCGATTGACGAGTATGCCAGCAWTGAMGTAAGCGACTTCTCCTTGGCTCTCATTCTGACATGGACGCTAACACACCGCAACAGATTTGGCAGACTGCGGCAGAAGGAACGAGGTTGGTGTTCATCGATTCCGGAGAGGATGACGAAGATATGGGTGACGAGGACGTTTGATCAGCCGCATGAGCGAGAATCGATTGCGAGGGTGTTTGGTGTTGGCCATAGTGCCGATGGACAGGGTACATTTTTCACAGGTTTCACGGAGATAGCCAAGAATAAAAGAGGCCGCCCATTGGTCTTCCTTTTCTCGAAGCTCGTTGGATGATGTTCTGGTTATGATTCTGCGAAAGCTTGCCCTACAACGAAAGTGGATGTTTTGCTTTTCGACTTGCGGTCTGGGTAGTAAAGTATAGGATCACAGGGCTGAATGCTGACTTGTCTATGTCGTTCTAACTAACTGCAAGGCTAGTATCGATCGATTGGTAGAGTGGCGAGACGTGAGGCCGCCTGGGCGATGCCCGCTTCTGATTGGCGCGGCGGCCACTCCGTCGCTTTCTCCGACGACGATTTCGCAACGTGATCATCAACGCTATCATGCCATGCATCCTCACCGGTAACGCAACCACTCGCCGGCAATGCTTCACTATCATTGAAATGATAACGATCTTCATTTGAGTCAGTAAGGAGATCCGTCTGGCCAAAACGAGCGACGAGCGACGTCAGGACGCATGTCCCTCACGATCTTTGACGCGAGGCTGTGCTGTGCTCGAGCCTACCTTATTCACGACACCGAGAGACGTCTCCCTCTCGATGTCTAGACCTCGAGACCAGGCCAGGCACGGTCAAAATTACAGGCGATCGCTCCGTATCCGGTGCCTGACCTCCTGCCGAGGAGAGACTACTCACTCGTACTGCGTTTTGGGGCCGGAACTGGATTCTGATGTCAGTCAGAGATCCTTCCACAAGCCACCGACTGTTGGGTTTCGGCCATGTGCGAGGCTAAAATGCCAGACGTACGGTCTCTCCGAAGCCCAATTTGGGTTGGAAGATCATGGATATGCTGCTTCCTCTTGCTAGATTGGAACCTATCCGGCTTGGTTTTCTGACGCACAATGATACGGATTCGTTCGCAGCTCCACTAGTGCTTTCTATCTTGACCGCATGGTAAGTCGGCAGGTATGCGAAATCCTTTGAGTCGTTCATGTCCAACTGCTATGCATTTTGCTCTTTTTCTAACCCCACAACTTACTGCAGCTTGTCGATGGGCTAATGCTTGAGGCCTCTCGAATCCTGTGATGATCTTGGTCGCCAGCTTGTGGCCGTTTTGGTCAAGATCAAGTACGCTCGATGTACTGCTCTTATATTGAGTGCCATCTTCATCCCATCACTTCGGCTTCAACGCATCTCTTTCTTGTCTTGCTAAGGTCATCCCTATGACCTTTCATACTTTCAGTCTCCTTTCACATCGGTCTTCCCCCGGCACTGGTTGCTGTGATTTCGTCGGATTTGATCTCTCTTCCAACCATCTTTTATTCATAAATATATCGCTCCTAAAAGCAGTAGCCGATCTCGCCCAGTCAGAGCTGGACTCTCACGCACAATCCGAGGACTCTCATTGTTCGGCCTTGGCTTCAGGCAAAGAATGCGTTGAGTTGGAGCGGGCGAAGACACCTTCGTCTGTCTTCCGGGCATCATCCGAAGAGTACAATTACAAGAACGAACGTTGCATCACACCATATGAGATGAACATAAGCACTCGACTAGTGTCAGTCAGACGTGAATATGTCGCCGGCAGAGTCAAGCTCAATGAACTCTTCCATCTCTGCGGAAGAAGACTGGACCCTCTTGGACGATCCCAACGAACGGAGGAAGATACAAAACCGGATCGCGCAGCGCAAGTTTCGTGGGTACAAGCAGATACAACGTACAATGGCTTAGCTGATGGATATACAGGGGACAAGATCCGACAACAGAAGGAAGATACCGCGCGACAAGCCAACAACGAAAGACTTGCTGCTGGAATGTACATGGCACCCTGCCCAGAGGATGTCGAGACTACCGAGGAGACTGGACTACCGTGGGGCAGCTTCTCGATGAAGCATGTGATCCGTACCGGACATTTGCGGGAGCAGAGCTCACGGGAGACTTCGCTCCGTACGGCAGCGTCGGACAAGGGAGTCACTTCGAGGTGAGGCTCGCCGAGTGAGTCGTGCATGTTGACGGCGAGTGATCTTGACTGTGCTGATGGGACCCATAGACTCGGCCTGCAACTCGTCGATCACTTTGCGAAAGGAGCGCCCGCATGGGCTGCCTGGCGTGACAGAGCTGCGGCGTGATAGCAGGGCTTTATGCTGTTGATGACGATAAGATTACTTCAAGATGAGCTTCATCAGACGTGGGCAGCTTCTGGGAAGCGACCAACACTTCATCTGTGAGGCAAAGCACGGAAGAAATCTTTGTTGGTGCGATGCGGGCATCACATCACCACTGTGCAGCAGCTCTATTGCTTTCAAGCAGATGTCCGACAATGTTTGTTCGGGATGAACAGCATGGTCATTCAAGATCTTCTATGAACAACGCGCTTTGCGACGAGCTACATTCAATCAAGTTCCCAGTGGGCCTCAACTTGAATGCGATGCATGTGTGGTGGTCACGTTATATCGCCACACTGCGCCGCCAACAGAACTCAATCTACAGACACGGTAAGATCGCATCGGAGCAAGTGGATGGGTATTCCCGTCATGTTAAAAGTGAGGGGATCAAACAAGAGTGAGRTGCATTTCAATAAATGTCGGCGCTTAGAGGCAGTTGGTGTTGGTTCTGCTTCGCCACTCAGCTTCGCCCAGAGCTTCGCCTTCGCCCCATTCGGAATTTGAGCCTGATCACCTCAGCGACTTATCTAAGGAAATACTTGAGGTGCCGTGTCGCTCGACTAACCTCTTGGCCTGAGCTGAGGTATAGGTGTGGCGCGGTCCAGGCAGATAAGGTTAACGGCCTGAAGTCAAAAGTGGAACATGCATAGTCTAGCAGTCACTGGAGGAGGGTTTGAATCATTAACGCAATCGACAGGATGTGAGCGACGGCTTTCCTGACTCGGACTCGGGCGAACAAACGGTATGCAAGATCTAACTGCGATATCACAAAGCTCCCTCACGTCTGCTTCGGGAAAGCTTACCGCGAGCGGCGAAGTACCAACACACCGCCGCAGCCGCAACTGGAGGGGACTTTTGCTCCTCATGCCGTGCCGACCAGTTGTTGCCTGTGTTGCGAGGCACCCATCTCCCTTGCTTGCGACCTGTACTAGACTCCTCATGTGGCTCGCTGGCCTCGGTCTCCCCACAAAAGCCGCTCCCGCGTCCACAAGCGGTTTACGCTTCCTGATATGAGTGGATGAGGATAGTCAAGTACTGATCCCGTCATGTGCCGGTACTTCGGCTCTGTACGATATGTCCAACAACGACACATGTTGACTTTTCTGTGCCTGCGAACTACGATCGACAAGCATGCAGGCTCCCTTTCTCTTMTCTACGGCAAAGCAATCCAACAGGACATACAAGACTGCGATTGAGCGCCACAGAAAACATGTCTTCCAGTACCTCATCCTTCGCCAACACTGCCCGAGAACACAACTCGTCGATGTCCCGTTACGAAAAAGCCCATTCCGTAGGAGCTTCGGACTTAGGAAGACTAGCCCTTCGCAGAGACAGCGACGCCGAAATGGTCGAGACTCGAACCCAAGCCAAGAAACGAGAATCTTCTCGGAGTAAGGATAAGGGTAAAGCTAGAGCCAAAGCTGGATCTTCGTCTAGATCTCCCGACGACAAACGCAAGTCTCGCAGGACYACATCCAAAGGAGGCCAGAAACGGCCCAGCGACGACGACGACGACGACGAAGGTGACGATTCCTCTTCGGATGATGAGGATGAAGCCCCAGAACCAACCGTGAAAGAGCATTTCCGCATGCTGGTCTCTGTTCTCAACGCAGACCATCTCTCTCCGGTGGAGTTCGTTGACTATCCCAGCTCAAGCATGCCACTGCAGAGGTTAGTCAACACAGAAGGACAGCACGTTAGTTTCCGAGGCAAGACTAATCCAGTTCAGTCGTACACTGCGAGCATATGCCGACAACATGGCAGAGCATCTCAACCAGACTGGACGTCAGGCAGTTTGGAACCAAAACCCTCCATCAGGCGCTGCCTGGGGCGAAATGGCCCATCAGATCCTGAACCGCCGCAAGATCTCAGCCGAGCACAGGTTCATATCAGGCGACATTGACTCAATCGAGGCGCTCAAGCAATTCGACAGAATCTACAGTTCCATCCGCGAAATGCTCGTGAAGCCACTCTATCGCAACACGCACGCCAACGCCAAGAAGGATCTCGTTTACCTCCTGGTGGACATTCTCAACTTCATCATCCGCGAGTGGAGACCCAGGGGAGGCGAAGATACGCTTGTGTATGCCGGGAGTGCGCAGGGACAGGAGCGCAACATCTACATGCGATTCATCACCAAGCCGGATGTGCAGGCGCAATACATGCGCACTCTGATGGGGTTGTGTCTGAGAGCTGATCTTCGCGACTTGTTCAAGGTGACGAGGGTGCGGGAGAGTTTGGTGGACAGTTGTGCGCGCATCCATCGCTACATTGCCGTCACTCCACCGGCAATGCCAGTCTTTGGACCGCTGGGCAACTTTTCGCAGAACTTGGAGCGTCTTTTGCAGCAATTGAGCAGTGAGTTGGAGTTGTGATGGGGACGTGAGATGTTTTGCTAACAGTATGATAGTTCCCTTGCCAAGATAGGCAACATACACGACAGCATTCATCATCTCTGCGCGACGTGCCTTGCATTGCATCTGCTTAGGCAATACCCCTGGAGGAGGAAACAACAGACAGGACAGCAAGATTTGTTCTTGATTTTGGACCCATCGTATAGATATCGCATCTTTCATTTGACACTCGTTTGTACCCTTTAGATAGACATTTATGTTATATTTGTTGCACTGCTATTGACCAAGTTCTGAACGATGGTATCGTGCTAGCTATCGATGACGGATTCGGATGATGTACTCTTCAAGGACGCTCGAGCTTGACTTTATTGCATGCCTCGTGGTTTGTGGTTCGTCGCTGGAGTGGTTGGTATATCGCTCGAGGTTTTGCCATGACAAGTGGCGCCGTTTCGAGGCTCGGTAGGAGAGCATCGGGGAGGGAACGGTGCGAACGAGCGACGATAGGCACAGCAGAAGAAATTGACGAGTGCAGCTCCTGCGAAGACCGAAAGGCGACCATTTCAATGACAATCTCCGCAGGCGTCGTCTGTACTCTCAATTGATCAGCGGATCCATGCATATCCAACCGCATGATACGACAGGGTCCATAAATCAACGAATGAGCGACTCGCTTGATTGCAAAAATGCTTTCTGCAATCATGCCCAGCGCATCTTCTGGACCCAGATCCTCGCAAAGTTTATGGGTTCATTGGTGGGCAAGCTTCGCGTCGCGGCACAGCACGGAGAGATTCTTCCCAACCCGGATTCCAAGCTTTCAACTGCGTGACTATGCGCGTCTAACAAGCGCCACGTTGCAAGGAGAGGCTTTTGACTTCGGCTTGTGATTGATGAAGAGATCTGTGGGGTGCATGAACTTAGAGCTTCTTGTTTGTTTCTCTGAAGAGTGCCTTCAACTTTCGGCAGGTACTTTCTTGGTATCGAGATGGTCACTACCACTCAATTCCGTCGACGGCTTCCTGAAGCGGCCTTGCATCCAGCATCGATACATCTTGAGCTTACGCTGGCGATTGACCAGCATGCGCCGATCGACGGCCAAATTCATGATTTCGAAGCTTGCCGTAGGCTCGGGACCAGCAGCATCATCCCTGACCACGTCGGCGTGATCCTTCTCGCCTACCGCGCTTTGCGAGCGTGTCCCTGTAGACCAGATATCGCGAAGCTCCATTTCGTCGAAGAAGTAGACCCTCGTGCCATCTCCACGCACGTAAAAATTCTCATCCAGATATCTACCCTTCTTGAACCGTACTTGAGCGAGATCGCCACGTCCATAGTCCCGGAAGAGTACTTCACCGCCTGGTCGGAGGAGTTTCCACACGTTGCTGACGGCTTGCGTCCACTGATCAGGCGACAAAGCAGAAAAGATAAAGATCATCACTACGACGTCTACGGTACCTTCCGATAAGCCTGGTGGGAGATCAGTTCCAGCGGCATCCCAGACATCGGCTTGTAAAATTTTGCCAGCCTGTTCGGTGTAGGCAGGCTGTGCGCGGATTATGTCGATTGCTTTTTGGCTATAGTCGCATGCATGGAGCTTCAGGTCGGGGTTTGAGTTCAAGGTGAGGACGGGGAATGCCGTATTTCCTGCACCAGCTCCCACCTCCAGAACGGTCACTGGTCCGTAGCCTTCTTGCGTGACCTCTCCAAGCACCGGGAATTCCTGGACTAGCCATTTGCGATCTTTGAAGAAGTTGGCCTGGTTGTTGCTGTAGAACTTATCCCACCACTTCTCGGGCTTCTCGTTGAAACGTTTCTTGTCAAAATCAGACACCTGGTTCTCTTTTTGGAAGAGAGTCTGCTGCTCGATGAATTCACTATACTGAGGGTCGACTTCCACATGATCCCAAGCGTTGTGGCTGAAGATGTCGTCGCCTTCCTCCAGATATCTAGTTCCGAATTGGAATGGATCACTGCGCTTCTCCGGGTTGTCTTTTGATCCTGTTGTGKGCTTCCTGACCGGTTCGTATGTGGCCGGCACTCCATATGCATCTTCTCCTTCTGCTGCTGCTGCGGGAGATGCAGGATTTGAGATGGTCACATATTGTCGCATGTGTTCCATTCCATTACTGAGTTGCTGTTTTTGCTGCTTCTGGCGCACTGGCAAGTCAACAGTCTCTCCTTGGACCGACATGATGACAAGAAATCGTAGCCTTGGCGATGATTTGGTGGATGATTTTCTTCAGAGTGAAAGAAGGGTCTTGTCGGCAGATCTCGTTCTCCAGATTGGTTTCGGCTAAATTGATACTAGCGCGACCCGATCGGCAGGAACGCTTCAAACATTTGGTGATGACATTGACTCCATTTCGTTTGGTCAATCAAATAGGCCAACCACCTCCATCTTCTGGCTCAAGCTTCTCCTTCTCGTCCTCCCAGTTTGCCCATCTTCAAGGACCATAGCCATGAAATCCATCACGCCCATTGCCAACGCTATCCTCCAGTCATCCGCTCGGCAAACACTTCAGCCATGTCGAGCAGCACATCTCGCCAATGCATTACTCCGCTCCACAGCCCATGAACAACAACGACGCAACTTCTTACCAAACCCCTTCACCCAAAATCAGACATTGACTGCCACACGAACACTCCAATATCCCAGTTCCATCATTTTCGACATCATCTCCGACGTAAACACGTACAATCAATTTCTTCCCTTCTGCCAGGGCTCCGAGGTCACCAAAACCTCTCAACCTGCTGAAGACGGTAAAACGTACCCAGAAGAAGCAAAGCTAGTCGTAGGCTTCAACAGCGACATCAAAGAGGAGTTCTACAGCCGGATATATTGTGTCCCAGGCCGAATCGTCGAAGCCGTCAGCGGTAAGACACGCACAACCCTCCCCGCCGACTCGATCAGCCACCACAATGCTCGGCCCTCCGCAGATCACGATCCTTCACAGGACACTAGAGTCATGGCGCACTTGCTCACGAGATGGACGTTGAAGCCTTATCCATACAAGCCTCCTCCACATGATGCGTTGCACAAGTCCACGTATCAGAAAAACGTTGAGAATACGAACCCTTTACCGGGTCAGCAGAAGACAGAGGTCAATCTTGCGATTGAGTTCCAGTTTTCGAATCCGTTGTATGCTGCGCTGAGTCAGGCGGCCGCGCCGAAGGTGGCAGAGAAGATGATTGAGGCGTTTGAGAAGAGGGTCAGGGCTGTGGTCGAAGGACCTGGACATGTGAAAAAATGAGCGATTTGGGCGGCACAGCAACAATCAGGCATAGCGGGCGGTGTATGGACTTGAGGGTAAGCTACTGGACTTCCGGAAGGATATCATAGAAAACATAGACAGTATGGTCTGGGCTCAGCAGGACCCATGTAATATGGAAGTCATCAAACTCCAATATGAGTGGTTCTGGCATTGACTGTGGAGTCATTATCAAGAAGTGTATTCTCATCGCTAAATACAGATAAGTTGCACCAATCCTACGTAAAGCTCAATCGTGGGCCCAAAATCCAGTCATCGGAGAGTACCAGTTCAGTTGTTCTGCTGGCTGTTGAGGATACGCAAGATCGAGAGGAACAGGTTGAGAACGTCGAGGTAGAGGCTGATGGCGGCAGCGATTTCCTCCTCAACGTGGTAGTGGCGAAGGATCAGCTGCGTGTCCACGAGGATGTACGCGCTGAAGATGAGCGCGCCGCCCACACCATAAGCAAGCTCGAAACCTGAATGGAACCTTTGTCAGCGTGTGCCATTATCGTATAGGGCCGGGAAAAGTCCCGCGACCCGCTGTGTGCCCAGTGCACTTCGATTTGCTTACCCTTTGACTGAGGGAAGAACATGGTCATGAATCCGAATAGAATGAGAACCCAGAGAGCTCCGAACAAGTATGGCATCCATGAAGTGAAGTCGTACTTGGTCTGGCATGCGAACAGGCTCAGGAAGACGAAGATTCCGAGCGTGAATATCAGTGCTTGTAGGACGATTCTGCTTTCGTAGAATGAGGTTATAACAGAAACGCTGTATGCCTGTGTGATTGTCAGTGCCGATCCCGTCTCATACCTGCATGACCGTCTGTCCTTACCTCCATCGCCGTGAATCCAGTCAAGAATGCCAAGTTCATCGGATAACTCTTCCTCTTCCAGAACGTTAAGAGCATGAAGCCTATGGCTCCAAACAGTGACACCCACATCATCCACTGGTTGCTCTGGATCCAGCTCTTGTATCCCACGCTGARGAAGGAGATCGCGCTGAGGGCCGTCGTGGCCAGGAGTTGTACAGTCAAGATGGCGTAGACCTTGCGGATGAATTGCATTCGAATCGGAAGCGTCGCCTCTGCTACAGATCCTCCAAACTTGAAGTCATCTGGAAGGTTGTCGTCCTCCGATCGCGCCTCGCCCATGACCGGTTCTGCCTGGTAGGATGGTGGCGCTTGCGAGTAACTCTGTTCTTCGAAGCTGTCGCGCGTCGGCGCCGCGCTGTACTTTGTGTTGGCTGCCATCGTGAGCAAATGAGTAGGATTGTTTGGAGAGCTGGATGGTGTGTTGTGTCGTGGGGAGAGAGAGAGGTGGATGTAGGATGCTTCGAGAAGTGTCGGCCTGGTCACAGATGACGCTTTGTCCAGCCAAGATCCGCCACGGCCCACGCGGGGATATCGCGCTAGTGGTTCCACGTCCACAGGCGCGGTTCTGCTTCACTTGCCAGTCTTTTGAAATCTTCACATGCAGCATGGCCGCATCTCCCCCCTCATACATGCGTTGTCATTGGATAAGTCGTAAATGCCGCATTTCTTTGTACTGGACATTGCCATGGCAAGGCGTTTGGCCCCGCCGCATGGGAGATCGCAATGGCGACGACGCCGCCCTCAAAGAGCAGAAAAGCTCGCCTCACGAAGATTCGCCCAGCTTGATTATTTTGGAGTATGGAGCGATGGCTGCAACCATGTCATACTCACAGCTGCTGCCTGGTTCTGGGCCCGGGATTTCCATACCCTGCGGTGAGACCGAAACTCCCCTTAGGACAAAGACAGGATTGAGGCGATTATTCCTCGTTAAAGCGTGCGCTTGTTGGAATCGTCCTGGAGATTGCAAGAGGTCAGTCCGCATTGGTATCGTTCTGCTACCAGGTACCTTTGTTATAGTAACCTCCCCTTTGTTTCCTCAGCGCGATGGCAAGGGCTCTTATTCCCAAGTAATACCGTCCTTGATACATCCTCTCCAATACCCCTCTTGACTATCTCTTGTACATATCGAATCGCTGTACACACTCTTCCCTGTATAAACAACTCCCCATTCCCTGTATACACAGAGCACAAAGACTGCTCACATTGCGCTCTTAGCACTATTCAACATTCCAATCCAACTGTCGCAGTTAGTACGAATCTATACGTGCGTCACATTGCTCACACTACTCAACCGTGAGGGTACTATCGGCAGACCAATATCCCTGCTGGGAATACAAAACGATACACAACGCCCATCATGGCCGATCGGCACTTGCCCGACATCGATGAGCTGCTCGAAAATGGGTTTACAACCGGCGTGCCACCGTCTGACTCAACAGAATGTCCCATCTGCTACAGGGATTTTACTAACCCTGAGCTTACACCAGTAGCAACAAGGTGCCCGCATTGGTTTTGCAGGGAGTGTCTCACCGCGCATCTGCGGAGCGGCATGGCCCATGCTTATATGTGTCCGACCTGCCGCCGACCGCTGATTGACGACGATAATATCCAAGTAGCCGCCGCGCCAGTCGCTTATCCTTTCGATGATTATCTCGACGAAACTTATGTACAGGAAGCCGACTCCGATCCAGACTCCGATATGGACGACGACGATGAGGATCCGGAAGAAGAAATAGTGACCCCCGAGGATGACAATGTGGCCACTGATGATGAGGAGGCTCTCACCGAGGATGGCGAATATTCAGAAGACGAAGAGATGGCCGCTGATGATGGTGAGGCTCCCGCCGAGGGTGACGAAGACTCAGAAGATGAAGAGATGGCCGACGATGAAGAGATGACCGACGATGAAGAGATGACCGACGATGAAGTTGAAGACGATAAAGTTGCTGACCCCGACTACAAACCCTGAGAAGACGACACAGACTGCTCCTGCACTGCAGTTGGCTGATACATGTGTGTAACTCCGCACTCGTACGTCATGAATATGATCGCAAGTGAATAGGTATAATGATTTTCTTCCCAAAGAAGTTAGACTTTCACTAGTTTTCTTTCTCTAGCCGCGCGACAGACATCTTCCCCTCCCAAGCTCACCCACACTTCCGCATCATCATCTTTGGATTTTTTCTCTTTCCGCAGTCAGCATTTGGTCTCTACATTGCTCTGCCTGATCGATTGATTCTCAACGCCTTGAAGATCCCCGCGCGCTTCACAACTGAAACAAAAATGGCCGACTTCAAGCCAACCCTCGACGATCTGCTTGAGCATGGACTCGGATCAGGAACTCCACCTCCTGACCTGCCCGATTGTCCAGTCTGCATGGAGCCGTTCCGAGACCTCGCTGCAGTTATCACACCCTGCCTTCACTGGTTCTGCAGGGAATGCCTTACCGCGCTCGTTAAAAGTGGCCACAAAAACGCGCACAAGTGTCCTTCTTGCCGTTACGAGATGTGCGAAGATCCCAACAAGAAAGTCGAGGATGCGCACAATGCAGAAGAGGATGCTCCTGAGCAAGAAGCGGGAGTAGGACTGGCGACCATCTACGAAAATATCGACGTCGCGATCGGTCCGGATGGAGCCGCGCTAGACGATTCCGATGATGAAGACTACGCGAGCTCTAGCGACGACGGCGACGACTCGGACATGAACATGACCGATATCGACGATGACTCAGAGGACGACGGCCCCAATGAAGAAGATAAGATGGACTCGGAGAATGAGGACGACCCAGACGGCGACTACGAAGAATGATAGCGCGGCTGGCGGGACTCAAGAGAACCCTTGAAATTTACGAAACGACCTCATCAATTGCGAGGATGGGTGCGGCAAGCTGCACTTTGTTTTTTGGCGTTTCAGACCTCTTGCTTGCATGCTTTGATATGGTGTTTGGGAGGTGAAGGAATCGGTTACTTCATCTACATCGGCCGGCGCGCCGCGCGAGAAGGAAATGGGATGCATTGGGATCATGGAGTTTGGGAGTTTTTTTGGAATGCATTTGGCCAGCGGATTTTGTTCTTGTCAATTGGTCTTTATGCGAGCGCTATGCTCAGGTCATTCTGTAGCGATTTACAATGTCTAATACATCGCGCGGATCAAAGTTATGCAAGACTCGATGGTCTTCGCTACGTGAATCGTTCGATATGTTTTCTCAGGGACCTGTGAGTTGTGTGATGCATGCACCTTTTCATGGAGCGTCGTGTCGGATGAAGAAGCTCATAACGAGCCAATTGCTCTTTCATCACACATGCCTGAAGGACTGCCTGTATGCAAGCCCGCCATGCCATGTCAATTCAGTAGTACTGTAGGTGGCTAGAGGAGACGAGTTGACGCATGTGAAGAGATACCGCTGTCCCTACATCCGCGAAATGCCACGTCTATCCGTGACGATACCAAGATAGCTCCTCCTTAAAGTCGGTATCAACTTAGTCAAAACGCTGACAAGCCCGAATCGTGCCGCAGCCTGCTGGACAGTAGTCGATGGGCCATGAGCATCTGGGTGGTATCTCTCCAGTCTATGCCAACGACTCAAAATCTGGCATGCCGGGTACTCGGTTATCTGTATCAGATCGGCCTGGCGAGTGCCACCAGCTTCTGCAAGGACTGCATGTTACAAGCTGTTGCACACAGCGTGGTCTAGAAATAGTATCTATGCTGACTGAGAGCCGTGATTTCGGCCGCTGCGCGCTCGATGCTGAGGCATATCGGAGCCACCGAGGAGGCGCTAAGGAAACGGACACAACAAGTCGATAAGGCGTGATGTTCTCGACTAGAATTATCAAGCCTGGGTCACCTTCTGCGAAAAATGCGATTCCCCTCTCTGTCATATTGTCCCGAACCGATTGATTCGTGGTCAAATTGCACCATCTGATCGCCTTTTCCTGTCTCCAAGACAGTGACTAGGGGCCCTGAAATAATCGATCTTGGGAGGGATACCGTTGCGGCGTTGCATCATATCTGGGATTGCCAGCGACCGTGCCTACACAACGATTCTGCAAACTTGAAGGTTGCTGGTCTTTGGAAGATGATATTCTCATACACATTGCCTTTCAACACTTGTGCATGCACACTAGCTGTGATGTTATGAAAGCTGTTGACTTGGCTCGATGTTTTGTCTTGGTCTGACATGACAGGTAATCCCGCGGAGACCATGCGATGTAAGATGTGAAGACGTACCTGAGAAGCACCGCACTCTGTCGATTGGTGATGAGATCTGACCATTGAGGTGCCGCAATGATCGCAATAGAGGCTTCGTGGGATCGTCGACGAGGTTGAAAAGGAGCAACCTGGCTGCAGAGCTCTGTTATGTTCTTTTGCTCGTGGAGCGAAGACGGTGCGGGAGATGTAGGAGATGCAGCCTCTCATCATATTCATTGAGGATCTTCTTGAAATGTTGACCTCTCCATCCCATCTCTTGCAAGGGAAACTTCCGCTAGTGGAAAGCGAGACCTACCATTGCTCCGTCCTTCCAACCGAACATCTGGTAGAATGTCATGCAGGGTAAAGTCAAAAGAGGTGGATGGAAACAGTGTCTCACGCCTTCATAACATGCAGATTGAAAATGATTTCCGCCATATGTCTTTATGACTTCTCAATGCCCTTCTCCGTCAATCCCTTCTGCACCTTCTCATACACCTGCTCCGGACTTTCACTAGCATCCACCTTGACCAGTCTGCCATCCTTCTCAAACGCCTCGACAACAGGCATGCTGGTCTCCACAAACGTCCTGAAGCGCTTCTTGATGCTCTCCTCGTTATCATCCGCTCGTCCACTCGTCTCTCCACGCTTCAACAACCTCTTGCGCATCGTCTCCTCGGTCGTGTCGAAGAAGAGGGTAAACACACTCTTCACAACCTGTCCTTCAAACTCGACCGCCTGATCCATCTTGCGTGGGAAACCATCGATCAAGAACTTTCTGTTTCCGTCCATCTCAATGGTCGCCGTCATGGCGTTTTCAAGCAGCTTGATGGTGACTTCCATGGGTACAATCTGGCCTTCTTTGATATACGTCTTGATCATGTCACCGAATTGAGAACCGGGCCGGTCCTGCTCAGCGCGGAGGAGATCACCGGCGGAGAGATGTGTGAAGCCATAGTCACGAACAAGGTTGGCGCATTGCGTACCCTTTCCAGCTCCCGGGCCGCCCAAAACGAAGATGACGAGAGCTTGGTTGGCGTCGGTACCGGGTCGGAAGAGCGGCTCACGACGTCTTGTGGTTGCCAGTGCCGGGTTCTGGGCCGCGTTCTCGGGAATGACGGGCATGATGGGCCACGTAAAAGACTTGATTGCTTACTGCTCAGTTGGAGCCCTTCGTCGGCCTGGCCAGTCTTCCTTTTTGGGAGGAGCAGGGTCGCCGGCGGTATAAGTCTGATGCGTCTGACCGACTCTACTCTTGGCGAGATAGTAAAAGGAGCCGCTGCCGAGTATGAAGATGGCGACTAGGGGAAGGAGCGGGAGCTTGGAACGGTTGCTGGCACGAGGGCGGGGCGGCGGGCGGCTGACGGGAGTCGATGACTTGAGGGCGGAAGATTGGCTGAACTGTCGGGAGAGGGCGGGATAATGGGGGAAGCCAACGCGGCGGTGAGGGAGATGCATGGTTGAGAGAAACTTGTCGATTGCACCGCCGATGACGCTGCTCATATCAGGATGGTTCTGCCGAGGATCGGCCGAAGTATACCAGACCTCACCTTCAATGGCAGATTTGGAGTAGAAACATCAACACCTCGACAAACTCCATCCAATCCGACGACAGCCTCCTGTACATGGCGACGGAGACATGTTGTTAATCAAACGCTCCTTTAAAGTCATCAACAAACTCCCCAATCGGACTCTCTTCCACCCTTGTCGTTCATTCACAACATCCCGTCCTCTGTGGACCCCAGCAAAACAAGATACCACAGCCAAAAAAGGCGCGAGTAAATCCCGCTCGAGACCTTATCATCGATGGAGTCCGGAGGAAGAGGCTCTTCTCTTGAAACTTCGCGAAGAGCGACTCGGCTGGACAGCTGTTCAGGCCAGGCTTCCAACAACTCGTTCCATTGCCGGCTTGATCGACAAATACGGTTCCATTGCACCCAGAGGTGATCAGGGTCGATTTCTACACACACCTCGCTATACCGACGCGGAGCGGGCGTTGATCACGAAGCTTCGCAACGAAGGTCTTTCGTGGCAGGAGATCCAAAAGCGGCATTTCCCGACCCATTCTGCGCGGAATCTTGCGTGCACCTACAGTTCGACTCGTACAGCTCGCGGAAACGATGTTTTCGTTTATCGCCTTTGGAGTAAGGAAGACGTGGAGAAGTTGCTTTTGTTGAGAGAGGAGAGAAAGATGGGCTATCCCGAGATTGCGGTGGCAATGGGAAGAACTAATGCTTCTGTCAAAACCAAGTATCGTGACCTGTCCAAGGCCAGAGAAATGAGATTGGGGAGTCAAGGCAGAGGGTATGTGAGGGTGAAGAGCCGCCTTCACTGGCCAGACGAAGACGAAGCCAGATTGGTGGAGATGATCACACAAGGCGCCACAAATAAAGAGATTTGTGCGACCTGGCCACGACGGAAACCCATCGGAATCGGCCGAAAAATACTCGAAATCAAGAAGAGGATTGGATTGTCCGAGCCTCCCAAGGTAAACCCAGTTGATAAGAAGTCGTTGGCGAAGATGACGAAGTTGAAAGCGCAAGGAGCGACTTGGAAAGAGATTGCGGACATGATGTCGGAATTCACTCTCGCTGAGTTGCAGTATGCCTATCAGCGAGACGTGGCGCGTAGAAGGAAAGCGGACGCAGAGGAAAACGTGGCGAAGGCGTCAAAGAATGGAGAGTGATGGTTCATAAAGAACCACGAAAATTTGCACGGGAACTACGCATGTCATTGCGACGAAGAATACACCCGAGGCACGCTTTCCGAATCATTTATATTGTATTCAACCAATAGGAGCCCTACCATCTAGTATACCACCTGCTCTGTCGCTCGGTGCCATCATCGCTCTATACCATCGAAGATCTCGGACAACAGAGATAAATGAAACTCTCCATCACGGCTACGATCGAACATGGAACCCACAAACACGTCTAAGGCATGCGTTCCTGCCTGACACTCTTGGACACGCAGCTCATGCTGAGAGAACATCACTGTCAGTGGGAGGTCACGCTCCAAAGTTGGATGGGAGATGAATCCTTACTCATTGCCAGCGGTGCTGCTGTCCTGCTTGCGTTTGTTTCCCGTCCGAACCATCTCCTATCCGAGCCGCTCATTTTCCATCTCSCCTGCATGCGATGAATACGGGCTGTCGCTGCGGTCATCTTCGCTCGGCTTGTCGAAGATTGCTGCGTCCGCATCGTTGAGGGGATCCTTGTCCTTTGGTCTGTCATCGATGGCGACGATGACGAAGGTTGTCTCATCGTCTCCTCCGAACTAGATCTGGGTCAGCTTGTTCCATGCCAGATCGATTGATTCAAGCGTGCTGCACTGACTTCTTGGAAAGTTGCATCCGGAGCAATGGCTTCACCCTTGAACGTGATCATGAAGCGCCCATCGACTCCCAACTTGTGCACGACTTGCCAAGCAGAGGCACGAATGTTGCTGTCCTAGATCGGTATGTAACGAGTTGTTGACTTGCCCTAAGGAGTCACCAATTTCCTGGTGAAGTGGTTGGTTTCTGGGGACCAAAAATTCTGAAGGAGGTTGACGAATCGTCTGCTAGATGCGCTGGTACCCATGGTCATTTCGGCAAACACATCGATGTGTTGGTCGGCGTGAAATGTCGTTCTGAAGTCGAATTCGCCTGGAGAGTCATGTGGGAGTGTCCAGTTCGCCCGCAGCAGGCGGAGGTATTGGGTCCCAGTCATGGGTTTTGCACAATGTCGAAGCCGACCAGGGAACAAAATTTTCCTAGCAGAAACGGCGATTTTGGTGTCGTTGCACACGTAACTAAAAGACGAGATGGCTGGGTCGTCATCCTATGGCGAATCGACTGAATGTCGGTGGTGGGCGAAAAAGGAAAAGATAATCAATGATGAGAAGGGAAAGGAAAATGGGCGCGGGAAGAGTCGTTTGCCAACGGAGCTTCTCATGCTGGCGCAAAATCTCCCAGCAGGGTATAGAGACTAAAAGCCACCTGTGGCATCCTCCATCTCTTGCTCCTACCGGCAAGATGCATAATAAGTGACTTCCACGGAATCTTGTTTCAAAGACAGCGGCACATATTCTCTACGCAATAACTGACCATGGCCCTGAATTGCGAAGATGGACGGAATAGCTGTCCAACCACCCGCCGAGACGTGCGCTCACGAACGACGCTGGCCAGTCGGGAGCTCGATCGAGGCGAATCTGATCTATCGATGTGCAGGCTGAATGTCAGTCTCATACGTTTCCGAACAACCCAGAAGGCTCTTCCCTCTTCAATATGCCGCCACTAAACATCCGATCTACAGCATCCGTGATTGCCAGACAAACGATGAGGAACATCGTCTGTGCTTCCGTTCGTCGAGCTCAGCAGATTATGTATGTACCCGTTCGAACTCGCATCTCTTGTTTCGTAGGGCCGGTATACCGAATTGGTAATTCTTTGCACAACGGCACAAGCCTGAATATACCCAAGAAAGATCAGCACATCGATTGAGTATAGAAACGAGCCCCTGAAGAGACTGCACACTGAATCTTCTTACTCGTGTTGTAGATTCCGGTTTAAGGCACCGAGGACCTGGATACGATATTTTTTGCTATTCGTCGAGAGCTCTTGTGCGAATCTTATACACAAAATAGCGGCCGGGACTGTACACCACGCAGACGTCAAGACCCCCCAAAAAACATCGCGTTCAAATGAAATCCATGGATGTCTCACCTCTCGAAGGGCTACTGAAGTGCCACGCTCGCCGCGAGATCCCGACATGAACGGCGAACTCTCTCCACCCATTAATCGCACTATATTTTCATTAATATAATAGGCAACGAGTCTCGAGCTTGACATCTCAAGATTCTCCTTCGAGAACTTTACGACGGAAGCTGAACGTTCAAAACTGCATATGTGGGTTCTTAGATAGAATGGTGTTGACGCGGCCGATGGTTTCTTCTAACTCGAAATGGAATGGATCACCTAAGTGAGAGCGATCTCTTTCACTATACGGTGTCTCAATCCTTACTTCACTAATAACGCGATTTACTAGATCTTAAGATAGCTATGACCAACAGACACTAGCTAATCGAGTTTGATACGTGTCGCATGTTAGGACCGTAAGTAGCACGACCAGAGTGTTATTGTTTATTTCTAAGGTAATACTTCCCTTTTACAATTTAGGAGGGTCTGGTGTCTTGCGCATTGGACAACGATGATGACTAATTACACTCGACATTCCACACTAGAAGTGGAGTGTAGTGGAAATCCCGTTTTCATGTGACAGCAGGTCCGTGCGTCTTTATGGAGTCTCAACTCAGTCTTTTTTCCGTCACCATCAATTCGACGATGTTAGCAGAATACTCCAGTTCAAGTCGTCATTCCTGTACAGCCTCATGCATGTCTCCGCCAACACCCGAGATCAAATCGCGGCGAAATTTTACAGGACAAGCATCTTCATCGCAAACGAGGCCTCGATTGGTCTAGATATTCTAGGCCAACTGGACTCGTCAATTGACTTCTGCTTACGATGGAGACTCATCTGCAACAATTTCATGTTGAGTCACCAAAGAAAACTTCTACATCATTCTCAAAACTCCTTCGCTGCGTCTTCGATGGGTTCTGTGGCTTCATTACCGCGCTTCACGGCAATGTTGGTCCCGCGACCAAGTCCATCTCCCAATACCTACGTATTATACGCTAYCAATATGTAAAACTCAGGAAGGCTATGAAGCTGTCGGCGCATTGGACATGGGTCTCTCATGTGTCGTCAAATATAWAAATCGACAATTGGAGCACACCGGGAAGAAGTCCCATTCGGTCTGCAACACTCGTGGCCAACGAACAGCAAGAAGCTGTTGGCCAAAGGAACCGAATGGAATACTCACGATATTCCCTAGCCAATCCAACCTTGATGAGCGGCAAGGGACGGAAAGACGACAGGGATGAACCTAGAATACAACATCCAAGGGTCTGAATTGGACAAGGTATTGTGTCGAGAATTTCGTCTATGCCACCCACTCAGCTTCAAAGCCTCTCGAGAAGAACGATATGGAGAAGGAAGTCGAAGAGACAATCGTTCAAGACGATGGAAGAGCGGAGGGCAAGCACGCCGAAGCCGCAAAACTAGCCCTGATCATGGTCGCCATCTGTCTCACGGTGCTGTGTGTATCACTGGACAACACGATCATCTCCACCGCCATCCCTCGCATCACGGATGACTTCAAAGCGTTGAATGATGTTGGCTGGTACGGCTCTGCATACCTCGCTACGACCTGTGCGTTTCAGCTCTTCTTCGGGAAATTGTACACTTACTTGCCTGTTAAGTGGGTCTTTCTCACAGCCATCTTTCTCTTTGAGATCGGGTCTGTGATCTGCGGTGCTGCGCCAACCTCGAATGCGTTGATAGCTGGCCGTGCGATTGCTGGAGTTGGAGCCGCCGGGGTCTATTCCGGCGCAATTCTCGTCATTGCTGATACTGTTCCGCTGCACAAGCGGCCAGCCTATGTCGGGATGGTTGGCGGAACGTATGGGCTGGCGAATATCGTGGCTCCGCTAATCGGTGGGGCTCTCACTGATAGAGTCTCCTGGCGGTGGTGCTTCTACATTAATCTGCCGATGGGAGTGTTTCCGGTGTTGTTTATCTGTATTTTCTACAGAGCCGCTGCGAGTGCACGGCAGCTGGCTTCAGAATGGAAGACCAGAGCGGTGCAGCTAGACATCTACGGTACGGCGATCTTCGTCCCCGCCCTATTCTGCCTGCTTGTGGCGCTGCAGTGGGGTGGCAGCAAGTATCCGTGGTCTGATTCTAGGGTCATCGCCTTGCTGGTCGTATTTACCGTTCTGCTCTTGGCTTTTGTTGGCCTTCAGCGGCTGGAAAAGGAGAAGGCGACCGTACCTCCGCGGGTTCTGACACAACGAACCGTCGCCTCTGCAACCTGGTTTGCGTTGAGTCTCGGAGCGGCATTCTTCATCTTTGTTTTCTTTCTTCCAATCTGGTTTCAGGTAAAGCAACCCTAAATGCTTCTTCAACGCACCCTGAAAAGACTGACAACTTCCAGGCTATCAAAGGAAACAATGCCATCCAATCTGGCATCGATATCATTCCAACGGTCCTCGCTGTCGTGGTATTCTCGTTGGGTGCCGGTGCTATAGTGACTTACATCGGGTTATTTGCGCCCATCCTCATCGCCTCTACAGTATTGATGGCCATCGGCGGCGGATTATTAACCACGCTCGAACCTGATACCGGATACAGCAGGTGGATAGGATATCAAGTCATCTTGGGCGCCGGACTGGGACTTGGCTGGCAGCAGACCTTGATAGCCGTGCAGGCCGTCTTGCCCGAGCAGGATCACCCGATTGGCACCTCCATTGTGATATTCTCGCAACAAGCCGGCGGTGCAATCTTCGTGTCGGTCGCTCAGAATGTATTCAACAAAAAGTTGCTTTCGGGCATCCACGCCTTGATTCCAGATCTGSATCGTCAGGTGATCTTGTCAACGGGCGCCACTTCTCTGGCCGAGATGATTCCAAGGCAGTATCTGGATCAAGTGAAGATTGCGTACAATGATGCTCTTGTTGATACCTTCTACGTTGCGACGGCGATGGCAACGGCGTCGGTGTTTGGAGTCGTCTTTTTGGAGTGGAAGAATATAAAAAAGCCAAAGGTTGATGAGATTGCAACGACTTGATGGCAATAATTGTGCAGTCAATGCTAATAAGTATGATTAGCTAAGACGTATGATGGCTAGAGCTGGCCCCCTTGTCCACAAGTTTCGAGATATCTTGTTGAAATCGTCAGGCTTAACACTGTTCTCAGGTGCACCTCGGGATATTGCACCAGAGTCTTTGATGAGCTGTTCGATGCCAAAAAACGACTCCCAACCTTCTCTGGGGACGCCGGCGTCGCCAAAGGATATCTTAATCTCCCCGCGCTGACGTCTCGCCAATGCAAGACCGCATTTCGAAAGACCTGTACAGCCATTGGGCAGTGAAGGTAAGCATGTGGCGCAGCCGCGACAGGCGGACTGTAGCTGTGCTACGTTAAAGATGAGAACATTCACTTCTGAGGATTCACTCACTTGATTTGTAATGCAGAAGCTTCTAGCAATTAAGCTAGTGGATATATATAGCTGCTGTCATTCGCTAGCAGATAGGCAAGCAATCAAGACATCAATTTCAACATGCTAACGTATTGCCGGACGTGGCATGGATTCTCGTGTTGCCTACGACAGAATTTGACTCCAATTCTCTTGCGCCAATTGAGCGTGTCTTCTCGTCGGAAGACGATCTGTCGTCGGTGACGCAGTGCAAGCACAGCCTCAATCATTACAGCAACTYCAATCTTGTCATCTATTCTATCATTGGCCGCTTGCTGGAGGTTCTGCGGATACACCGATGGGAGGAGAACGTCAACAAACATATTGCACTATGGCAGAACCCATAGAGTACAAAGCGAAGAAGTCAAGATGTAAAGCGCGAAATCCGATGGCATTCACCTACCACTCGYCACGTGCTGGGTGTTGCGCTACAAGTGCACAAGCTCCATCTGGCGTTATGTAAGATGCTCACGTCATGCCGGACTCCGGCTAGTCTTGCTATGGAGGCCGGTTTCGCACATGATTCGTTCTACATGTACCAACAAGAGCATGGCATCGCTTGGCATACAGCCGCTAACCTGTAACAAGGTCTATGGTCACGAATCCTGCCCCGAGGTACTATTTTGAATAAGCTTAGAAGCGATGCCACTGTTGTTTCTTGTCGGGTCAAGCCATCCAATGACTCTTGCAGTATGGTTGAGTTTGGTAGACATCATCTATGCTTGATGCGAACTCTCTGGTGTAGCTCTTTCATCTCTCGAGGTCTGATCAATCTACAGCTTAATTGAGTATACGAGCCTTCGGGAGAGAGCCCATGGTCTTTCCACAGTCGCGTAAACATTTCTAAATGGCAGACTCTGATAAGGACTAAGCTGCAGAGCCCCCATCAATGACTTGAACTGCACCAGTGATGAAAGGGGCCTCGTCACTGAGCAGAAATGCCACGAGGCTAGCAACTTCATGCGGACTTCCAACCCGATTCAGAGGTACGACTTCTCCTGCTGGGCCTGCAAATGCTGCTTCAACCATATCTTTCACCTCGCTGATCATCGGAGTATCAATCAGACCGCTACGTGAACTTGTTAGCTGTGATGCGGCTGTGTTGAAGGATTCATGATCGCGGAATTGAGCTTACGGTGCGATGACATTAACCCTGATTCCTCGGAACGCCATCTCCTTGGCGGCACTCTTCGATAATCCGACAACTCCGTGCTTGCTTGCAGAATACGCCGCCTGTCCTTTGACTCCTTGGATACCGGCCACACTGGCACAATTCACCACAGACCCACCATCCTCCATGACCTGCAATTCTTCCCGCTGACATATCATGACTCCAGTTAGGTTGATGCCGATAACCTGTTCCCAAAGTGCATCCTCGATGTTAGCCACGGTAGTCGTCGATGCATGACCAGCTATTCCCGCCATATTGGCAGCGCCGTTCAATTTCCCGAATTTTTCTTTTGTAGACTGTATCCAGCTCCTAACTTGCGTGCTGTCTCGAACGTCGACCGTAGCGGAGAATACATTTCCTTCGTGTCCTCCGCATCTTTTTAATTCCAGCAATGCGTCTTTGATGGCGTTCTGATTGATGTCTGAAATGGACACCTTCGCGCCCCGAGAGATGAGCAATTTTGCAGTCGCGAGGCCAATGCCAGATGCTCCGCCACTGATGGCAATAACTTTTCCTGAAAGAGAGTCCATCGATCCCATGAGTGAGAATTCTATGTGATATTTCGTGAGATGCAGGGATCTGGATAGCGAAGGTTGTTTTTCCCTTAGAGGAGCTTTTGGAAGAGTGAGATTGTCCGCTGTTGAGTGACGCTGAAAGACACTGGAAGCTGGACGTTTTTGTATCACATTTCTGACCATGTAATCGTTCGATTAGCACTCGAGTCGGTGTCTGCTTTGAGTCACCGGCGTGATGAGGATCCGGACTGTTGCATAACTCTTCAACATCCCAAAAGCCGGATACATCCGAGGGCTCGAGCTTGTAGCTTAGAGGGTTTACTTCGTCCAGTACAGTATTTTCCGAAAAAGCCAAAAGCTTCTTCGTTGATTCTTGTATGGCTAGCAACATGCTCCTCCAATTTCGCAAGTCGGTGTTCTTTTTAGCAAGAGTGGGGTCGTAGTTCATGCCGAATGCTTCGACGAAATCGTTGCCACATTACGTGGTGTTATGACCATTCAACCGAGACTAACTTCTGATACAATCAATAAGCATTTCATGTAGCGCAAAACTATATCTACTCAGTCTGGCCAGCAAGCGGCAGACTGTGGCAGATATCTTGCCAGGGGCTACTTCCAGGCCAAATCCTCCTCAAGACTTCCTCGACTTTTGGGTCAAGTGTGTCATAATCCAGGCCTCGTTTGATACACTCCCCTACAGGATCTACACCCAAGGTCAGTGTGACGCCCGGCGGGAGCGATGAGCCTGGCGGTGGCCCTCGCTTGACTGCACACATAGTTGTCGCACAATCATCTCTTGGGTTGCGCACGCACGACCACGATCGATACAGGTGGGCGATTGGAAGCAGGAGTGCTCTGGGATATCCATGACGGAAGAACAAAGGACTGAGATTCTCTGGATGAAGGTTGAGAGTTTCCAAGATTGGTAGACCCATTTGCTCCCTGCGTGAAGCTATCTGAACAAAGATACTCTGGGAGAGGTCCTCATCAACAGCGCAATTGACTAGGAGATCGCGGATCTCGTCCCCGCTAAAATGGGCATGCAACGGCTTCACGGGATCCCAGAGCTGCCGGCGTTCGCTAAAGTGCTTGCGTGTGTGTACGGGATCTGTTTGGCGTAAGGAGAGAGTCACGGTGCGGGCGGGAAGTTGTCCAAGAGCTCGATACATCGCGACTTCTTGAAAATCGCCCTGGGTTCGCTGGATAGGAATCGAAAGCTCTTCTAGGACAGTACAACACGCTTGCACTAGCTCTACATCAATCGGTGAGGTGCAAACAGGGCAGAAAAGGCTGAGTAATGTCGGGCCGTGTCTTCCTAAGATGACCTCGAGAGTGTCGCTGGTCCATGTTCCTCTGAGCGTCAGGTGTTTGAGAGGTGGCAGGGACAGGAAGAATGTCTTTGTCGCCGGATGTAGCTCTTCCGTATTGATGCCATTCCTTTCACCAAGATTGATATCCAATGTTTGTAGAGAAGAGAGACGACATGTCAGCCAGCAAAGTTCCTCTACGCCAGCTTGTATATGAAGACTACGGAGCAGCGAGAAGTCTGTTTTGTTGCTTAGCACGATGAGGTCATTTTTGTTCATCCAGCGGCGAATGTCCAAGCCTTTCAAGGCTTTCGAAGAAGGCGGTTGCGGTTTCGGGAATATATCGGCTCGCCATGGTTTTCGAGGGCCCCATGGATGTTGTAAGTTGGGGTCGGTGGAATTGGTGTGGCCCTGGGTGCATCGATATTCTCCACCAGATTCCAATGTGACATGGCGCAGATTTGGGGCAGCGCCCGCGATCATCTCCAGCAAAGCATCATAGTTGTAATTCTCAAATTCCTCCTCCTTGGCTTCGTATCGCAACGTAACACTTTCCAAGCATGGTGAGGTTGCTACCTGCAAGTCATCGCCATTAATCTCGACATTCTGCATCGGTCGCCGTAGTAGGCTGTGTAGCCGGAAAAGAGGGCAAAGAAAGCCGACAGTCCATCTTCTCGAGGGTCTTAAGCACAGGAGGTGGGATTGGCTGCCATGGACAATCCCATGTTAGCTGTCTCAGACCGCGCAGGAGCTTGACTAGCACCACTATCGCTTCAATTTCGACCGGCGCCAGCACACTTCGAGATTCCGGATCACAGTGCTTATCCGCCAACATACCATCAGAGCGACGGAGTATAATTCCGTACGGCTTGGGATCGGGGCCAGCGTCACGTCGCGGAGGTGGATTCTCAGGCTGAAGACTTGCCAGTATCTCCAGATATCGCACATGCTGCGCACTCTTCAAATTTTGCAGGAATGACGACCAACGCTCGCRTAGATCTGCCAAGGCACCACCAGCAGGAGCTTTGATACGAACATGTTGGAAAAGGAACGTCTTGCTGGCTTCACGTATTCGCTTGTCGCAGAGTGAAAAGCTTGCGAGGCTTTGAGGGTCCAGATTCGAGCACACCGTAGCCACTGTCTCTGGTGATAGGATGTTCATGATTGTGAGCCAAAGTGCAGTCAATCCGTATTGAATAGACGAATTGTTGTTGGTGAGGGTGACAAGCGTGAGGCGCAGCACGGCAAACAAGCTTTCTTGGCGACGGCCACTCCCGTCCGCTCTGGCCCATTGAGCTGTCTTGATGGTTCTGCTACACAAACCGGTCGAAGGCGGTCTGCCAATATTCCATCCCACCAGAGATAGGGGATTCTACAATAGCACTGGCTTTTTGCTATTGAAATCAACTCCCACAAGCCTCTGTAGTCTTATCGCGACCACAAGTTTTCAGCTCATATCGAGCGGCACATCGTAAGCGATGAGACCTTCGCCTCCAGGGTTACTGCAGAATAGCTTCACGGCCTGGAAGCCTCCCGGCTCGTCTCCGCTTCCAATCAGGCGATAGTGGTGAACTCGGTGAGATTCCGGGATGAAGTCTGTGCCTCTTTCAATGCCATTCTCCTCGAAGGTGATGATGGCGTGGCAGATTGCTTTGACCAAGACAGTGTCGCGCACGCCGTGGTATTGCGGGCATTGATCCAAGAGCTTCATAGCCCGTTGTCGGACATGGCGGTCGCGACACTGCTGTATCAAAAGCATGAGAGCGGGTTGGGCCGACACGCCAACAGAAAAAGCCGCTCGAGTATTCGTTGGTGTACCTCCGTCTATGAGTGAGTCCATGAGTCGCAGCGAGGTCTCCAGAATATCGCACACCTCTTGGAAAAGCCCAATCGCATTGTCAAAGTCGACTTGCCTTCCAGTCCAGAGAAGATCAATGTAGATTTTGGCCATGAGACATTGCGCTTTGGCAAATCCGTACGCAGCCATTTTGCATTCCCCCATCGGCTCGGGCGAGGCCAGCTTCTCGTTGAGTGCCTTTTCGATTGCCTGTTGTTGCGGCCTCAGAGCGTACAGAACTGTCGAGGGGATGGGCTCGTACGTGATGTCGAAAGAAGCCGATTCTGGAGCATACATTATAGCACGCGTCAGATGCAAGACCAGCTCTACAGTCTGAGCAAGTGGATCGGAGCTATAGTCAGGCTGAGAGCACCCAGCAACCAGAGCCTGCACAGACTGAGCAGAATGCGATAGGGCGTCAAAGACTGTAGCGTCCACTGCGTACTGACGGAGGATGCGAGCCACCTCGACCGTCTCTGCTGATTTGCCTTGTATTGTTCCCGCGATACGGAAACCGGACTCAAGATGGACTAGTAAGCTCGTTGAAGAGCCTCGCATGGATTCCAGAATGACCAACAACAAGCACGCGAGTGGAACATGAGGTTCTTGGCCGTGTCTTCCGTCATTGATCGACCGCTGCAGGCAGATGATGGCTTTCGTGTACATGGAAGAAGCCTGCTGACTGATGATTTCAGTTTGGCTTGCCGATGTCTTCTTCTGATCTGCTAGTCGTTGTTGGGCTCCCAACGCCGCCGCAATGCCTCGTATACTTGGTTGTTGTGCATCCAGGAGCCGATTGGCGAGGAATTGCCAGAGAAGCGAAGGCTGACAACTCCGAAGGATGGGTAGACCTTTGAGGCAGAAGTACTCGACCGAACGATTGGTTTCATCGCTGACCACAATCGGACTGCGTAGCTGCTTCTGTACGAACATGATGTGGCGAAAGCCACGGAAAGTCGGATTGCCGCTAGGCGTGGCATACGAACATTCTCGAGATCCTTTGCTGCACCTCTGGCAGATTGGTTGCGCCTCGTCGCATTTTACTCTCCGCTGCTTACACGTTATACAGCCTGCATGAGATGGAAGACGATCAGTAAGGGGTCGGGCGAGGGGGGTCTCAATGGGGTTCGGCCTCACCGGCCCGGGACTTCTCATGCAAAACTCGCACTCGACGTTTTCCATCTGCGTATGACAATGCCATGGCGGCCTGCTTACACATTCATATGCTCCAGGTACGCAGGGATTCTACAGCGCAGGGTAGGTACCTTGCGCACCATGTCCGTAGCGTGATGGGACAGGGAGATCGCTCTCGGGACAAATTCGGTCCGAGCTTCCGGAGATGTGGTCTAGGTCTTCCAGATTTGCGTCTTGCTCAGAAGCAAACTCTCCTTTCGACAGTGACGWTATGGATACCTATTGGAACATCAATCCGGTGACGACAGCATGGCGTTTGAAGGATAGGCAGCTTTGCTTCGGCTGGCCAAAGCACACCTGCATCCGTCCAACAGCCTATATTCCTGCCTCCTTCTCCTCCCGCTACTTTGCTCTGCGCCGCTGAAGACTAAGAGACCGTACCTACCTACTGTACATATACCTACCGTTGCTGCCGTATGAATAGGTTAGGAAGTCACAGTGTACAAATACTGAATTCACACTAGCCCACGGAACTTCGGAACTTCGGAGGAGCGCCTGAGAAGGAGGCAGCTGAGGTATATTCTATAGCCCTCGTTTCGCTTTCCTAAACAGGCAAGACATGTACGAACTTCGGATTCGGAAATCTCAAATGAAGAACGAGCACGTTTGCCCTACTAGCTACAAGGATTGCATTCACGCAACATCTACACCTGTAGACCTACAAGCATGGTCGGCTTCGTTTATCGACTTCCGTATGTAGCAAGCCTATGTGGTGCTCTCGACAACGGTCGGTTGTACTGCATCGAGATCTGCACATTAGGTCGCAGGTATGCTGTTCCATAAAGACATGGACTGCCTTCTCATGCTCGTGCCATTCCACAGAAGGCCTCCAGTATGGGTTGGAACATGAACACGCTCCACCAGACCGCCGTGTTGGCAGGTTTCTTGGTCGCCAGTAGAGTGGTTTCCGCAGAGAACGCCCCCACTGTGGATCTTGGCTACGCAATATACACTGGTAACAGCAATACCACCATTGGGTCAGCATCACCTTTTGCGCGAGTATATTGCGCTATTGTCTAACACTGGTACAACAGAGTCAACTCCTTCTACGGCATCCGTTATGCTGCGCCGCCGACTGGCGATCTGCGATGGAAAGCTCCAGTACCGATTACGCAGGCGAACATGTACGGGAGTAACGACTCCATCGATGCAACGTCCTGTGGTCCACAATGTGTACAAGCGACACCCGGTTGGCAGCCATCTATCGGTCCAATTCCAGCTAGCGAAGACTGTCTCTTGCTAAATGTGTGGACTCCTACCGTGCCTGCAAAGGCATTACTTCCTGTCGTGGTCAATATACATGGTGGTGGATACATTTCAGGCAATGCTACGACAGAGCCTGGCGAGGCCTTTGTGTCACACTCCAACGGCAGCGTCATATACATCGCTGCTCAGTATCGGTTGGGAGCGTACGGATTTTTGCCCGGGTCTGCAGTTGCGGATGATGGCGTTTTGAATGCCGGACTCCTCGATCAACGTCTGGCATTAGAATGGGTCCAGGAGCATGCACGAGCATTCGGTGGAGATTCCAAGCAAGTGACTGTCTGGGGAGGTAGCGCTGGGGGCGGCTCTGTGCTGTATCAGCTCACGCGGGGCGGTGGTGAGGCCCATCCTCCATTTCGCAGTGCAATACCTGGTAAGTTGGAAGTATGGCTTCGAGATTGCACCTCGATACTAATGGAGGACAGAATACCTTGGCCTACCGCCACACAAAAACACCACGACTCAGGGTGCGATATATGAAACGCTTCTGAATGCGGCAGGCTGCGCTTCTCTAGAATGCCTTCGCCAGCTATCGTATGAAGCGTTGAGCAGTGCGACTAATCAGTCATACTACGACGCTTTTGATGCTGGAGTCTATGGCCACGGGGACTATTGTTACACCCCCGTGGTCGATGGATCTTTTGTTCAAGACCTGCCATCGAAGCAGCTGGCGGCCGGAAACTACTCAAGGGTTCCTATTCTGGTAGACACCGACGAGTTTGAAGGTAGCGTTGCCTCTTGAAATTGCGTCGACTTACAAACTGACTTGGATGCAAGGCGTTGGCTTCGTCAACTTCTCTGTCAAGACAAATGACGACATCAAGGCGGAATATGCCCAGTTCTGGCCAGCCGCCACAGAAGACCTTCTCGATCACCTACTCGAGCTTTATCCCAGAAGCGATTATGGTGCCAACTACATCGCATCCAACAACTTCTTCCAGAGTCCGATCTTTAGTTTCCTCAAGGCGCTCGCCGCAAGCTCCGACGTCAACCTGACCACAGAATCCGTCGCATACTATCAAAATCAGGCAATATTTGGCGACTACGTTATCCATTGTCCGAGCCRCTACGTAGCTTCTGCTGCTTTCAACCAGTCTCCCAAAGTGCCAATCTGGAAATTACGTTTCAACGCGGGATACTTTGCCCATGCAGCAACACGACCTTATGTGCTTGGCGATGTTGGCGATCCGCTGGTATTCAACGCAACTCTGGCAACCATTATGAAAGATTTTTTCCTGTCCTTCGTCGTCAACCAGGATCCGAACTTACCATTGCCTACTCGCCCAGTCTCCGACCGGCCATGGTTTCCGCAATACGGAGCTGAGAGYACGGTTCTGCATGTTAACGAAAGTGTTATTAGCTATATTGCCGATCCGGATAGCTCTGCGCGATGTGATTTTTTCGCGGCAAATGCTGATGTTCTCCGCAATTGAGATTGTGGCCTACTATATGCAGAGGGGAGGGAGATAGCGAGTGAAATCTGGAGCTTTCGATAGGAGAATCAGAAAACGTAGAATGGGTTTTGACGCGCATTAAGTAGGGTATCATCTGCTATCTCGATATTGCAACAGCTTTCACAGCGGCTTGAACACTTCTTCATAGTCCAGCAGTTTGCAAGCAGAAGACTGACTTCAAGCGCGGTTGTCATGTCAAAGGTTTCCCATGTTGACAGCTCTGACCACGCTGGATAGCTGAAAGGGGCCTATCTTCTGATAGTGATGTTATCTGCACAATCACATGAACAATACTACTTCCCAGCGCCTCCTGTCAATTTCAACTGCAAAGACCCAAGTCGAAGGCTTCTGGTAGGCTTTTACTGTTGCGTAGCCACGATTGCGCCCTTTACCTGACCCGATAGTCGCGCTTTCATGTTTCATTGTCGGAGATGTACAAGGAACTTTCGACACATGTGTTGGTTGATTCGAGGCTCAGATCTCAACTCGGCTATACGATGATGATGCTACGGGAGATCTGCTCTAATGCTCTCGGTGGAGTGATGAACTGGTCCCGAGGAGTCACTCGATAGAGTGTTCAGCACGGGCCTATTCTCGTTCCCAATCGGGTAATAGCTATACGATGCGGTGCTGGTAGATGAACGGGCGTGCCTTGCAAAAAGCATGTTGAAAGTTATTCGATGTAGGCTGAATGGAACGACTAAGGCATATAATGTCTGACGGGGCACCAAAGTATTCATTGGAAGAGCCTGTTTTCCAAGTTGTGAGCCTTCATCMTCCGCCAAGATGTTGCGAGGATTGAGCTTGCTGGCGCTAATACTTTCTCCGGTCTATGCCAATATGCCATAATTGTAATAAATTCTCGCTCCATTATCGCGCTCTTCCTCACCAAGCAGCATGTTTGCCGTGAATGGGACCGTGGATAATGCATAGCTGCAGCAGAGGAATCTCCACATCCTAGAGGTAGTCGACGAGTACACCAAGATCACCCATACGAAGGATGTAAGCGTGGATATAATTAGAGGTCATCGTGTTAGCATCACTTGACTAGAGACGCTGCGGCTGGCTGTGGAATACGGCGACTACTCCGCTTACCCTACGGGAACCAAAGGTTTGTCTTCGATGTAAGCTTTGAACCGACCACAAGGTCCCAAAACTTTAGAACAGCTGCTCTTCGACCTCCTTATATTGACCGGATCCTACAGATCTTGGAATGTATCTATAGTCGCTCTACGAAGGTGATAATTTAGACTTGAGACTTGATGATTCGATGGTGTAGGTTGGATAAATCGGTTGCGGGGCTAAGGGGGATAAGATAACCGCTTATTGTAGGGACTTTATAAAGAGGTAGGCGATAATCTTCCGCTTATTCGGTATGTTTATCTTGGCGGTTGATCATGGCGGTTGATCATAGACATTGATAGTGATACGGATGTGGCAGGATTCGAAATCCTCTAAAGAAAAACTTATACGTAGAATTATAGGGCGACATTTATAGTCATACTACTTTAAATAGGAATCTGAGCGATGCCGATGTATTTCGTACAGCCCAGCCAGGGATTCGATGTAGAGTACCTTAGTTCCATATACAGATCGAACACGCCCAAGCCTCGGCCATATCTTAACTGAACCCCAATGTTGGAACAGGACACACGTGGGTTACGGCTCAGCAAACAGAAGCGTAAGTGGATCCTCGAAATCTTCTTAATGGCGAATACACAATGCCCTATGAATACTCTAATCACCTAGTCGTTGTCTAGAGTGTCGCTCCATATCTCCATGTCTCTAACTCAATCTTTTAGCTTAGGATACTACTTTCAAACCCACTTGTCTTGATCTTTGACCGCACTGCAACATTGCAAAATGTTAAACCCTGACTCTTTAGAATCAGAATTGACCGTTGTAATATTTACGATACAGTACCACTACGATACTACCGGTTTGGATTCAGATTGTGGTCGTTGGAAACCGACCCCTCCCGTTTCAATGTTACTTTGGTTCCATACTATTTTGCAAAAGAACGTGTAGGCGTTCTACTCTCTTTCTTTTTCGTTTCTGCCTCTGTCTGATTTCCTTATTCAAAGCCTCCAATGGAGGTGACCAACAGATGTGTCACTGACAACTCCCCCATTCGCTCGGAGAAGGATTTGAACGATCCTGGTCAGGACGGTTTGCATGTCACCCAGAACCCACTCGAAATCTCGGAGAAGAATTCGAACGATACAGACTCGAAAGACCGGCATAATAATTACAACTCAATCAGCTCGTCCAAGGAGAATCCAAATGATTCCCCCCAGAACGAGCTGCGTATCCCCCAATACTCTCCCGACGTCTCAGAAGAGAATCTCGTCGAACAAGATGCGGAAAACTTGCAATACCCTCGAGGCATCAAGCTCTATCTCACCACAATTGCATTATGCCTATCCATTTTTTGCGTGGCCCTCGATAACACAGTCAGTATCGCCATACTTGGACTCTCTAGATACCACTACTAAATTCATTGAAATCAAGATCATCGCAACAGCAATTCCTCGAATCACCGATACCTTCTCCTCCATCAACGACATCGGCTGGTACGGTTCCTCCTACCTCCTAACAACCTGTGCATTCCAGCTCCTATATGGCAAACTCTACACGATATTCTCCCTCAAATGGACATTTCTCCTCGCGCTAGGACTCTTCGAAGCCGGCTCCGCCATCTGTGGTGCAGCTCCCAGCAGCGCCGTGCTCATCATCGGACGCGCCATCTCAGGACTAGGATGCGCGGGACTGTTTTCGGGGGCTTTACTTATTATAGCGGATACAGTGCCTGTTAGGGCGAGACCTACATATACGGGTTTGCTGGGAAGTATGTATGGGATCGCATCTGTCGCGGGGCCTCTTCTGGGAGGAGTTTTTACTGATCAGTTGAGTTGGAGATGGTGTTTTTGGATTAATCTTCCGGTTGGTGGTGCTACGGCGCTTTTCATCTTGGTTTGCTATACTCCGGCGGGAAATGTGGGAGTTAGAGGGTATAGCGGGGATGGGCTGAGGARGACTTTTTGGCTGCTTGATCCCGTGGGGACAATCCTGTTTCTGGCTATGGTGGTGTGTCTCTTGCTCGCGTTACAATTCGGAGGATCAAAATATCCATGGAGTGAAGGCCGGGTTGTCGCTTTGCTGGTTATTTTTGGGGTTTGCCTTCTTGGATTCGTGCTCAGTCAGATCAAAGGTGGTGCCAACTCTACCATCCCCAGACAGGTTGCCACTCAGAGGACAGTCATGGCCAGCTCTTGGTTTTCATTTTGTCTTGGAGGCAGCTTCTTTACCATGGTCTTCTTTATTCCCATCTGGTTCCAGGCGACCCAAGGCGTGGATGCCACCGCGAGCGCTATTCGAACCATTCCTCTCCTGCTTTCTCTGATTGTGATGTGCATTCTCAGCGGTGGTCTGACAACTGTCTTTGGTTACTACACACCTTTCATCTGGATCTCTTCCATTTTGACGTCTATCGGAGCAGGATTGATGACTACTTGGAGCGCAGATAGTCACTCTGCGGTCTGGATTGGATATCAGAYAGTCTTTGGACTTGTAAGTGTTCTTCTCATATCCAACCAATCGAATACTGACTCGATGTGATCTACAGGGAGCGGGTGCCGGCTTACAGGAACCTCTCATGGCAGTACAGAATGTTCTTCCGGACGAATTGATACCCATAGGAACCGCATTGGTCATGTTCAGCCAGACGTTCGGAGGATCCGTCTTCGTCTCAGCGGCTCAGAATGTCTTTGCAAATCGTCTACTCAGCAACATGCAGTCGATTGTTCCTGGTATTGACAGATCTGCAATCCTCCTCTCGGGGGCTACGAGTTTCAAGGATGTCGTGCCGTCTGAGCTTCTGGATGCTGTACGGGCTGCTTGTAATAATGCAATTACGAGTACGTTTATGCTCAGCGTTGTTATGGCGGGTTTATCTGTGCTTGGGGCGGTTTTGATCGAGCCTAAGAGGATGAAAGGGAGGATGTTCTGATATTTATTGGTGGGACAGGTCTCATGACTGGTGTTTGAGAGTTGATATTGATATCGAATGAAATGATCGAAATGTCGAGCCGATGGTATTTTATCGGCAGAATTGAGATCGAAGAGCATCTGACCAACGTCGGAATACAATCTATACATATATTACAGCAGTCAATTTGTGAAAGATTTCAGCGAGAGTCTGCAGAAGTAGATTTTGTAAGCCGCTCTTACACCTCTAGCGGATGGCGGAAAGTGAATCCGGGTTGCATTAGCACCTGCATCGGGGAATCACAGCATGAATGCGTCACATGGCTAGCTTCCACAGCTGAAAACAGTATGCGTACCAAATCCATCTCCACAAACTCCATAACCTGGCGGTGTGCGAAGTGTTCAGCCATCGAGACTACGTAGAACGAACGGCAAGTTTCCCTTTCGCATGGGGCCTACAACAGTCGACGCAAACAAATCCAAAAGTTCTCATTAGGACCTCAAAAGACCATCATGAAAAGCATCATCAGCGAAATCGCCAGTTTTTCCCTCATCGTTGGCTCTCCCTTACTACTCGCATTCTACCAAATCTCATATCAGGATTTTGACGCATCGCTCGAAATCACGGCCTACGCTCTACTCGATGAAGGCCCCATTTCGTTCTTCAAGGAACGTGTACCGCGACCTACATCATTGACCGTGATCGCTTACGCTCTATACGTGTGTTGGCAGGCAATTCTATATATTGTCTGTCCCGGGCCTCTTCATGCGGCACCTCGGACATGTGGTGGACGGCGCCTTCTGTATCGACTCAACGGTCTCACTTCATGGGTTGTTACAATTGCTGCTGCAATACTCGCCATGAATTTCTCATTGATTGACCCGGTCTTTATTGCTAGAAATTGGGGAGAATTTCTGGCCACGGCGAATTTGTACTCTTTGGCTTTGATTGCAGTATTCTGGATCAAAGCCCGTACTATACCTGACAGTCGAGAGGAAACAATCATAACAGGTGCGTTTGAAAATTACAACCGCCGTTCGAGACTCCTGGCTTATTCCTTTATAGGGAAATTCTGGTACGATCTCTTCAACGGCGGAGAACTACATCCTCGGACCGGCAACCTTTTCGATTGGAAGCATTTCAATGCCAGCCGAACTGGAGGTATACTTACATGGAGTTTGATGTGTGACTCCTAGAATCACCATGTACAGGTCTTCAGACTAATTCCAGCGAGTTAGTGACCTTTCGTTCGCTGCACTGCAGTATCAAAACTATGGTGGAGTGACAGATTCCATGATACTCGCCGTGCTCTTCCGAATGACCGTCACGATCGAGTACTTTTGGTATGAGAATTGGTATGGAAATCACCATCGATTGCTAGAAACTATAACTCGTTGAAACTCACCATACGATGACAGGTTCTTCGAGACTCTAGATGGATCCTTTGAGCGTTTCTCCTTCTACAACATCTTCGGATTCAGTGCCATGATGCCACACTTATGGACACTACAAACACAATATCTTGCAACTCACCCTACAGATCTATCCCGAATGGAATCAGCTGTCTACATAACTCTCTTCGTGGCAGGGTGGTACATGAGACATATCGTGGACGACCAAAAGAGCCGGACTCGAGCTTCAAATGGTGACTGTATCATTTGGGGCAAGAAAGCCAAAGTTCTGATCGCAAAATATACGACTGCGGATGGGAAAACACATCAAGCATTACTTCTCTGCTCCGGTAAGATATCTATCAGAACCACTCACGACTGAAATCTATGCTGATGTTTGTCTTCCCCCGACAGGTTTCTGGGGAATTGCACGACATGTAAACTACGCTGGATCATTTCTATACACGTTGGCGTCTTGTTTGATTTGCGGCCGTCGTGATTTTTTTCCTTATACTGAGGCTGTTATTGTTGCTGGTATGACAATCCATCGATGCTTTCGCGACGAAGCGAGATGTCGTGCAAAGTATGGAGATGTGTGGGATGAGTACTGCAAGATCGTGAGATGGAGAATAGTGCCGGGAGTCTTTTGACGAGGTCAAGCAGGGACCAGAATCAATATGCTTCCTCTTCTTGTACGTGTCTGTAGAGTTGCAGTCTGACACTCTTCATCGTCTGTAATCTCAAGCATATCGTGAGGCAACATGATGATAATTTCTCTCACCACTGCACTTACGCGGTTCCAGTTACCTCCAGCTGTAGAGCAAGTTCCAAGCAACGAAGTCTGGGTTTTGCCGAAGGGACGCTTATAGTCCAACCGCTGGCTTCGCAACAATGCGAACCTTTGACCAATAGAGCACCGATGGTAGCGAGTGCACGAATCTCTTGGTTGTGTAGTGTAATCGTCACCGCTACTTCAACCAAAGGGGTCCCGGAGGACTGGCCTGTATCTCCGGTTATTCCACACCGCACATTCCAGCAGAGGCAGATATCCACTGCACTCCAGGGTCTCCCATGATGGGCTCAGCGGTCGTAGCCCACGCTTCGTATCTGGAGTAGATCCATAGGTACTCCGTCGATTCGTTGCTGCTCTCCAAATTTAACCTTCGATATTGAACATGGACATCGTGCTCGAGCTTGCCAATCCACTTATACTTGACCAAGCCTACGATCTATTACGCCACAGTCTACAGTCATCAACGTGCGATGGATTCGACACTTCTGGGATGGGTCCGATCTTGAGCAACATCATAAAGCCATCTCGGGCCAAACTATGCTCACTGACCACAACAAATKCGATTTGGGAACCACAAAGCATCTACCGCCAAAGCACGAGTATTTTCCTAATCACCATGTAATACGCCTCATCAAACTCCTCCACTCCATTTCCAAAAAAAAAAAAAGTTAACAAAGTTCCTAGCTCAACAAGCATACCCGCATATCTCATCCTCGGGTCAATCTGCTACACCCGTAATTTTGACACCCGATGGAAAAGCAACGTCAAATACCACAAAAACCAAATCAAACTCGAAATGGCACAATCACTCTGGGCACTCCTCTGGTTGAACATCCTCACCGTTCCGATCTTCCTCGCCCAGCTTCGAGGATACTCACGGATATATGAATATGGCACGGCAGACTGGAGGCATGAGCTTCTTCAATACCCACTATTCATCCTTTTCAGTGATGGCTCCATGTACTGGCTCCATCGCATGTTCCACATCCCGTTTCTATTCAAATGGATGCATAAACACCATCACAAGTACGACAAACAACCCGTCCCCCGAAGCAATTCTTTCAAGGAACGCTAATTGAAAGATGCACAGTTTTGTGATCCCAACGCCCTTCGCAGCACATGCCTTCCATCCAATCGAAGCATTCATCATGAGCTTGCCAATCTATACCTACAGCTTCGTGCTACCCATGTCAAATGTCGCACAGCTTCTCGTCTTCATGTTGAGTTTTATTTGGACATTTTTATTGCGTACGGAAGATGATCATACCTGTTGGGAAAGAAAATAGGAGTATCACATGCTGACTTTTTTTTTCTTTTAGACGACAATCGTGATCAGTTTCATACGGTGCACCACAAGAGCACAAATTACAATTTTGGTCAATTTTTTACATTGTTTGATCGGTTGGGAGGTACGTACTGTGACGAGGGCGAGTTTTTCAAATGTAAGGTGGGAGGGCACCGAGAATTGGCTGGCAAGTTGGAATCTAGTCTATAGCAATATGTTGTAGAGTAGCCATATTCTGAACAATGACATTACATCACCCACAGCAACGAGACACGTCTAAAGTTATCGAATAACAATCAAAATCGTCTGGGCACTGCTTCTGTGTTCGTTCATCAAACGAAGTGCCTACAAAATCCAACGCTCGTCCCCCAATCAAATCAAAGTGTCTTGCAGCCTCAACCAGAAACCGTTGAATGTGGGTTTCAGATCCTCTGCCATCGCATGCTACAACATAAACGCATACCTATGCAATCCCACCCAACTATCTTAACCCAATGAAAGTCTCAATCAGGAATCGACTTAAATCGATGGGACCACCTAGAATGGAACAACTGCAAGAAACCTCTACAGGTAGAACGAGCAAGGAAAGGCGGTAAAGATGTGATCCAGACAACCAAACGCTCCAATGCGGGGCGGGCGTAAATAGTCGGTCCGTTACCTTACTCCTACTCGACGGGCCTTTCGCCCCGGTGTCCTTGGCATTTACCGCTTTAAGCAATTTTCAATTTGGATCATGATCCTAGTACGAAGCGAAAGCCATTGCCCGGCTTCCTATTTCATCGCGGTCCCCGTTGAAATCATTGCTCATGGCGTAACGACCGGAGATGGAAGAAATAATACGGTAGCACAGTTGAGATATTATCTTGTCTAATCGTCGCGGTTACTGACATGACCTCCACCCGATGCTCCACGAGCTGTACGACGATAACGCTGTTTGTTGCATCTGCAAGCGCTGTGTTCTTTTTGACAGTAGCACGAGAATTTATGACTGGGAATTCTCTGTAGCAGCATGAAGATGGTACATTGCGTAATGGGCAAGCTGACGTCTTCTGCACTTTGGCAGTCTGGAGATGAAGTAGAAAAAGTAGTGTTCCTGGCAGAGTTGGGAATTAATATCGGAGCTCAAAACTCCTCCTAACCACCAAAGACGGGCTGCTTTCTTTTAGGAAGAAGATGCTCTTCTTCAATAATGCATTGAAGCCAGCCGTACAACCCTTTGATTGGCCAAATGCCCCAAATCAACAGCAGAAGCCACTGGACAACACCATCATCGCGGGAAGCCTGATTCTTCCCGTAGTTGACCTTCACCTTGTCATATAGCGTAGGTAGATGTGAAGCGTGATACTTCAACCTCAACTCATCCCGTTGCTGTTGGTCGAACATGGACCAGAACTTCTCCTTGGAGTAGAACGTATGTGCATATAACCATTTCTCCCCGCCACAGTTTTCAATTTCGCATTCGAGAGCTTTGTTCCATTCGATGGCTTTTGCAATTTCCGTGTGACCCTCGCCCCAAACGCCAATACTCATCATCATATCCTCTCGAGGAACATCATCGCGCTTTTCAGCAAGAAGGCCATATGTTGAGTCGACAGATTTGTCCTGTACACGCAAAGGGCAGATCCAAAGTGGATATTGCTGAAAGTTGGTATCGAGATATTCCACAAAGCGCGATGTGTTTGCGTACGGAATGGCGATGTCCTGAATGACAAACTGCTCTGACAGGCCACTTCGATGAAGAGCATGGTACATCAGGCGAGTATGAGTGTATCGATCCAGAAGCCATCGCGTGAACATGTTGAATGGCACTGCGAAATATCGATATGTATATTTTCCCATCCAGAAGGCACCCCGATCATAACGGAATAGGTAGTCGCGGATTGGGATGATTTCATTCCAAGACTCCTCGTTCAGGCTGCGTTTCTCGGCGTTGATGTAGAACCACTCATCCCACGGCCTCGAGAATTGCATGATTTCAGTTTCTGGGACCGGCCCAGAGACCAAGGAGCCAAGACAAAGAACTCCTCTGTCTCGAGCAAAGAGCATACCATCAAGATAATCAAGCCTCTCATTCTCTTGCTCGACTTTGGTCCTCTCTATCGCCTCATCGATGCTGTGCACTCTGATGTACGTCAAGCTAACGAATGAAGTAGCAGGTACAAGCCGGATAGCGAGCAGTGTAACAATGCCGAGTGTGCCAAAAGAGCAAGCTGCGCCGTGAAACAAGTCCGAGCGAAGGGACTCTGAAGCGACGACGATTTCGCCGTTACCCAGCACAATCTCCACCTGCTGCACCGTGCGATGAAACAGCCCATGTCGAAATGAGCTGCTCTCGCCTGAAGTTCCTGAAAAGCCTCCTCCGACTGTGATCCCCGGAAACTCCATCACAACGGGCGGAAGTAGGTCATATTTGAGCGTGCTATCGACCAAGAGATCCATGGGCACGTTGGGCTCGGCATAGACAACGCGATGAGTCGTATCCACGCCGAGAACGTGATTCAGTCTGCTGATGTTGACGATGTTGTTGTGACGGTACGGGGAAACGCGGGTGCTGGATGTCGAGCCATGGTAGATACGGAATGGGGTCTTAGCGGCGTGGAATTCTTCAACCTTCTTCGATATCTCCAGAACCGCCTGATCATGTGGTGCGTGGAAGGGAAAGCCTGGAGACATTCTTGCGGTCTGTTATGTCTTCCAGGTTGATGTCGCGATGCACTAGAGATCGGTGCTCGAAATTACMAAATTTATGCGACATGGAAGGCGACGATAAGCATGCAGGTACAAAACATTTATCGCGTATCTATGCAAGAAAGTCATGGCAACCACGAGTCAGCCGATATTGACCACATGACATGCAGCGGGGAGGAAAGTACGGAGGAAGGACTTTATGTATCGGGAAAGGGTTGATCTCCCCGTGACCAGGGGCGGTGTAGAGATCGAGCGTGTATCGAGTTATAGAACAATGGCATGTAACAATTTTCCTCTTTCCTATCATCGCCGTATCTACAAGCGCGTCTGGAGTTAATACGTGAAAGGAGCCTCGACAATGACATCCATCGTAATTCACTGGTGTCATTGTGCTAACATTTTACATGCTAGGTAGTTTTGGAATGTTTGGCTATCCAGAAACGTTGATATTCACCGATATCATGATTCTCACGTACTCATTTCAAGTATACATGCWAGGTACGAATGGAGAGCATTGCCCATCGTTCTTCACTTGTCTCATAGAGTTTCGACTTCGATTACCTTCTTCTCTGTCCTAAGCTCTATTCCAATCTCGATGCCTATAGCACTATATGACCGTCGTCTTACCACGGCGCATCACTAGATATCCGAGCGTTACCAATCTTTGTCGTGAGTGAAAAGTAATGTTGTGGCCGCGGAGGACGGAAACCCCATCCGTGGTGCACATCATATCGAAAAGCAGCCCCACGCTTCTGGACTCCATTCGATCCAACTTTTCGACATCGCGCACCTACTGCGATCGAGGCCAGATTTCTACAGACAAGACCAGGAATCAGCTCCCCACCAAAAACTGTACCGTATTCGTGGTTCGATCTTCCCCAAAAGGTATTGACGAATGCACGACAGGCATGCCTCATTGCTTCTTTAGACCAATGCAAAGGAGCGGTAGGCAAAAACCGGCAGCAAGTGTTTCTAGATCGTCGCTCATCATCATGCAYTGCGGACTTTCAATGATCCGAGTAGGCTAGCTTTGACTACCGCCTGTCTTGTCTCAGCAGTTCATATATATCTAGAGTAGAACCCGTCGATGTCTGATGTGGTCTGGAAATACCTTCACCTTCGAATACATAATCATCATGAAACTCTCAACATATCTTCACACTTCCCTTCTTGCCGCTGCAGCTAATGCAGTTACCATACTGTCCCCAGCCGTAGAGGCAGACTACGATGCAATCGTCGTTGGCGGAGGACCAGCAGGACTTGCTGCTACCAGCGGCCTCGCACGAGTACGAAGGAACGTTCTGATGATCGATTCTGGAGAATACCGCAACGACCCCACCAGACATGCCCATGACATTCCTGGTTTTGATGGTGTGACCCCTGCGTGGCTACGTTRTGCAGCCCGAAAGCAAATCAAAGAGTACGGCACTGCGAATCTTGTTAATGGCACTGTGACCAAGATTGAGCCTCAGAACAATAACACATCCTTCAATGTCTCTGTTACATATTCTGGAGACAAGAAGATCAGCTTCATTACCCGTARGGTGGTACTTGGAACTGGTATGAAGGATAATCTTCCTGCGACTCCCGGTGTTGCCGAGAATTGGGGAAAAGGCATCTATTGGTATGTAAATCGAGGAGCGATCTATTGAGACCCTCATCTGTGTCCTCATTGCTGGGGGATCAGCTGACTTATACCCTCCACTGCTAGGTGTCCATGGTGTGACGGTCACGAACATGCAGACCAAGAACTCGCCATCGTCGGTCCCCTCGACCAAGGAGCGACAACCGCGCGCGAAGTACTTACTCTAAACGAGGACATCGTCCTACTCGTAAACGGTACAGACACTCCAGAACGCCGTGCAACCACAGACCAAAAATTCCCAGGCTGGGAAAAGTACCTAGAATTACACAACATCAAAGTCGAAAATCGATCGATATCCTCCATCGAGCGCCTCAGAAACGGAACCGATGGCTCCGAAGACCCCAGTCAGCCTACCCATCCCGAACACGATCTCTTCCAGGTCAATTTCGACGGCGGTGGTGAGCCTTTACTCAGAAACGCATTCTTGACGAATTTCGGGGAAGAGCAGAAGTCGAAGCTGGGCGAGGAGACTGGCGTGATGCTTTACGGGACTAAATTGGCGGCTGATAACTCAAAGGGTCTTGCTACCAATATTCCTGGCATTTTTGCGATTGGAGATTGTAATTCGGATAACGTGACTAATGTGCCACATGCGTTTTTCAGTGGGAAACGGACGGCAGTGTTCCTTCACGGTGAGTGGCGAGATTTCGTTGGGTAATAAGTGACGAACTGACTTTTACCAGTCGCTCTAGAGCGTGAAAATTCGGTCGCTCAGCTTGCTCGGTATGGTAATACGAAACGAGAGGCAGAGGCCGAGCTACGGTCGATTTGGGAGAGGATGAATCCTGCGGATGATGTCCTTCATGCTGGGGATTTCGATCAATGATTGGACGAAGCATAATACTACGGATGTCTACGCTACTGAACTCTAGAGGTAGTGATCTGCTTGAGTCACCACAAAATATTATACTCGCTGTAAATACTTCCTCGAGGATATATTTCGGCACTGGCCAAGTTCTGTTCCAGCTTGAACGGTGACGAGCATTACCCTGATCTGAAGACTTAATCTTATCTAGCCGCAGCACAACAGCTGTTTTTCTGAGGGCCTGCCTTTTGACCCCTGAAGTCGCATAGTCTGGAAAGCGCCGCGTTTACAGGTTGCAGAGTCGGCCGAGAGATTGTACATAAGCGACTTCTCACAAGTCTACATTTTACACCCACCCTCTCTATACTATCCTTCAACAGGGGCGAGACGGAGAGTTGCATGGAGAGAAGATGATTGTCCCTTCTCCGACGAGAGGCTGAGATAGAAAATAGGAGGTCGAGAAAGTAATTGTGATCGAGATCACAAAGGAACCCTCCTGCTTCTCCCGCTGCTTGTCCTGAAATCCAACAGAAGAAGCACTCTCCTCCATCCCGCTCTCTCTAATCCCTCCGGAAACCAGTTCATGATCTCCACTCCTTCGACCCAAGTCCTAATCGCACTATTAGTCGCCAAACTCACCTCCTCCGAATGGGAGTGAATCCTGGAGTCGGATTCTCGGGCCAGTCGACGACGCAGTGGGCTTGGCGTAAGATTTCAGGCCCAAGTACGACAAAGACCATATAAGTATAAACCTGAGTACGACTTTCTAATGACGCTGAGATGGAGCCAAGGCGTCATGGGGGAATGGATCTTTCATCGTGGAGGGTTGCTAGATGTCAAAAAATGTCAACCGCCACATGCGGCGTTATGGAGCACGGCATTAAAACTCCACGACTAAGCTTTTGTAGTACCGCGATTTACTACACGCGGATGATCATAAACTTTGTTCCGTTTTTCCGGGGGTAGGTCAAGAGTGGCAGCCGAGATGAGTAGCGTAGTACCACAAGCAAGCCATGGTTTATTAAAAAAAAACCAGCATTAAATGATCGTGCCACTTGCTTTCTCTGCCTTTGTCTACTAGGACGAGGATTCACTTCAACAAGGCATAGTCAAAGAAATGGGGCACACCGAACACTACGGAGCCAAGCGCTCATGGCGAGAATCTCGAGCCTTTATGATGGCGACGATTATGTTTGGCCTCTTCATGGGTACGTACGCCTTGCCATCCGTATCGCCGCCTCTACGTCTACACGAACAAACAAGCAAATACTAAACTACTCGCTAACTAAATAATTCCCTCCCGTAGTAACCTTTCTCTATGGTTTCATTGTGCCCATCGTTGGCTACATCACCGAGATCCGCCTAGGTCGCGATCCTGCCCTTACGCAGGGCTATACCTCTGCTCTATTGTTCATCGAGGGTTTCGTTGCAGTCGCTTGTGCGCCCATCATCGCCCATTTTGCGGACAAGACATCGAACCGGCGCACTCCTCTCCTCCTTGCGATCGCTGGCTCCGCCGCCGGTACCGCGCTGTTTGCCGCAGCTCCATCAGGTATGGTGAAATCGTGGACYGACTCTGGTGGCAGCTTTCGGTGTCATGTCCTATACACATTGGCTAATACTTTGCTATACTAGTCGCTGGACTCTTTATTGGGCGTGCATTAGAGGCAGCGTCAAGCTCAGCGGCCTGGATCGTATGCTTCGCTACGCTGGCCGACTGTACTGATCGTGAGCATGTTGGCCGCACCATGGGCACAGCCATGTCCTTTGTCTCTGCCGGCATTGTCACGGGACCCGTAGTGTCGGGCGTGATATTGCAGTTGATGGGGTACTGGGTAGCATGGTCGGTGCCCCTCGTACTGCTTGCTATCAACTTCGTTGCCCGCCTACTTCTACCCGGTAATACCGCGTTGGTCGTGCACGAGAGTGAAGGTGTCTCGCACGAGACCGACCCTTTACTAGCCCCCGAAGCTCTCGAGGCCAGTAATGCCAGACTGGGCTCCGAAGAGCCGGTAGCTGCGGCTCCCTTTGCCTTTTATCGGATCATCCTGTGCAAGTGGCGTGTGCTAGCAGGTCTTGCAAACTCTTTGATGGTTTCCAGCATCTTTTCGGGCTTTGAGGCAACCCTCCCCACACACTTGCGGTCGACGTTTGGCTGGAATAGCTTGCAAATTGGCCTCATCTTCCTCTCGCTACAGCTTCCTGGAATATTGACTGGCCCACTCGTTGGAAGTCTTCGCGACCGCTTGGGCTTACGGTTCCCGACCGTCTTAGGCTGGGCTCTCCTGGCACCTCTGCTCTTCGCCGTGGGCGTACCGGGATCGCACAAATCACCATGGGCAGACTCCCAAATTGCCGAGCAAATTGTCTTCATATCTGCTTTTACAGGGATCGGTCTTTTTGCGCCTCTTGTACGTGGCGTAGGCACCCTTCAACTCATAAGTAAGTCTCGTGCATAAACTCCTGCCCATTTGCGTATCGGATTTTCAGACTCACGTTCAAGCAAGTCATCGCCGACGAGCTCAAGGACAGTCATCCAAGTGTTTTCGGGGTTCATGGCAGTAACTCGAAGATGTACGCAATCACGGAGGTGGCTTTCAATGTGGGCATGATGTTGGGCCCATTGATCGGTGGTGTTTTGTCGGAAACTTTGGGATTCAGCAACATGTGTTGCGCTCTTGGTGAGTCAGGACCGCATTTTCACAATCAGCTCAATTCCTCACCAAAAGTCAATCTACAGCTATACTCGCGGTGCTTGTCGGCATTGCAGGCTACGGCTCACTACTGATCGAGAGCCCTCGTTCGGCCGACGAGGCACATGCATCAGCCGAAGTGTCCAACGATAACTCTGTCAGTCGCTCAAACACTAATTTACACCCCGACGGTCCCAGCAATGCTCGCTGCGAAGAGGTCAGCACGGAGTCGAAGAAGTGATCTATGCACATGACCTACCAACGTTGTAGAGAACACATGAATCGGATATTCCACCCACACTACGGTACGGTACGAACCATCTCACACAGAACCATGCGGAGCTGCATAAGGGCGAATACACTGCCTAGGCAGCGGCGGGAGTGGCCGCTGAAAGTGATGTAGGCACCTTAAGTTTGCCGGTGTCGAAAAGTTGCATTAACCTCGCCAATTTCGCTCCCCCAAGGCAATGGGTCAGATCCGGCTGCTGCTGGCCCCAAAACACCTGGGTCGGTCTGTACGCCGGAGGCACTCCAGCCAACTCAAGTGTTCGCGGGAATCACAACGCTATCATCGAGAACCATTGGGGCATTGGTGCCGCGGTTGGTAAGCTGTTTTAATGAGAAACGAAAAGTGCATAAGGAAGTTAAGCAGGCTTAAGTAGAAAGATACTAGCACTCGGCAACCACATTACCTATAACGGAACCTAAGGCTACCTTATCGATTAGATACCTAAACAATTATAACACTCGTAGCTATAAGTATAAGGGCCGTATAAGAGCCCTTACAATAACAGGATTAATAGAGGTGGCTAGATTAACCAACCTTAGAGAAGGGAGTATAATGTAACCTAACTGCTTAGCGTAGGCTTAGCGTATGCATAACTCCTACGCATAGCGCACATTTAACCTATAAGAATTAGTCTTATCTCTAATCGAGTGATTACGGGTGTCTAATACATTACTACATCTTTACCCTTATAATTCTAATTCTTCTTCCTCTCTAAGGGTAGCGATCTATTAGATCCTAACGAAATAGCCCCTAGGCGCGCCGCCCGCGAAGCGACTACTCCCGAGTAGCGCTATAAAGAAGAACGCGTCGAAGAACTCCCTAACTACGGAGATGTCGAAGAAGTTGCTACCGTAGAGCCTATATAGCCTACGCTAGACGAAGACACGATAGATTATAGAGAAATCGAACGCGATAAGGAAGAGACGGCTAATAAGATAATCTAGCGCCTCGAAGGCGAGAAGTAGGCTTTATAGTAGTAAGAGACGATTCGCTAACTTTAGTTAGAAGTCTAACAAATAAAGCGTAATCGTAACCGCGCCGACGTAGGCGTAGCTACTACTATACCCCGTCGCGGAGTCGTRCCTACGCGCCTCTTWTATAAGGAAGATCCGGATGCTATAAGCACCTCGAGTTTAAGCGTAGCGYATRCGCGTAGCGGAGTAGGCGYAAGACCTAAGATAAAGGATYCTAAACTATTCTTAGGGGATTCTATTAAAGAGGCACGCGAATTCCTACGCCAACTTAAGATAATCTTCGCTAATACTACTACTAGCCTAGAGAGTAACTATAATAAGGTCCTCTATAGCGTTATRTAGCTAGGRGGWRACGCCGCGGAGTCGTAGYATAACRAGTACGATATCGAGGCGCTTACGCCGAGCTATACGTAGGAGGATTTCTAATCGTTCGTACGTAACACCGTCGGGGACCCTACGAACCGCGCGCTTAGCGTTACGCTTAAGTACGAAAGGGTTCGATAGAGCTAGGATTAAACGGTAAAGCAATTCGCCCTTAAACTAGAAGTACTAGAGAGTTAACTAGACTACACGTAAGCGTAGCTCGTACGTTAGTTCCTCGCTAAGCTAAGACYAGCTCTCCGTTAGGAGATTATTAAGTTATACTCTATACCTATAATAAGGGTAGAGATAGTAGCGCTAGTAAGGCGTATTAAAGCAGCCGATAAGGGTACGAGCGTATAGCTTACGGGTACTAAGCGCGGTAATTATAAGTCTTAGGACTATAACCGTAGTAGTAGCAGACTACGTAAGAATACCTACAATCGTAATAAGGAACGTAAACCTAAGTCTAACCGTAGTAGCGAGTAGCCTTTACGTAAGCGTAAAGAAGGCGCTAATTTAGACCTAAAGTGCTCTAACTATAGCCGCACCGGCTATACTAATAAGATATGTTAGGCTAAAGGCGGCGGCGTAGAAGGCTAAGGGCCGAGTAATACGCGGAGTAAGGTTACCGTAGTCGTTACGGAAAAAGTAAAGGACTCCGAGAAAAAGCTTAAACTCTAAGTCTAAAGCTATTAAGTAAGGTCGACATACACCTAGCGCGCTACTAGCGCGGCGTAGTCGAAACGAAGGTAGGACTAATATAGGTCGACTACCTACTAGACGATATAGCCGATATTAACGTTATATCGAGAGAGTTCGTACTTCGAGCCGGCTTACTAGCGAGAGTAGATACGCTATTACTATCTAYATCCTCCTTTACCGGAGAACTAGGTTACTACTACGGAGCGTACGTTATACGCCTACGTATCGTAGACTCGGAAGGAGTCGAACGAATAATAGAAGCAACCTTCTATATATACGAAACTCCGAAGCCCGAACTAATATTAGGCCGCCCCTAGCGACGTATATAACGTGTAATCGTCGACAGCGCTATAGATGCGTAGCGCTTTAGCAAACTAAGCTCTAGTCGAATTAAGGTTATTAATCTATAGGAGTTTTACCGTAAGATATAGGGTAAGCACGTAAGGGTTCTCGTAGTAAGCGTATTACGCACTAGCGAAATCCTTAGTATGCCCGAACTTCCGGAGGAATTTAAGGCATATTACGATATGTTCTTTCCTACGGATAAGGCGAGGCGTAAGCTCCCCGACGACGTAGAGCACGCTATCGATTTAGAGCTAGGCAAGAAGCCGCCCTTTAAACCTCTCTATTATTAGTCTCCGAAAGAGCTAGTGTAGCTATAGGAGTATATTACTAAAGCGACTAAGAACGATTAGATCGAGCTTAGCGAAAGCGAGGCGGGTACGCCTATCCTATTCGTTCCGAAAAAGGATAGCTTACTACGCTTATATATAGACTATCGCGGCTTAAACGAAATCACGATTAAGAACCGCTATCTACTTCCCTTAATTAGCGAGACGCTTAATCGACTTAGGGGCAACGCATTCTTTACTAGCTTAGACCTCTCGGCTGCGTATTATTACATTAAGATTAAGGCTAGCGATCGCTAGAAGACTACGTTTCGTACGCGTTACGGACACTTCTAATATAAGGTTATGCCTTTTAGACTATACAACGT